TATCAACTGTTATGAGTGTCGCAAACTATGACGATCACGGCTATTCGGCCCCCTCGAGGAGCCAGCGCCCGACCAAATGACTCAGCCTTGGGGAATTGAGAGGCTTAGAATTGTTAGTCCAATCAGATCCAATCCGGTTGGAATTAAAGAGTGTGGTTCCACTGCGGAGAAGTGCAGGGCCGTCCAGAGGTGTTTACCTCTGGACATTTAAAACCTTCTGGTTTCCCCCCTTCTTAACATCCCTTTCAAATCAAATCTCTTAAATATCCCAAGTACCAAGACCTTCAAAACTATTGATACTTCAACCATGTCTGTAAACGGCGCAAGCACCAGCAAGGCTCCCGCCATCGATCGTGGAGTACATCAACCTCTGGTTGATGTACAGCCATTTCGCATGAGCGACCTGCAACCCAAATACGCCCACACTATCAACCATGATGATGACAACCCAGATGCCCATGGCTGGTATGCCGGTTTAAGTGAGTCGTGTTAAATATAATACGCGTTGCAACTCTCCTCCTAACCATGCTTTTAGTCCACGGCCTCGGTGAATGTATTGGATTTTTCGGAGCCATCCCCTGCTGCATCTGCTGTCCTAACCCCTTTAAGCCTGTTGACCAGGGTGCAGTCGGTTTGATCTCACGATTTGGACGGTTAGTGACCCCCACCCCGACTATGCCCATCGAATATCACCCACTGACAATCATTATTCTAGCTTCGAGCGATCGGTCGATCCTGGTCTGGTTAAGATCAACCCGCTCAGCGAACACATCACCACAGTCGATGTCAAGATTCAAATCGTCGAGGTGCCCCGTCAGATCTGTATGACTAAGGACAATGTTACCCTCAACCTGACCTCCGTCATCTACTACCAAGTGGTCTCTCCCCACAAGACCGCCTTCGGTATCTCGAACGTGAGACAAGCACTGATCGAGCGCACCCAGACCACACTTCGCCACGTGATCGGTGCGCGGGTGTTGCAAGACGTGATCGAGCGTCGCGAGGAGATCGCCCAGTCGACCTCGGAGATCATCGAGGAGGTGGCAGCCGGGTGGGGAGTGAAGGTCGAGTCGATGCTGATCAAGGACATAATCTTCAGCGAAGATCTGCAAGACTCGCTCTCGATGGCGGCGCAGTCAAAGCGTATCGGTGAAAGCAAGGTCATTGCCGCGCGCGCCGAGGTCGAGTCCGCCAAGTTGATGCGCCAGGCTGCCGATATCCTGTCCTCCGCTCCGGCTATGCAGATCCGCTACCTTGAAGCGATGCAAGCCATGGCCAAGACCGCCGGTAGCAAAGTTATCTTTATGCCAGGAGTTGGTCAGGGCGTGAATACGCCGCTTAATATCGCAGAAAACTTTGGCGAGGGCCCTAGCAAGTACGGCGCTACCTCTCAGGGTGATACTGGACTCCAGCAGGCAGTAAATGCCCGCGTTGTCGAAGACATCTAGATGTGATCTCGATGCTTTGCCTGCGTTGTCTTTCCCCCTTATTTAATTGGTTTGCTCGCAAGATATGACCCTGCGCTGTTGTGATTTACCTTGCCTTTTCCGGAAAGTGGATACTTTGAGGCTGTTTGCCAACAGCTCATTCGTTCGCGCTCCGGGGATTTTATTGTTTCTGTATTATGGTTGGACGTGGATCCATGACGATACCCACCTTCGTTTGCTATTATCACAGCTGTTTTAATGTCTCTATGACTACATACATACTATGTACCTCTATGCAATGTATTTTCTCGCTTTCCTATCTTGGATGCCGCTTTTATGAGGACGCTCAGAGTCAGACTCACTGTGTAAATCTCAGTCCGAGCTCAAGCTTAGTAATGGGATTCTATAAGGATCACATGGTTATTATTGGATAGTCTAGATATTGTAGGATATGCCCCAAGTATATAACGTCCACCCGACGTGATCCACTACCGTATACTTTATCCACCTTCAAGCTTTAAATTTATGTATCACGGGACCACAAGAAAATCGAACAGTCGCTAAACTTTTTTTCGCCATATCAATAGCTGCCTAGCTGCATTATCCCAGTGGGAATATTTCCCTCAAAGTCCCATGATTACTTTGATGGAATCAATTTGATGGAATCAAAGGAGCTTCCAGAGGAATGCCTTCATCGAGATCCGAGAAAAACATTTAGTCCCTAAGAGCAAATAAGGGCCCCCATAAACGTTGTATATCTTGGCCGATCCACGGGAGGAGATCGATAAACCCCTGACGTTTCAATAGGAAAAGATCGATAACTATTAATTAATCTTTATAGTCCATCGAGTAATTTTATTGACCATGTATGTATTTATTGTATTTATGTTATAAGGTCAAGATACATGTCTCTAACTAATACACTACGAACAAGGAATTTCAGGCCATATCCAATTATGGCGAAAGTAGCCACTGGTCCGCCAATAATTCTCTAGCAGAACTTCTTTCCTCTGGCCGCCACTGAAGCATTTTGCGCATGAAGGCAAGAAAGAGTTGTTGCTGTTCACCTTCTAAAATTTCCTCCCGCTGCTCCAAAGTGGCTGATGGAATAGGAGCCGCTCCCTTCCAACTGCCTTGAATAGCTGTATTAGTGACGGGACGTGCAGAGTGTTGGATATAGCATACCCTCTGAATCAAAGAATTCTGTAGCATAGTCGTTGGTCTGTAACAATTCTCGGGGTGGCGGTCCAAGAACCGCAATTATCTCAGCAATATGATGAGCGCTCGAATCTTCCTTGTTTGAATCTTTGGCATAGAATAGTTGCTCCTGTTGGAAAATATTCCATGTCTGAATGATTTAGTTGCATAGTCGAAAAACGGATTCGAGGAGCCCCCTTACGAGAACCGCGAGATTCCAAATATCAACCTTTTCATCCCAAGTCGTGCGCAGCAAAATTTCTGGAGCTCGGTATGTGTAAGGTTGAATGTCACCACAGTAATGGGCAGAACCAAAACGAGCCTGACCAAAGTCACATAAGACAGGTCGGCCATAGCTGTCTGTTGTCTTGAGTTCGCGAGATGCATAAATCACCCTATCTCCAACGACTTTCCGTGGACTAGGGTTGGACTTCTCTCCTTCCTCAAACTCAGCCAACAGTGACTCATCCTCAATACCGAGCATGATATTCTTTTCCTGTATGTCTACCAGCCTGTTAGGAAAGATAAATCAGTCGCGAAAGATACGTAGGTGCTATCATACCGGTATGAACGATACCAGCCTCTGTATGGAGGTAGTCAAGAGCGAGAAGAAGATGCATCAAAACCAATTTCACTGCTTTTTCGGGTAGTATGTTATCTGTGAATCGATGTCTGAGGTCATATAGCCTTATGCCGAGAGGCCGGTGCACGATAACCTGATGACTTCCTTTGGCACCGTCGATTTGAAAGTTACCAAGCGCTGTGCGAACAAGCATGGCGCCAGCATGGGAGGTTTTAACCGCATTGATACGATCGTAGTTTGCTTTTTCTCTTTTGCCTTCAGCTGAGTCTCGTCCGAACACTTTCAATGTGAGATATGTGTGATGTCTAAATTTTGATTAATTTTTGCACCGATTGTGCCGTAGCATCGGGAAAAAAAAACATACGTGAGATCTTTGCAAAGCCATACCGTTGAGTATCCCCCAAACCCTAGTTTTCCGATGACTTGGTACCTAGATTGGAAGACTTCACCAATATTGACAGAGTATGTGTCTTCTGCCTTGTATCCTGGATGCGTTTCTTCCTCAAATTTTATATCTGAATCAAGCAATTGGATATTCGATTCAGTGAATTGTCGCACGGGCGAAGGAGGTCGCTGGAAGAAAGGACGCTTGAAGAAAGAACGCTCGAAAACCCGGCTTGTCAAGCCTCCTAGACGAAACATTTTTGATGTTTAAAGCTGAAATGTTAAACTCAAGCCAGGGGGGAAGCGCCCCTTCAAAGAAAAGAAACGACGTTTTATGGAGTTCAGGGAACCCCAGATTTACTCAGTGAGTAAAAAGCGGCAAGAGGTGAGTACTAAAACGGAAAGGGAAAGCTAAGAAGTGGCAGAGGAAATCCACCATATAGGTACCAAAGTACGGAGTACTCCGTACTTATTACCAAGTTAGTATGAAATAATGCTATGCAATCTTTCGCTCTATATTTCTGCTTTTCTATCTATCGAATGTCCAATACTCAATGCGATACCCGTAAACCGTGCTTCGTACTTCGTACAAAAAGCGACTCATCATTTGACTGTGGATGTGGAGACGTTCCACCACTTAAAAATGACCTGTGACAGAATATGAAGACAGAAGAGTCGGTGCGGTCTGAAACGACTCGAAATTAGTCAAATCCACTTGAGAAGCCTAATAATATTCTCATAATTTTTTTTTCCCTTTTCAAACAAAAACCCCCATTGAAAGCTGTATAGATTTCCACGTGATGTATACCTTACTATGTATTCTGTACTCTAACTAAGCTGTACATCTCCTGACTAATTTTGTGAGATATCCTTAATTTGTGCAGATAGTAAGTTTCAGCTGTGGCTAAGACATGGTCTGTATTAGATTAAGCAAAACACGTGCTGTGAAGATACTAGCACATTAGTGGACATTGCTAGTTATGTTGATCTTGAGTCTTTTCCGTGGGGGATTTTCCATGTTCTATTCTGAATAATCAGGGAAATTATTGATGATCGTGATGATGTTATATTCTGGCGATTTATGCTCAATCAAAAAAAATAAAAATAGAGAAATCAATGCTAATTTTGGCCAGGGTTTGGGGCAGTGTTAGATCTTGAGCGAGAAGCCAGCTCTAGAGAAGACAAGTTATAGAATCAGCGCCAGAATTCTGTGCCGAGATGAGCTAAGATCAGTTTGGAATTTGCAAATCTATGAATCCGCACTACAGAGTATACACAACGATAAAAGAAAGCCTCTTTTGAATTGGGGGCTAAATGCTGATCTCGCTTTTCTGACTGCTATACTTCGTAACCATACCCCCTTCTGCAAGACCCTGTAGAGCTACATACCTAGCAGATACAGCTTCAAAATGACGTATACTATACTGGAATTGGCCGCAAGTTCGATCCAATCGATGGAGACAACCACAATGCCCATGTCAAGTATCTTCACTGCCCCTGCCTCATGCGTGAGCTCGTGGACATACGAACCACAGGCTGCAAACAATGTCTTCAATGGTCTCCTAATGCAAAATGTCGCCACAAACGACAATGCCGATCCTGCGTGTTTCCCGGAGGGATACATTCAGTATGGAAGAGTTCGGCCAACTGTCGCCTACAGTCCAGGTTATTGTCCAAGTGGATACACCTCAGCCGATTTAAAGATTTGCAGTCCGACAACTACTGCTATGTGCTTTCCCTCGTAAGTGGGAAAAAAGGCTTTTGGTTACCGGCTGGTATATTGACTTTGAGGCTCTAGTGACTTCTCCTACTATGAGGAAAAGGGACTCGCAAACGACATTCGCCGGATGTATAAGCAACTTCCCTAGTTCCTCATCTACCATTGTCACAGCTCGCCAGGTTGAGAAAGAGAGCACACAAGTCGTTGGCCCGATCACGATGTGGGGACAAGCAATCCAAATCCAGCTACAAGATTCAGACAGCAGCCTATTTGTCTCCACCACTACAACTACGACTGAAACACCATTATCTGATAAACCTTCCGACACGGCAACCGCATCAGTATCAGCATCTTCATCCCCACAGACAAGTCCAATAACCTCAGCTGTCCTAGATATCCCACAACCAGCAGACCCAAGTCCCGCAGCTCCAAATCCTGGAGCGCCAGACACAGGCACAGACACAAGCGGCCTGTCGACAGGAGCAAAAATTGGCGTTGGCGTCGGTGCCGGCGCAGCAGGGCTCATTGTACTCCGTACTCGTTGCGCTATTATTCTGGTTCTTCCGTCGGCGCTAGACAAAAGGGCAGGAGGTTCTAACAGATACAACATCCTCATACGAAGGGAGCCACCCCGAAATCAGCGAGCTTGGCGGAAGTTCTCAGGCCGATCCCAACACATTATACCAACACTCGGTAAACGGAACATTAAGTGAGCTTGATGGGAGCTCGCAGGTTGGAATGTCTACCATTGTGGCGGACACACGCACGACGGGTCCTACCGAACTACACGCAGCAAATCCCGGCCCGAAGTTCGTACATGAACTTAGCGCTTAGTTTTTGTTTTGTTTTCTTTGTGTTACAAAATCATAATTATACCCCCTTCCTCGCTTGGCTTCTGGGGGCGAGTCTTTGGAATCGAGGCTTAAATGCGGTTTTCTTGCAAATAGACGCATGCTATCTCCATTGGAGGATTTGAACATTGAGATCAATAAACGGAAATATGAAGTCTCAACTTGGGCTTGTCTTGACTTCTACCATCATACATGGTCTCCCCCGTATTATGTATGTCCCTTGTTTGGGCTATACACGGCCTCCATCGGGTGTAACTATAACTCAACCGCCGGTGTAACACATCGCAGTCACCCTTTCCAGCTTTTACCCTTTGCTTATTTTCCATAGTCTTTGGCTTTGACTTCTTTTACCTCTGGAACTCCATCTCCCCAATTCCACCTCCCCAGGAGTACGTACATTGATATCCATGATGTTATTGACTACTAGCAAAAAACAATGAAGCCAATCCACCAGCGATATGCTTTCTTTTTCATTCTCATCCCAATCCTCGGCATCACTTTTGCCCCGCTGGCAACCTCGATCTGCTACAGACCCGATGGAATAGGCGCGGTAAATCCTATATATCAACCATGCAATTTCATCAAAGATACAATAAGCATGTGCTGCGCCACTAATAGGTCAAATCCAGCGGGTGGAAATAGTCTCAACGGACCTACAGCGGATGAATGTCTCCCCAACGGACTGTGTATGAATATAGAGACGCACAACAACAGCGCCGGGATCTGGTCCACGAATGTTACATATTGGGTCAATCAGTGTACGAGTCCCGACTGGAAGAATAATGGATGTTTGGATTTGACCCTGTGTCCCGCGCATTTGTCGGTAAGTGTTTTTATTTCAAGCGGAGTTCCATCTTGGAGGGATCTGGAAACGTTTTATGAATTCTGATTGAAGACTTCGGCTGTATGGTGAGCTGACAATTAGGATTTCCCAGGACTTATCAAATCAACCGGACTTTAGTATCAGGATGATCTCTTGTGATGGCACTTCGAACTCGACTACTTGGTGTTGCGGGGATAATTCTAGCTGCTGCAATACTCAGTATGCATTTACGATAGCCCAGAAGCTAGGCGAACACACTTCGACCTCAACTTCGCTTTTTATTTCAAGCTCAACATCTTCAATGTCATCCTTATCCTCATCGTTTCAACTTTCAGGCGGTGTCGTCGCCGGGATCGCTGTCGGCAGCGTTCTTGGGGCCATTGCATTCCTGGCCATTGTTTCTTTTTATTTTGTGAGACGGAAAAAGAAAAAACTGCGGAGAAAGAATGAAGCAGAGGTATTGGCGATAAGACTTGGCCGGTTTTCTCGTCCTCGAGAGCTTGAGAATCACATTCAGAGTGTTGCACATGAGAAGGCAACTAGCGCCCGGGATATTAGGGCTGAGCTAGCAAGTGATATAAGGAGTGAGCTACCAAGTGAGCCAATGGGACGAAGAGTGGATTGAAATAGTTAAAATAGTGAACAAAGAAGTAAAAACGGTAGAAGTAACTACTCTTCTCTTTTGTTGACATTGTATAGATCGCAGACCAAAAGCAGCCAGGAACTATGCCCAAATAGTATGACACCATACCTAATCAGGAAAACAGAGAAGGCGGTGGGGCATGGAGATATCGATCCCCGCGGAGGCCAGCTCTCTCTTCAAGCGTGAATTGACCTCGGGACAAATTCTCAAGCTTCTCAATTTGGCCTCCACACAAATGGCATCACAAACATATAGCTCGTCAAATCGAGCCGGCGTCAAACCATCAAACCAACCCGCTGCATCCCCAAACTTTGCCGACCCGAGCTTCGACCCAGCCGACTTCCTTAATGACACTCTATCGCCGCTGACTGTGGCATCATTACAACCTAATGCCTCTCGCTCACCGGGATCTGTCCCTCTGGCAGAGCTGTCCACGCAGGTCCAGTCCCTCCTCTCCCAAATCAGCGCTCAAAACATCCGTCTCGAGAGCACATTATCCCAACTTACCGACGAAATCCTCCGAAGCGGTGGACGATTAGCGTATGAAGTTGAGGTCCTACGAGGCGAGACAATTGGGCTATCCGAAACCCTAACCGAAGTCCTACGCGACGACATAGCAAAGTTCGTTCCGGATCCCTCACCAGAAGACGGGCGCAGGACCGAACAAGCAGAAGAGGATGCACCCAATGAAGGCGAGTCGGCAAAAACCCCAGACGACAAGAAATCACCCGTCGTCCGGACAGACCCAGAATATATAACAAACCTACGCACATTGAATCAAGTGCGATCGCGCTTAGAAGACGTTGTACAGACATTCGGCGACGCAATGGGCTGGCCGCTGCCCCCGTCCGAGATCTCATTCTCATCATCCTTCATTTCCGTCTCAGGACCAGACCTCGGTCCCGAAGGTCAAGACCGCGAAGAAAAGGGCCAAGAAATGATGAAGAAGCTACGCACAGAAGTGACCGAGTTACTCAACAGTGAGGGCGGAGGATACGCTGGACTGGAGGCTGCCAACCGCCGCGTCGAAGCTCTACGGAGGCTGGCTACTGTGTGGAATACATCTGCCGAGGAAAAAGCCCGTAATCGGTTCGTGGATAGCCTGGCGAATATTGTGGAGGATCGACGACGCAGCTTGGACCAGCAGCAAGGGGATCAGAACCAGCGAGGACAGTCTAAGTCCAGGTCTGAGGCTCGGCGGGATAGTGACAGTGGGGCACCGGCCGGTGGACTGTTCCGGAATTTGCAGCGTCTGAGAGAGGAAATTTACTTGGAATGAGGCAATGGAATGTACATATGGTTCTGTGATGTCTGTTGAGCTGGTTCTCTACATAGAGACTTCAATGTTGGACCTACTTGTATAGTATGGAAATATCTTTTACAACCATTCGGAGAGCAACTTATCTCATACTTAATGCAAGCTAGAACCCCCCAGTTGGGCTTTTCCAATTCCAAATAATCGAAAGAATTGCCACTATTCCTTTGCCATATTTTCTTGTAGAACATAGTGAGGTAAGACCATTTTATCATATTGATAACTAGTTCTGTGTTCTTTATAATGACGCAAAACACTGTAAGAAGATGCCAGATGCCATTGTAAAGTCATATACTCCCCGTAAATATTAATGGTCATGATATCAATCAATTGTAAGTAATAGAGTTGAGACATGTATGAAGCATACTATATAGATGTAACGTCCACGTCCACGGGGGGTTGACGGCACCGGAAACGTTGCGCCGATCCCACTCTCTCTTCTAAGCCATTGCGTATTTCCCGTTTAGTTCCTCTCGGTTCCTGGCAACTTACATCTTACAATGTCCCATATTGCTTTACGAAGTATTTGATTCGACTCTATTTTTGCATGATGGCGTCGGAGGACGTGCCACTACATTTTCAAGATGCCAAGTCGACTCCCGCGCTGTGGCATGTCTTCCACCGTCGGTCACGGACAAACCGTATTAAGACGATTGGCTTGTCAGTGATTGCATTCTTCTTTCTCTTTTTTATACTACAGTCTTCTTCAACAGTAAGGCTTCCTACTCCAGCGCTTAAGATAAAGAAGCTAACAATCTGCCTAGGGAGTTGAACCGGACTTTTGGGCCAAGTTTCCCTCGCGCCATCCTTTCCCCCAGCGCCCAGAAGACGCCCAGGTCCTCCTCCCTCCTCGCACCGATATTAATCTCAATGATACCCTCCCCCACGATTTAGACAAGCCCAACCCGCGCCTGCATGTTTTAGTCCCAGCCTCACAGGGCTCGCGCGGAGTCTGCCGAACGCTCACGTCAGCTATGATCCTTGGATACCCGCCGCCGACATTAATTGGGTACGGGCATGATTCTCCAGGAGCGACCGAGGCCGAGCACATGGTGGACCGGATCACGCGGGCGCGGAACTACCTCCGAGACAGCAAGACTGTGCACGACCGCGACTTTGTGCTGATGGTGGATGGCGCAGACAGCTTCTTCCAATTGCCGCCCAAGGTCCTAGTGCAACGGTTCCAGGCTATCATAAGGGCGAATAACCGAAAACTGCAGAAGAAGTATGGGTTTGCAGAAGTGGAGGGCCAGAAGGATGGGGCTGCGCCTGAGATGGTACAGAAATACACCCAGCGCGTTCTTTTTGGTGCGAGTAAGATGTGCTCCCCTGGGTTGCTGGACGACCCCGGTTGTACATCTATCCCCGAATCATCTCTACCCCCGGATGTATATGGCTGGAAGACCGATGTCTACCCGGATGGATCTCTGAACCGACCTCGGTGGTTGAACCCCGGAGCGGTCATTGGCCAGGCGGCGGATCTGCGTCTGATCTACGATGAAGTTCTGCGGCAAGTTGAGTTGCGCTCAAACAAGTCTGGAGATTACCATGCCCTGACACAGATGTATGGGCGACAAGAGGTGATCAGAGAACTGGAGCGGCGGCGAACAGCCAATGACTTTAAAGAGTTATTCTACCGGATGCTGGGCATCTCAGATGCAGCAAACATAACCGGAATTTCACTCCGGCTAGAAACAAATCACCGCTACGAGTACGGTATTGGCGTTGACTTCGAGTCACAGCTCTTCTTCAACCAGATACTGTCCCGAAAGGACGTTGAATGGGTCAAGTTCGGCAACGTCACCAAAATGTCCGCATTGCAGATGCACCACGGCGTCCCGCGCGAACACCGCCTTCTCCTACCACAGGACATCGCAGCTCTCCCCAACCCATTCATCCAGTCCCGATTCGCAAAAGAATCAACCCAGCGGCCAGTGTGGAATGCCACGCTGGACAAGCTCCCGAACCCACATGAGCGCACCTGGCACAACATTTCGCTAATGACGAATGCGCACTCCGCCTCAGTGCCGGTAATCGCCCATCTGAACGGCGATCCTAAGCTCCGCAACACTTGGTGGGAGAACATGTGGTTTTTCCCATGGGGACGCGCCCTACTACGCAAATATGTCCGCGATGCACATGGGTTTGATGCGGCACAGTCGTCGCTACTAGGCGGGCAGGACTGGCTGGAGGTGCGCGGAGGTCGAGGTGGGATCTGGACTGGTGACGAGAACTGGATCACTTTTTCGGAGGTCTGTAATGGTCAAGAAAGAGATCTCTTTGACGATGACCTCGGACCCTGGGATAAAGAAATTTACAACCCAGATGATCCGGTTTACAACCAATATGGAAGTCTCATTGCTGGAAAGGAAGAGAAAACCGTCAGCAATGAAGAGAAATTTGACTAAAGCTGGACTTTGAGTTATTATGCTTCTCCCATTACATTGGGCCGATGGCTGTCGGATTTTCGAGGCTTCCTGTCCAGCTCATTCCCCCACCATACCACCACCTCTGTGCTATATACCCGCGTCGAGTTCCAAGCTTATCAAGTTCTGAAGGTTGGATTTTTTTTTCTTTTTTTGCTTTTTCCTCTTCTTTCCTTTTTGCATGACCGGCCTGGTTAACGCGGCATTCATCATTTTTATGTCGAAGCTGGAGATTCTTTCGACTGTTAGCAGCAATAGCTGTACATTATCGGGACTAGCTTTTTATGAATGCAACAAGCTGCCGCAGTCTGTTGTATGATACCACAATAGATGGAACCTTGAAAGGAGCCGGCTCTTTTGTGAGGCTGACGTATATAGAAACCAACAGAAGGAACAAGTTGGACGTAATCATTCTTCTGCCCTTTCTCTCTCCGTTTCACCTTGAATAAATGCACACGGCTCCTCTCCTAGCACATCGTCCATTGTGTGGCGCACTCTATAAATGCATACTCCACACTCTTGCTTAACTTCGAAACCCACTTAGCGTCAGTTTCTCAATCTCAAGGCATCTTGTATCTCTGCTAGGATTAGCCGCTAAAAGCCATTGCATTAGTATGAACTGGCCATACAATAGCTTTCAGTCATACATACTTTTTTATCAATTCTAACTAATCGGGGTTTACTCGGCATAGGGAAGTACGCATTTACTCCCCCACTGTAGGAATGCTTTTGCCTTACATCATATTTCGGACTTGGAGCAATGAAAGAACTCCCATTGGATCCACAATCCTGCATTATGCTGCACTGCCTTCGGGTATTCTTCGGGACCTGGGGTAGGTTCGAATGCAATTACCCGAGGTCTGCCCGGGGACAGGTTGAAGATCGACAACCTTGCATTAAGTATACTACAAAGTAAACCAGTAGCATAGATGATCTGACGATAGTGGAATCTATGGAAGAGAGGAATGCCTGTTTTGTTGATCTATGTTACCTAGGCTCCTGACGATCTCTCTCGGACTATGAGTGCCAACTCTACTCCATCTACCATAACTGCACTGATATTACCCTTGTAACTACGACGGACTCCGTCTTCTGTCTGGGCAAGTCGCGGATTCCGTTAATACATGTAGTCCTCAGTGGGTCTAAAAATCTCTCATTCATCATGAAAATCAATACCAGAAGAGGTAGGTGACTGGGCGTTTCTGAACAAGAAATGATGCAGAGAATGTACCAAGTTTATCATATAAGAATAGCCAACCCCTTACAAACTTGCGTTATCATCATCTCCCAGTTTCTATTAATCATTGGAATCAAAATGGTCTTCAAACTCATTGCACTTGCATTCCTATTCGGCCTCACAGCCGCCTGGTTGCCCGAGACCGACAAACAACTCTCTTCATCCGATGGTAAAAACCTATTTTCCACCTCCAACGGCAAGATCCGTGGAGTGAATATGGGCAATCACTTTGTGTTCGAACCTTGGATTGCAGAAGACGTCTGGTCCGATATGGGCTGCAAAGGCCAAGAGTCCGAGTTCGACTGCGTCTCAAGTATCGGCCAGGATGCAGCCAACAGCGCCTTTCAAAAGCACTGGGAATCGTGGATCTCTAAAGCGGACATTCATGAGATACAGAGTTATGGTCTCAATACTATCCGGATACCTGTTGGGTACTGGATGAAGGAAGATCTTGTCTACGCCAGCGAGCATTTCCCGCAGGGTGGGTTTGATTATCTTGAAAGGCTCTGCGGATGGGCTAGCGATGCCGGTTTGTACATTATTATTGATTTCCATGGGCTTCCGGGAGCGCAGACACCCGAGAATGCTTTTACTGGTCAATATGTTTCAAACGCCAGCTTTTATCAGGATTACCAGTACGACCGGGCAGTGGAGTTCCTTGGATGGATGACTACGAAAATACATCAGAGCAAGAAGTTCCGCAATGTGGGAATGCTTGAACTCGTCAATGAGCCAGTCCAGGAAACAGGTAAGGCCAATTCAATGCGGTCGAAATACTACCCGGATGCATTTAAGGTGAGTTCCTATTGCTTTGAACTTACTTCTGAGCATGTATGCTAAAAATTTTCATATAGACAATCCGCGCCATTGAAAAGAATCTAAACATCAAGAAAAGGGACTACCTCCATATACAAGTGATGAACGAAGCCTGGGGATCCGGCAATCCCAACGAATTCATCGACGACCTCTACTACACAGCCTACGATGGCCACATTTATCTCAAATGGGCCGGTATCGAGACCAAGGAAGCGTATCTCAACACATCGTGCAGCAACTTACTGGACAACCTGTCACCAACCATTGTGGGTGAATGGAGTCTGAGTGTCGCCGATGAAACTGGGTGGAATTCGGACTGGGATCCTGCATTGAACACTGACTTTTACAAGCGGTGGTTTGCAGCCCAGGTTACAACGTATGAGAAACGTTTAGGATGGGTATTTTGGACATGGAAGGCTCAGTTGGGGGATTATCGGTGGTCCTATAAAGGTTTTTCTTTACCTCCCCTTTAGATATTTTAAACAAGTGTGTGACTGACGTTTCTATATAGATGCGGTTTTCGCTGGTGTGATTCCAACTGATTTGAACTCGGTGTTTGATATGAGAGTCTGTGAACAGATCTAGGATTCAGCCCTCGTCTAGCCTAGGGTACGATCGATAGATCTATGGAATTTGCAGAGCTGCGAATGCAATGATTTTGATACATAAGTTTCATGCAATTTCTTACACATTATATTCCTCTGCGTTCTTCCTATAATTATTTTACATCTCTTGAAACAGCCAGGCATCTTCCCATATCGCTCCCTCTTGTTTATTTGCCGACTCCCGATTCAGAAAACCCTGCTTTGCCGCAGCAAGTCTCCTCACTACTTCATTGAAATCATGAGGAGACACTGCACCGTTCCAGCCAACATAAACACCTATTTCCTCAAGTACTTGTGTCTTCCTTTCGATATCCTTTTCCCACTTGGCATACTCTGCCTTGAACTTTGCCATATCTTGCTCTGAATACTTCAAAGGGCATAACACGCTGGGATTGCTGTTTTCATCCACTCCAACTACCTGCTTCCAGGTATATTCTTCAGTGATATCCGCAAGTAAGCTTTGTACGTACGGTTCTCCGTCATCGTATATAGACCCGACCGCTCCTAGTATTTGGCCAGGCAATGTCTCTCTGTGCCGGAATGTATGTAAAAGCTCTGGCACAGCTCTCTGCACCTCTATTTCATAGGGCAGATAGGTGTACCTTGCCAATCTATAACGCCCGTGATCTGAGATGGATTTTCGATGTCGACGAATATATTATATATGTGAAGGTCGTTGTGCCAAAGCACACCGGTAGAGAGCTTCTCGTTTCTGGGGAGAATATAAGGACAGATTTTGAGGAAATTTTGTAGAACCGATAGTTTGGCTTCCTTGGTTGGATGATAACCGCCAGACCCGCCGAAGATACCTTGCTGAGTGTCTCCGGAGAAATCTGAGAATTTCTCTAGACATGCTGTTTCTCGCTGAACCAGTGCCTTTATCACATTTTCTGCCGAGGTCCCTAGGGAAAGGTTATTAAATTGGGTAGCTATATCAAGGTAAGGAAGACACATACAGACACATACAAGGACCTCGAGGAACTTCGACCTCTGCTCTCCTATTGTCAAACCATGCTCGCCCATTTGTAGGCCCAATAGCAAACTCATCATCGAGAACAAAGCTCTTAGATCGGGTAACATCTTGTCTCCTGAAGTGCGCCGTAATATGGGAACTGAGATCGAGCGAGTTGAGACCACCCGTGAACTTCTAGAAGTATCTTAAAAATCATAATGAAAATATCCTTATTTTGCTTGTGGCATTTGAAGAAGAATAAAACTGGTCATTTTTAGAGAGACCGAGAATCGAATAGTCATCCTTATCCCTAGCTTGTTAGATTTCTCACAGATTGCATGCCACTTCAGATGCCGGGGTGCAATTGGATTTGGAAGTTTGACGACCAAGTGTTTCATTTCGCATTGCGACAACACTTGGAATTTCCTTCTCTCAGTCGAGAAGCACCTTTAATCTCTCTCCCTCCTCTCTCCTGTCTCTCTTCTCCCTTACTCTCATTTCTCTTTCCTCTTGAAACAACGCCCAACATGGTGTCTACTACGACACAAGAGGTACTTATGTACCCTAAGCTTGCTGTCGAAGCCCTCCCACTCTCCGCCGTTGAACGCATCTTCCATCTTGCCAGAATAGAGGACACGGACTGGGAGGATACAGACTGGGCGCTACTTCGGGCTCCGCTTGAGATTGCAGACCACTGTAGTAAGCCTAACTTGGAAAGACATCTACCAAGATAGCTAATTATGTCTAGCCACCATTCTGAAAATGGTCGAAGCTGCAATTTCCAGGTCAGATGGAAGACCTGATATTGCTGTGCGGCTTCGCCTAGGTATTCTTCTTACTACTATCTATGCCACGCCTCCCAACCCACACTCTCCTAACTTAACTCCAATCCCCATGTCATCAAAATCTCCATTTTTATTCGGACCTGTTGTATACAAGGAGAAAACGCACCATCTACAAGGGTCCCCTGATTGGTTTCTTTGGTACGGTCCGTATGCAGAGAAAGAAAAGGAAAATGTGGCCATCAACTCAGTCATCGTCGAAACAGAACATGGCCGATCTACCGACGGCGTACCTCAAGCTCTTGCTTATATGGGTAAATAACTTTTCATCAAGTTTCCCGTCATAACTGACCATTTAACTAGGCATGATTCATACACAGCGCCGGGCTGAGGGTAAGGTTGACTCTTCAGTTTTCGGTCTCTCTACCGACAATGACCAGTTTCATTTTCTTACAATCGATGACAAAAGTGAAGTGAGGAGACCTGTGTTACCTATGATTCCTAAGATAGATGCCCATGCTTACGTTTTATCAGTGGTCTCAACTAGACCTGAACTATGTTCACCATTTTCAGGAAATTGTGGAAAGACTTGCCTACTTCCATAAGCACGCCTCGACCCTATCCGCTTCCGATCACAGTGATGAGCCACAAAGAGCCCAATCGGTATTCCACGCGGAAAATCGCGGAATCTATGCGGTGCTGGTCGCTTTTTCAAGCAATAAATAGATGTAAACTGGAGAATATGGCAAGCAGGATATACATGACAGCTCTGGTGGTCTTGCTGCTTTTTTTTTTTTTTTTTGAAACATCCATTAGCTCGAGATACAAAATCTTAAATTCCAACGGCTTATTGAGGCCTGATACTATACTCCGCATACTCCGTAGAGAATGTGGGTAGTACTCGTACTAAAGTGATATGAATTTGCTTTTTGAACGCAAATTTCTACCTTGCACATACTAAGAATAAACAGGTTGATATTTTCAAAGGCTAAGGAAACACTAGAGTAATCTTGTAAATGAGTACTTAAAAGGAGTCAGAGCAGAACGCGGAGTAGATATAAGAACATTATGAAACAAGGATATACGAATAACTGCACGGAGTATGGAGTACATATGCAGTTAAGAATTCATATAAGTTCATTTGAGTTACAATTGGAATATTAAATACATTTAGAACAGAGAACTCGAACTGTTTCCTTCTGGGGGGTTTTCGTTTAGTAGAATGTTGGCAAGACAAGCGGGTAAGATTTACTATAGAGGAAGCATAAAGGGGCCCACAAAGTACATATGTAGTCTCTGGGATAGATACAGAAAGGATGAAAAGCTAGAATAGCAGATCAAATGCCCAATAGTTTCACTTTCTGATACATCCAAGTCCAGGGAACAAATTAGGCATTGAAAGTATAGGCTTAGAGATACAAGTGTTCTAAAGCTAATGAAAAGAGTCAAAACAGAACGGATATATGAACATTATGAAACAAAAACATAGTGGCTAGCCCTTAGCATAAATTGAATACATAGTACTCCGTACGGAGTAAGCGATGAAGAATTCGTACAGGTTCATCGCAAGGTATTAGGTACATCAATAAAGAAAGAGAGAACACGCCTCTTTCTTTTTCTTTTTCTTTTTTCTTTTTGAAGTACTCCAGAGATTTCCCCGGCCCCAGCCTATATCCATCCAAAGCGGGCCAAGGAAGCCCCGGAGTATCTCAATTTTTTGGGATTTCTTTTCTTTTGTGTTCAAGAATCTCCACGTCGAGCGGCAAGTTTTCGAATGAAGACCTGATGGAATTTATCACATCGTTTCTCGACGGACATGCCGAAGGAGGCGTTGGACAGCCGCATCATCGTCTCTAGATCCCGGTGGCCCCAGTTGAAACGGTCCACCCATGGTTCAGTCTCCGGCCAGATGATATTGTTTAAATCCCCAGTGGGACATGCCGTGGCCAAGGAGGTTTTGCGCATCTTTCTGCGGCGGATGTTATCTTCCTCCAGGGACTCATTGCAACTGCTGGAAAATCGGTGAGCGGCTCGGAGACGACTAGGAGTCTTCGGCTTGTACTGCTCGGCATTGTGACGGGCCTTGCGGAGTTCAGAATCTTCGATTTGTGCTGCCTGGTGGTTGAAGTTTTCTAAACGGGTATTTCCAGAGTGCACACGCTGGGATACATGCTCCTCTTCCGGTGCATTTGCCAGGTGGGTATTGTCAGAGCGTACACGCTTGGAGACATGCTCCTCTTCCGGTGCCTTTTCCAGGTGGGCAGTGTCAGAGCGCACACGCTTGGAGACATGCTCCTCTTCCGGTGCCTTTTCCAGGTGGGCAGTGTCAGAGCGCACACGCTTGGAGACATGCTCCTCTTCCAGTGCGTCGCTGACTGTAGCTTGTTTGGCCTTGGTATCTTGATACTCCTGCTCGGCTGTGAGCAAGTCGTCATCGTCCTCGTCTATGATGAAGTATTCTGGAGCAAATCCGAAACTACAATTAGGAGGGTGTGGAATGACGTCGGGTGACGGTGCTCGCTTGCGTTTCTTCGATTCATTCTCGTAGCGCGCACGAACTTGCTCTGGTGAAGTTACAGGTTGGAGATCCTGAGGATTCGCTTTCCTGGCACGCATGCGCGCGAGCAGTTCTGGATCAAATCCGGGTGGGTCCAAATCATAGGAGTATTTCTTTCTTTCGACTAGTGGAGCACGTGCGCTGGCTGTCAGACGCGGGTTTGAGACTTGCGACTCTGCAATGCGCGGGCGCGGAGTGGCTGCCAGACGGGAGTTTGGGGTTTGCGACCCTGCAAAACGTGGGCGCATAGTGGGAGATGTCAGGCGCGAGTTAGAGGGTTGCGACTCTGCAATGCGCAGGCGCGGAGTGGGAGGTTCATTTTCCATTGGATGTTGAGGTTCAGCCACTAGAATCATTATGTTAACCACTAGGAATGTATACCATAATATCAAGGGGAACCTACTTTGTGTGGCCTCTGCAGTTTGGGGCGCATTATCTCGTCGCCAGAGACCAGTCACTGAGTTGAATATCCATTGTCGCCAACCAGGTCGATTTTGATTTTGATTTGGCGGGAGTGCAGAAGGCAATGAAGATACCGGAACAATGTGGTCACCATGGGGCATGGTCTCTTCGTCTGCATGATAGGCCAGAGGCTTATCATTGCCAGATCTCGCATCTTCTCCCTGCTGAGCCAAAAGCTGGGGGAAACGGTAAATTGTGCGATCAATTCGTCCGTCCCTTTCCGCTTCGCGTCGCCGCGCGCGATCCGCATACGTCCTGCGAGAGCTGCCACGAGGACGGTTTTCGAAGCCGGGTGGGGTTTGGAGTGTTAACTTGTGACGTTTCGACGGCGAAGGATCGTCTTCGGGCAATCGGTTCCGTTTCCTAGAGGATGGTTCTTCCGTGCTGGTCAGCTCGGGTTCATCCGGGATATTAAAAGTAAGAGGACGTCTGTGGGGCCAGGCCTTCTGGGGAGGCGGTGGGGACCAGGGAAGTGACCAGGGGATTCGGGTAAGCTTGTTATAAACTCCAGGCGGCCAGGCATACGGCTTCAAGGGTGTCTGCGGGAGGGACGGAGTGGGATCCTTGTGGTCCGTTTGCAGGAGCTCGCTAGCACTTCCAAATCGAAAGACCGCCGTGATGTTTCGTCCTTTGAAGATGCGATGGGGGGCGGGGACCCTGGTGGGCTTTGGGTGCAACTTACGGGTATCAGGTTGCTCTACAGAGGGAATGAGCGTAACGGGGTCTTCCTGGGGTTCGGCGGCTTCAGTCTGCTTCTTGCCCTTTGGCGCAGCCTTCTAGAAGTATGAGTTAGTTATGAACAGTTGTGACGTCTGGTTTCTGAACTGACCTTCTTCCGGCCGGCTCTCTTGGCTGGCTTCCGCTTTGGAGCTTGCCTCTGTTCAGCAGACTGTGCCTCTAGTACAGTTTCTTGTGCAACTTCTGGCGCAGTCTCGGTCGCGGCCTCGGTCCCAGGCTGTGCGGATACACTTCGCGTCTGGCGGCGGCGGCGTGGAATGTAATCCGAGATTGGCGGAATAACGTGGTTCGACCGTAGTCTCATCTTGACGAAACGCGCAAGATCGAAGAGGATTGGGGGAGGGCGAGGCTAGTAGAAGGCGAAGGGGAGGAGTGGTGGGTAGTACAAGCAAAAAGTGATAGACTTTGTATTGAGATGCAATGGATCGGTCAGAGAGATCCAAAAGCTACCAGATACATAGATCCAAAACGAGGTAGGTTCGGTCACCAAGACTCTGACGATATATCCACAGGAATGGGGATAGTTATGTTGTTGGTGATGGGGAGGAGAAGAGAAGAAGAAAGAAAGAGAAGAGAAGGGGAAATATAAACAACACGGTTGGACGCGACAACCAAATGATTAAAAGGGAAGGAGCCGTTACCTAGTTTTTCGATCAAAACTATGTAACTTTTCAGAGGAAGGCGCGACCCGGCAGAATGTTTTGTCCCAGGGCGGTGTAATATGTTGAGGCATTATTGCTCTTGTTGTTCCTCTTGTTGTTCCTCTGGTTTTCCAATTATTGTCTCCATTCTCTCTGATATTATGCATTTCCATTTTTCAATATATTTGTAGTTAATTTCAGATTTTTGATGCACTATATACGGAGTAATCTTGTCTCTTCTCTTGTTCCGTCTTAGATTGGATCCAACTTCCCCATACTCCGTTCCCGGGTACGGAGTACATAGTCCACTCTTAAATATGTACATAACCCCAAAATAGCCCCGGCGCCTCCAGGACTAGTATTCTTTCGCTATTGTCTTTTGCTCATGGGCGATGTTAGCATAGTTGCTCCATAGCATCATCATAATCTATCGGTTAAAGCCTTTATACACTTAAAGTCTGTGTCCGTAACCTAATCGAGAGATTACCATCTCTAAACACCTAAAAAAACACTAATATTAGAGCAATCTGGGAAAATTACGAGATTCCAAAACTTGTGGTCCGATAGCTAGGTAGCTACTTCAATGTGAACGTAGAAAGAGATATAGGAAAAAGAAACAATGCTATTTGTACAGATGCTCTGCGGATGAAACATAAAAATAGAGACATAGACCAACAAGTACCCCTCGCTAGCTCCTAGATAGATGATACAAGGTAAGATGCTGATACTTTTTTTTTTCAAAGCCAGCCAATCACAAAAGAAGAGAATGGTGTAAAGATACAAAGACCTCTTATTAAAACAATGCCGCTCATATGGCAATCTCTCCCTTCCATGCAGCGTCAGACAATCCCAGTGTCTCCATCAAGTTCTGCCACCGAGGACCTCCACGTTCCTTCTTGCGGACATATTGCAGCAACTTCGCGCGCTTATGAACTAGCAGTTGCAAGTTACGCTTGTTGTGTTTGTCCTTGTTGGCAGTCTCGAGGTGTCGGGAGAGGTTCATGATTTTCACAGTCAGGATCGCGGCCTGTACCTCCGCGGAGCCGGTGTCGGGTCCAACGCGCGGTGCACGTTCCGGATGAACAGGGGCAGATTCATGGACCACCCCCGAAGGCTTTGATGGCAGCTTTGAGTCTGTGTAGTGTCGCCCGAATGTTTCAATGCACTTCGTAATGTTGAGGCGCACGCGATCCTTGGTGTTTCCATTGTTCAGATTCACAATCCGGTTGATTGCTTCTTGAGCATTCTTGTGTTCTTGGTTATGCAAATTCATTGCCTCCTTCTCAACCTGTGGATCGGCGGTGGTGCGATCGGGATTTTTGAGCGGTGCGGTCAAATCCTTGGAGAAGTTGAGGGCAGCATCCAGCTCATTCGACTTCAAGTAATAGTTGAGATCCCCAGCCAAAGATGATGGGATGTGTGGGTTTGTTTGGATTGCTGTCATCTCTAGGATAAAGGGTGTCGGTTGGCTCTTGACAGGGTCCCCGAGCGAGGATTCTCGTTCTTCCGTAAGGACTTGTTGGCGGGAGACATTCGCTGCCTTGCGCTGGCGTGCCTGAGCCATCAAGAATGGGTCATGCTTCCTCCGAACTTGAACCTTGCTAGACGCAGCTCTGATAGAAGTGTTGATCGAATTGGACAGCGGGCTAGATCCGTAGGTTGATCCTAAACGAGTTTTGGTTAGCACCCAGGTAATTGAACACTTGAAATCGCTGGTTTTTGACTAGCATACCAGTCAATGCCTTCAGGGAGGACTGGACTGAGATTCGCGGAGGCATGGTGGGCGTAATAGGCGAGTAGATGGCTCTATTGCAACAATCAACTTCGCTTTTCCATCGACCTTTCGTCGGGAAATCTTGCGGCCGGAGGTACAGGTACGCTAATCCTAATCAGGATATATGATGCCCCAGGCATTAACTATCACGTGAGCGACGAGCCAAGAACGATTATATAACCAATTCCCCCCTGGAGCCCTGGAGCCCTAGCCCTAGCGCACGCAAGCGAAATTCTCCCGAATCGTGAGAGTGCAACAATTTCGCGGCTTGGCTTTGATCTTTTTCCCTCCATCACCACGACAAGAGCCAGACGATTGATCTTCCAACTCATCAATCCATCAATCGCCCAACATGGCCCCTTCCCAGCTCCCCCCGGTTTTCAACCCTACCGCGCAGGACATTGAGATGCTCCTTGCCGCTCAGTGCCACCTTGGTTCCAAGAACCTTCAGGTGCACATGGAGCCTTACCTCTGGAAGCTCCGCGCCGATGGTGTCAACGTCCTGAACATTGGCAAGACCTGGTATGCGCGAAATCAAAACGACTTCTGACTGTGGTATGGTATCTAATATATGTGTTTCACTGCAATAGGGAGAAGATCGTCCTGGCCGCCCGTATCATCGCCGCCATTGACAACCCCGCCGATGTCTGTGTCATCTCCGCTCGTCCCTACGGCCAGCGTGCTGTCCTGAAGTTCGCCTCCCACACCGGTGCCACCGCCATTGCCGGTCGTTTCACCCCCGGTAACTTCACCAACTACATCACCCGCTCTTTCAAGGAGCCCCGTCTTATCATCGTGACCGATCCTCGCACTGATGCCCAGGCCATCAAGGAGGCCTCTTACGTCAACATCCCCGTCATTGCCCTTTGCGACACTGACTCCCCCACCGACTTCGTCGATGTTGCCATCCCCACCAACAACAAGGGTCGTCACGCCATCGGTCTCGTCTGGTGGATGCTCGCCCGTGAGGTCCTCCGTCTCCGCGGTACCCTCGCTACCCGCGAGACCGAGTGGGACACCGTTGTCGATCTCTACTTCTACCGCGACCCCGAGGCCGAGGAGAACAAGGAGATCGCTGATGAGGCCAAGGTCGCCGGTGCTGAGGAGATCGGTGCTGGTGCCGTTGAGTCCGGCTTCGCTGGTGAGAACTGGGATGCCTCCGCCCCCGGCGCTGGTAACCCCGGCACTGCCTTTGCTGCTGCCTCCGCTGCCACCGCTACTGCTGGTGCCACTAGCTGGGATGCCGAGGGTGCCGACTGGGCTGCCAGCTCCGCTCCCGCTACCACCGAGTGGGCTGAGGCTCAGCCCGCTGCCGGTGAGGCCAAGTGGTAAATTGCTTCGCGGTGACGAGGATAGTCGTTGAGAGGGGGAAGTTTGATCAAAAGTTTGGCGATCCGGGATGATTGTGACGAATTCCTGGGTCCCTCGAGGCACGGGAATCGAAGAAATGCTCTTGTTTTCTCTTATACACCATCTACTCCATTCACATCAATGGATTACAATCTCCCGCAAGTTCCCTTGACATGTCTATCCTAGTCTCTGTGTGCAATTCACAAAAAAACCAAAAGAAACTGAAAAACAGCAGAAGAAAACGAGCTTTCACCGGGATCCTTTCAATCTTTTGCCTCAGTGGTCTGATCTTACCAGCACTCTTTTTTTATTTCCATGTTTTTGCGCCGGGGAGGAATTGCCATGCCAATCATTGACTGGCGCTTATGAGGGAAAGAGATCCAGTTGCTTTTATTTACGAAGCTTCTGGGGGAAAGCCCTGTGCTGTCAATTCACAAGGTGGACTTAATCGTTACCTTGGTTTCTCCCTGTGTGTATTCTAGTAATCTGAAAAGGTTGTGCTTGGTATCATGTCCAGTAGGTTTTGTAGTGTATGACTTGGGCTGTAGACTGGATCGTGTCATCAATATTTAGGGCACAATGCCATCCCTATATGTACAGGTCAGAGTTCCCCTCGGTATATTATTCTGTCTCCATGACAGTTCGATCCATACATATGTATGCATATGTATGTATGCACTGCATGGTCTAATGACAGGTCCCTTCCCTAAACAACCAGGCTAGCATGTTTTAACAACGCGTCTTAAAGGCTCACACTCGGGGCATCTTCCACGTAATAAAATATAAAATATCATCCACAGAATATGGCAAGACTGCATGTACTTGAGTGAGACATGGAAACCAAGAATGACGCCCAGCGAATGGATATACCTCTTTCTCTTCTCAGATGTCTTGGATTCCCTCTATTAATTGATCGATCACTGAGCTGATTCATTTGGTTTATACATCTGGGTATGGGAAACAAGACCGAAAATTGACAACAAAACAATCAAAGGATAACACATGAGGTGCCCTCTGTCTGGCCACCTTTTTCAGTCGTCGCCATTGCCGCCAATCTAGCGAGATCTTCAAAGGTTTCTGCGAGCAGCTCGCCTGTGACGGCCGAACACTCGGCGTATCTATCGCAACGAAGTTCCTGCGCAATACGATAGCCCTATAAAACTCAGTTAGCCAGTTTGAGGCACGAACCTCCGGCTCATAGTCACTTACCTCTTGTGGATAGATGATCCCCTCACCCTCTCTCCGTAAGTCCCTTTTCAGGCCTAGCATCATCACTGGAAGGCGCTCACCATGACCGTGCTGGAAATAACGAGTAATGTCATTTCGCCACTAAGGAGTAGCATTGATTTTCAGCACGAATTGACAATTAGTCCGAATATTTATGTGACACTTACCTCTTTTAGTCCAGCAAGTGTGTCTCGACTGGAGATATCAAAGGTTATAACAACCACATCAGGCCGAAGACTTGTCCAATGCTGATTTGGGTTGGATGTGTCATAAAGCTTCAGAGTGAATGTCTTCTTTGAGAACCGGATATGGTAAATGAAAGGTTGATCACCATCTCGTAATAGTTCAAGAGTATTTTGGTCAGTATTAGAGGCCCCTGGTGGGGACGGTCCTCCATTCTTCAGTCGACTGAATCATGTTAGCATATCCCCATACAACTTTATATATATAGCTCTGGAGATCGCCGCAGCTCATACAACGACCAGGTACTCACGCTAAAAATGTTGATTTCCCACATCCTGCGTCCCCGAGTAGAAGCAAAGAGACTGATTCGTCACTGTCCGTGTGCGGATCTGCCTCAGCCATGCTGGAATGGCCGTTGATTCGATTTATGTCCGGTAAATTAGCAAGTAAAATTGCAGAGCCTTCTCTGCGTTATAGATACAGGATATTCTATATGAGTAATTTCATCACAATCTCATTTCAGAGAACAGTAGATGCGTGGTAGGCTAGGTGATGCATTGGGTGATAAGGTTCGATGCTTGGCGAATTCAACATGGTTGTCGATTTATATATATGTATAGTTGCAGTCCTAACCTCGTCTTATTTATACTTATTGAAATTTTATATTGCCTAGCTTTCTATATTAACGAGGTACTACAGCAAAATTGATCCTCTTTCCAGTTAAATCCTCCGAGTACAGTGCTATACACTAAATACAGAAGTTTACTGGAATAGAATGCATGTAATTAGAAAACCATATTTTTGGTACCAAAAATACGCCAAACAGTGCTCCGCGGAAGTTTTTCAATTTCTGATCCCCGCCGGTTGAACATCCACACCAATCTAGTTTGGCCTCGGTCATTTGACGTGGTATGTGGAAATTGCCCGCGAGACTATTTCCACTGAGTTGCAACCTACAGCAACCCCTCAGACAAACCCGACACTTGTGGCAATCTCACACTTCCACACCCCAGACCATGGCGGACACCAACATAAAAGACCGACCCGACTACTCGTCCTGGAGTAATCCTAGTCTGATCGCGCGCATCACAGAGTTAGAGCGCCAGCTATACTCTCAGACGACGGAGTTCAAAGCGCCGACGAAAGAGCCGTCGCAGATACCATACTCTTCTTCTGCGCCCATCTCTACCGACGTCCAGGAACCTGCAATCCCTCTCACCGAGTCTTTTAATACTTCCAGGAAGCGACCGCACTCTCCCCCAGACAGCGATACTACCCCGGTACCTGCGCCGACGCGGTTTGTCAAAGCCCCGAAACCCCCAAAACCCGATCGCGATTTTGACCCCTCCAAATACTCGACGCGGTTCATTGCACTCAAGTTCGCATATCTGGGACAGGCATACAATGGACTTGAACATACAAATGGCAATACCACGCCTCTGCCTACCGTTGAAGAGATTCTGTGGAAGGCATTGAAGCGTACACGGCTCATCTCCCCTGAGACCACCTCTGATCTTGAGCCAACCGAGAGAGGGGAGCGCATCCCCATGCATCCCTATCACCTCTACTGGGATGGATGCGATTACTCTAAAGCAGGTCGTACGGATAAGGGCGTGAGCGCTTTTGGTCAGGTTATTGGACTGCGGGTCCGCAGCCAACGGCCTATGCCTAAGTGCCCTGCTGAGGGCGAGGATGCGATGAATGTTGACTCAGGATCTACTGAAAAGGAGTGGGATGATGTAGCTGATGAGATGAGCTATATCAATATCCTAAACAGGGTGCTTCCGGAAGACATCAGGGTCCTGGCGTGGTGTCCTAACCCACCGCCTGGGTTTGATGCCCGCTTTTCCTGCCGGGAACGTCGGTATAAGTACTTCTTCACCAACCCGGCGTTCTCTCCGACTCCTGGATCCATTGGCTTCCAGAACCGCGCCCAGAACGGCAACGGACCACGTGCTGAATTCCGCGAGGGTTGGCTTGACATTGATGCTATGCGCGAGGCAGCTAAGTATTTCGAGGGTCAACATGATTTCCGGAACTTCTGCAAGTTGGACACCAACAAGCAGATTGATAATTTCGAACGCATTATCCATCACTCTAGTATCGAAGCCGTCAATCCCAAGGTCAGCCCGGTGGGCTATGTTAGCCAATCTGGATTTCAGGCTAAAGAGGGTTATGTGCCCGAACCGGATTTGACGACTCCTAGCACGGTTTCTCAAAGTATCCCTCAGGTTTACTCGTTTAACCTCCACGGTTCTGCCTTCTTGTGGCACCAGGTGCGACACATGGTTGCAATTCTGTTCCTAGTCGGACAGGGACTCGAGTCCCCATCCATCGTCCCTGAACTGTTGGACATTGCTAAGAACCCGCGAAAGCCGACCTATGCGATGGCTGATGATGCTCCCCTGGTCCTTTGGGACTGCATTTTCCCCGATATAAAGTCTGGCAGTCGCCTGGATTCCTTGAACTGGGTATATGCTGGCGATAATCCTGCAAACTGCAAGGGAAGCGCCAAGGGTGATAGCAAATTTGGGATGCGGGGCACCGTTGAACGAATGTGGACCGTCTGGAGAAAGCGCAAGATAGATGAGATTTTAGCGGGCGCTCTGCTAGACTTGACTGTCAGCCAGGGTAACCAGAACGTGGAAGACCTCGACGACCAATGGCTGAACGCAGGATTTTCCAAGAGATCAAACAGGGGTGCTAAGATCTGGTATGGTGGAAATGAGACCGTTGTTGGTGGGAGATATATCCATGTCGATGAAAAGTCCAAGATGGAGACCGTGGAAGTTCAAAATGCCAAAGGACTTATCGTAAAGCAGCGCAGACTAGCAAAGGGCGAGGCTGCAAGGGCGACACTGGAATGAACCTCCTTGTATATATTCACTGACAGAACCTCGAACCTCCGGGTTAGAGTAAGATAGGCTTTTGTATAAACACAAATTTCTCTATGCAAAGGTTCTGGGTATATCATGACTTCGCATCGTAAAGACACCGCCGAGAACCTCTCCAAACCTGCTCTAAAATCTCTCGCTTAGGTAACATATGCTAGTCACAAATCAGCTTTGGAGTACATACCGCTGGGAATATCACATACCGGGAAGACCACCAGGGCATCAGGCTCTCCTTCGACAATGACCGCCAAGTAGAAGCGGACTTCGAAGCCCTTGAAGGCTTCGTGAATCACAATGTCCTGGATTTGCGTGGTAGGAATAAACCTCGTTGAGGCGGTAGAAAGATATGTCGAGGACGATGTCGAAGTCTGGATTCCGAAGCCTCGAATAACTAAGAGTGATTCCTCTGTCGAACAATCAGCCATGCACCGAGAAAGCCAACTCTTCCTTCTCAGCTTACCGGTATAACTTCTTCTGAAAACACCATATATAACCAATGCACCGACCGCAGCGATTGCCAGTGGGTTGTATGAATCTACCAAGCGACACAATTTGGACCCAAGCGGGCTCGACCACACGGCTGGCCAGCTTATCACCCTCCCATCTTCTTGAAAGAAGAAATTTCGGACGCGCGCGATACCCACACCGATAACGAAGAAAAATAAAATGGCACGCAGCAGGACTTGAAGACTAAATAGGATTTTGGCGGGGGAACTCGACCGCTGGGGCGCGTTTGATACCGTGAAAGAGACAGTCGTTGGAGAGGGACGCTGAACCTCTAGTCGGCCTGGCATTTTGGGTATGGAGGAGTCAGTTAGAAAAAAATAAAAAAGTCAGAATTAATTGACAATCTGCACCGCAGCCTGCCCATTCAAGAGGTAGATCAAAAGTGCCGAGAGATCCAAAATGTACTTTACACAGGAGAGCTCCTAATGTGAATAAACACGCTAATCTAATTTAGGGCTAGCGGGTATACCTACTCCACTAGTAGCTGCATCTCATCACGTGCCTCGCAGCTTCTCCGTTTGGATTACATCTGGGCTTGTCGGGCACGCACCCACGCAACTTCATCTTTCCTCCATCCGCAGTCATGGGTGACCGATCACGAAGCAGATCTCCTCGTGCGAGAGAAAACGTTGATAGAGAGCGCCCCAGAAAGACAACTGGAGGCTTTCGGTGGAAGGACAAAAGCCGCAGCGACGATTCCCGCAGCGACGATCGCAGATTAGAACGAGGATATCGAGACCGACCACGATCACCACGACGCGACCGCGAGGGTGACAGGTATGGAGATAGACCAAGAGATGGTGACCGCGACCGAGGCCAACGACGTGATGATCGAGATGCGCCGCGCGAAGACCAGGAAAAGAAAGTGAAGAAGGAAAAGAAGGAGAAAAGGCCGGTCGTTGCGCAATCCTCAGAACCCATGATTGTAGTACATGTCAATGATCGACTGGGAACCAAAGCTGCAATCCCTTGTCTTGCCTCAGATCCGATCAGTATGTCTCTTTTTACTGTTGATCGTTACCAGTGTGCTAACGTTCTACACAGAGCTATTCAAAGCCCAAGTGGCAGCTCGAATCGGTCGTGAACCCCATGAAATCCTTCTTAAACGCCAAGGTGAACGTCCTTTTAAAGATCAACTTACACTAGAGGATTATGGAGTGAGCAACGGAGTTCAACTTGATTTGTGAGCCTCAACCCCCCGCCCACCCCCCCTTTCGGGTTCTGGGACTTGTAATACTAATTCTATTATAGGGAGGTTGGAACTGGCGAATGACGGATTCCAGGAGAGACTGCACTCGGCGGAATAGTTATGCCAAGCTCTTTTATGTTTTTTTCTTTTCTTAGTACATACAATCTTGGGGACCGGAGCATAGGAGTCACGCATGAATACGTTTCCCTTTTTTATGCTTTCCAAAGCGACCGGGGATTTGAACAGAAAGCATGTATATCTACAGACGGGAACCAATGGAAAATCCGAAGCAGTAAACCTGCTGACCATCTACTACGTTCCTGTCTGCTCAGAAGCAATTTGAAAGGCCGTTTTCTGCGGGGCCCTGCGTCGTCACGACATGCGCTTTACCCAATGCGGATTATTTGCCACCTGAGGCATCAACAACCAGGTCCGCTCCACTCCAAAGAGGCTTTTTTTCCCATCGCGGGACTCACCGTCGGTTTTTTTTTTATGTCTTTGTCCCTCGAAGTCTTGATTCTTGTTCCGCCATGAGGTAGCATTTGTCTCCGATTTCAAAAATTGCTATACTTTTCTTCTCTCTTTATTTTTACTTCCTTGACTGCTCACCGAGATCGCCCCCCAGATTTTCTTCCCCCTCCACACTCGATCCCTCCGATCCTGATTTCCTTCAGGTCGAGCGTCCTTCCCCTTGGTCCTTCCTACTCCAATCCTTGCAACCCATATATTCACAAACCAAAACACCATGGTTCGCAATCTTGTCGTCATCGGAGGCAACTCCCACCCTCAGTTGACTCAGAGCATTTGTGGTGTTCTCGGTATTCCCCCCGCGGAGGTTCTGCTCTCGAAATTCGCTGTGGGTGAGACTCGAGTTGAAATCCAAGAGTCTGTCCGTGAAAAGGATGTCTACATTATTCAATCCGGCGGCGGAAAAGTCAACGACCACCTGCTAGAACTTCTCATCACCATTTCCGCCTGCAAGACTGCCTCGGCCCGGCGAGTCACCGCTGTCCTCCCTCTTTTCCCTTACTCTCGTCAGAGTGACATTCCATATGACAAGGCCGGAGCTCCTCTCGTCAAGTCATCTGTGGGAGGCAAACATGCCAATGGCTACACATTCGAGAGTACCCCCCCGACCCCGGGTCCTGGTGGAAGATCTGAAGGTCTGGGCATGAATGGAATTGAAAACCTTCAGAAGAGCCTTGCCAGGGCTCAGATTGAGGACAGCACTGGTAGTCCCGTGAAACGGCGGGGAAATGGTCTACCCCGCAGCGACACCGGGGATTCCCTTAAGTCCTTGACCAACGGCACTGACGACACAGCGAGCACCTCCTCCAAGATCAACTCCTTCCAGCCGCGTCCCGGTTACAAACAGTGGGTTGCACAGGCCGGCACCCTGGTGGCAGATCTCCTTACCTGTGCTGGCGCCGATCACATCATCACTATGGATTTGCATGACCCACAGTACCAGGGATTCTTTGATATCCCAGTCGACAATCTCTACGGCCGACCTCTTCTGAAGAGCTACATCCAGCGCAACATCCCAAATTACAAGCAGGCTGTCATCGTCAGCCCCGATGCCGGAGGTGCCAAGCGCGCTACGGCAATTGCCGACCAAATGGGCATGGAATTTGCCCTGATCCACAAGGTAGGCCTATCGAATAGTTTAATCTTCCTGTAACTCGCTAACAATTTGTCCAGGAGCGCCGCCCCACCAAAATCACCGACCGTCAAAATGCCACCATGATGTTGGTTGGCGACGTCCGTGATCGGATAACCATTTTGATTGATGATTTGGCTGACACCTCGAATACAATTACTCGCGCTGCTAAATTGCTCAAGAAGGAAGGCGCATCTCAGGTATACGCCCTTGTCACTCACGGTATCCTGAGTGGTGACGCTATCGATCGCATCAACGCCAGTGCTCTTGACAAGGTTGTTGTGACCAACAGCGTGGATCAGGTTGACCACCTGCGCCGTTGCCCAAAGCTGGAGGTCCTGGAAGTCGGCCACGTTTTCGGCGAGGTGAGTCCCATAGGCCCATCTTATTTTGCATAATATACTGACTTATACTCCAGGCCATCCGCCGTGTGCACCACGGTGAAAGTATCAGTGTTCTCTTCCAGTATGATTGATCGCTGTCTAAACCTTTTTTTCTTTTTCTCTTATTCTCCGATATCCTAAAATTTCCATGTTTGCTCTACACCCTCAACATCAACCCCCCCTGTCATAGATTCAGGCTCGCAGTAGACTTGATACGCTGGATTTGTTCTGGTATTCTGTGATTTCTTGATTTCTCGCTTGCTCTCATCTGGCTTTGGCTGGCTTTTTTTTACCTTTTTTTTGAATTTTGTCATACTATCTACCTCTGCCACACCCTTTGCCATCTGCACATATGAGCAATGAATGTTGGATTGAAATTGAAGATTTCCTTTTCAACATGCATGTAGTCGCCAGTCTTGGACTAGACTATCAATGTGGCTGATCTGTGTACTTCATGGAGACGTAAGACTTTCCAATATTGAAGCTCATGCATGTCGGTCTGTTCTTGATTGATCACGATTTTTGATCCTTGCATATTATACCGGATATTGTCTGGCGCTCGAACCCTTTTCCTTTTCCATTTTGGTGCTCGCCTATTGCGCTCGGAGTGCATGATTTCATGGACTCCTACCCATCTGAAGAGTGCAGCCACCTGATCCCTTTTACAAAACATTTGGGGACAACAATACCCCGAGTCGTGTCATATATTTGCCCCGAACAAAAAAAGAAGCTAACTAATCGTTCCCTCGGCCGCATATGTCATCATGCATAGGCTATCGTTGAAGGACGCGCATTTTCTACTGTCCATATCAACCTTAATTTTTGCGGAATTTGAGCTGCTAGAATGAAGCGTACGCAGGAAGTCGTCTATCCCGAAGATTGATTTACTCGCGGAACTCAAGCCATATTACGAGAAAGCTACATTCGTTCTCAAATATCATCATAAATACACCGGAAGAATGTGTCTTCACTCCCAAATGCACAGTATGCACCCACGTATTGCATTGGCAGGGAAACTCCGTTTAATCTCTGGGAATCATCGCCAACTGAGACTTGCCAAAAAAGAATTCGGTACGATTTATTGCGCTCTGGGCGTAGCCGAGCAAGCGGAAGGCTGTTGATAAAATATGCGCCGGTTAATATATTGAAATCCACAATCCTCTTCCTGGGTTAGAATTTGGATCGTGATCCTAGCCAGCAATCGTTCCAGTGCATGCATGGCTTTGGCCGTTTTTTGGGACATCTGAGTTGTATGGGATACCCAATCTTATACAGAGCCCTCGGGGTTTCATTCTCTCATCGGCCCTTTGGCCTGAAAATTGCGTGAACAATAAGGAATCTTGAACTGACTAGGCGTAAGTATTCATTCCATGCGCCGTGACCATATTGCCGTTTGCTCTCTGTGTTCGTGATGCTCCTCTCAGGCATTGTGTAGCGAGAATGGTGACCGTGGCTGCGGATTCCTATCCATCTGGGATTGTTGTCTTCAACCCCATAGGCCTTTTCACGCTTGTGTGATGAGTCTTTGAATCTTGAGCCGATTTTCTCCGCGAGGCTCAAGTCAATTCACCGAAGTTTTGCGTTATTTGGATAATATTGCAGCTTAAATCGGTTGGACTTCTAACCAAGCCTGAAATTGAGCTCCTTTGCTTTAGGGGCCCGGGGACAGGGGACCGCCTGCAGCACGGGGGTATCTAACAACTTGAGCTTCCGTAGACTCATCGGGAAACCTATCAGGAAACCCATCGGAAATATCAGCGACAAACTAAGATATCGGAATCCATGCAAGAGAGCAACCAAGGAGGCGACGGCCAACTTGTATCCCCCTACACACACTGACGCGTCCCATAAAGACATGGATTCCGATCTCCGTAAAATATTTCAGGACTCATCAGTGGGACTCCGGTTTCCACGAGGGAATGAATCCTCCGCGAAGAGGAATACTGACATGATTGTGTTTTTAAAGGGCACAGTATGGAGTGTATAGGTAGTTATCTTGACGAGGAATTTCGATGCGATGATAGCACCAAGGGTAAATACATGATGTTGCTGTCTTTCGCAACTACGTCTTTTCCAAGTGTATGTCCCCTAGTAGGTGTGGCCTCACTAAAGGATGCCTCATCGTACATTTTTAACTTGAGGCCTGCTGGAGAGCCATATATTGACAACAGGAGTGAGGATAGACCTCATTGGTCTCGACATGGCTCACTAGTCTCGGGTTGATTCCTGCATGAGGACTCCCTCTTGATGTCAGGGTTGGAGGGTCGATCTTGCTGGGTGCGACTGTTGTATTTCCGACGGGTTGAGCAAAGCTCGAATTGATGGCTTTTCTATAGTTACTTGAACGCGTTCTATACATATGCTGGCTGGGCGATCACCGTAACAAGAGCATGAATATACGTTTAAACTGTACTAGCCGTTGCATTCTTCGACATAGATGTAACTATTGGGATTCAGACTTTGAAATCTAGAGGTCGTATGGTCTTTCTATAGCCTTACCTCTCTCAGTTCGTACCAAAATTTAGCTGACTTGAACGTATCGTCTAGGAATGGGGTTGATTTTGGCTCAATTGAAAGTTCTGACATGATAGATTATTTTTTTAGACACATCCAAAGTGATTTCTGCCTTCAACCTCTTACTCGGGACAACATTAGGTATGTAGTTTTATGTACAAACTACATACCTACCTAGGTAGGTACCTAGATACCTACGGACCTCAGGAGTAGGTACGATTATTGGGCAGATCCGTAGCGGATCCTCAACGGCCCGTGCGATCCCCCAGAAAATCTAATCGCAACCTTGTCAGGATGTAGCAGAACAACATTGGGAGAAGTGTACGTAACAGTCCATAGATAGAAGTTCAATAAACGTTCGATTCAGATAGATTCAAGGCCATCTCATAATTAGCTTAACTACAACAACATTTGAATGTACATATTAGCTAACAGTGCGTATCAATCATATCGATACTAGCCTCAAGGTCTTGAATCATCTGCCAAAGATTCACCTCTCTACCATCCTCCCAATCTCAATACTGGATGCTTTTCAGGACTTCAGACAACAGCATGTAGTCATTGCTTGTGATGAAGATCCCATTTTCTAGCTCAATCATGCGCTCAGCCACCTTCTGATAAGCCAGTCTGTGGGCGTGGTGCTTGATAATATTTAACTACATGTGTACAGACCCGAAGAACCGGGACCCTCGAAAGTCCGGATGGCTTCCAGCGCGCCTAATTCATATTTAGACTAGGTCTTCATTTGATTAGGTTCGTTTTACGCGATGTAACTCCGGTGTTGTATTTTAAGGTTTCCTTTTTCGTGTCTTTTATCGGGAAACTATGAGATCTCTCTATACCAAGACATTGTGGCTGAAAGTAATATGAATAAAAGACGTAGGCGTGTACAGTTATACCCCGTAAATCTCCGGGAAAATGGACGACTGCTCTTTGTGGCAATTTTAGGGCTAAAGGATGCTGATCCCGACATACATATGTAATTTCAAGCATCTTTTATTTTGGGGACGGAGTATGCACTCCGGAGGTACCTGAGATATGGAAATTTATTTCCTTAACAAAAGTACGGAGTGATTTGTTAGAAAAAAGTCATTCCTTATTTTTTTTTCTTCTTCTCCCTTGCTCCTAAGTACATTCATCACATTATCATATTGTCGGTCTGGCAAGACTTAGTATATTGTTATCGGCCGCTTCCATCTGGGGAGGTAGATAGAGAGTCCTTAGCCCTAGATAGTTTTCTCCATTAAATTCCATCTTTTATCACCTGCCTTCTTTCTGCTCCAGATATTGTCTCAACATCTATCTTGCTACAAATGGCAATCATCGAATCGAAAACTAAGTTGACTGCCTCTAAAATTGAGGAGGATCAAGGACTTGGCGCTTGGATGGTTGTCTTGGAGCATGGTGCTGTCTATTTTGCGCTTTTGGCTCGGTGAATGGTAAGGGTTCCTCTCTACACATTTCTCAACTCGACCGATAACTTGATACACTTTACCATAGCCATTGGAATTTTTCAGGAGTACTACCAGAACAATCAATTACAGTCTGATTCAGCGTCCAGCATATCCTGGATTTTATCTTTGGAGCCATTTGTACTCTTTGCGGCAGGACTTGTCATTGGAAGAGTGGATTATAGCCCATAAAGCCCTAGGACAAATATGTGTTAATATTGTTTCTTTCAGATATTCGATAATTATGGCCCAAAATGGCTTCTCCTTATTGGGACATGTCTTCACGTTTTTGGTATCATGATGACCTCTATATCAACGGAGTACTATCAATTTTTGCTAGCCCAGGCAATCTGCAGCCCTCTTGGTACAAGGCTTTGTCTTTTCGCCGCGCTCTCCTGTACTGCAACATGGTTCGATACATGTTTAATGACGTGCCTTGGCATTTGGAATTGTTTCCGGTGGCTCATGACTGGGAGGTGTCATCTTCCCGACCTTGTTGTCTCGGCTGTTGCCTACTAGGTTCGGATGGTCCCTGCGTATCTCTGGATTCATCGTCCTCGCACTTCTGATAATTGCCAAACTGACTGTCCGATCGAGAATAAAGAATATTCCGCGACCATTGAAGCTAAGTGATTATACGAGTCTGTTTTCAGAGGTACCGTTTATCTTGCTTATGCTGGCCTCCTGCTTTGGATTCTTTGCCATGTTTGTCCCAATCAGTTATATCATTGTAGAGGCCCAGGAAGATGGAATCAACTGCGAACTAGCTGGGTATTTGCTAACTATGCTTAATGCCGCCAGGTGAGTCCTACCCAATTCTATTATATACACTGGCTTGATGAGAAAGAAGGTCATGAGCTAACGTATTTTGCGCGGGTTTTCCAGTCTCCCTGGTCGAATTCTACCAGGCTACCTAGGAGACAAACTAGGACGATTCAACATCATAATTTCCATGTGCGCCTTGTCCGCCATTGTTATCCTAGCCCTCTGGCTTCCAGATACACTTCTCTCTCCAGGAAACTCAGCCATTTATATTGTATTCAGCCTATTATATGGGTTTGAATCGGGTGCATTTGTGGGCATGGTACCTGCCCTACTGGGCCAGATCTCGCCCGACGTGACCAAGATCGGTGTTCGTCAGGGTGTTTTGTTCACTTGCATCAGTATTGCATCGCTCACGGGAAGCCCCATCGCTGGGGCAACCTTGAACCGACAAAACGGGACTTATTGGGAACTACAGGTCTTTTCGGGCGTAATGATGGTAGCAAGTGTATTCTTCTTCACTGCAGCAAGAGCGGTACTTGCAGGACTTTCTATCGCAAAAATTGTTCAAATACAGACTAAAATAAAACGGAGGCCTTCATACATAGCTATCGCAGAACTGAGCCATGACAACATCCAAGTTGGTCAAACCTTTAGGGTGGTGAGTTGTCCAACGGATGGAGACCTTGTCATAAACCTTCAACATCTCATAAGCAAAGGCAATGCGAACGTAAAAGGAATAATCAATGACAACTTACATTTGCCCATTGGGGATGGTGGCAAAGCTTGGTCGCCGTATGTGCAACTTGTTTCATATAGGTCTTGATTTGTTTCCTAATCAGCGGTATTTTCAAATTCCAGTTGGCAATGTAAACCCACCCAAGCCTCTTTAAACCCAGAGAACTGAATCTCCCGTTCAATAGCCGACCCATTCTCTGTCAATTTCCACAATCCCCCATTCTCAACCAGTAAGCTCTGCACCCCTAGCAAAACACTCGCCATGTCCTCTCCCGCTGCAACAACAATATTCCCTGTTTTCGCTTTCTTACTCCACTCTCCGCCATAGATCTTATCACCTATATCCCCATTTGTATACGGCACCAGATACCCCCTCTCATCGCATCTTTCAGCCCGTCTTCCAACAAGCACATACTCTACCACCGGGCAACGGGCTACCTTCTCCAATGCATCGGGAGCTGCATAGGTACACAATACTACAACCGATCTTGACTTTTGTCCACTCATCTCCCACAGTTCCTCACAAAGCTTGACGACTGTATCCCCGGTAGCGATGATCGTATCTAGAACCAAAATCTTCCCGTCATCAGACTCTGGCGGGAACGGTCGCCGGCCTAGCCAGTCTACCACCACATCCTGAGTGCCCTTTGCCTTGCTGCAGCGGGCCAGAATACACGAGGTAGCAGGGAGAAGGGGCTGGGCGGCCACAAACATGGGTAGGGCTCCGTGGAGAATGGGGATCATTGTTGTGAATGATTGGGTGAGGGTTGTATCGTGGGATTTGGCTGCGGAAATGATTTCATGGGTTAAGGCGTGGATTGTGTCTTGCATGATTTTGGGGGTGGAGGAGGGAGAGCAGAAGGTGGTCATTAGAGTGGTGAGGGTTGGGGTTTGAGGGAGTTCGATGATGGGAGCTGAGATGGTCATCTTGTCTTCTGTCTCTTGTATATCAAAAACGAGGGGATTTGGAATCTCTATGAGGGGTTGAATATAGATGGGTTATATTAAATTTGTGAGAAGGTAATTGCTAGTATATTTAGGTACTCGGCTTTATGTGGGTATGTGGATCTTTAATTCTGTACTATATAATTAGAGATAATTATAGAGGCTACATACTGTGTATGTACTTGCACATAGTACTCCGTACGGGATAGACTACTTGTCATTACTTTGAATTTTCGTACTCGTATGAAGGGCTCACTGAATTGAACTGCCTAGAAGCCATTATCATTATTATTATAACCTAATAGTTAATCTACACTATCTCAATGTAATCGCAATCTCAATGCAACATCACACTAGCTGCATGAGCCACGTACAAAGTAACTAGTATACCACTGCAAAATCCCGGACTATGTGTTCTGATTCATTACGTGGGGGCCTCTTTTTTTAAGGCTAGTCCGTTGTTAATTGTGGCAGTACGGAGTACTCAGTGCTCTTTATCTGCCTTGTGTCCAACTTCATACATCAACCACCCCGACTTTGAATCAAAACTCGTCAAAATGATAGCTCTCGCGATCTTCGACTTCGATGGCACCCTCTTCGATACACATGAATCCATCTCCCAAACCACGAAACTCACCTTCGATGCCCTCCTTCCTGCCCACACCCCTCCCCAACCCGAAATCCACCGTCTCATCGCCAGCGGAGCGGGACTAGCAGATACCTTCAAAGCCCTGCATCCTTTCCCGGCCGAATTTACTCCGACTGTTGAGAACGAATGGATTGAAAAATACCGTGCTCTCTATGCCACCCACGGTCAACTCATCAAGGCCTTCCCCGGCGCCAAGGATCTCTTGACCGAGCTCAATGCCCACAAGATCCCCATCGCCATTGTGAGTAACAAGGGTGTGGCCGCTGTGAAAACAGCACTAGAGCGAAATGGCCTGGAGGGCTACGTTCCCGAGGATTTAATCATTGGCGATAAGACCCCCGGCGCCAAGCGCAAGCCGGATCCGGCTAGCTTTGTGGATGTCCTGATTCCCGTCTTGAGAGAGAGTTATGGGGTAGAGATTGACTCGGACAAGGTGCTGGTAGTGGGTGATACAGTAGCGGATGTTCAATTCGCAAGGAATATTAAGAGCAAAGTCTGCTGGTGTCGGTATGGGTACGGAGATCAGAAGGCTTGTCAGGAATTGACGCCGGATTTTGTTGTTGATTCTTTGGGGGAAGTTGTGGGGATTGTAAAGGCATAAGGGGTCATACTTTATACATATACCATGACTGGTATACATTTTGTATTGCATTTGATTCTAAGCTTCCCTGGGTAGATCTATGTTTTTTTTGTACATTGATGTAGATGCCGAGTGTACTCACAGTAAGCATTCACAGTGAGTCTAACATGTGACTCGAGTATGATCACCCCCGTGCTGACATGTACTCGTAAGCCACACTTGAGCATAAAAGCAGCTTAAATAGCAAATCCCCTGTAACAACAAAGTAGATATGTATCTGGTGTATTTTGTCCATCTATACCACAAGGATAAGATAGCATATGCAAAACGCCGTATACGAAAAAAGAGCCAAAAAAACCCAACACAGCCAAAATCAAAGATGACGAGATTGTCCCGATCAAGGAACAATAGGTCGATGCGCTCACGTTAAAGAACAAACAGGGTACTCGATACAACGGAAAGCGGCTGGTAACCAAAGCAAAATACCAGCCAGGAAGATAGGTGAGTACAAAGAGGTGGGAAAACAGAAAATCATAGAGTGCCCGACTCAAGCCTAGAAAACGGAGATGAAATTTCCAATTCTCTCCTTCTGGTTCTGAGCAATGCATTCCGAGATCCAGGTAACATTTCGGATTTCCTAGGCGATATTAGTTTCATACTTGAAAATTAGAGAGAAGGGTTCTGAGAGGCTTACCTGCTCCTTCAGCTTCATCCAGGCGTAGACTACAGCCGGAGTGAATTGACGGGTAAAAACCAGCTTTGACAGATCCATTTCCTTTTGGTAGAAAAGATCCTCTAAACTCTTCCCATCTGCCGGACCTCCTCCCATACCGCCGAGACCGCCACCACCTTGGCTCAGACCTACAGCATCGAAGAATGCCTTATAATCGGCCACAGCGCTTACAGCCAAGGCCACACCCTCGACATCTTCTGCGCGGGAAAGCATGAGACTGCCCTCCGGGTAGAGTTTGCCGAACTCCGGGTACAATTTCCTCCGCTCGAGCTTGGACAGCTCAGTGCCAAATGAGTTTAGAGTAATATTGATAGCGCGACGGTCTGCCTCGAACTGCAGAATCTCTGCCATGATGTCCTGTGTTGGTGTCCCACTGAAGTCTGGGTGGGTGTTGATGAAGTTGTAGAAGTCCTCCAAGTAGTTCTTGTAGAGAGTGTTGCGAACGATCTCGATGTTCAGCTCGTCCAGGTCCTGGTGGCTCAGACTACCTTTGAAGTATGCAGCCAGTGGGGTCTCGATCAGTACCGAGTTGTACAACTCTTCGATGTTTGTCGCGACGCAAAGCACAGGAAGTGTCTCAAACCATCCTAGTGGGTGGCATCGCTCCAAAAGTTCCCGGGTGTCTCGTTCATGAAGAGTGCCTGTGATCAACAGGGCAATGTTGTCGATCATGTATCCATATGTCATGTATTCGAGGAACTTAGCAGATGAGCCTGTCGTTTGTGCGATCAGGTACTTGAACTCAGACACTAGTTTATCGGTCATCCGGGTTGCTAGATCGGAGGTGGAGGGGTTGGGGGAAAGAGAGGCAAGGAAATCGCCATATGAGGGAGCAAGCTGGAGCTTAACATCTATTAGATGAGATTGTCAGAATCAATATACAGTATTATGGATCTAAAACAGAGTCACTGGGATCAATAGGGCGTACCGTCAATTGTCTCGCATTGAGTGAGGTTGGAATAGTTCTGGCCGCTCAACAGGCTGTTCCGATAACCACGAACAATGCCCTCGACATATCTAGGAGTGTCAACAACGAGTTATTCAGACCAAGCAAAGTCATAAACCACATACCCGCCGTTAACATTAAAGAATAGGCCCTCCATGGTGAATGTGGAGAAGATGATTGGAGAGACACAGCTGTAGCTCCATCCACCTGGGCAACCTTGAACACGCATCGAGCTTAGTCATACACCTAGCCACACAGCTGAGCCACTCGTGGCACCCGCTTTTCAACTTTTTTTCTTCCGTGCAAAATTAGATTCAATTTCTCCAACGACACCGGTGGCAGACGCCCTACGCTAATTATTTTTTCCACCATTTCCTCAGTCCGGTTTATCGTTCGCTTTGACTAGTTTATTTCTTTTCTGTTAATTTTTCGATCCTAAACGCCGTGGCCGCGCACCATGACGCTTTTCATCCTCACTGAGACCAGCGCGGGCTATGCCCTGCTGAAGGCCAAGGACAAGAAGCTCCTCAAGCGTGATGATATCGCCGAAGAGGCTTCCACTGCGGAGGGTGTCTCCAACCTGTACGTCAATTGTACCTTCCAATCCTGTCAAATAAAAATTTGAGTGGGAATGAACCGACTCGCTGAACGGGTGCAAAAAAAATGTTATCGGCGACAATGTCACTAACAGAACATCTAGTCTCAAGCTGAAGAGTTTCCAGAAGTTCGACAGCGCCGCCTCAGCTCTGGAGGAGGCTGCCTCCATCATGGAGGGCAAGGTCACCCCCGCCTTGGCCTCGCTTCTTGACGGCATCAAGGATGAGAAGAAAGTCTCTCTCGCCGTTGCCGATACCAAGCTCGGTAGGCCAATCTAATAAAATATCTTCCCACAGTATGTATGCTGACTGTGGCTGTGAATAGGAAACTCCATCAGCAAACTTCCCGGCCTTGACATCCAGTTGATTGCTGACTCCAGCACTAACGACATCTTCCGTGCCATCCGTGAGCACCTCACCACCCTCATTCCCGGCCTTGCCCCCAGTGATATGTCCACCATGTCCCTTGGTCTGTCCCACTCTCTCGCCCGTCACAAGCTCAAGTTCTCCCCCGACAAGATCGATACTATGATCGTCCAGGCCATCAGTCTTCTCGATGATCTTGACAAGGAGCTGAACACCTACGCTATGCGTGTCAAGGAATGGTACGGATGGCACTTCCCCGAGCTGGCCAAGATCCTCAATGACAACATTGCCTACGCCAAGCTCGTTCTGAAGATGGGTATGCGCTCCAACTGGGAGTCCGCTGATCTTGCTGAGATCCTCCCCGAGGAGATTGAGGGTGCTGTCAAGGCTGCTGCCGATCGCTCCATGGGTACTGAGATCAGCCCCGAGGATTTGGAGAACATCCAGGCTCTTGCTGAGCAGGTCGTTGGTTTCTACGACTACCGCGCCCAGCTTGCTAGCTACCTCACTTCCCGCATGAACGCCATTGCACCCAACCTTACTGCCCTTGTCGGTGATCTCGTTGGTGCCCGTCTTATTGCCCACGCTGGCAGCCTCACCAGCTTGTCCAAGAGCCCCGCCAGTACTATCCAGATTCTGGGTGCCGAGAAGGCCCTTTTCCGTGCCCTTAAGACTAAGCACGATACTCCCAAGTACGGTCTGATCTACCACGCTTCTTTGATCGGCCAGGCCACCGGCCGCAACAAGGGCAAGATGGCCCGTATCCTCGCCGCCAAGGCCTCTCTGGGTATCCGTGTCGACTCCCTCGCCGAGTGGGGTGACGATGCCACTGAGGAGGACAAGGCTGCTCTCGGTACCGAGGCCCGCTTCAACCTTGAGCGTAAGCTTGCTGGTATGGAGGGCAAGCCTATGAAGCCCCGTGGTGTGGCCATTGCCCCTACCGGTGCTGCCGAGAAGTTCGACTTGAAGGAGGCCCGCAAGTACAACCCCGATGCCGATGCCCTAGCCTCCGAGGAGCCTGCCTCTGCTAAGAAGGATAAGAAGCAGAAGAAGCTTGTTGAGGAAGTTGAGGATGAGGAGATGGCCGATGCCGACTCTGATGAGGAGGCTGAGGATTCTGATGAGTCCGAGGCCGAGGCCCCCAAGAAGAAGTCCAAGAAGAGCGAAATTGAAGAGATGGCTGCCAAGGCTGGTCTCAGCGTTAAGCGATACGAGCGGAAGCTCGAGCGTGGCGAGATCGTCTTCGATAAATCAGGCAACCCTACTTCAGTCAGCAAGAAGGACTTGAAGAAATCCAAGAAGGATGCCAAGAAGGACAGCAAGGATGATGGAAAGAAGCGCAAGCGTTCCGAGGACGATGATGAGAAGAAGAAGAAGAAGAAGTCCAAGGGAGAGTAAGCGTATGTTTTCAAAAGTTTGTGCAATGTGACCGGATGGCTTTCCTGGGATCTGTATGATATCACACTTTTTTCGTTTCTGTTTTTTTTTTCGTTGCAATCTTCCTGTCGCCCGCATGTTTTGGGGCATTTCAAGGTTGATCCGGTCTTTCACTGGCGCAGAGGGTGCTCGTTAGGAACAAGGCAGTACAGTTTTAGCTGGAATAATCTGTTCATATTTTCAGTACGTGATTGTAATACCGTAGGCTTATGAGTCGCAAATTGTAGTCTCAACTCTACCAACTCTGTTCAAGCCTCACATCTACGTTGCTTGGCGCATCGATTTGGTCTAGATATGCAGTTCGATAAAAACACCGCCTAGTTTCTGCCGGCAGTTCAAACAATTTTCCTTCCCTCAGTCTAGTCACCCATTTACTCCAGTCGTTCTTGCCACATTCAACACACAAAATGAGGGTAAGACCTATTTTATTCGAAGCTCAATATTACTGCTAACAAAATAATTCAGATCATTGACCCTCAAACCGCCATCATGACCAATGTCGAGGTCCTGGCCTATTTGACCTCCAATCCACCCCGCCGACCACCGCCAAATTCTGGGAACTGGGCACCCAGCCCAGATCTCAGAGACCATAATACAGTCGTTAAAGAGGTGAGCGACTCTATGTTGCCCTTGTCATCTATGCACGGGCTATTGCGGCCTGGTATTATTATACTATGGACACCAGCGTGAAGCGGAGTCGGCCAGAGCCCAAGCTCCCAAACCAGACACCAAGAGACCAACGATAAAAAAAAAAAACACCTGATTAACTCTCTCAGATTCACAACTATGCGAGCCGTCTCTCCCCTCACCTCCTACGATACCCCCGCTACACAGCTCGCCCTTCCTCCTCCCAGTCGAAATCACAATCGCAAGCCGCAATGACCGGCACATTGCGAACTTCAAATCCAGCAGATACAGAGGCAGATGCTAATTCTCTTCCGCCACCAATTTCCTCCACAGAAACAACACCCATGGATACTGCCCTCCGGGACCTAGTAGTCCGCCTACAGCCGTATGGACTGACCAAAGCCGAAGTCGTTATGATCCTGAATCTCGGGGTGGGACTGAGCGGTAACCCTACTACTGAGGAAGCTGGGGAGGAAGGTGCCAATGGACATGATGCAATGGAAGTGGATGGAGAAGCAGAGGGTGAAGAGAGCGAGGAGGCTGATTACACTGCGATTGTGTTGATGGATAGTGTTATTGAAGAGCGGGAGCTCAGACTGTCCGATGAAGATGTTAAGGCCATTTTGGCCATCATTAAGGAAACTCTTGAGGTCAATTATGAAAATGTGAAAGGGTAAGGATTGAAAGTGATTATATCCTAGATTTTAGATATCAAGAATCAAGAACGCAGCCAATCTGCTTCTTTCAACCTCTTCTTCCAACCCTCCGCGGCAGATTCACAGTGGGAAAGGCCAAATTGTCTTCACTTCCTCTGGAGTTTTCTCACCGGCCATTTGCTGAATGTAAAGGTCCTGCAATTGCTTATTCAGATTGCTCTTGCTCTCGAAATCGAAATGTGGTGATATCCAGCCTTCCGCATCAGTATCCAGACATTCCTGGGCAAGGGCCTGGATTTGGTGCCAATCTTCATAGCCAGCGAATTGGTGCTCGTGAGTCTTGATATCTTCTTCTGTGAAGGAGAATGGACAATCTCCAGTGAATCCCAAGTCCGACCAGCTTTGGGATATCTCTATAAGGCATGCACGAAGTGGGAGAACTCCCACCTCCGATGTCTCACCGCAACGGATGAACAGCTCTCGAAAAACTCGCGGCACATTCATGGCCGTATAAGCTGGTCTATTGTCAAGATATGTGGCGACCTCGTAAGCTTTGGCTAGCTTATCTTGCTCCCACTTGTTCAATGCATTCCTTTGTTCTTCATTATTTAATTGATCGAAGTTGTCCGGTAGCTTCGGGTGTATAATGCCTTCCACGTATTCATTCTCCTGCCAAGGCCTCAGGAATACTGGCCACCGAGCTTGGAGAAAGGCTGGCAAGATTAGCAATCCTTGCAGATCAATGAAAGATACTATCTGCGAGTGTTCATCGGGGGAGACGTAAATGTTTCCCATATGTAAATCTGTGTGCCAAAGTGTTGGCTGAGAAGACTGCGAAATGATATCGTTGGCATCCAAAAGCATCATGAGCCGTATCGTAGTCTTTAGAAGTTGGGTCTGTTCTTCAACGCTTCCACGGTAGAAATGCGCATGGTTCTTAAGGTGTCTGTCAGAGATTCGAGACAACTCTCATCTTGCGATGGATACCCCCAGGGCTGAGATTGTATTCCCTAGAACATCTTAGTTGGTACCATTGTCAAATCGCATAACACTATGCTCACAGGGCCCGATATCGTGCACACATGGGATAGCAGTGTTTTCAATTTCCTCTGTGTGATATGTACGGTCACAAGAGGGACCAATGCAGAAAGAACCCGTTGGATCAATATCCTTTTCAAGAGGTGTCCACCTAGAAATGTTTGTTTTTTCTCGAAGATAAAGTCCCCCAGACGCAGGAAATCGAATAGACGATAGCTGGGCCTCCAACCTTGTCAGACTTCTGGTAAGTTGAAGCTTTTCTATTTCTGGCATCTTTCCCCAAACCTCAAAAAGTTGGACCCCTGGAGCCTTCTCCATGATGATATACTCAGCTCCCACGGCGTTGGATCTGTCCGAGGACCAGGACAGGACCCGGGGAACGGGGATACTTGTGTTTCCTTACTGTTGATTATTAGTAGCTGAAGCCTTGCAACATCACCAGGACTCACGTACAGAATTCTGATATACCCACCTCGCATTCTGTGGTCAAGACTGCAGGCCCAGCAATGCGACACGGAATTTTGGCGATGACTTCCGTCCCATTCTCCCTTTGCATCAGAAAGACTTTGCTAAAGCCGCCTTCCATCTTCTCAATAGCTCTGATTTGAGATGATTGACCGTCAGCAGTGGCAGCAGCACTGCAAAGCGCATCCAGGTCGAATTTCACATATCGTCGATTAAGTTGATTCTTCTCATTCATAAGGAAACGGCCATTGGTATAGGCAAAGAGCTCTTGGCGACCGATTGATCTACCTATGGAATTTAGGAAAAAGGGACAAATCTCAGCTTTCATTGTCTTACCTCGACAAGTTATCGAAATATGGGCTCTTTGTGGTTTCTGTACGGGCTTGAAGTTTCGAAGAAAGGACAACATGGCAGGATCTAGACTGTGGATAACCGGGTTCGATGTCACGATTGATGTCAATGGATGCAAATGAAATAAAAAATAGTGCTCCTGTTCCCCAAAGACTACCATCAAACCCAATGGTCCTTCCACCAGATCTACAGTCTGTAATCGGCAGAGTCAAGATGATTTTAACCCGTGGACGTCTCCCGACTTCAGGTATTTAGGCTGAGAAGGGACGCTACAGCATACCCGCCACGAGTAATAAATATGTTCTTTCAAACGAATACATTCAATTAAATACAAAAAAAGGCTATAAGCTGCATACTAACAATCGGTTAGTAGTATCGGTATTACTGGTAAAAAAAAGCAAGTTCGTACATACAATTAGCGTCCCTTCTCGGGCTGGCAAGGCAGTGTATGAGTACAGCATGGTAAGCATGCTCCACGGCCCCTACATTCATGCAGTAGGCTCGCACTGCCCAACAGCCATCGCCAGGCTGTTGGGACAGTGGATTAATACCCTCGCGTGATATCTCGGTGTTCCTGTATCCCTCCCCTCGGGGCCGAAGCAATCATATCTTCATGCGATATAACTAGGATTTGAAAACCATACCCAACCCACCAGGCGCCGCATCCTTGAACCCATTCTTGTAATACAACTTTCGCCCAGCTTCATCTGCGAATAAAGAAATATAGGGTTTTCCATCTGACGGAGCCCCCTGGCTGATTCGCTGGAGGAGAGCCTTCAAAATCACGTCCCCAAGCCCTTTCCTTTGGTGTTCAGGGTGGACAGCTATGTCTGCGATATGAAAATACCAGCCGCCATCCCCAATCACGCGTCCCATCCCGATCCGCCGTGGGTCGCCATTTGTCGCGTCAGAGGTTATATAACAACCATACCAGCTTCCCGTAGCAACGGCGGCCGCCTGGGACGGTGTTTTCACCGATAGTCCGGCGGCTGAACGAAGATTCAAATACTCAGGAACCGAAGGGTAGCCGGAGTGAAGTGTATACCCCGAAGGGAGACGCGGATCAATGTGAGAACTCATAAGAAGCAGGAACAGGAAAGGATAACAGAAAGCTGGCTGCAAAATGTCTAGAAAACCACTCCGCGTCCCCCGGGGAAAGTCACACTTGTGGCTTATATTCTGGCTTGACAAAGATACAAAGGTGGGTCGATGCTCCTATAGTTTTGTCTTGGCAATTCCAAGGCCTAGCATCGAACAATTCCAATAATAATGCCTTCTTTGGGATCTGCGTACTTAGCCCAATTGCAAATGTCCTACATCCACTCTGTTTCGAGATCTTTCTTGACCCCAACCGAATGCTTAATATAAAACGCAACCCAATTGTTGTAACTATGAGGGTAGAGTAGCACTAGAGAATTAAACACCTGGTATCGATATATATCTAGTACTATGCTATTTTCTGATCTAGTCAAAGCCCTTGAACTCGCCACCGCCATTTGCTTCCTCTGCCTTGGCAGCTTGGTTCAACAACCTCTGCTGCTCGTTTTTAGCGCGGATCTCAGCCAGCATGCGCTCCGTTTCAAGAGCCTTCTGCTTCTGATCCTCTGGCAATTGCTCCCATCTCTCCTTCTCCTTCCGCGCCTTGTTGTACTCCTTCTTCTTGAACTTCTTATCCCGTTCTTCCGTCTTCTGACTCCAAGCCACACTCTCCGTAGCACGGCGTTTGTTAGATCCCTGCTCAGGGCCTTGTCCATTGGCAGCCTCGGCCATAGCCTCTTTGCGGCGCTTTTCTTGCTGCTTGTCCTTGTACGTGTAATTGGGCCAGTCAAGTTTAATGCCTAATGTCCTATCTCCTTCAAATGAGCGCGCTTCAGGCATCTTAGGCAGCTTCAGGAGCCCCCATGCCTTGCCGAGAGCTTCCCAGTCTAGATCTGTAACTCGGAAGATACTGCTTGCTTGGTGCTTGCTGTAGCTGCGCAGCCAGCTGACAAATGCCTTCTGGCCCTTGTCGTGCATGGCCCGGTCTTTCAATACGGCTTTGCGGACTTTGTCTATCGCGGCTGTGGCTTGTTCGTCGGTGAACTCCGGTAGGGTGTATGGTGCGACGGGGGTTTTGCGGATTTCCAGGAACGAGACGTAGTCCTCCTCGCGGCCGGGGTGGATGAGGACGATGCTGAGGCCTCGGCGACCGGCACGACCGGCACGACCGCATCTGTGAATGAATGTTTTGGGGTCGGAAGGTGGGTCGATCTGGACCACTAGATCGACGGAGGGAATGTCTAGACCGCGAGCAGCGACATCGGTGGTGAGGAGGATGGAGGGGGTTGTGGAGGTGACGAAGCGGTTGAAGTTCTTTTGGCGGACGTTGGCTTGGTGTTTCCCATGTAGTGGGACCAGCACGAACTCGTCTCCTAGCATTATAGGTAGTATTGTGGCGAGATAATCGACAGTGGAGCATGTCGATACGAAGAAAATAGTTTTTTGGGGTGTGGGCTGAACGGAGGAAAGGATATGCTTCAGAATGGCATATTTGTGAAGCGGAGGTATTGTCAAGTAGGTCATTTGCAGACTATTCAACTGTTAGATAGGGTTTCTTTTGGAATTTGGAATTTGGATGGAGAGACATACCTCGCTGGAGTGCGCTTTTCTTCGATGCCAGCTCCTCCTCTGACCTTGACAGCAATTTTGACGGGATTTCGTAGACCAAGCCGGACGATCTGATCAACAGCCTCACTGATACTGGCACTGAACAATCCTGTCCGTCGCTGCTTAGGAAGCCGACCCAAGATCTTCTGCAAATCATCCTTAAATCCAAGATCCAGAAGTCTATCGGCCTCGTCCAGGACAAGCATTTCAAAAGATGCCTGGGGGCAGTGAACGTGAGGCGACGAAAGCAGCTCCAACAATCTTCCGGGTGTAGAAACCAATACATTAGGCGAATTTTTGAGGAACAACTTCAGGTCCTCTGCCGGAGATGTTCCGCCACCCAGAAGAAGTTGTGGGACTACCTTCAATGTCGATGAAGAGGTTTTCGCACGAGGGGCCCCAGGTTCGGCGGGCTTGATGGCTGCGGCTGACGCTGGGTGGAATTCCAAAAGTGAGACAAGAACTTGGTGAATTTGTGAGGCCAATTCTCTGATATTTCAATATTAGTAACGAAATCTGCAGGCCTGGATTTGCGCATTACCCACCTTGTTGGAGAAATGACAATGGCTCCAACATGGTGCTTCTTGAGAGGCTGATCAAGGCGAAGAAGCTTTTCCACAATTGGAATCAAGAACGACAATGTCTTTCCACTTCCAGTGACAGCTTCCACCACCACATCTTTATGTTGCATAAACAGGGGAATGGCCGAGGCCTGGACTGGAGTCATGCGCGTGAAGCCCATTGAGGCCACAGCGTCGAGGGTCCATTCTGACAGCGGGGGCGTGAGAGCATCCCACGCTCTTGAAGACGATTTGGGAGGCATTTATTGATTTTAACGGACACCGAGTCGTCAAGTCGTCAAATCGCTTCACGAGTCGCCATCGCAAAGAAAAAAAAAATCCGTTATCGATTAGATACCATACACGTGACTGCGGCTGTGGTCGGAAACCGAGATTAGGTAGATCTGCTTTTTCCTTCAGCTCAGCCTTGCTTCATTTACTTTACTATTCTTTAATATATAACAAGTGCTGGACTTAGTGCTCAAATCATGTACTGGGCTCCTATCCTGTGTCTTCATCTAATTCGCCCATAATCAACAAAAAAGCACTGTCACGTGCTGTCAAATCGCCCATCATTGCTTTGTTAGCAAGCCCATTGATATTCCGTGGCATATTCGCTTGCGACAAAGCAGATATCTGTACGCGGCCACCTTCTGGTGTCCTCCGAGCCTCACCGCTTCCTTCTTTTAAATTGAGGGCACCCGACATGTCCTCGCAAAACCCCGTACCGGAAACACCTCGCGTGATATCGCCGACACCCTCTATATCAGACCTGTCAGAGGCACCCGATGGATATTTTGCACCGGTAACACGGTCTGCAGCACGTCGCCAGCGTCAGCCGGAAGATACAGCCGAAAGTTCTGGCTCAGCGCGAGCACCAAGATCCCCCACGACACCCTCGGCCCGGCGCAGCCGCCGATCAAACCCCATGATACCTGCCTCGCCGCCGCGCTTAGCAAACGGTACTGCCTCGAACACTCATCTGTCCCCGTCGAGCATTCCCAACGCCCTGCGCGACTTGTCAAGATCACCATCCCCTCTCGGACTGATCCCCCTCCACGCCCGCTACCGCAGCTTCATCCACCGCCATGAAATCCCACGCAAGCTCTTGCACGTGTCAATCGGATTTTTGACTCTGTCATTATACAGCCGAGGCGTCCAAACGCTGCAGATCACACCCGTGCTCTTTACCGCACTGGTACCGATTGCAGCAACGGATCTGATCCGCCACCGCTTCGAGAAGGTCAACAAGGTATACATTCGGTGCATGGGTGCTCTCATGCGCGAGACTGAGGTCACCGGCTACAACGGCGTAATCTGGTATCTCCTTGGGGCATATGTTGCTCTCCGCTTCTTCCCCAAGGACGTTGGCGTCATGAGCGTGCTACTCCTTAGCTGGTGTGACACCGCCGCCTCAACATTCGGTCGTTTGTACGGCCGCTACACCCCCCGTCTACGTTCCGGAAAGAGCTTGGCTGGTACCATGGCAGCCTGGCTCATGGGTGTTGTCACTGCTGCTGCTTTCTGGGGCTGGTTCGTACCTTACATTGGCACTTTCCCCAATGACCCAGAAGATGCCTTTATGTTCACAGGAAGCTTGAATCTGCTCCCCAACTGTGTTCGTGGCCTCCTGGGCTGGGAGCCCAGTGACTCGGCGGTCATCACTGGCCCTCTGGCTTTGGGTGTTATGAGTGTTGTTTCTGGCATTGTTGCTGCTGGCAGCGAGTTCATTGATTTGTGGGGTTGGGATGATAACCTGACGATTCCAGTGTTGAGCGGAGTTGGTCTCTGGGGCTTCCTCAAGGTCTTTGGGTAAATGGATAAATGATACACTTCTGGTTTATTGGCGCTTGCACATTGTTTCCTTTCTGTTTTTTAATATCATATATGGGTGTTCGACGTTTAATATTTGGACATGTTTACTGGTGCTTCTATACAAGGTCTCTCGCATTGTGCTGCATCAAGAATTGAATTCTTGTTTAGATACATAGAAACTGGCTGAAGCCGTGGCCATGTTGATACTTCTCTCTTCTCTTCGATTTATACACTGAATGTGAGTCCTATACAGTTACTTTCTGGACATATGGCTTTTGTACATTTTCAGATATACGCACATGGTCTTTTTATTTGCCATGGCCTGCGACATGTGTACATGATAGCCACCAATTCATGAGACATCAGGTTGCCTGATTCTTGATAAAAGGAATTCAACATGCCTGTCCAACGCCGTAGAATAACGAAAAATGCTGTTGCGCCTCACATGCTTGTATCCAAAAACCCCAGAGCCAGCAAAAATCAGATTGATTCTGAACGCCAATTCGCCAAGACGAGAAGAAGGGTATATGAAAGGATTAATCAACTAGGTCAAGGATGCTGACGCGTGGGATTCTTTTCTTTTTGGAAGTTTGAGTCTGTCTGCGTGCTGTGCTCAAGCTATCGGCAGTTGAGCCTTCGGCAGGATCTTGTTCAGGTGGAGATTGGTCGACTGACCAAAATCCATCGTGCAATATGATGTTTTCCAAATGCCCCGTAGCCTTGTGCTTCGAAATTGCGCTCGTCGCCTCCTTTGAAGGCTTCTTGGGGGATTTGGTTACGTCGTTCGTCTCATTATTTTCGCATGTTTTAACGCTCAATGGTAATGTATGTTCCGGCTCGAGTTCGGCCTTGGGGGTTGCTTGACTGCAAGATCGGGGTGATTTGACATCTTCGGAACGAGTCCGAACTTTTGTTGCTTGTGGTGCCTTCGTTGCGGGTTGACGCAACGAGCGAGTTGCGGTGTTTTCATGCTGACCCTCGTTGATTTTCGAGGACAGAGAAAGGCACTCGACGGCTTTTTCGATGTGTTCAACCTCGGCCTTTTCCTTATATTGCAACTTGGGGATCTTCTTTGATTTAGATACAGTCTTTTTAGACGGAGAAGGCAGCGCTGCCAGTGTTCTGACTGGAAAGTCCTCCACTAAAATCTCAGACTCACAGACGTGGGAGACCGAGTAGCTGATTTTGAGCCCCGCGCGCTTTGATGGTCGAGACGGAGAATAACCGGTGTTTATTTCCAGTGCGTCCGATTCTTCAATATCAACCCGGTCGGTCCCCACAGCTGTACGCCTTGATCTAAGGCAGGACTGATTCAACACGGGGTGTCGCTTGATATTAGTGGAAGGAGACAAGTTACACATTGAAGAGAATGAATCAAGGATATCATCGACCTCCCGAGAAACGTATTCCCTCGTCAAGGAGGATCTCTGGTGAATATACATGCTCGGAGAGGAGAAAGGGTCGTCTTCCTGGTCCAACATTGTTGGCGAAGAAGACCCAGAACCGGTAACAAGCCGGGAAAGAGGATTCTGGCTCGACGTAGCAGCTTTCAGCAAGTGCGCTTGCTTGGTTGTTGATAATTCGGAATTTTCTTTCGTGAGAGTGCCGTATTTCAAGATACTCCCCCGTTTCATTCCAGCGTCAATTGGTCCCTTTTTTTTAGGGCCTGTGCGTCGAGTACTGGTCTTTTTCTTCGCTGCAGCTTCTGCAGCTTTCGCGGCTTTTTCGGCCTGTTCCTTCTCCCAAATTTTTACGACTCCAGGAACACCTAATCTTGCGACAGTCTCGAACACCCAGACCTTTTCGAGGGAAAACGGATCAAATCGCTTTGTAACCCGAGATTTCGATGGTGTCGGAGGTGGCGATCCAGCCGCTAGCTCTGGGTCATCATCTTCCTCGCCTTCTTGCACACTAGCTTGGGATGGACTCGGTGGGTTTGGTTCTTCGGCGAGGAGATCCAGCCCAACAACATCTGCGGGTAGCATATCTAGTTGGATTTCTGGCACTGCATCAGTGCCAAAGATTGACCGGGTTCGATACACTTTTTGCAGACCAGGTGGGCAATCCGGAACAAATGAAAAACCAGGCGACACGCCGAGAACTGGTCTCTGGAGACGAAGTCTATACGAGACAAGAGGCTCGGCCAAAAGCTTAATTAATTTCCTTGCCCCCGATCGATAATTCCATTCAAAGTGGTCTGCAGCAAATGTTCGGATAGCCAGGGGGTCGATATCGTTATCCCAAGCCTGTGCGAGGCGATTTCTCAGGAGTGTCATTTCCTCATCGCTGGAAACTTTGGGCTGGGCGTAGTACTCGAGAATCTGCCGGTCTGGAAAAACGGCTGGAATTCGCACTGCTGGATGTTTCCTCGTAAAATAGCCGCTCTCGTTCTCCTCAAGTTCGTACTGGAGTCTTTCTCTCCACTCGTTCAATCCTGTATCCACGTCCGTTTGCGACGCAAGCTCCTGCAGAAGATCCTCGCCGAACCCAGCCTTGGAAATCTCTGCAGCAAGCTTACTGCCACATTTTGGAACACCAGATGGTAGATAGTCTCCTCCACTGAGCATAGCAAATAGGATCATTCCCGGTCGGTCAAGCGGTATGTTTGATGGGTGTCCATCCTGTCCCATTGAATAGCATGTAACATGAGTTGCAGAAGAGCTGCCGCTTCCACTCTCTTTTGAAAAATTCATAATAGTAAAAGACGACCCGAACATCAATGTATCGACATCGTTGCTCATGACAGCGTCTACAATGCCAGCCTGCTGTAACCGTGCACATTCAGCTTCTGCCTCGCCGGGTGCCTCATGCCACGGAAATCTGAACCGCTCGATGAGGTCCTTGGAGCGCTTGATAATCGGTGCACTGCCATAACTGCGGGTTGATACTGCTTTGCCTCTCTTGAAAGCAGGCTTTTGCCGTCCATCATAGACGAAAAGCGGGTGAACTGGCAATGCAAGCAATTTCAATAATCGATAAAATAGTGTGCGTAACTCTGGATTTCTTCCGCCTCGACCTGCTTGGACTTGAAACAGCCAGATCGAAATATCGACTGCAATGCGGATTGGCCTTGCTGTCCGTTCCAGGTGCGTCACTGCCAACTTAGCTAGAGAGATACGCTCTCCTGGGCCAATGGCATTTATGAGCCTTGAGAAAGTCAGCGTTTTGATCGCGAAATCTGGAGATACAAAGTTCTGCTTCTCATGCAATGGATAAACAGCATATTCACTTCGTTCTCATATGGATATATATGTTTCTAACCATGCCAAAAAAAAAAAGAACACAATCTCACTTACCCAGGAATACCCATCCCAGCGATAAGCAATAGGAAAATCACAAAGCAGTTAAAGGGCCCATGTGGAGTTAAAGATGTACGATATTGTATTGTTTTTTTTGCGGAGAGAGGAGGTTGTCAAGTAAATAAAGGCGGCCCGATGTAGATCCGTTGCCCACCAACGAGCTCCCCCAATGAACCATATGGGCAAGCTTATAGATCTTACTTTTCATTTTTGCCTTGAAATTGAATCCAATGGCGTTGCAATTCCAACCCATGCGTCGGTGAATTGAATATTTGTCGCCACGAACCCCACGACTACTGTTGCTCCCAGAAAGGAGAGACGCGCCCGAGCCCAATCAAGCATGGCGAGTGATACATCTTCAATGGGTGCCAGTAAACGCACATCAGCAACTCCTGGTCTGCGAAATAGCCAGATAACACGACCTGTCTCTCCTCATACACCACAGCCACGTTCGGGAAACCCCTCGTTTGCCAGCAGCACATCACCGAGCTCCTCCTTTCGAAGCGAAGACGATGCGATCATATTTGAGATAGGCGCACGATGGCTACGCGCAGGTTTTGAAGGAAGCAGTGCACCAATGTGTGTGGTTGGCTTTGGACCTGAAGACTCGCGGAGAGCGGGGGACTACCGAGGATGGATCGAAGGCAGCATCGGTGCTGCACGGCTACCGCAACCTGTCGACATGGAAGAGTGGACACAGGCATATGAACTGTGGCGGCTAGATTCTCGAGAGGTTGATCTGGGACTGGTCGAGGATAAGATCGAGCGCGCGATTCGGGAGACATACAACCAGTTCCTGTTGACAGATGCAGGCACATCTCGCCTGGTCCTTGTCCTGCCTTCTCTTATGCCGCATCCACTACTATCTTCATTACTGTCGACCCTATTTAGTCGCTGGCGCTTCCAGAGTGTCACTCTTCTGTCTGGTGCGACCATGTCGGCTACTGCTGCGGGATTGCGGTCAGCTTTGGTGGTTGACCTTGGCTGGGCCGAGGCCACGGCAACGGCGATCTACGAATACCGAGAGATGACTACGAAAAGAACGACACGGTCTATGAAGCATTTGATGCAAGAAATGGGGCTTCTCCTTACTGGGCTGGCTTCCGACGGGAACCATGATACGGAGACTGCGGATAAGATCTCTGTTGGATTTGCGTACTGTGAGGAAGTGGTCAGTCGGTTTGCCTGGTGCAAACCACAGACAGGAGAAGATACAAACTTGGATGAACCCGACCGGATATTGTCGATTCCTTCGCCCGCAAACCCCGAGGAAGAATACATGGACGTGCCGTTTTCGCGTCTAGCTGACCCTGTGGAGAAGGTTTTATTCGCACCAGGTGTCCCAGAACATGAATTCGACGACGAAGAAAAATCCCTGCCTTTGCTTGTCTATAATACCCTGCTATCACTGTTTCCTGACGCGCGAGGAACATGCATGTCCCGCATTGTCTTTGTGGGCGGGGGTTCGCGAATTCCTGGGCTGCGGCAGCGGGTTCTTAAAGAAGTCTCACTCTTGATTGATCGCCATGGATGGAGTCCAATTAGAGGCAAAGCACTCGAGCGACAGCGACAGAGACTGGAGGAACTGAGACTTTCAGCCCGAAAACCTTCTAACGAACCTGAAAGTCCTAAGAGCAATGGGGATGCACCATCTACTGATGACGAACCAGCCGACCCCTCCAAGGAAGTGCCTGAGATCGATTTTGTGGAACAAAAGCTCCGCCGACAAAACAAAGATATCCCAGTTCCTATCCAAGGAGTCTTGCGCGAAATTGAATCTCTTGGTCCATGGGCAGGTGCAAGTCTGACAACTAGTCTCAAGATCCGGGGAATGGTAGAGATTGAGCGAGAGAAATTCTTACAGCACGGACTCGCTGGAGCTACACGAGACGTCGACCATCCTGTTCCCGATCGTCGGTCGGGCTTAAAATCTGGTGATCGGTCGAGTTGGACACTTGCTGGCTGGGCATGAAAACTTTGTACATTTTTCAAAAACAATAGATACCCCATTGTATTTTCAAGTTCTCCAAATTTCCTACATGTTTCCTATTTTGGAGCTTCCCAAATAGGATAGCCGTCGGTTCGGCAATACCCCGGCTTTCGCGGGGAAGAGACTCCCCCGGATTGTCCCCAGCTTTTCTATTAAGAAATGCAACTGACAGTCAGAACAAAAATGAACGATTTTAGCCCTCCACCATTGCGAGCACCTACGGCATGTGTTGCGTGCAATAAAAAGAAGGTATGGCAAGTGAAATAACTTGGAACCGGAGACATACTGATCTCTTAATAGGTTCGGTGTATCTTCGGCGGAAATCCCGATATATGCATGAACTGCCAACGGCATCAATGGCCCTGTTTGTAAGAAAATTGATTTCTGACCTCTAAGTATATATACTAACTGCCGCGCAGTCGACGAGAGCGCAAGAGAAAAAGAGCCGATTCTAACGATGCTGACCGCAGCGTCAATGAGACCAAAACAGTTAGAAGACAGGTGAACTGGGATGAGACGAGCAGCTTTCGTCCGATCGGCTCAGCCAGAGCTCCAAGTACTAGCTCCGAGTATGATCAGGATCGGCATCAATGCCGCGACGCAAGTCAAGATAGAGCTGGTACTGGAGACATTTTTACACCAGACTCCAATCCATACTCGTCCGCTTCAACTTTGAGCTTTATGGCACGCTCCCGCTACTTTGATGATGCAGTGGCAATCAATGAAGAGCAGGCTAGATCCTATCCAGAAGGAGACGCAGATGGACCAACTGAAGATGACATCCAGCTGCTAAGACTGCAAGGTGCATTTGACCTCCCACCACGAGCTATCCGAGAAGGATTGATTAATACATTCATGGAACGATGCTCACCATGGATGCCAATAATCGAGCGGAGTTGGCTAGAAGAGAGCGGTTCTCAGAAGCCGTCAATACTACTTCTCCAGTCCATCTTTGTTGCTGCGAGCCGAGTCACATCTGCACCGGGTGTGACTGCGTATGCATCTTTGCATCAATTTTATCGCCGTGCGAAAGCCTTGTTCTGGTCTGGATACGAGAGAAATCCAGTGACTGTCGTCGCAGCAGTGTGCATTTTGCATTGGTATAACCCAGAAGGCCCTGAGCATGTGTCAACCAATACCAGTGGATTCTGGCGATATGTGGGAGTTGGGTTAGCTCATCAGATTGGATTGCATAAGGAGCCAACGAATAATAGGGATGCTTCCTTGAGGCGCAGGCTGTGGTGGACTCTATTTGTAAGTCAGGAATGTGCTTCTTCGCTAGTCTAGAAACGGACTGACATCAGACAGGCGAGGGATTGTTGTATTTCTGCAGGACAGGGCCGGCCACTAGCAGTGAACCTGGAGGATTGCGAGGTGGCACCACCCTGTCCTGAGGATTTCCATGATTCAAGCTCAAATGCTATTCTGTTTATCGCATATGTCGAGATCAGTTCGATTCTGGGTCATCTCACGGAGTACTGTCGCCGCAAGACCCTCACACGTCAGGTTCGACAGAACCTCGAGAATCGTTTATATCGATGGATACGCGGGCTTTCACCATCGCTGCGCTTGTTTTGCAGCCATAATACCTCAGAAGATGCAATATCACCGAAAAGAACATTGGCCCAATACAACTTTGAAGCACGTCAGCTTCATATCCCATACTTCACCTGCCTCGCAATAATGTGTCGACCTAACCCGGGAGAGTCTGCGTCATTAGGAGTGCTTTTAGCATCGTCCTTTGTGGCAGGGATATTTGAAGACTTCCTTGCTCGAGACGAGATCCAATTCCTAAGCCCAGTATTCACATTCCACCTTTTGGCTGCCGGAATCGGGCTTCTCTCATGCAATAACGTACCATCGCACCGGGAGGAGGCAGCAGTTAGCTTGGAATCCATCTACCTGGCCCTCGAGGAACTCGCAAAACGCTGGTCATCTGCAAAAGGCAGTCTAAGAGCATTGAAGAGCATTGCTGAAAAACAGCGGAGCGCATCAACAACAGATGAAATGCCGTCGATGGGGATGTCTAGAGAACACGAACTATTTTTTGAAGGATTTGGCCCAGATCTCTCCTGGGCTTGGCCATATTTCTTGGATCTCGGACAAACTGTGGGGCCTGATGGCAGCACAAATCGAGTTATGGTAGCCGGGACTCCAGAGGTGCTAGGAAATTGGCCCGAGTCCCGGGTACCGGATGGTTTATCCTCGGATGAGTACAGACCACTCACGACGATTTTGGACCGCAACGAGGGCCTCGCTATGGGAGATATTTCGCAAGATATTCCAGGTGATTTCTTTAATCAATACCAGGGAATGGGGGACTGGCTGTTCAAGGATTTGGAATGGAATGGCGAGATTGCCTAGTAAATTTATTGACTATATACCCATATACCCGAACTCTTGGATTTTATAAAAACCTTTATAGAGAATATGACAACTGGTAAATATGTAGATTCTCGTGAATATATCTTTTGATTTCGGCCCTCGGTGAATTTCGGCGACATAGAACTGGGGATATGAAAATGCGGGGGATCTACAAACATGCATCGCATCGTACACAAGATGGTAAACCGGCTTTACACAGGATATCAATTTTAACACACTCTTCGTACAGTTGACATCATGCCGGAAATTCCATCTTTCCCCAATCTCTCCCTTGAGAGACATGGGAATGTATTCGTTTTGACCATGCAGAAACCCCCGGAGAACCGGTTGAACTCATTGTATTGCCGGGAGATGATCCGGGCCTATCGCACCGTAGAAAGAATTCTAGGACCGGACTCAGAAGGGGCAGTAATCACGCGAGGCAATGATGCCAAATTCTGGTGCACTGTACATTGAAGTCCTCGAAACATAGCAACAGTGGAAGAACTAACAGAATACCCCAGGGACTCGAGCTGGATGAATCAGACCACAACCCATTTGCCAATACAGATGGGTTCTATCCAGTGAGAACAGCTCTCGACCCGGGTTTGAGCAAAGACGCTATGAGAGACCACACTAACAACCAAAATCCAGCTTATTCACACGATCCTGGACTTTTCATTCCCAACAATCGCTCTATTAACTGGGCACACCTTTGGCGGTGCCTGTCCACTCGCACTGGCACACGACTACCGAGTTATGAACTCCCGTCGTGGTTTTATATCCATGCCCCCTGTGAACCTAGGTCTGCACTTTGATGGAATCGGCTCGCTGCCTCGTCTCAAGCTGCGTCCGCAGGTCGCGCGTAAGATGCTGCTTGAGGCTCATAAGTGGACTGGACCTGAAGCACTACAGGATGGCATTGTGGATGCAGTTGCAGAGCCAGAGGAGATGCTGAATGTTGCTTTGGAATTGGGGGCGAAGTGGGCGCCTAAAGCGAAGATGGGGTAGGTTTTGGTCTGTCCAATTCGTTCTGACAGGAAGGATGTTTGCTAATCCTGGAAAGGGTGTATGCTTTGCTTCGTCAGGAACTTTGGGGGGATGCTATTAAGAAGTTTCAGCGTATTAGTTATGTTCATAGCCGGGTGACTTCGGCGCCTGCTAAGGTCAAGATTTGATACGGATATTGAGATCAAGTGCGTGTACATATATGTAAATATCTAGTTATTGAAAGGAGAACCTTGAAACTTGACATTTTCACTATTCAATTTGACTTTATAGCCTAGCTTTCTCCATGCTCCATACTTGTACCTCAGGTAATTCTCGATAGTTAAGCGGAAAGAACTGCGGTCCCAATATCTTCTTCTGCACCTTTCCCGTCCCCGACTTGGGCAATTCAGCTTGAACCACACGGAGGATAGTCGGCATCTTATACCCAGCCATTCTATCCCGCAGATCTTCCCGCAGCTCGGCGATTGTGAGGCTCTTACGTGTCGTGTTTTGATCTTGTTTGAGACTGACAGTAGCAGCAACTCGTTGACCAAACTCCTCATCTTCAACGCCCACAACCATGACCTCTGAAACATAGTCGAGCCCCAGGATCTCACGCTCAATATCTAATGCGGAGATCTTGTAGCCACCTGACTTGATGATGTCGATTGAGGCACGGCCTAGAATAAAATAATATTTTCCTTCGCGGCGGGCAATATCTCCCGTTTTAAAGTATCCCTCGGCGTCGTGGGCATCCGCCGTTGCCTTTTCGTCGAAGAGGTACCTGTTGAGAATATGTAAGAAGATGGAAAGCCATGACTCCTCGAAAGGGCATTCGACTTGCTTGGAAAACATATAAGGGCACTTTACTAATATCTGACCTTCATCAGTAAGCTTGAGTGAGATCGCCTCAGCAACACAGCCAACACTGTTTTGCGGCGTTCCATCGGAATCAAGTTCAGTTTTGATGACTGCACCAAACTCCGTTGCACCATATCGGGTGAGAATTGGCGTGTTCCTGATTCTGTGCCAGAACTCTTGTACAGGCCCTGGAAGTGCCGAAGTACCACATAGCATTGCTCTAATTTGACGCGCACCAGCGATATACTGGTCCCTTATCTCTGGAGCTTGGTGTGCAATGTTCTCTTCATAATAACGCATCATACGCATGTATATAGTGGGAACTCCAGAGAAAAAGGTAAGACCTCCTTGTCTCCAGCGCTCCCACGTCCACGCTGTATCGAAGCTGCCACTGCGGAACTCGATACACGCACCAGCTGCGAGGAACGGGAGGAAAGTCAAACCCACACCAGAGGCATGATGCACTGGAAGGACATGGAGGACTGTGTCTTTGTCTGTGATTTGATAGTAGGCTGCGTCGGCCTCCCCATTCCCAGAGATATAACTGCGACGCTGCACCGCGCCCTTGGGGGGCCCTGTCGTGCCGGAAGTGAAGATCACCAGTGCTGCCGCGTTCATGTCTGGAACCGGGCCAGAGGAGATGGTCGCTTCATCTGAGGGAAGAAGCGTGGGGCGGAAATAAGATGCAATTGGGGATATACATGGGATGTGCACGCCTTTGCTTTCTCTCATATACCTGAGTACGGACTGGGCGTTGTTTTCGCTGGTTGTGCTAGCTACCAGAGCTACACATTGCGCTTTCAATAAGAAATACGAGGCTTCTTCTGCTGGCAATGCGGCAGCTGCTGCTTATCAGCTATGCATCTTCTTCTAGAATATTAAGCTTACCCATAGGTACAACTGCTGCACCGATTCCGAGGATTGCGATGAAGCCGACAGCGTATTCATAGCCCCCCAGTGCAAGCAACCCAATGTATACCTCTTTATCCGCAATCAAATCACGTCGAGCTCCATTGCTGAGCGATCCTTCTAAAGCCTTGCAAAAGGCTAGAACATCCGAAACAAGATGATGGTATGTCTTTTCCACACCGGCAACCAAGTCCCGAATCACAATGGGCGAGGGCCTACGTTGCGCATAACGCAATAGTCTGTGGAAAAAGGGAAGATTTGGCAACACATTGTCTCCCACATGTGGAGGTATGAATAGAGTGCGGTCTCCCATTTTGCTTGAACGTTGGAAAATGTTGCCTCCACTGCTGAGCTGGGATAGTTGACCGTCTTGGAAGGTTACCCCGGCCATTGCATTCGAATATACACACTGCGGCAACACATCATTCCTCTGAACTTACCAGCCAATAACTGATTGCTATACTCTGTCTGTTCGGCTACTTGCTACTTCCGCGGTTTACATTTACCCTGTGGGGTATAAGTGCCGGCAATCGGTACTCGGTGATTTTGGAAATACTACATATGGGTTTAGCCAAGACAAGTTGATACGGCTATTTGGTCTATGAATAAATTCGAGGGTATAGAACTGTAATTGAGATTGAGATACAGAACTTCAAGAATTTAAGGATTCAAAATGCCTGACTTCACGGATAATCTCCGCCCAGGCCAACCGGATGGGCCAACGACACTAGCCCGGGAGCGTCAACAATCCAACATCGCCACTGAAGAGCTAGGGAAGCATTTGCTGGCTTCAGATGGATTTTTGGAACGGCAAGCTCGGATCCTGCCTATCATCCAAAAAGAGCCACTTTTCTCCAAGGACCAGCAACAAAATCTCTCCAGACCGGAAAGGTTCAAGCTGGGAGTTGCACGCGCAAAACTATTACGCCGAATGAGAGACGCGCACAAATGGAGTTACCTCGAATATCAAATGGCTGAATACCTGGTCGACGACGTGTCGCCTTACTTCCTGCACATGGAGATGTTCATCACGACCATCCGCGAACAGGCAAACGAGGAACAGAGGGCGTACTGGCTGCCCCTGACCGAGTCTTGGAAGATTATTGGTGCATATGCACAGACAGAACTGGGCCACGGGAGCAATGTCCGTGGCTTAGAGCTTGAGGCGCGTTGGGATGGCCGGACTAAGGAGTTCATACTGCATAGCCCGACCCTTACGGCGAGCAAATGGTGGAACGGTAGCTTGGGCCGTTTGGCCAACCACACTATTGTAGTTGCGCAATTGCTTCTCCCGGACCCTAGCTCACCGGGTCAATACGTTTCGCATGGTCCTCATCCGTTCATTGTGCAAGTGCGGGATATGAAAACACATCAACCGTTGGACGGAATTGTTGTTGGAGATATTGGTCCGAAATATGGCTATATCACTATGGACAATGCGTATATGCTGTTTAACCAGTTCAGGTTCGTCCCTCATTTATATCTTGCGAGTATATTCGCTAATGATATGTTAGAATCCCACACTCTGCTATGCTATCACGATACTCAAATGTCGACCCTAACACAGGGGTTTATACTAAGCCAGAACAGCCAGCTCTGATCTATGGATCACTGACATATGTGCGGGCGAATATGGTCCACCGCGCGAGACTCGTTCTCGCACGGGCAGTCACCATTGCAGTGCGGTATAGCAGCGTGCGACGCCAGTTCCAAGACCGGGACGGCGACAAGAAGGGACCGGAGATGTCTGTTTTGGACTATCCAACGGTCCAAATTCGGATCCTGCCTCTCCTTGCTACGACCTTTGCACTTCACTACACAGGTCTTGCCATGCAGGCAGTCTATCAAAACGCACGACAGGATATTGAGAAGGGGAATTTCAATTCTTTGGCTCACATGCACAGCATGTCTTCCGGATTGAAGAGTTTGTGCACTATCCTCGCTGCGGATGGCATTGAGACATGTCGACGTGCCATGGGCGGCCATGGGTTTGGTGGCGGGAGTGGCTTAATCCAGATCAACAGCGATTACCTCTCCAAGCCCACTGTTGAGGGTGATAATTGGATGATTACGCAGCAGGTGGCGGCGTATTTGATCAAAAAGATGACTGCTGCTGCTAAGTCGCCTGATACTGCCGGTATTGATGAGACCGAGGATAAATTCAAAGAGTTTATTCGCAACAAGCGCCGCTCAGGATCAGAACAGCAGACATACAATATCTTAAACAGTGATTTGGACATTGTTAAGAGCTTCGAGCGTCGAGCTACTGCTATGGTAATTTCTACAAAATTCATACAACCGAACAGCTTGGAACTAATAGTCTGCAGGCATACGACGCATACGAACAGAGAGTCATCAAAAAACAGAACTGGAACAGCCTTCTCATCCAGCTTCACAAACTAAGTCGAGGTAAGCCAAATCTTGAAACGAGATATCATTATATACTAATTCAAGACAAAAACACCAGCCCAGTCCGAGTCGATCATTGTCACGACCTTCTTTGGGGCCCTCTCCAATGACAAAACCCTCTCAACACCTATCAAAACCGTCCTATGGGACTGTTTCCGGCTGTTCGCATTATACAGCATGGAGAACGAAAGCTTCGAATGTAAGCCAACAACGACAAACCCGCCATTCAATTTCCCACAAACTAATAAATATGCCAGTCTTCCGCTCCACTGCCGTCGCCCAAGCAGATCTGAATAACCTAGCCAGTCGAGTCCAAGACCTAATGGCGCGTATCCGGCCACATGCTGTGAAGCTGGTTGACTCATGGATGATCCCTGATTACTTATTGGACAGGTGAGTTGTTATCAAGTCGCTTTCACATGGTTTACACAGTAATAAGGATGCTGACTTGATTATAGTGCACTGGGTCGACATGATGGCCGTGTTTATGAGGATCTATTTAATCGTGCTCATCGGTTGAATCCGCTGAACCGGATTACTTTTAACCCAAATTATTGGGAAGATGAGATTGTCAAGGGGAGTGGGGATAACGGGGGTAGTATTTTGTCGAAGTTGTAGATGTCTTTGTCTGCTACACAAGTCGTGTTGGAGACCATTGAGCGAATAGTTTGTATGCATAGATAGACCCAATGTTTTATTAAGTCTGTTTCAGTATCGTACTGTATAGCTATTGAATTGACCATAGGTCGCTCTAGTTCATACAGATCGGGGCAATAAATTTGAAAATAAGCGCTGCGCGCAACCAAAGGTTCGCGCATAGATGATTATTAGTTCGATGCAAGTATTTAACGCACTGCACTGTAGAATTATAAACTCTAGATAGTGCCAAACTGGTAGGTAGCCCAGTTAACAGATGGCCCATCATCAGGACCAAAGACCTGGTAGGGAACACGACCCCACTCAGGGTTATTGATACCATCGATCCAGTCCTCGGTCTCGATAACGAAGCATCCGTACTTGTTAACGTGGGTAGCACCGGCGTCACCACCATCGGCCTTGTTGCGCTTCGCCTGCGACTGCTTGGTGGGAATGAAGCCGTTCTGCCCGCTGCAGGTGTAGATCTGGAGTGCGGCTTGGTTGGTTGCGACATCGAGGCTGATACCGGTGACGCTGGACGAGGCGCTCAAGGCCGTGACCATCGAGTCCGGCGCGTATGTTGAGGGTCGGTCAATGAGGAAGCATGTGTCATAGCCAGCACACCCGGCGCCGCAAAGGCCGGTAGTTTTCTTGATGTCCTTGCCAATGGTTTTGGGGCTGGTGAAGTCCAGAGCTCCTTGGTAGGTGTTTTCAACGTCGTGGATGGTACCGTTCGGGATCAAGATGCTGTCTCCTCCGATGAAACGCTTGGAGAGGGGAAGCTGCAAGGTATCCTCCAGCACGGTGGATTCTTTGAACGCGTTCAGGTTCCAGTACAGGTGATTGGCCAGCATGATGGGGGTCTTCTTTGTAAGAGAGAGAGCCACCAGCTTTGTGGTCAACTGAGGAAGTCCCTTAGGGTTGGCTGAAGACTTCTCAGTAGACACGCTGAAAGTAGCATGAGTAATGACATCTCCGGGGAACTTCTCAAAACCTTCATCGAGCAAAGAGAAAGTAATCGAGGAATCGCTGTGCGAAGTGACTGTCCAGTTGCGCATATCATATCCGGTGAAGCCACCGTGAAGAGTGTCTGCGCCATCGTTCTCATTCTCAGGAACGTGGTAGTCCTTATCATCAATGGTGAAGGTACCGTTCTTGATACGGTTGGCATAGCGACCGACAACCGCGCCGAAGAAGGTGCGGTTGGTTTGACTATCATGCAAATATTCTTTGGGGTCATCGTAACCAACGATCACATCTTGGACGTTGCCGTTGCGATCTGGAACCAGCAAGGAGGTGAGGCGCGCGCCATACGGAACCAGCTTGGCAGTGATGTTCTCCGCCTTGATCGTATAGGTCTTGAAGTGATCGGCATTTACGCCAGCAGGAGAAGCGGAGGGCGCAGCATTGGCCAGGGCAGGCAGCCCATATAGGGCGGCAGTCACATAAGACTTAAGATGCATTTTGATACCCAGGAGAGTTGTAACTGAAAGAAACAAGATACAGAAGAAGAGGAGAAAACGGGGGGTGATCCGGGTAGGGCAGATTAATGAACGGAGCCTACCGAGGGGTACAGGCATTATATGAGAAGCTCCGTTCAGATCGCAATAAACATTTCCCAATTTGCGCTAACCTCCCTCCGCATGGCTTTGACGCTAGGGGGCGGGGGTATGGACGGAAACCGGGGTAAAGGTACTGGTAAGACCAGGATTTATCCGAATGCAGGTGGTATGACTGAGATGCAGGTTAACTATTGGACTGTTGGCCAAAGCAGGTAGTAGATTATGAGAGGAGAAGATCCGAGCCCCTATTCGAGGGATGTAACTTAAGAAACGGGGCTCCAGTCAAGCTCAAGAGGCGTTCTGCCACTGACGGCACGGAACAAATGTTACTTTTGAGTCCGACTGGCAAAACTCCGGTGGAGTAGCTTCGGAGTTCGGTTCTTTGTTGATTATCTGCCGAGAGCTACCGCCTTTGAGTCAGCATTCTCTTTCCAATTTGGGTTAGTTCCTTCGGAGGTTCCTGGAAAGGTTCCATCCTCCCATTTGTCCAACTCTACCCCGTAGGACTACCTACATTACATACATTACATGTCAAGACAAAGAAAAACAATTCGCTACTCAATGAGGCCCAAATACCGCTTCATCCGATCATACACATAGAAACTTGTTGCCACCATAGGAGCCATTTTCACATAGCCAATGGTCAGCCCAACATAAAAACCTCTCACTCCCCTCTCCAAAAAGATACGTTGGGCTGTCTCCAAAATGCCTGATCGGGCACCAACCACACTTCCGACTTGCATTCGCCGTCGAATGATATCAATCGGGTAAGAAATTGTTTGAGCGACTATGCCAGCGACTGCTCCACAGGAAAGCTGCGCAACTGCTGTCAGTCGAGTGGAAGATTGCGCTTCTAGAGTATAGGGCGCAAGGATAGGCGAGCGAAGCCAATCTCTAAGTAAATCGTGGGTGAGGAATGACGTGCCAGCATACGGAAGTATACCTAACATGGTCGGGGCGATTCCACGATAGAGATTTGACAAGCTCCCGCTACCTCCTCCTTCGAAGTAAATTTTCCGAGAAATACCCAGCCAGGAGGAGGGATTCTTTTGTACTGTTTCAAAGGCAAGGCGTGTACGGATCAACTCAAGAGGATATGTGACCAAAGTAGAGGTTGCACCGGCCATACTTCCGCACAAAAATCGACGCCATGGTGCTTCTTTCTCGGGAGATGTGATCATTGCCGCTCGGAATTGTTCATATGCGAGAAAGTTGATACCGGCATACGGGAAGACACGGACTAAGCTTGCTGAATGGCCTTTGAAAAGCCCAGATATACCATATGACGTTCGAATTGCCCTGGCAGCCTTGATTAACCCATTCCAGTGGGTTGAATACTGCACAAAATGAGAATGGGAAGTTTGAAAAAGGATCCTGATCCTTTCCAATGGGGCGACAATAGTTTTGGCCTACATTACTTAGCATCAGCAATCTAGGTACTGTTTGTAGCTTAGGTGGTAAGGCTCACAGCGCAGCCCGCGACGCCTCCGGCTAGGCCATTTCGTAAAACAAAGTCTAAATTTCGACTTTCTTTGTTTGGTTTTTGCAATTGATAAATGTGATGACTGCCTTCTATCTGCGTTGACGTTTTTTTCGCGATTGAGGGACTAATGCCCGTGTCCCTCATTTCCCTGAGAAGAATCGGCAGAGGCTCAGAATGACGTGAACTGAAGAAGCAAATCAAAGTCAGAATCAGCATATGGAAAGAAAAGTATATAGAATTACACTGAAAACGCACCTCGGCAGTCATCAGACACATTCCCCAGTACTTTGTACACACTGAGGAGGAGAGACGAGGTGAGAGTGAGGGAAGGGAGTAAGGATGTGCGAGAGTGTGAAGGAGGAGAAATGCCTCGACAATCAAAGGGATAAACAAATAGCACAGTGACTTACAGCGACCGTAAGGATCATCCAAGAACATTGTTGTGAGAACAACGTAATTGACCCCTGTCTACTGCAAGAACTCGAAACGGAGATAAGTCCTAACTCCGGCCACTTTTAACCAACTCAATCAAATCAAAATGATCTCAGTGAACAAATGAGGCTAGACTTTATATATCCTGTAACACAGGAGTAATCTGCAATTAATTATCGGCTGCAAGTTTTGTCAAAGCTACATAAGTCTATGTCTAGGCGTAGGGAATAAAATGCATACTTCAACTGACAGCTCAACTGACAGCGTAACTGAATCTGGACATACTTATTGATGGAAAGTTCGTGGTCGAGTGCAATATTTGCCTTGTTCTGAGAGATATATCCAAGTACACACTGAAAAAAATGAAGACGTAGACCAATAACACATAAAAATGGTCTTAACTCTTTAACCACCCGCCTAGTCGTAGGCTAGTAAGATATCCCAAATGTGTTGATTCATCTTCTCTGACATTTAATTCCTCTATATCCTGGAGGACCTTCTCAATGTAATCTCCTGCACCACTCAATTTCATTATGATGGCGATTGCACGATGGACTTGGAAGAGACGGGAGAAGGGTGAATCGATTGCACCACCGGGGCTCAGTGTTAGTGTACGAGTGACGGGAAACAAAGGATCCCGCAAGAACGGAACCTGCTCTGTCGAGTCAATCCTATACTGATGCGGTATACCGGTGGGCTCGAAAAATATCTGGAACTCGCCGAAGAACCGGTGGTTGTCCAGCGTTAATGTGAGGGCATTCATAGGGGTATCAATCTTTGGGCCATCTATGAGATGACCGATACCGGCCTCGAACATATCCAAGACTCGGAGAACATTTTTCTTTGAATCACTCTAAGCACTACATTAGAATGATCGAAATGATCCACATATATATAATATCCCTGTTTTGCACATACCAAGTCTGTGTCTTCGGAAGCTATCGTTGTCAGGCAGCGAGGTAAAATGTGAGCAACCTCCAAATATTCAAAGTCACCATTAGGCTCATCTTTCAACAGCTTCCCGTCATCGTCGGCGCAAGATTCCCCATTCTCTGTGAAACGATTTCTGGCCGTTGCTCTGTCAAATTTCCGAGAAACCACACATCGATGGTGGTCACGCACAAGACAGCTCTGTCGTAGAATAGATACACGCTGCTCTGTTCCGGTTGGGGCGGAACTCTGTGAGAACAACGATCTGGGCCTTGATTGTGGTGTTTTAAGAGATGCGGCTCTAACTGGGATAAAGGATGAGCACATGCTTTTTTATAGAGATATAAGTGAGTGACCCACGAGGTAGGAGAAATTCGTCAACAATAAGCTCAGCAAAGTTTTCAATAGCTTTGTTGAGATTAATTATTTGTTCAGATTCCCATGATGCGAAACCATCGAGGTAGGATAAGGCGCAAGTAATGTCGAAATCCACCACGGACACCATGTCTGAGCACAGATCCTCATAGATGAATGACAGGAAGAGATTTAAGAAAGTATCCAAAGAGGCAACTTGTTCAAGCATAGCATGAATAAGCGCGGCAGGCTTATAGCCCTTCCGCACAGTCTGGTCAGGGCCATAATGCCGCACAAGCTTGATCACAAGATATTTTGCTGACTCGCACTGCTGTAATGTTAGAGAAAGGGGCATCGAAAAGCTGAAAACTCCTTCCGAGAACTGACGACGGCGTGCGGCCATCGGAGTATCCCTTGGGAGCCTGGCTAGTCTTGGGATGAAGTGAAGGAGCGGGCCGGGCGGCATCTACTTCCACACCCTACCTATATGACCAACAAACCTAGATCTCAATCCTCACAAAATTCATAAATTTTTGAGGCAATTTTCGAGAGTCATATTGCTTGCTGCATTAGTATCGTCGAATTTGTCGTTACTCACTCGTGACCGCTGTCATTCTGTTTATTTCTCCATGGCTACGTCAAGAAGCCCGTTGACCGTGATCGGTACAGCATCGCTGGACTTGGCGGGTCTATCGCTAACATTGGAAGATTTCTTTTGGTAAAACCGGATGTTCATATTCTCGTAATAATTGACACTTGACAAATTAATTCTAATAACTACTTCCCAAACGCTCAAGCATAAACTCCCTTTTGGTTGTTTTGGTGACGCCAAATCTCAACCTCACCTCCACCGCGAATCACCCCGACTCGCATTGAGGAAAGGAGGTTGTGAGCGGCATTGGAGTGAGTATAGACACCACCGTTGAACATAGCAGTGGCATCCTTCCCAACAGCCGATGAAATGAGAGTTTTGCCACCAGGGTGTTCTGAGATAAATTTGCTCACATCATGAACAACACCAGCAATGGCAACGAGAGCCTTGCCACTTTGAGCCTCTGCAACGAAATCATCCCAGTCGACAACAGGCAGCTGATCTAGAGGAACACCCCAGTCAAGCTTAGCGCGCTTCTGGTCGAGCTTCTTCTGTAGTTGCTGCACACGACCCTTCTCAATTTCGTTGGCTCGGAACTGCTTGAGGTTGGAGGCCAGACCGAGTTGCTTCCATACCCAGATTGACCACTTCGTGGGATCATATTGCCACCATTGGATGGCATTGCGGTAGTCGGAGGGGAACTGGTCAGGGATTAGGGGTGCGAAACAAATGCAAGGGAAGAAGCTTCTTACCTCGTGGTGGAAGTTGTGGTAGCCTTCGCCGAGAGTGATAAAGGCGGTAATGACGTGATCGCGAGGTGAGTTCCTGTCATCGAATGGCTAAAACGTGTCAGTGAACAGGAATATAACAAGCGCAAGATGTGGAAAATGACTGACCTGCTCACCCAACCAATGGGCGAGCGAATTGACGCAGAAGGTGGCTTGCTGGACAAAAGAAAACCGAAGAATTCCAGCATATACAAGACCGCCCTTCCAATCGCCCCATCCCAGGCCAGCAACGAGCATAGGGAACAACATCCCGAAGACCAAGATGACAGATCCATAGTTCTTGTGCTGCCACACGACGACAGGGTCCTCATTCAAGTCGGAGATATCGGTCCGGCCACGGTTTTTGGGGTTTTGATTCAGAACCATCCACATAAAGTGCGAATACCAGAGACCCTTCATGACGCTGTATGGGTCCTTCACTGTGTCGGTCCATCGGTGGTGGGCCCTGTGTTTACTACTCCACCACCGGATCGAGCCTTGGACGGCGCCACCACCGACACATGCGAGGAATATTCTAATTGGAAGGCGACTGGAGACATCGGATATCAGTCAGTGCTTGATCCAAGGCAAATAAGGGGGCGAGGCAGGAGCAGACTTACGCTTCGTACGATCTGTGCGCCCATAGACGATGGTAGCCGGCAGTGATACCCAGTCCAGTCCAGAAGTAGTATAGAAATGCCCAAGCAACAGTGATTGCCCTGAGTGGTGTATAGAATGCAGCGATGAGGCCACCAACGGGCACGATCAGAATGAGGGTGGTGTTGATCCAGTTGACATGTTGGTACCAGTTACTGAGTGTAACAGGCTTCTCACTGATATGCTGTTTTTCATCACTTGGCTCTGTTTTAGCCATTGTGGCGGTGGATTTGAAGACTGTAGGTCTCGAGGAGTTTATGAAATCCACCGGATTGAATTGAGAGATGAAATATATTTCAAATTGCCTTAAGCCAAGGACATTATTGGACATAACTATATATTTCATACCTTAAACCATCAGTTGATGTTCCTCCCAGCAAGAAAGTGTTGAACCGTTGGGAATGTCAGGCAATGTCACAGATGCCCATTTCCCCGAACTCCCCCCAGCCTTAAATCCACAATAAAACATTGGATTTTCATTCCAAGACCCATTAGTAGTTAAAATTTCTTTTATTTTCGTCGATATCTGAGCGTTAAATAATCAGAAATTGAGAGTCGCAAGTTGGCTGATTCTGGACCGATCCTGCTTTCCGGGGCCAAAATTCGAATATGAAAAAAAAGTCTGGAATCCAACGTCAAGGCATGAGTTTTACTCAACGGTTTCGACACATGGTTCTCAAATAGCTGAACTGATTTGGCGGTTTGTTCTTGTCAGGAGTATGTGGCCATGTTGGTAATATCCATTAAATAGTTATAACTAACCAATATATAATTACGGCAATATGAAGTACATAAAAAAAAGTATTGTTCAGCTGTAAATCCTATTGGCTACAGTTTGCTTGATATTCACTGCGAGGCTGAAAGCGATGGGATTAGGGGCTAATTGCCAAGCCAAAAAGTAAATCTGGAAAATAGGTACCGTTTGTATGGCGTGTCCATACAAACAGTACAAGTAATCCAACATTCCAGATGTCCCTAGTCACAGGAGTCCCGACCCTGTGGGCAGCCGTAGGCCAACGTATCATCCGCCAAGACAGACCAGGCATCCTGGAATGGGCCACATATTGATTGGCAGCCAGCGCACGTTGCTATCCACCCGATTTTGGTCGGCTTCTTTCGGAGGTCCACGCGTAATGCCCTCTCCACGGACATTAACGCGTTCAGCTAGCTCGGCGATGACCACCGGTTCAGACCCTTTCCCACCGGACAATCTACGACCGGGCGACTGCGCTTCTAATAATCCGTATCGCGGTATCTCACCACCTTATGTACAATTCTCCCTGGGTACTTCTTACTACACCTATTCATCCTTCCAGACAGCTCCCGGAACTACAATAGAGAAGGTACAAATGATGAAATAATGCAGTTTCAACGAAACAATCTGCTCAACTAGGGTTTAAATAAACAATTGTTTTTTCTGTTTATTAATTGCAGCAGATAAACTACAACAGCCTTTAGTTTTCCATGGCCTTCCTGAATATAGACAGGAATAGCGACTCCGCCTTCTTCATATCAACTTTGGCTGCTTGTCCCGTCAGCCGTTGGGATCTGCATATAATCTGATCTTGTAGGAACTCCCAGTCAACACCGACAAGCTGACCATCCTGCTTGACGATCTTTCCGTCGATGATAACGGTGTCAATATTCTTGGGCGATGCATGGAAGACCACAGTTGCAACGGGGTCCACAACGGGCACTGTATCAATGTCGTCACAGCGGAAGATCACCAGGTCAGCCTTTTTACCTGGAACGATAGAACCAGTCAACGACTCCGTGTTCATGACCTCTGCCCCTCCCAGCGTTGCCATGCGTAATACGTCTACTGCCTTCCTGCGGACATCTCTCTGGACTGTCCGATGATCGCAGTCGCGAGCTCGTTGCGTCTGAAGCGCCAACCTCATCTGTGCCATGAAGTCATTACCTTGATTCGAAGTAATATCAAGTCCAAGGCATGTCCGACAGCCCAGATCAGCAGCTTTCCATACTACGGGATATCCCATGCCCATTTGCAGCTCCGTATCGGGTGTCCCAACAATGCCAGCCCCTGAAGTTTGCACCGCAGCCAGCTCGCCATCTGTCATCCAACCTCCGTGACTGAATACGAGGTCCGGCCCCATCAGCTTCGCATCAGCATAATTCTGTACGACCTCAGGCTTAGGGACCCCAGGGGATGCCACTGAAGCATGTACGGTCGTGAGCCTAGCTTTGAGCTTTCTTGCGAGATCCAGTTCCCCGATGTTATCTTCCTGGGATTGCGTTGGTGGATCGTTCAATGCAATGCCGAAAGTGAGAAGCGAGCTCTGCGGATCGTTGATCGGGAAGTATTGCTGGCGCACACGGAGAGCATCGTCGACTCGTGCAGCCTGGTCAAATGTGTCTGTCGCATTACTCTCAAAATCCCCGGGTTCTTTTGGGTTCTGGTAGAATCCATAGCAGAATGTACCTCGAATAGCAGCATCCTTCAACCCCTTCACAGCTGCATCGGCATGTGCAGGCGAGTTTAGTACGTGGCAGTGGTCCAAGACGGTTGTGACACCATTGTTGATTAGACTTAATGCAGCAGCGTAATTGGCGAAGTAGACATCGTCCGGTGTGTACAAACTCCCATAGACACTCCTCAGGTGGCATGCATAACCAAATAGAGACCAATCAACCGTAATACCACGCAGGAGGTGCTGCCACATGTGATGGTGGCCGTCGACGAACCCTGGAGTAATAATGCAATTTTTTGCGTCGATGGTAGACAAATTGCTCTCAGTTGGCAAAGATAAGTCTTGGCCTATAGCCTTTATCCGATCATTTTCTATCAGAATGTCACAATTGTAAAGTGGCTTTCCATCTGGTGCCTCCATAGAGATCACCGTTCCCCCTTTAATATGAATGTATGAGTTTGGCATAGTGTAATGCCTTCAACCACGATGATAGATCGGAAAATAGTGTAGAAACACAAAGCATAATACAAACAATTTTCGAGAAAGTAAATGTATTTTTTATGGTTGACGTCACTCACTCCGCCTCATTCAAAGTTCTTCTCATCCCCAATGGCATTATTCTAAGACAAATCCCAGATTATTCCCTTTAAAATAAAAAAGAAAATAAAAGAAATTACCGTAGGGACAGTGAATTTCGAATTGTCTATAAAAATTAATCGTCAGTCGCAACAACAGCCCCTGAAGCACGTATAGCAACTGCAACCCTCCTTATACAAGGAGGCTATTCCGACTGAAGTAACCGACTGCTATGTCATTGCCCGCTATCCGCCCACTTCTTTGTTATTTGATTCATCGTGGGGGTTTTTTTTTTGAATTGAAACAACTTCACCACCTCAAAAGAAAACTGTAAATTAACAATGCAAGTTTCATTACAGGGCGGATCGAAGCCTACATAAAGCATAGCAAGAGGTGCGGGTCCATTATCATTGGACCTGAACCGCGAAGGCAAGCTTTACGCATTTTAAAAGGTCTCAATAGGGATGAAAACGTGAGATATAACTTTATCTTTAACAAATATAAACCATACATAATATAAAGACCTCCAGAATACGCATTTCCCCGCGCCTATATTTTCACTAAAGTGGATTATCTTTAGATGAAGTCTAAAGGTCTCTTCAAAACTTCACAGGATCCTCATACAAAGGAGTACTCGGAAGTTTAGACGCAAGCTTTCCTTTCTTCTTGCTCTTCTTGCTGCTCGTGGAAAAAACAAACACTTTGGGCAGTTGTCCTGGCTCTGGGGTATGCTGCTCAATGGCGTACTCGGTTTCGACAGTCTGCTCTGGTACCGTAGGGCTGTATGACCTGGGTGGTTCGTTTTCTGATTCAGGCTCACTGGCAACAACGCCCTCAGGTAGTCCGATTGAACTGAAAGAGCTCTCAGACAATGCTTCTTGATCGTGTAGTACCTGAGCCCCGGCACCCACGTCCGAATCTAATGACATGGTCAGCGTACGCCATGACCTAGTATCAGTTCTTTTCTCTTACCGAGCCCTCTGATACCAACGAAGCGCCGACACGTATCAGAACCCTTCGTAAGAATCCACAGTTTTTTGGTTAGTTGTTCCCGGAGACTTTGGCTTTCCCCCGATTCACCAGCAATTTCAGTGACCAGGTCTTTTTCCATCTCAAACGCAGTTATGGGAGTAAAAAGTGCTGGTAGTGCACTTAGAAGCTTGACTTCGATCACCTCGGTGGCAATGTCGTCAACGAAACGTTTCAGTGCAACCTATATTTGGCAGTAGCGTGATTAATTGGATGTCTGGAAAACTATGACGCTCGCAGGACTTACTTTGTAGTACGCAAGCATACAGTCCAGTGCCTCTTCTGAGGCAAAACGTGTCATATCTGGTATGGTCTCCCGAAGGAGAGAGTTGTAAAGGCCTTGGAGATTGATTGTGTGTTGCACGGTGTGGGATGTTGAAAGTGTGTCAACACCGAAGTATGATTGAAGAGTCTCACGAAAAGCTTCTTTTTGGCGATTAGTCCGAGTTTCTTGAAGTGCTTCGGTGAAGTAGTGATTGTAGGTAATGGGATGACCTCGCTGATGCGGTATAAGGAACTCTTCGCTCCGTCTTTCTAGTGTACGTCGTAAATTTCCTAGAGCGGGTGAAACCACCTTGTTGAAAATGGTTTTCGAAGTAGTCCCATCTGCCACATAACAGACTGCCTGTTGAAGAAAATCCCTTGCAGCCACCCAAGTCGCAGCAATATGGCTTTGTGTGATATCTTCCCAAGGGCCGCACTGTTCTTGAAACAAATCCTTTACAATCAAAGGATTAAAGGTTCCAGGCAATTCTCGACCTCTTGTCCTTTTGAGAAGTATTTCTATATGCTGAACATATTCGTTTCTTGTGATAGGAATCTGATGCTTGGAGACTGATCTTTGATCTTCGTTTTCGAGAACATGCCGTAAATGGCCACGTAGAGAGATTTTCTTCGTAAATTGCTCATTCAAATTCTGAACGACTGCTCGGATACGCCTTTGATACCCAGTGTTCGTTTTCGCATCTTCAAAGAAAGGATCGTTGTAAGTGCCATCCACGGCTGCTTTCACAAGAGATTGGAATGCTTGGCTAATATGCAAAAGATATGACCTTTGTTCATCCACCGTTGCACGAGGGTTGCCGAGTTTTTGGAGTTGTACCCGACAGGAGTTGGCCTTTGTATTAATCTCCTCGATAAGGCTGGGGAGTTCAATTGCAATCTGACCAAGAAGCAGACCGCTAAGACGAGTTCTCAACGAGTCAACACCCACAAGAGATCGTGGAAGCTCTTCCCAAATCCCTTGAGAAAAGAACTCGCATTCCTGGGTATTCCGGTCAAGTAAACTCGACTGACCTTTCTCCGAATCCATATTTTTCAAAACATGCCATCCTAGACGGAACTCTACCTCTTGATTCTTAGCAAGCGACACAAACGAAGCTTCACTCTCAGATCCCGGTACCAGTACATCAGGTTTGGAGATAACACCGAGAGTCCGGACTCCAGATGGGTCGGCATCCCGCGCTAAACGTAGAACGATCTGGTTCGCAAAATCGTTTTTGGCGGACACAACAGCAAGGATAACACTTCTTGGTTCTCTCATATACGATTGAACCACGTCCTGAACCAACTGAACATCGGCTGCGGACTGCTGCCGTGTTTCCGAGTGGATAAGGCCTGGAAGATCGACAATCGTGAGATGTGGCCGATCCGGGCCCGAGACTTCAACCCGCAGGAGGTCATTCGAAAATGCTTTTCCATGGGTCGATATCCCCATTGCTGCCTTTGCATTGTCTATCAAATCTGCAAGGCCATTGAATCCATCGAGTTGTTCACAAAAGCTGCTAAGGGAATGCTGCTCCGCCTCGCTGCGGGATTGGTGAGGGACAATGGAAACTCGGACTCCTACTTGCGAGTTCTTCCGCAGAACCAACTCGGTTGGAAACCTAGTGCAGAGATTGCTTTTCACTGGAAATGATACTCCAGAAATAGCTTCGAGAACGGAACTCTTTCCGGAAGATTGGTCTCCACAGACGATTATCTGTGGGAGAGAGACATAGTGGCTGATGCCCTGTGATCGGAGCGTGTCGATGGAGTCCAAGAGATCGAGTTGCTCTTGGGTGCATAAGCCTTCGAGTGCCTCTGTCTTGAATTGTGTGAAAGTCATGATGAAGCTAGTGTTTTGAGGTGAGTATGGCGAGAGCGATATCATTGAAATAAATAGAGGAAGTTCCAACTTATGAGGGCATCCTGTGCGACCCGCATATTTATGTTCTCAAGGATACTTGATTCAAAGAACGCCTGTTTCTTTCCAAAACATCTTATCCCACAAATACCTAGTACTAAGGTTACAATTGAGCCTTTGCTTAGTCGCATACCATATCACGCGCGAGGGTATTTTATTTTGATACCCTTGCTTGATATCTCCATGATTTCTCACCAATGGACTTTCTCCGTTATAAACTCCATTCTTTGGCGTATTTTCATCTTAAAAACCGTGGTTTCCACCATGGAGAAATGGGGTAGCTGTTCCAATTGCATCAGATATGAAGGTATGATCACTCGCCTTGCCGTATAACCAAGAAAGAATGTTCGTTCAAGATATAGTCAACGGAACGTTCAATCTACATCTCTTTTAATTCCCAAGTAGTTGTTGACGGACTATTGAAGATCACCTAATGTACGCTTTCCCTTTTCCGGTCTTATAAACAGAGTGCTGTTTTAATTCAACTAGGGAATAGATCGACGGCCTGGCCAACCCCTTTCGCTCGCTGCAATCCAATAGCAACCTTACGCATTTCATTGCATGTACTTGCCCCATTGAAAGAAATTTTGCTATTGCAAGAGAGGTAGAAGCTCCTGCGATCCTTTTGGAATTTTGAGGATATCCTCCGTTGTCATCTCTTCTAAAGCAAAAGGATTCTGCCGCCTCCTATCTTCATAAAGGAGGTGCTCAAAGGCAGATTTCGCTGCCCGACTGAGCTCCCGAAGGATGTCTCCATGCGATTCCTCGAGAATCTTCACAAAATTTTCGAATACCTCCTCTGTCGGAGCAAGAATACTTTAACGGTCAGTTTAAATTATACCACAGCTCCAACGAGTGAAAAAAGGCTCACATTTTCTCGATGATCACCGGGCTAGTCACCTCGACCGACCGATCAAAATGAAGTAGGCATAGAATAGCATCCCCAAAGAATTCAGCCAAAATGTGTAAACGCTTCCCAAACTTTCGAAATTCCAACATTACTCGGCGCTTGCTCGTGTAAAGAGTTGAGCCAGGTTTGAGGTCTGGGAAAATATTTTCCATCATTTTGTTGACTGCTATAGCCACTTCAATCTTCCTCGGATTGCCTCTTGCTCTCGGTTGACCAATAAGCTCATCCTGGGGGGTTGCCTCTATAGCAAAATTCGAGGAATGCCCGACTGATCTACCAGTACATCGGTAGAGATGCAATATATGATTACATCGCAGGATCTGGAGAAAAGCTGCGTTCTCGTGAATTTCACTGATGATTTTGAAGCGTTCGTTGATGGTTAGATCACGCGATATCCATCTTCGGCTTTGGACGCTGTGCATTTCGCCCCTCGTTTCTCTCGTGTATTTAAGGGCTGCCCGGAGAGCAACAAGTGATTGGGAGCCACCCACTCCAATTAGAAAGATACAAAGACTAGGAAACATTTCTGGACCCAGATTTAGCAACTTGTTCGCAATTTCGGGCCTGAAATAAGTGTTGTCTGGGTGCGGCAAGCCCAGAACCCGATTCATTTCAGCTTCGCGACACAGTGATGATCTGAATCCAATATCAACACAGCTAGCTTTACTCTTTGGTTTTTCCGTACCGCCAGCGTCTTTCCTCTTGCCTGTAGAACGCCGACTGGAGGATGGCTGGTTGACCATGAGATGAAAATCCTCTGCGAGAGAAGGAAGGAAATTCTGTTTAGCTTGTTGAGGCGAGATCTCTACCTCATGCAGTCTTCCTTGATGCATTTCTTGGAGTGAAAATGGATGAAAATTCTGAGAAACATGGGCACCCTCTACAGGTCGACCCAAGTCCTCGGGTAAGGGAGATTGCGAGGCCGGGCCGGTGAAATGAAGTTCGTCTAAAAGGACCTCTTTGAGTTGGCCCGTTTCATCGTAAAATACCTCAAAGTTAGAAAAGCACCCTAAGTCTGGAGGGGTAGCAAGATCAGGAAGAGCGGGATCTTCGTGACTGAAAAAATCGATCTGTTTGGTCTGAACAGGGTTGCTTTGATCGGAAGGAGGCATAAGCAGCAGATCACTTTGCTCATCTTTGAATATCCCCATCAAGCTAAATCCGTCAACATTCTCGTCCAGGACACTATACGCAATTAGACTTTGATTCTACATATTCTTAAGGGTATAGAAGTAGACTCACCCTAGAGAATAAAGGCCATTAGCCACGGACGTTAAAGACTTTTTTCTCCGGTATATAGCTCCGATAAGGGCACTTGTTGCTAAGGCAAGAACCCCTGGCGAGCGAGCGCCAGCCCGAAAATGAAACTTCAAGTGCTTGTCAATGCCAGTACGCTTTGCAATGTCTGCACGGTGTTGGTTACCGTTGACACGGCATTTGAGCTTTGATGTAAAATCTCGAGGATGTCAGTTTACAAAGGCCCACAATGGATTGCCAATATTCACCTCGAGATAACGCCATAAAAGCAACGCTGCAATCAATCAGGAACCCGGTCGCCCCCAAGCCCAAATGTGCTAATTTTCTGTTTCCATCCGGCATAAGTTCGTCTACTCCAGCAGCCGTAAGCGCAACGTGTATGTCCGATTCGGTTAACTCTGGACATGCTACTAGCTTTCGGATGAACTCCACAGAATCCTCGCTCATGTCGAATATATGAATAGTTAAATGAAGAAAATATTTTTGATAATGCGTCAGATATAGCGGTTATGAATTCCAAAGGTTAAGTATTTATAGAAAGGTGACCACACTGGCAAAAGGACATAATAACGCCTCAAGCAGACCGTTTGTCTGGTTGACTGGACACTATCTCGCATACAAGAGCACATATCCACGTCGCATAACGCGATTGGTATCAGACCTAGAAACTTTGGCAAGGGGAGTGCAAATTCGACATATCACATGCATTGTTGACACATATCTCGCGGAAAGCAAATCATCGAAAAGAATCAACAAGCTGCTAAGAGAGAAGAAGAAGTACGCCAGCAAATCAGAGGGCGGTGGGAGAAGCAGTGAGAGCGGGAAAAAAAACATCTGCACTCACGAAGCGCTTAGTGCAGGCACCGAACAACAAGATGCTCCGTCTGTACGAAACTTTGTCAAACCCACAGTGTGCACTTATAATCCAGCTGCGTAAAATAAGAAGTATACATCGACACTTCCTGTTTCAAATCAAGGCAGCGGAGACAAGATCGGTTTAGCTGTAAAGAGGCCTTGCAGATACCAAAGCATATTCTTATACAATATCCACAGTTCACTATCACTTGGAAGATGTAGGATAGAAGGTACACCAATCACTCCTGCTAACACATATCGGACCCACAGGACCTTCACCCAATATGGAAGATCTTAAGTCACATATCGATCAATTGAGAATGATTGAAATGAGCAAAGGTAAAAAAAAACGTTATAGCTGCGGTAAATCTGGTGTTTCAATCCAATAGAGAGATGTATCGAAGCCCGCATTGGTATTTTACCGCTCAAATGCCAATTGGTTATGGAAAGACATATCATTTCAATGAAACCCTACCAAGCAGCATAGAAGATCACAACGAGATTTAGAACTAGTATGCGGATCATTGTAGAACTAGGTATCTCCATGATAACCAAGTAAGCCAATGGCTGCCATTAAGCAACAGCTCCCTTGGATGGTCTGGTTTTCAGTTTCAATAAAAGCGATGTGTAGTCAGCAATTGGTATATGTTCCAAGGTTTCGTGTCATATTCCCGCAGTCAGCATGAGAATGTTGACAGAGGACGACGGAGTAGACTTTGAGAGTAATCAAGAAGTTTAGGACGCCCCTCTTCGGGGATTCAAGGTAGTCTTTTCTACTTATGCTGTCCTCGCCGATGCGTTTACTGATGGCCCTGTCAAATTATAAAGCCTAGCTTCTTTGCTAGTCTTCCACGAGGGTGGGAAATACAAAATTATACTATGACCTAGTAGTTGTGCGAATCAGGGATCAAAGTCACAGCGGTCCAAAATATGGTGCTCAATCCCATTATCTGTAAAACTAACAATCGGATCACAACATTTTTCCAGTTACTATAGCTAGAGTCTGTTTCTTCTGCAGCGGTTGCAGGCTTGGAGCCTGCACTGGCGACATTCAAATATGTATTGCCGTAGATGATGAGAACATTCTTCACATCGATGGGGCCCATGTACAAATTTCCATCGATCATGCCCGCACTCGTGGTTATCTCTCAGCTCCTGAATTGTTCTCGCAACCAAAGCATCACGTAGATTCCGCGCAACATACAGCGCCGGAGCAATCGAAGGCGGCTCTTCTTGTGTCTCCTGAATTTCAAGGTGAGCCTCGTCAATATCTGTTGCAGTCCGTTCTGCCAGATGAGGTTCAGGAAGATTTGGAGGGGCAGTGGCAACAAGTGGATGGCCCTCTTCTCGATCGACGATTTGATATGCACGCGCAAGGAGACGATGTTCGTCCCATTGTTCACATTCGCAATTTTTCCACTGCTGTCCACAATTGTAACAAAACTGGGCACCGCAGCGGCAGCTATTATTATTCAATGTCAGCAGAGTTTTGAGAAGAAAAGAGGGGCACAAACGTCATATGATTGCAACCATGATCCAGTTCCACTAGTCGCCAGCACGAGTAACAGCGTTGCCATCCATTTTCTTGTGCGGATAGTAGCAGTTGCTGCATAGCAGAGTCATTTGAACAATCGCCTGTATGTGCTCGCCCTTTGCAATTTGTACAGGTCGTGTGCTGGCAGTTGGGGCATGTGGCTACTTCACCATCGATATGGGGTTTATCAATGAAGACAGAACATCTGGCGGAGTAACAGTACGTTCTGTTTGGAGTTTCGAACTCGATCTTCTTTTGCTCGTACAGCTGGACAAGAGAAGACTTCAGAAATATTCGAGCCGTGTTCAAATTGATCGGCTGCCGGCAGCACCTTGGAGGGAATAGCGATTCATCTGTTATTGAAGCTTTGAAAAGAGCTTCCAAACAAGAACGACAATACTCATGTTGACAGGGGACACGCGCCACATTAAAAAACTCTGTATCATCTCCACAAGCCACACATTGAGCCATTCTTGATCGTGGTTGATGGGATCGTCGAGCTGCCCAAGCAGATGATTCGGCGTGGTCAGTTTCAGTATCGATCATTCCTCCGTCCTCGATGCTGTGATACCCTTCCAAGCCGGACACATACAAAAACTGGAGTTTTTCCAGGGTCTCGTCATCCAAACACGTTGTTTCCGGCTCAAAATCATTGGGTGGGATAAGAATTTCACCATCCATACATTGACGCGCAACGAGCCGATCTTTAGATGCGCTCTCTTCTTCCACTTGGGTCTCAGCCAGAATGCGCCCATCGACTTGAACCGCGGCTGCAATACTCATGGCCATTCGCCTGTCCTGGAGAGTATGTGAAACTACTTCCAGAAGCTCCATTTGTAACTGGAAAGCTAGCTCTTCGTCTGTAGGATCCCGAGATTTTCCTTTGGAGGTTCCTGAATACGAGCTGGCATCTTGGAGTTGTATCTGGACAATCAGCTCGGCTGTAGGCTGATCCACTTCTAGAATACAGGCCATCGCGAGAATTCGAATGAATTGGGGGAGATAATTTTAGTGTAAAGCGATAGGAATTTTTGAGAATCAATGTTGAGATGTAGTATAAGAAGTAGCCCAAACGCTCACCGCAAGTTGACCCTTTAGTGCAGATATGATCTATTGACTTTCCCCTCACCAGTTAGATGCTCATTTTGGCGACTGAAAAACGCAGTTATACAATCTACTCCGCTTGGTACCAATCAGGCTGGAGAATTCCACTATCTGATTCACCTATGTGAGAGGAAGATTAAAAAATCTCCATCATACAGGGATAGAGTAGCATGTAGATTGAAAGTGAGCAAGGAAAATGACAAGGGGTCCGACTTGTCCATAAAATCAGTGATTTAAAAGGCTTGAACAAGTACGTGATCATGTCCCCTTACTGTATGGCGCATCTGGAATTTGTCCAAAGTCCGAAATTTGTTTGCGTAAGAAGAGGAACGCTTTTGTATGCATAGGCCTCGCAGAAAGCCCAAGAGTAGAATCTTATTCACTAGGTTTTTAATAGTTGGATACGGCGGGAGTGAGCTCCTACCGATAAATTATGTCTCTAGGGAAGAAAAAGTGGACAATTTTGCAGTTCATGGGAGCTTACAGCTCTAGCTTACATCTATGCTAGTCTGATCCCGTAAGTGCAGAATGATGCGAATTGGCTTTTACTTCTTTGTTTGTATTCTTTGAATCAATCATAGATTTCCAGCTCGTTACAGAGTCAACCTAGGCACCGATTAGTAGGTCAATATTTATGCTGGCTTGGGAGGGACAAACATTTCTAGCTGAGTAACCCAATCATCTGATTGAGAGCAGTGCCCAACTCTACACCCCTCACAAAGTTCACTGTTGTGAGGACCTCTGCTGTCGCGGGATCCTGAAGGCCTCTCTACCTGGACTCCGTTCCATCGCTTAATCCAGTAAACGATTCTCTCGGCGTATGACTGATCCAAAACCGGGCGACTCAGCGATTTGCAAATTTTGCAGCGTTGATGGTATACCCTGGCATTGTATGTTTGCCCTGGATATAGGCGAATTGTGGTAGCGATCTTCTTGCTCGACCACCCTGCAGACTTACATGTCTGGTTATGACACACGAAACGGCCCATAATGTTTGTGTCACGCTCTCGAATAGAGCTCCCTTCATCGTCATGCTCGTAAAACTCAAAATGAAGATCTACCTCGACTAGCAAGCTTGATACCTCATCGTGAAGAGCTTGATACATGGACCATGACGTGATAGGACTTTTCTTCTTAGTCCGAGGCGTCTGAGACGGGGCGACTGGGGCTGAGGCTGTAGTAGAAGCAGCCTTGGGCTTCGATTGAATTGAGGGCTTCTTGCGCCCTGGTCGGCGGGGCAATCCGAGCTCAGCAATGTCCCCCATAACAGTCATTAATAAATTCACTGAAGGTACAGACGAAGAGAGGAGATATAAATGATGTAAGTGTGTTGAAAGAATGTGGAATACCAGAAGAACAAGCGTAGATTTATACTAATAAGTGAAAGAGCGGTAACAAGCTTCTACAACTAGATTTGCATTTTCTGCACTACGTTAGGATGTGCATACAGATATATTTATATTTATATTTAAATATTACAGACCCAATGCACGCAGCTCGTGACCTAGTTACTTGGCTCGATGTAAAGCAATTACTACGAACCCTCACAGTGTAACAATATCAAAATAGGCCCAGTGTAAGCGCTGTTCCAGAAGCGCAGATAGTATCAAGGAAAATATAAAACTCAATATACTAAACTGATTATATGCTAAACAACATTGCGACTACTCGTACAATACACACCAGATCAGTGAAATACTTGAATACGGTAGGGATGATGGTTACGAAAAAGTAAGCAAGATTTTTATCCTCGCCCTACGGCTCAGCATAGTTGAGGGAGTGGCTGATCAAGGGAGAAACTGTCTAGTAGAATGCGTGGTATTACTTTTGAGACACGTCAAGCGGAAGTGATTCCATGCTGGATGGTCAGGCTGCAGATCTATTTCCCAGTTGAATTAAAACACCACCCTGTTTATACTGCCGAAAAAGGAAAAGTGCGCATGGCCGGATCTCTAATAGCCTGTCAAGAGTTCCTATATAGTAGGGTATTGGATCATGGCCATGAAGTGGATATAATTGTCCTGTTGCTTCTCAATGAAAGAAGACTGGATTTTATATTGGAAAGCTTTCTCATCATAGCACCTATCAGGCTACGCAACATGTACTATATTTCAAACGTGGTACTCACTTACTGCAATAAGCTGAACCGTCTTCCGACAAATGCTCCTCAGTAACCCCATATGAGAATACCTTGGATATCTACTCGGATTTCCGTAACAATAATCCAACTCCCTTCCAACTCGATGCGATCAGAGCTTATATCTATTATCCTGTCAAATAAGTGGCAGAAGGCGTTAGTTTCTTGTGTCTCTTCATACGAGGTGCTCAATGGTATTGATTTCATGGCCCAAAAAAGGGTTATTACAATGATCAAAGCGCTCGGATGCCCTTGATAATCCAAACACTGTTGCAAAGAAACCAGGTCAGAATCTTATTATCTCCTGGTTGTTCAGATAATAGGTCAGCTTTTGGCTTGCGACTTCAATGAATTTCACTCCCGAAATACTAGTTTTTACATAAAACAAGAAACTTCGGGCTCTCGGAGGTGGTTTAAACGAGTATAAAACAGCATAGAAATTTTAGATACATATTGAAGAGGGAACTCTCAAGGCTTTATGCCCTCTGTCACACGGGTTGATTCAGCACTCGCAAATCAACATCCTACCAAACAAGGCATACAAAGGAACCAGGGCGTGAACATATAGTTAAATGAGTTTAGAGGGGTGTAGGTGTGTCTTTTATTCAATCTGTAACTACCTATTTATATTATTTCAGACTGGGACACAGCCCTAGGCCCTAAACAGGAAACTTGGCTTTTGTTCTGATCTAGTAGTTCAATGGCTGCATTTTTCCCACATATCCTCTGCCCACCTGGGCAGGTCCAGCATCCAAGATTACATAATAAACCGTGAACGACATTAAAGAAAAGTCAGGCAATGCTCCTACGTAGTGGAGAACCATTCCGCACTACAATGTGTAATAAATGTAAGCATTTGCCAGGTCCACGGGTATTTTGAATTTGGGGGCGGGGTGATGACGACGGGGCTGCCTGAACCTCCCATCCAAACCTGGCTTCTTGCACTCCCAAGAGACCATCCAAGAAAAAGGAATCCCCCCAAAATGCACGTCTTGTGCGTTTGCTGAGTTCCCAAGATGGTTCTTGGCTTCCTCTTCCTTGGATGATATACTCGCTGACACTATGAAGGTCCACCCCATCAACCATTGACCGGCTGCGGCAACTGAGCAGCTCGATTGACCAGATTTGCAAAGCAGAGAGTGTGCCAGGCCTTTCTATTGGAGTCCTACAGCATGGTGAAACTTTGTGGACCGAAAACTTTGGATTTCGCGACAAATCCAAAACAGCACCTCCAAATGCATATACACAGTACGGAATCGGACATATCACCATGTCAATGGTAGCTGCTGGTATTGGGAAACTTGTGGACGATGGAAAACTTCAGTGGACAACCCTGTTGAGGGATATCCTACCTGATATTGATCATACTGATATCTACTGGACATACAAAACAACAATAGGCGATATTCTGGCACATCGTTGTGGCTTGGATGGAGAAGTTGCAACTTTGTTAGCTGATGGTAGAAATAGTAACGTACAGCCTTCCCTCGAGAATCTGTTGAAAACTGTCGACCTCATCCCTCACACGCTTCCCCACCGTGAGGCCTGGCTAATTTGCCCGTGGGGATACACACTCGCTGCACACATAATTGGGCAGATATCTGGACAGCCACTTCACGAGTATCTTCAGGATCAAATATTCCGGCCACTTGGGATGAATTCTACCACTTTGCGTCCATCATTTGAAGAGACAACCAATTTCGCCGAACCACATGCTTCACTTAGCAATGGGGAGGCTTATCCATTGAAATTTCAACCCAATTTTACAAATACATTGTTCGAGGGTTCTCGTGGAGCTTATTCGACAGTGAGTGATCTTCTCATATGGGCCAAGGAAACATTGGCTGCGAGCCAGAACACCGAAGCATCCGCCGACACAGTATTGAGACAAATCCCCCACATTCTGAGCAACCATATCGCAATGGAGAATCCATCATTGTTGGAAAGATCGTACGGATTTGGATGGGCAAGAGCTCAGCTTCCTGGGATTGTCGGTCTTCTCGGTGGAAACTCAGGTCTTTGGAAAATGTCTCAGCAGCCTGTATTTGGGGTTGGGAACCAGTCTAGACTTATGATATATCACCAAGGCGGAGGACCGGGATATTCCTCATTCCTTGCTATCTTTCCTGAGACACAGTCGGCCGTTGTAGTTCTCACGAACACCACTGCAACAAGCGATGCTGCTGACTGGATCGCGCGGCTCCTGATCGAGGGCCTCTTCGACTTCGCCAATCCCACTGATTATGTGAAGCTTGCAAAAGAAGCTAAACGAAGAACACAAGAACAATTCGCTACACTACATGATAGATTGGCTGAGGAGCAAATCCAAGGAGCACCACCGCTACCCCTCGAATGCTACATCGGAAAATACAACAATGGGGACTATGACTACATGCTGGAAGTCACTCTGAGTCCAGATTCAGAGAGCGACCTGATGATATGTTTCCAAGGTCATGACTCACAACGCTATCCTCTCCGTCACTATCACGACCACATCTTTGAGTGGAGCATAAGCTTTGACGAAGTGAGGAAGAGTGGTAGATATGATATTGCAGATCCGTCATACTATAAGATTCGCTTTGAAACCTACCCCGACAACCGAGCATCTCGGATAATTTGGAATATCCATGATGCATCAGTTCCAGATGGACTGATATTCGCGTGGAAGGATGAACGTCTTGCGGAAGTATGGCGTGCAGTATGTGCCGGTACGAACCACTCCATTTCAAACATGATACATTTAGGATTCGCCACTGACTTGAGAACAAACCGCTATTCAGAAATTGCAACTGTCAGGAAATTGGAGTGAATTTATTATAGAACTAAGGAAAGTGATTACTGCGCATGTACATAGGGGTTATAAGAATCTTCTTCCTCTCAGATAAGATACAGTACAATGGCTCGGTCTTTTCGGCGGAGGTTTGGATCCTCAGACTTAATTGCAGCTGAAATTATTCCGATCTGGAATTGATTCAGGTCTATCTCGTGTTCAGTCATATAACAGAGAACTGCCGTATTGCCCTTGCGTTGTGCCGTTGAACCTGATATTCCTTTTTACTACCTATGACACCGGCCGGACCAAGCCCTTATGGCCCAGTTTATTCTTGGTATAGTGCTGATTTGTATTGTTGATCTTGTCACCCTATGCAGAGAAGCTGATGTTCTATTCTTCTAATCATCGCTTTTACCTGTACAACTGATACAGATAAAATTTGCAATGATCAATTGAGGTTAAATAGCAATGGCATACGATATTGATTTCCAAATGAAAATTTATTATCGTGCCTTATGACCTTCCGTTACTCACTGAGCAACCTGATCGCCCCCTCTCCCCGAATAACCTCTCATTCTTGTAGTTTCTAGGGTTTGTTTTCAAAATGGCCCGTTGGAAGGGGGAATGCGAGCGTGCTTTTGTACGGAAAACTTGAATACTCTATTGATTTTCAAGCTCACCACCTAAGCAAGCTAGCCTCGTTACAGGGCCAGATTATTTCCATGGACTGCTTCTCTCCTTGTACCCACCCTTTTGAGTTACGTGGAAGACACAAAACACTAGCCTCTTGACACCTCTGCTCCAACCATTCAAGCTTCGCAACATTCTCCGGCTTCTTTAGTTCATAGTATTCAAGATATATCACGGCCAATTCAGGGAAACTCTCCGAGGCAGCTAATTCCGCCAACTGATCCAAAGCTCCATTAAATCTTTCATCCTCATCGACAGGAAGATATAATTTTTCCAACGAGGGAGGGAGAACATCCCGAAGTCTTCGCACGGGTAGATTGTGCTCATCAAGTCCCACCAGATTGGCAAAAGAAGCACAAACAAGCTTCAAAGTCGTAAAATCAACAAAAGACCCCATCCATTCGTCATCGGTATCCATATAAACACCATCGTTAGCTTCGACCCACATCGATTCCAGCGTTGACTTATGGAGCGAAAGTGATTCGTAAATTTTCCGCGGCTGAAAGTCATCCCCCGAGACCACTCCTGCACCATGGACAACCCGGAAGGATTTCAGTGCTTTGCAGGCCCGAACCCATTCTCGCATCCCATTTCCAGCATTGCTTTCTTGGAGGTCGATGTCGGTTATATTCGAGCACTGTGGTGGGAGAGTGTCCCACGTCGGAAATTGGGAGTCCAATTCAGGCTCAAACTCATCACCCTCATCGGAATCATAATCACCATTCTCCGCCAACATATAGCAGCCCACTTTGCGCATTGACGGAAATTTGAAGAATGGATGCATGTAATGTGATGGGAATGAATTCTCTGAATCGTGCCAAGCTCCATAGACTTCCTCGAGGTGAGGAAATACCGATTCTTCCTCCATAGCGGCCTTTTGAAACATACCCAAAACGTACTTTTGGCCATGAGGCCAGACAAGGCTGAGTTTCCGCAATTCCTTTAATTGCGGAATAAGCAAAGCCAACCAAGCATCGCTGTTATGCCGTTCGAGATCTTTCAACCATTTAGATCTCTCTGTTTCGGAGTGTCTCATTCTTTCAGCAACTAGTGTGTGCACAATGTTACTATCAAATCCAACTTTCTGGTCATATTTCTCATTGTCGGGGGCTTCTGGATCCCACCATTTCACCTTCAGGGACCGAACATAGCTAGCCAGCCTCGGTGTTCGGGTCACGGCGTATAGAAAGGGTTGGATTGTTTGGTGCTTCCCCTCCCATCTGCAAAGAGTCACATCGGTGTAGAGGCTGGGTTGGAATACAGTGTACAATCGATGTGACAAGGATACCAGGTGATAAAAATCTTTACTATCAAGATCACGCGCAATCAGATGGAGTATCTCCGGTGGCATATGATGAAACATGATTGCAGTGCTTAGAAGTAAAATGATCACTTGAGACTTGGAGGTATATTTATGTGTTCTCAAAGGTAGGCAGAAGTGGGGATGAGCTCCTTCTGCCTAGACTTTGGCCTTGGCTTCGTAAAATGGGAGCTTCAACCGACCAACGTACAACGTACCCATTTCCGGCGGATTTACCGTCAATTAGGGTATACCTGTTTTTTTGTTTTTTGTTTTTTCAGAAGAACAACAGTACGATTTTCGCAACATACCCGTAAGATTATACCATTTCTTGTATAGTTTTATTATATACATATGTATCTCTGAGTACTAATGAAGATATACTGGTATCGAGTTTACGGCCCCCTTAGTTCTACACCTCGGGGGCTCGACGTAGCCGCCTAACCGACCCAGCTACAAGCCAAGTTCTTAGTCTCAAGTTATAACTACACTATATTGCAATTATTCAACTCGCTATATATATATAATATTGCGACACGAGTGATGCTAGATATAAATATCACTCCTTCAGAAATATACAAGATCTACATCACGCAAATCCAGCGGTGATAACCCAGCTCACGTCGTTGTTAAAAGAGGTGGCAGAGTCGAATGTGTGGACACCGCCGTTGCTCGCAATGTAGAGCACGTTCTCATAGTGGCGGAAGTAGCGGGTGGGATAGCTCCAGGATCGAATTGAGCTGCCCTGGCCATTCAAGCTAGTCTGCGGGCAGAATGTGGCGTCTTCGGAGACTAACTTTGTGCCGTCGTTGGTGCTGAGCGTGAGTCCAAAGGCAGCGTGCCGGATGAAGCTTCCTGGGGTATCGACGGATTCAAATGAGAAGCAAGCACTATTTGCAAGACCGGCACGAACCGTCCAGCTAGCCTGTTGCTTGAGAGCGGTGGTGCTGGATGATGAGACAACCTGGGTATTGACGGCACTGCCAGTGTGTGTGATATAGCGCGTCGTATAGCCGGGAGTGGTGGCCCGCAGGGAGATCGAGGATCCGACAGTGAGGGCCGTCCCACTAGTCAGCGATGAGGTAGCATATTTGGCAGCTACGATATTAGCCTGCACTGCGTTCTCGGTGGCATCGGTCGGGTAGCCGGAGGTCATCACGCCCTCATAGAACGTGCCCTGGGCGCCGTTGCTGTTGTCACCACCGATACCAAGGATGATGGCACCCTCTTTGCTCATTGGGTTGTATCCAGACACACTTGGGCGCGCGCCACTGTAGTACGTCGATAGGGATCCAGATGCAGCGTTGCCACCACGGAGAGCCCACAAGTTTGGCGCTCCCTTGACAATCGCGCTGAAAAACCGGTATGATAGCGACGGGTTGCTAGGATTGTTGCTCGGGCTGAGGCCAGAGAACAGACCGTTCTCCAGGTCAGCCATGAGCCAAGGGCCACTCCCAGCACCGGAGCCCCAGATGGTGTTATCACCATAGTAAATAGCCTCCATGTGGCCGTTGCCTGTATCGGTACTACTGATCTCCGCATTGCCGTAGTCAAAGCAGCAGCCATCGTTGTAGTGGGTTCCATCAAGTACCGCGTACATACCCTGCGGTTCATCCCCAATGGCCGTGCCGCTGGCGGCGTTGTTGCTGTAACCGGTGCCTGGAGATATGAACACGCCATAGGCCTTCTGGCCGTTCAGAGTGACCGGTGCGCCAATCGCGCTGGCCAGGTTATCGTGGCCATCAGCTTCAGGGCCATGGAAGGCTCCGGGCGGAGCCTGCTTGAGATGATTACCGCGGCCAGACTGGTCATAAATGGCCGTGATTAAGCAGGTTGTGCTTGCACAGAATTTATCCTGGGCAGAGGCATTGGCAACCCCACCAGCAGAAAGCGGCGAGATGTTGACTGTGGTACCATCGGAGCCACGCTGCACCTGGTAGAGTGCGCCGGTGTAGGCGCTGTACAGAGCGCGAGTGGTGCTGTGCGCGGCGATGCAGGGCGTGTTTCCGGAGGCATAGATATCACAGGTCCCAGCTTCAACAAGTGTGCCAGTGGCAGCAAGGCTGAGAACCAGTGCGCAGAAGCGTTCGAAGCTTCGTCGTGAGAACATGTTTGATCACCTTTGGAATAGTAGGTCAGGCAGGTCTTGTCACCGTTTGAATCGAGAACTAGATGCTTCAATGGGCACTGATGAGAAGAAAGTAGGGTATTCTGCCGTGCAGTATTTATATTCTTCAGTTTTTCAGTTAAAAGACCCTTTTCTAGATGAGGAGTAGCAGGGGTTAACGAGGTGGCGGTAATTCTCCTCCAATAATTATAGTAAAGACGCATTATTTACTTGATAATATAAGTGAATGGTACTCTTCGCAACCTTCGGTTAATATCAATAATAGATTTAAACGAAGCTACTCATAGGGCTAGCAAGAAGTAAATTGGATCACGGATTTGCTGACTTGTGACTTGGTGAGACGGAAGTTTTTCCTCCGCTCCAGATGCTACCTAAGTAGTAAGTAGCCCTAGCTAGCTTATGAGGATAGGGAGAGAGCCCCGTTTGACGTAGCTTGTTCTGAATGCACCCCGCATCATAGTAGTATTAAGCTTGTGCCACCGGGATTTTCCACTTTTCATTCCTCAGGGTACAATTAACCGAAGAAAGTAAATTGAAAAGACGGCTCTTCAGTGGACTGGATGCAGACAAGCCTAGCCAAGGTAGGATTGTGGCGTCCGAGTAGTCCACTAAAATTTGCCCTAGTTGCAGGGGCTTCGGCGCCCTGAAGATGCGGGGCCCCGGACGAGGGGATACATACTATGATTATACCATTAATGAAGGCCCGAGAACAGTATTTATGCCGGGGATACTTGGGCGTGACTCAAAATCTACATAATCATATGATCTACTTATATGCACCTCCTGTCAACGGGTACCTTTGTTAGGGCAACAAAATACTGTTGCCTCGGAATCTCCTGCAAGAAGAAGAATTGCACGTATTCCCTACCATTTACTAACTCGAAATGGTTCTCTCGATTTAGAACTAGCATGATGAATCTCCGGTGGGGAGCGCGGTTTCTTCTTTCAGTGCTGGAAAACTATGGTCATGGCAGCCTTAGCAGCGCATTCTCCAGGTTTGTCTACACCCTTAGAGCCGAAGAGTTTATCACTAGCAGTTTTACTCCTAAGAGATTCATTAATGCTCTCAGTATGATCTTGAGAAAGCTGTCATTGCTTTCGCCCAAGATTCTAATCCTAGGATTCTAGGAGCTATAGTAGACTGCTACTACTATTTGGAATTAGTGCTAAGGGGTATGTACGAAGCAGCAATCGCGTTCTGTTGTCCTATTACCCTTCAAATGATACTCGAGATGATGTGTCTGATGGACTATTTAGGTATATCATGTTAGTTCTGTCAAAGACTCTGGATTGTTTATTAAAGTCGACCAATACAGTTGAAGTATTTCCTGAGAGGGATGTAGAAGGCGTAAGTGCCCGTCCTCGAGAGAGTCAATTATTAGCTATTGTAACTAGCTAGATATTTACATATCTCTGGAATAAGTCTAATCTACATATTTCATCATTGAGTAGGTAGTCTCTTGTATATAAGACAAGATAAAGTGTGGACTAAACCAGAGTACCACGGATTGCACAAAATTCAAGGACTTGAAATCCGGAGATTGCCACCGTACGGTTTCAGTTCTGCGTCATCGGATGTTTAGAATTCTTTCTATAATCTCAGACCCCCTTCATTTTGGGAGAAGAGACACAGTATACTCCATTGGACTCGAACGATGAAGACATCCAATATCGCTAAGCCAACTATAGAGCCGCGTTACTTCGACCTCTTTGCCACTATTGAAGCCAAATTCGAGGCCTCCAATATCGCCAGTGAAAAGTGGTACCTTACAGCTTTAAGCGCAATTGCAACGACACTCGAATCACACCTTTGTGGTCAGCTATATCTGTACCTTACAAGCCAACATGCGTATTCAACAACCACTGCACGCCGGAAGCTGATCCGATGCATGCGCGAGGCGCTCTTTAAGGACATTGCACTCCTCGGACTCCCAAAGCCCACGGAGGCACTCATCGGCATCACCAACGTTATGTCCGAGGAAGATACAGAATCCTCCTTCACCCGAGAAGGCTGGCAGTGCGACGGCGCAAATCATGCGCGCGGGATGGGATGGCTAAACTCAATATATGCCCATAATACCAATATGCTTTTTGAGTTATTCAAAAACCATCGAGACTTTGGCTTTTGGCTTATTGATATCACGTATGGGTTGCTCTTGTCCGACCGCCAGGTTTTGGATGACGTGGATACAGAGATGGTAGTCTTACCGGCTGTCATGGGCCAAAATATGCCATGGATGACCTACTGGCATATCCGAGGAACAAGACGGTTAGGGATCTCCAAGGAAGATGTGCAAATGGTTATGGAGTGTGTGCATCTAGTCGTTGAAGCTTGCGGTGTGACATTGAAGCAAGTGCCCAGTGTGGATGCTGTTGATGAAGAACTGTAGAGACATGGGCGGCGGCAAGCCGAAGATGAATATTCCTTTTGTCACAACTTCACCTATGTTTCAAGATATACAAAGGGGGAAGAAAGAGAAGATCTTGTCCACTGCCCAGGTGTTTGGAGGTGCTTACCTAACCACCTCGAGGACCGCTCTTTCGTACCGAATCGGGAGACTTGTTTATGGTTGCCCCGCGTTTTCTCTCTTATTTTTGTATGATAAAGTCGACTTGTGAATAGTTAAGAGACTGACACTTTTGCATTGTCATTGCATTCCTTAGCGCTCCTCCACCCCTTTGGCGGCACGTGTGGCCCCCGAGTTTCGTTTCTTTCGCATGAGTCCGCCATGTCGGCCTCGTCACGCAGCCAGAGCTCCTCCCCCGATATCCTGGGACCTCCAGGCGATGCTCAGTACTTGATCTCATCACCGATAAAGCCATTCGCGGGGCGCCAAAGCTGGATGTCTCCTATGATAGGGAAATCACGAACTCCGGCCAAGCGACCGCGACCGCGCGTCAGCCGCAGTCCCGCAAAAAGCGCGCATTCAATTCAATTCAACGATGTCATACTCCCCGGGACCCCGACAAGGAACTTCAAGGGTGGTCGGCAGAGGTCACTCTCCCCGGAGAAGCTTCAGGATGGAAACCTTAGCCCGTGGCGCATCCGACTTACCCTCGAAGCGACACAAGATGAAGATGACGAGAACCGGGGCAGCCCGTCGCGCAAACGATTAAAACCCTCGACCATGACCACGATGATACCATTAAAGGATGAAAGGAGTCCGTTGAAGGAGAAGACGCCCTTAAAGCGGCGAGGGCGTCCACGAAAGTCTGACCTAAATTTGTCGCCGTTTTCCGGGGACGTTGGGCAGACTCCTCGTCCTGGGCATACACCTGGGCCAGGGCATACTCCTGGGTTACGAGTTGGTGACTCTCAGCCACGCAAAAGAGGCCGACCACGTGGTACGCCCAAACCCAAACCACAGGATTTCCAACTGCTGGACGACCAACCAACGCCGACTGCCGAATATGACCATCCTTTTAGTCCAATGGATATTATTCCCAATAGTGACGCCCTTTCAACCCAGCAATTTAGTCCAATGGATACCATGACCAATGAAGCTGATCTAGGCCAACGTGAATACAGCCCGATGGACACCATAGCTAGTGACGCTAGTCTGGGCCACCAAGGACTCAGCACCACAGATGCCCTCATTAGTGACGCTGGCCTACACCGAGAAAGATTCAGTCCGACGGATTCTTTTGCTGGGAGTAACGCACATGCCAGTCCCTTGAATCTCGTTGGAGGTGCAGACTCGGAAGATGACTCTTGGGGAAACTCGGACATGTCAATTGCAGAGCTTCCTGACCCAACGGAGCCCATCACGGAAGTTCTCCCCAATGTTCGCCGTGAGTACGGCCGTACGAGTTTGGAGACGCCTGTTATCGGAGCTACGGAACACCACTTTCTGGATGATGAAAACATCCACTCTACCCCTTCTAAAATGCCATCACCTACACGCGAAAGAGCAATATTGTCATCGAGAGCTTCTCATAACACGTCTAGCCCACAATCGCGCACATATCCGACTCCGACCCCCACGTCTTCGCTGGCCGACGAAGAAAATCAAACCCAACAAGCCGACGTAGACCATCCCTCAAGGACAGAGACCCATCATGCTCAAACCGACCCCGTTGAAGATTCCGCAGACGAGTACGATGAATACGACACTATTATGGAAAGTGAAGGATTCACTATGATTTCCCTTGATACACTCCCATCGGCCAAGCAGCATGGGTTCGGCTCCAGTGCTGCGACGAACAGCGCTCCCAAACGAAAGGAAGTTGGTGAACGGTTGAGACGCAAGCTTCCCGGGACAATTGAAGAGCTCCGTGGGGATTCTCGTGCTGAAAAGTCATCCAGTCCAGTCACTACGGGGCTAGATCCTAGGTTTCACGACAAGCCTAGCCCCCATATTCCAGAAAGTCAGACTGTGCATGCAACTGAGCAGCAATCTATTAACTACGTGAATGGGATCGCCTACCCTGAACTGCCTGCCGCATCGTCTCCCACTAAACCAACAAGTGTTCGAAAGAAGAGGACATTCATCAGTTTAGCTAGACTTGTTCGGCTTAGCTTAGCCCTGCAAGGTCCCTTCCAGCCCCAAGAAGACGAGTGGTCAGGCAAGAGTAATGCTCATCACAAAAGACTCCGATTGGAGGGTGTTTTCAGCACATTCAACGCTGAAACGCAGCGAGAACTCCGAGCTGCTATGGGGATAGGACAGGAACTTGCTATGCGTCGAATGGTCGCCGAGGAAGACAGGGCTGCGGCTATAGCAGCAGAACATGCAGCATCTCGTCTCGAGAAGGAACGCCTCGAGGAAGAACAGGAAGAACTTCATTATAACGACTTCAATGAAGAAGAATTGGAAGAGCAAGCGCACGATGACACCTTTGAAGATGAGATCGAGAAGCAAGAAGGATATAGAGGATACAGCGAACCGTCACCCCCCAAGTTCAACAACTCCATGCAGCAAAGCCCGGCTTCCCACCAAAAGGCACGGCGGGAGGCACAGTGGCAGCTTGAACGAGAAGCAGTCAGCCGCCAGGCTCAGATGGCTTCAAACTCACGGTCGGTCGTTTACATTGATAGTGATGAGAATGCGGCGGAAGAGGATGGGGACATCGGACTTGAAGATGAACAGGGATTTGAACTTGAGCCCAGATATGAGTTTGATAAAGAGCCCAGTAATTCTGCATTCGATGTCGTATCAGAGCCAGCGCCATATGTGCTAAAAGACGTTGAACCCGAACCCGAACCCGAACCCTTGGAAGATGAGGATGATGGCTATGATGACATTTGGCAACTTGAAGCCAACGAGCACAGCCATATTTCACAACATTCTGAGGATGACGATGTCCAGCCTAATCGGCAGCCGCTTGCACGTCCTTTGGGCAGCCTTGCTCCAATTTCGGCAGGTCAAGACTACTTGAGCTCATCTCCTTACGCTACCTCGGAACGTGAGTATGTAGCGCGCTTCGGACCATCCAAGGTTCGCGAGCTCCGTGAACAAAAGGTCGATTTGTCTGCTTTGCTTGCGGAAGAGGATACACCAAACCGTGCGCGGTATTACAATGGAACGAGTACTCCTCGGGCTGTGCTGGCGCAGCCATTGGGGACACATAATCCATCCATCAATACCTCTGCCATGAAGGACCTGGTATCACGCACTCCAGCACGTATGCGTTTACAACCTCTCTCCCAATCCAGCCCCGATGCTCCCAGCCCACGGGTCCCCAGTCCACAAATGGCGTTCCTCGGTGGGAATAAATCTCCAAAGTTTGTACAAAGAAGCTCGCCTATGCAAGAACCATTGGAAGAGGATCATGACAACAGCAGCATTTCCAATGCCGCTCTCAGTCAATTGGAATCTGCCAACGTTGATTCTGCCTCCACCCCACAGCCTCCTCGACCCACTAGGGAGGAGCCAGGATCATCCTGGTTCAGTAAAATAACCAGTTTCACCCCGCAATGGCTAAAAGCCCCCACCCGTGACCGAAGCTCAAGTGTTAGTACTATTCCGGAGGAACCATCTGACTTCGAAGATGAGGAGGAAATGGTCAGCATTGAATCTGCGAGGGAGCTTGGTGGACATCTCCAGGACGAGGCGCTCTTAAAGCAAGCGAGCCAGTCACCTACGAGTCATTGGAGAGAGCCGTCACAATCCCAGTCTCCCCAAATAAAGCCAGATCCTCTTCCCACAATGGAAGAAGACGAGGACCCGATACACGAGAGAAGTGTTTCTCGGGACCTCTTGGAAGAACAGGGGGTTCCGGTTTATGAGCAGAGTGCCTCTCAAGACCTCTTGGAGAACGAAGACCCGGAGCCATTGAACCACCAGGATGGGGCCTCTCCAGGGCCTCGGCCACTTGCTGTCTTCGGATACTTCTCCGACCAGCACTACGCTGCGCTTCGTCGTATCTACCGAGTTGCCAAGCGATACCCGGAGCACTTTCAATACTACGATGCTCCAGGGCGTGCAGCCATCATTGGTGATTGGATATGGACCTCCGATGGTCATCACGGGGTGCCCATCACAGAGATTCAATTTGCCATCATTGATCGCTTTGCCCAGGAACTTGCTCGGGCTGATATCCAATATGGCGGTAGCGGACAGATCGATTGGACAGAAGCCGATTTGCACCGGAGACTCATAAGCATCATTATTGGTGAGCAGATCCGAGAGGAAGTAAAGGCCAAGGCCAACCGGGGTACTTCCGTGGATACATGGCGGTGAGCGTCTATTTTTGCCCCCACTTCTTTTTTATCTTATGTACTATTTTGGATATCCGATGACCAGGCGTCATGGTTTTGTTTCGAATGCGTCTGTTCTTGTTCTATTTATGATTCCCTCACGGTTATTAGTTAGGCTTGTGTGCAGCATTGGGCTGTTTTGGGGAGTTTCACACTAAAATTCTCGTCGCTTTCGTTAACGATATCGCACGAGTATTCTTAGGAGAATTCTAAGCACTATAATATGCATTCAACCGCCTCGTGTTTCCTAATACTTAAACTTCGTAATGTATATTGGCTTGAAAGAGAGGATATACTCAGGTTAAACAAGTAGAACTCTGTCCTACAATAACATTCGAACTTTCTTATTTTGTATCTTAAATTTGACTTATTTCCATTGTTTCTAGGGCTTTAGTGCCCTTGTAGTGTCATGTTGATATCTTTCTTGGTGGCTTTTAACGTATACATCCTCTTTTACTTTCTAGCTAACAAAAGATAACAGCCATGTAGCAAGGCTTGAATATCATCGCAAATCTTCTATTAATTGAAATAAAGCGATTATAAACCACATTTACATACTATTGCTACTAGACCTACTGCAGCACTTTGTATAGTGCTCGTCATTTCTCCACCAGTGGAAACTAGCATACTTTGGGATTAGCTCACAATTTCACAACATCCTAGTTATATACAATAAACAACTAATGAAAAAAAATCAAGAAGAAAGTATTTATAACAAATAACTAAACGTATGTATGGAAGATATAAGATCCTTCTAGCACAGAAGCAGGCCCTGACAAATGGGGGAGCAGCAGGCCTCAGGGTCAGCCAGGCACACACCCCAACAAGAACCTTCTCGCTTCCGTTCGTGAAATGGCGATCCTTTCAATAATAAGAGTAAATGCTACCTCAAACAACACGGGAAAGGAGCTCTGGGATATACACCTTCTTACGTGGAACTAGTTTACCTAGAACGTTTGGAATATATGATGGGAATCCAGACTTCATCTGCTCCAGAATCCCCCAGGATTGCTCCCCGTCGGCATCGTATGGTTCTGTCCCTGCAAGCCCGGTTGTATTGAAGGATGCGTACACCAACGGGACATCGTCGAAGGAGACAGAGGCATCCACCACCTTGATATCAAGGCCGTCGCTATCGAGGAAGCGGGCGTTTCCAACAGTAGCAAAAACAAACGGCGCGCCTGCATTAGCAGCGTAGGTCCGCGCAGAGGCCACATTTATCTCAGCAGTCTCATAGGGCTCTGCATCGGTTGCACCTTCATCAGGGGTGACTATAGAGTAGAGTTAGCTGGGAGGCATAGAGCTTGCAGGTGAAATATTCGAAATTCAGCTTACATGGCCAGGCCGCAATGTGTAATGTCTCCCTCTGGGACTGGATATTGAATGTCATAGCCGGGTGGAAGTGTTCCCAGCATTCCAACAGACCCCAGCGGCCGTAGGGAGTTGCGATCACCTTGAGCTCGTCCATCGTTCCATCAGACCAGATCTCACGTTCACCTCCTGATGGCCGCAGCTTGTGGCGCAGCAGAAGGACCTTTCCCTCCGGTGAAATGAGGGCTTGTGCCATGTAGATGGAGTTACCTTCTCGATGCGAGAATGCCGGCGCGATGTAAACCCTGTTGCGTTTGGCGGCAGCAATGAGGGTCTTCCATTGGGGGCTTCCAACGACCAGAGAGTTGTCGAAGTAGTTCTGGATATGGTCTTTCATGAGGGTAGGGTTCGCTATGCCTTTGGGGTATCTAGACAATATGGAGCCGGGATTAGTACTTGTTACTCCTAGCTATGTCTGGGCATAGAGAGAACATACCCGGGAAACCATAGCTCAGGGAAGACAACTAGATTGGCGCCAGCATCGGCAGCATCTGTGATAAGGTTCGTGGCTTTGAGTACCGTCTGGTCGAGGTCGAATTTCACGTCCGTCCAGTTTTTGTTCATCACAGGAAGCGGCCAGTTTGCTGGTGGTGCTCGAACTATGGCGACAGTCAAGTTGTTGTCATTTGTTGAGCTGGTTAATGGCTTCCCATGAGGGATGCCAAGGGCAATTCCAACCAGAATTGGGATCAAAGTTAGACGCATGGTAAATTGCAAGCTTCAGCGGTTATGTGATTCATTTTGTTTATACTAGGCCCCTTTTATAAGTCTGGGAAGGTCCTTGAAGTTCCAGATAGTATATGTCCCGAAGATATCCCGAAGAATTTTATGCTCGCCAATATAAAGTTGCCGTGCATGCGAACCGGATGGCAAATCCCGACAAACCCCGTGAAGAATGATACGACTTATCGAGATTTAGCACGATTGAGATTCTGTATAGACCTCGTAATTCTATTATCATCTTCACAATTATCTTCGTTATTTTCAGTCTCATCTTTATCACCCTTTCCATCATTCTCATTGATAGTATCCTTGTCATTAATATCATCTTTATCATTCTTTTTCATGAAGATTCTTATCGCTGTCTTCATTCTCGTTTTCCTTGGTGCTATCTCTAGCTATGAAGAGAAAACAATACTGTGTATTGCTCGATCTGAAGTAACTGACTCTGAGGAAAACCAAGAGATGTAAAGAGAGGATCTAGCTGCTACACTACAGTCCCGGGCACAAACGGGGTCACCTGGCGACGCATCCCAACACTATCTTTAGTATTATTTTGCCACTATTGCTCTTTCTATTGGTATTACTTTATGTAAGGATACTCATTCATGTCGGCCAAGGATCTTGTCTAGGCAGAACACCTAGCAAGACAGGATCCTTATGTCCGAGGCCAGAGCAACAGTTCTCAATTAGCTTCCCTATCAAGGGTGGGGAACACATATGTGTCTCGCTGCTTTAGGTAGTATATTTCAATCCACTTCCAGAGGCGTTGATCCGCCACAAACTTGGGGTTGAGACTTGCTATTTGCCCGTGCTAGGGCCAGTCTCTTGGGCCCGTTACATTCAATGTACTGTTTCGTATTCTGCACTTCCTCAGACGTGGCGATATGTTGGGAGATTATTTTCGACAAGTTGATAAACCCATCCTGTTTCTTGAGGTCGTTCAGCTTTGCAAAAAGCTCCTGTACGGGAGCAAAGAGTTTATGCCGGTGATCAATTTAGGTATCTAGTATCTAGCTTCATTGGATATCAATGAGGTACTATATACTATATCTTCCAAGTTTTCGACCAAATTGACCAAAATACCAAATTCCCAGAAGGGGATCCTTGACTTCAACTGCGAACACCCTGTGTATATTGCATCTCGAACATAGATATGCAACCAACCACAGAGACCTCCTGCATCAAGATTCCTTATTTCCCCGACTATCTGACGGATTAGGGATGAATCACATGAGTTGAATGCAGAACACATCTCAGTCCGCCTCTTTATACCAGCTAAGTCAACGTCCATCTCAAAGTGACCCAAACCCGCTGTTTGTCTCATCCTAATAAAACTACTGTACTCCGTACAACCAAGTCCTTAAACTGTCAACCCGTCAAACCGTCCCAAAAGCAAACACAATCTACATTGAAGTCCCAACCAAACCTGCAGTCCTCCGCCATCTAGACCAACCAGGCCAACCCGCCTCCTGCACGATCGTATACTTCTCGCATGGCCAGCCAAGCAGAAGCCGGAGAGCCTCGCATTCCCCACTCTGTGCGAGGTACCTGCAAAGTGCCTGTGAGGTGTCCCTGCACGCATTTTCGTCCTTGGGTATCGATCTGGCTGGATCGTGAAGTACCACTTGGGAGGCGAACTGGGCATTTATTTATAAGGGCAAGGGTTGGTAGCAATATGGGGGACAATATCATCCCCAGAGACCAAGAACCAAGATAAAACGAGTGTATAACTCTAGAATCTATAGTTCCATCACTTCTTCTATTTCCTTTCCATACATATAGTTTATGTGTGTGGACGATCAATCATGTCGGTATTCACAATTGTTCATCGAGCCCTCCCACCACTCTCGCTCCCCTGGAAGCGACGAACAAGTCTTAAGGGCAAATCCCCTGAGGTGGAAATCCATCTCAGTGAAAAGAATCCCATTCTGTCAGACTCCAGTTTCAGCCCCCACGCGCACAACAATGAAACCATCGTCATGCACCGTGACGTCTATGGTCCCGTGCAGGTAGCGGTGAAGAGCAACGCACAGAAGACCGACGCACTTCACAACAAACCCATTCCCCAGCCAATATTGTCTGCGCCGGAAATTATCCCGGCCTCAGCGTCGGATTCGACTTCCGAGAGCCGAGTGCGTTATTCTGACCAGACGCGTCCGACTCGGGCCCAGCTCGTTCGCGCTGTCAGTTGGGCGAGTATTATTCGCAGTCGAGACCGATGGACAGCCGAGCAGGAGAGGGAACTTGTTCATGCGCAGCGACAGCTTGGAAGATGCCAGAAGGCGTGGAGTTCCGAGCAGGAAGTGTGGTTATCCTATGTAAGTGGCAACTGTTTCTTTTTTTTTCTTTTGCTTTTTTCGCTGTTTTTCGGCAATCCTATTGTTTTGCTCCATGCAGTCAAGATCGTTATCACGTTCCCGATTTGATCCTAGAAGCAATAGCGAAAGAATCATAAACTAATCTGTTAGCGGTTTAGGTCCAGGCTCTCAGCGAAGAAAAGGAAGCTTATGCTAGTTTCTTGTCTATGCGACACAGACAGCAGGATGAGGAGCAGCACCAGTTCCGTAAGGCATGGAAGCGGCGGCGATCACTGTCTGGTGACGATGAGACGCAGCAATCTGCGATCGAGACTGCGAATCGATTGGGGAAGCTGCGTCGCTTGCAGCGCTATGGCTCTTCGGGTTCATCTTCGGGGCGGCGGTTGGGCTCAATGGGATCGTCGGTGGCTGTGGAGGCATGATATAGTGACGAGAGTGGCTTCCAACTTAAAGTGTAGGGCTGAAAAGATAGAGGGTAATTTGTATTGTTCGTTCAGCTTAGAGTATCTCAATTATTGGCTTAGAGGGTCAATTAGGTATGAATGGAGTATTCTGACATATCTAACTTTAAATCATAAATCAGCCCCTAGCCATACGCTCCCATCCAATCCCTATCCCTACCTACTTCTACTTCTTCTTCTCCTTCCCATCCGGCCACTTCCGGAACAAATCAGCTAACATATCAATCGGTGCAGTCAAAAGCCCAACAGCGGTCTCAAAGAATGGCTCTGTAGGTGCCAGCGGGTGCGATCTCGAGGGCACAAAGATCTTGACCCGATCCAGTGACTTGGTCAACTCGACACTCTCCTCTTTAGATAATAACTCCTCAAGTCTGGGCAAATCAACATCCTCCTCATGTCTGGCATGAATGCCCAAATCACGCATAAGCCCCTTCAGCGTAGGCACGAACCGGGGGTCCGTAGAAGATAGATCCTGGAACGCTTTCAACTGGTGCTTAACGCCACGATGCTCGAGTCTGTTTTTGTCTACTATTCCTTGGCCATCCGGGAGAGCAGTGATCAGGGCGGGGTATACGACGAGCTCCTCGCCAATGAGATGGCGGGCTAGCTCCCAGACGAATTGGTTTTGGAAGCGGGTTTGTTGGTCTGGGTTTGTGGATGAGAGGATTTGGTGGCTATGGGATTCGAGTTCTATGTGATCGTGTTTTATGGCGGGGAGGATGCGGCTGTGGACGGTTGGGACTGAGGTGTCTTCGGTGAAGGTTTGGAGAGCTGGTATATTGCCGCTGAAGAGTGGTTTGGGCGATCCGGCATTTGGTCGTGATGTTGTTGTCATTGGGAGTTTGGGGATAGGAGGGTGGATGGCGAGGGCGCGCCGGAGCATGAGGATAGTGGTTTGATGCTTGGAATACTGTTTTTCTGTTGAGGTTTTAGAAAAATATTAAGAATCTACTTGATAGAATAGTCGGTGATAGGTTCCGTTTTTGTCATGATGATGATATAGATGCTAGCCCTAAGTTGATATCAACCACATCAAAATTTACGAACTCGAGATCGGACGGCTAGATCCAAATGAGACCTGGGATTCATAAATCATAACACAAACACATCCAAAATAACCCCGAAACCAAAGCTCTGACTTCCATACTCTCTCCCCCTTTAGTCGTGAGGATTCGACGTACTAGTTGAATTGGGGTATGCTGTCTGGGGGTAGTTGTAAACTATTAGTTATAAATTGATAAGATCGATCTTACAGAAGGCTGAAGAACAAGGTATGCATGTATTGTACTACCCAATATAGGGGCAAGCATGAACCTGAGAAACGAAGTAGTATGTGTGTGTGCGTGTCCCTCAACAACGCCTGATGTCAGAGTAAACAGTTGTCTGGAAAAGAAGACAATAGACACAGAAAAAAAAAAAAGAAAACCCAAACGCCTGCGAGGTCCATCCCTCACAACATAGCTAATATGATCAATTGATAAAGGGTAATCCGTAACCGCGACCTGCGGTAAACACCATCCCATCCCATCTTAACGTACATCCCAAATTTCATGTGCATATCCCTCAGTGATTGCGGGTACGCTTGCGACTGCGCTCGCGCTCCATAGCTGCAGGCTGGAACATCTCGAGGCCGGGGTGGTGGGCGGTGGGAGTCCAGTCGATACCCATGGCGGGCGAGAAATCCGGGTGCAGCTGGCTGAAGATAGCGGGATCGGCCGGGTGGCCATCGACCGGCTCTGCGGGAGAAGGAAGAGGTGCAGCCACGAGTTCGACTAAAGATGTATCGATCCAATTGGGTGGTTTGCTGGCGAGACGGCCGATGCGAGCGCAGTCGTCGTCGACTTCCTCGTTCATAAGGGCGGTTAATGGGGGCGCGTTGCCGTTGGGTCGCGCGTGGTGGTTGGAGAGAACGTGGTATGGGAGGATCGGACGGGTGGCGGGCTTATCGGCAAGGTCGGCCAGAGCGCTCAGAGCACTGTGCGCGGCGGTGGTGCGGGTAGATCGGGTAGCGTGGAAGTTGTGACTTGCGGTGCGCATCATATCGGCTGCACTCGGGGTGCCGTTATCTTCATGGCCTGTGCCCTCGGGGGTATCCTCGGCATCGGTATTGTTACCGTTCGTCACCGCGCCGGATCCGTGGTCTGGGCGTCTGGAGGTAGAGAAGAAGTGGACAGTCGCTAGGTGTGCCTGGTTGACGTGTGCATTGAGTTCCTTATCGGTGAAAAGGGAGTGGATCGAGTATGAAGGTGCCACCTGCTCCTTTGTGACCTCGGCCTTGTTGCGCTTCGCGGGAGTAGCATCGCCTGTGTCCCGTGCAGGGGACCCAGTGTCGTCTTCCGGAGCCTTCCGCTTGCGCTTATTCAAATCCGAGATAACGCCGTTGCCCAGCTCGTCGAGATCAACGCGGTGACGGGTGTGCCGGGTCTTGCGGTTGCTGTGGATCCCACCAGGGCTGGCCGGGTTTGTGATGCTAAACTGATTGGGGTGGAGGAGCAGGGCATTAGTGTCGGCAATGTCGAGCTGTTCCTTTTCACGCATCAGACGGGCGCGCTTGCCCGAGATATTCTGCATCAATCGCTCTCGGAGGGTGGAAGATAGATGGCGGAATTCTTCTTGTGCGAAGTAAGTGCGGAAGTCACGCTCCCGCTGTAGTCTTTCCATGGTGTTGTTGTAGTTGTTCTGTATAAGAAAAAAAAAGTCGCTGATTAGCAAAAAAAAAACTCCTTATAGATCAGAACAGCAAAAAACTCACCATAGCCGTGACCAACTCCGCGTCTCTCTTTTCCTTGATCTCATTAACCTGCTGCACGAACCTGGAATACCAGGATCCAGCGAGGCCAGCCATCTCCTTCGCAAACTTGCTGCCGCCACCAACAGTCTCCTCAATCAGCGACGCAATGCTCTCCGCGGAGTCCGGGAGCGGTCCAGTCACGTAGGGATCAGCATTGTTGATCAGTGTCATATCACACTGGAGTGCGTGCAGCTGCTGACGAAACTGGATGTCCCGGTTATTGCTGAACTGACCCGTCAGTTCCTGGAGCCGTTCCTGGAGCGCAGTGCGGCGCTTGTCGCGTTTCGAGGGTGCACCGCCAGCCCCGCCGCCGGGGCTGAGGGGCGGAGGGTTCTGATATGACATTGTATGTGACGAGAGTGGGTGAGGGAGGGTGGTAAATTGCATGGAATTGGAGTTGGTAATCGAAGGAAGATGGATGAGCTGGGAGGGAGGGGTGGGTCACGGTCGAATATGGACGGCAGAATATTTGGCCGCCCCGAGGAGAATAGACAGTGAGGTGAAGACAAGGTGAAGAGAAGATGAAGAGAAAATAAACAATATAATTCTAATTTGATTGAAAGAACCAGAAGAATAGGCGCAATAAATAGAATAAACACAATGAATTAACATTCGGTTTTCCCCTTTATATTGGTGTCCCCCTCCAACTCAAGACCATAGCTATCTAATCCCAAGCTATATAACTACATCGGCAAGGGATGGTCTTCGCCATAAAACGACTTCCCTACAAGTATAATATCCATGTCTATATGACCAGAAGTGCTAGTTCAACCACGCTATAACGCCATATGACCTAAATGGCTAATCCTTTTGGCAATATAACCCATAGGGCCAAAAGGGTAACCCGAGTGCTGACACTATCCATGAATGTACCCGGTGATGCCTAATGAGAGCCTGACGAAGCCACAGGCCATGACCCCTACATAGATCCGTGGACTTACTCCAATGATATGCTAGATTACAGAAAAAAGCAAAGATGTTGTTAATAGCAGATATATTCCCACTAAATCGTGTATATCTATATCCGTCATCAAGACAGAAAAAAAAGTTCATAAAACCCGAATCGCCAACAACAACCGGGGTATTCATAGTTCATTCAAAATGTTCGTATGGGGAATGGAACCTCCAAAAACGAGTTCATGCAAGGTGCAAAAGAATTATTTCGCACCGGAAAATCGAAATCCAACACCGGGGACACCTCCATGGGTCCCATGTCATCTTTTGTGAAGGCCGTTTGTTAAAATATGCTATTGCGGAAGTGGGGGTGGTGAAGAATGGAAAGGAGAATTCGAGGTAGAGGGAGAAAGAGTGATCTAGCAATGCTGCAACGATCTAATTCGTTCGACGAATCACAAACACACCAAGCTCGACACCATCACGAGGCTCATTGTCTTCGCAATAGCGTCTCTTGCGGATGCCATCGCAGATCTCACTCAGGAGCCCGGAAGATGTGACTTCTTTGTTGCCCATCATGCCGGAGCATCCAGAGCTCTTAGTTGAGCGGCGGCTGTTTTGCCAGTACAGGCTGAGGACTTCCTTCATGCGGGCCTTCTCCTGGTGGATGAACCACTCGGCCCAAAGGCTGCGGTCGAGGTGGGTGTCTCCGCGGCCTGCATCAGCCACGTGAAATCGAGAGGAAGAATCGTTATCGCTCAATGATTCGCAGAGTGCCACGATGTTCGCCTTCATGGTGGCGAAGTCATCCATTTGAGAGACAGACGAGAGCTTGCCTAGATAGCGTCCCACGTCTGCGGACAACTCATTCACCACGACGAGTTGGCGGAGAAGGGGGTCAAGGATGGGGCCCAGGTACTGAGACTTGAATGTGGATGCCCCTTTCTTGGTCGGGTATATGAAGAGGAGGGAGCCGCCCGGTGCCAACTCGCTCATACGATCAACCAGGAAAGATGGACGGGTACGACAAAACAAATCACGGTATTCTTGGGCGGAGGTTGGGGGAAGATAGCGCTCGAGGACTGAGATGTGAACGCTGCGAGGGGGGACAATGGGCATCGGGGCGTGGGACATTTGCCGTTGGAGGGGCCCACGGTGGTCATGGTAAGCACCCACAACTGCTGCACTGGAGAAAACTGTGGCATTGAAGTAATCCTCGGTAGCAGCGGGAGAACGAGGAGTGCTGGGGGGAGAGTGGGGCAGATTCGAAAGGCTGAATTGCTCCGGTACTGCGTGGGTAACATTGATATAGGGTGACTGGCCAGGTTGCAAGTGATTGTGGACGGCCTGAACGATCGAGGAAAAAACACTATCGGTTTTTGGTACTGATACTGCCTGATCAGATGTTCTAGGATATGGAAGGGTCTGGGAAACGATTTTGACGGCCTCGCCTCGTGTCTTGCAGAGGGCAAGTGATGAAGCTGAAAAAACAAGGTCAGTGGTTGGGCTTGGAAGTACGGATGCGCGGAAAGCTTACCAGTCAAGTTGATGCCATGATCCAGCCATGAGCCCATGTCCTGCTGGCAGTCCATCTCATCGTGGAGCCCAGGGCTGCCTCCCGAGCTAGACGACCTATGAGAAAGCCCATCCGACGGGCTGCTGAGTGTATCCGAAGCACCGGTCGCAGAGGAATTTTCAACACTCGGGTTTTCCATCATAACCATGGATCCCGGGTGGTGGGAGTGTGTGTCAAACAACATCATCTCGGACTTGGGGTTCCACGCAACGTGGATGTCCTCGTCCGGAGGCGTAGGGGGTAGTGTAGCGGGGTATTCAGGCTGATAATGAGAGTCCCAAGCCGTCGAAGCAGCCAAAGGCCTCGGCCCGCGAGACACAGTGGTTGAAAGACGAAGACGAGAGTCGACCGACCGAGTGCGAGAATCCAGACGGTAGGGCGAACCAGGTGAACGAGGCGAGGTAACACGTTGATCCCACGACGGGAAATTCACGGCCACGCTACTCTTGGAGAGAAATCGAGATACCGGTGACGGTCTTGTTCGGAGAGACCCTTGTGAAGCTCGCCGGCGAACCCTGGTGGGGTTGAGGGTTTCCTGTGTATCTGAGTTCTGGGGGAGATGTGCTCTGGTATCAAGTTTCACTGTTGGTGGGACATGCATGGCGCGATCTTCGGGAGTAGGATTGACAGGCCAATACTGTCCATTGCACGAGGAAGTCATTCAGAGTCTCTGATATGAGGGATTGCCGGCATGAATCATCCGTCCAAAGATGATCGAAAGATGACCGAAAGATGACCCGGTCCAAGCGTGGGAATTTGGGGGGAATTTCAACGCTATGAATAGTTTTAAAGAAAGGAGGGGAAATGAATATTTTGGGGGAGGGGGTAAAAGAAGAAGGGATGAGAAAGAGAAGAAGAAGCAAAAGAGGGCGTGAATTCGAATGGAAATTGACGGGAAGGGAAAGAGTGGGTATTGGGTACTTGGACATAATATGGGCGAATAGGCACTAGGCCTTGTACAGGGTACTAACTGGGGGCAAGGGTTGGGGCCAGACTCTTCAGGTCAGGCAAGTCTAGACCTTTCAAGTCATGGAGTCATCAGTTTCCACCTTTTTTTTTTTCTTCTTTTTCTTTTTTAATGTAAGGGATATATATATATATATATAATATATTTATATATAATGTATAAGATGTTATATAGTAATATGTGTGGTTTTTATTTTAATGAAATTTTTTAAGAACTGGATTATATAGAAAGGTATAATATGCAAGTTTTGATGTATTAAGTTGAAAATGTTGTGTATAAATTGCTATAGTCTAGAGCGACCGGTGGGCTTTGCTCTTGGCTCCACGGACGATCATTTTCATATTCGGGTTGTGCAAGTTAGGAATAACACTTGAAATAATATAGATGAAATATCTGGAAATTGAAATTGAATACTATACTTCGTATATTTGAACGTATTAGAATATTTATATTCTAATATACTTAAATCAATGTCCTCATTACCCGAACCAGACTCAAGCATAATACCAAGGACCATATACATATCACTTCCCCCCAATGCGGAATGAGCCTTGGGTTTCACAAGTCGTCAGTACCACAGGATGCATGTGGAGCATGGGCCTGGATGAGGTACTGAGTACTTCCAAGATAGATACCATGTAGTCCTCCGTTTCCGGTCTAAGAGGGGTTGGGCATATACTTACTTTGTACTTATCTTCACCAATAGGATATACAAAGTAAAAACTATACTTATGTATGTTGTACAAAGTAGATCTAATAGTAATGAACCAGATACATATATATGTCTCTTTATACGGAGTATATTATCTATATATATATATATATTTAGTACTAGGTTCAATGCAACGCCTAGTTCGCAGCAAGTTCGCATTCTAAAGACCCTGGAATCCTAGGATCCTGAAATCCGAGTGGACTCTGATAGGCAACCTCATACATCCATATTCAGATCTAGTCCGATTATCTAAGGGACGTTGAGACCGTTTTAATTTCCACTGTGCGCCTCGATCTGGTTCAGTTCCCTGTTGCCATCTCCGGCTAGCTCCACCGTCTCACATAGAGTATATTGCCACGACTTTAAATTAATTTCAGAGCATGCCATATACCTGGTACTCCATCCTTGATCATATGCATTAGCAGGTCATGAATTGATTTGAATTTATTTGACGTGGGATGTGGAGTTGGTTACTTTATGGTTAACTTGTTAATACATAAACCTCGGCAAATAGAAGAGTACACGTAAACTACTCTGTATACGTACCTAAGTAGGTAGGAAGTTATATATTACGTGCACTCACATTAGTTGATAGTAACCCTTGAAGAAAAAAGTTGATTATGATTAAAATTATATATACTATCACTATAGTCATTATAATCCGACATGATCGAAAAATCACATCATTCCCGTCGGCTATACGGAGTACAGACCGACGCATTCCAATATCTCCATCGACCCGACAAAATGGAATAACTTGAACCATCCACGGTTCTGGGTCAGATTGCATCAGAACAGCGGATTCCAACTCCGTGGTGACCCTTGCATATCGAGAATCTGGTCTCGGTCGCGTGGAGCGCTGAGGGGGCCATGTGTTCTGGCGTGAAAGATCGCGTGAGAGATCGCGTGAGAGATCGGAGAATTGACATCCACGAAATTCCCGATAGGTTCTCTGTACAATGTAGATTCGCAAGGTCCGTAGATACTTTTGTGGAATCCCGAGTTCACTCGGCAAAGAAGGGCAGATTCTCGAAAACAACACCGCCGGTCGGCGGTGTGCGCAAAGTAACCGGTTGGTTGAAAGTAAAGAGGGAAAATGCATATGGCGGAGGTCACCGCCACAAGGGTGACACCCGCCATAGCCCACCAGAAATCCTTCATGAAGTCAATGATCGACGCCGAGACTGAGTCGCAGTAGTGCAGCCGGCCAGCGGCTGTGTCATCTCCTGAGAGCAATTCCACAAAAGCGAGGAGCGGTATTTCTGTTCCTCCCTCGTCAGGCGAACCTGTTTCCGCGCGAAACTAGAAGGCTTTAGGGGGATTGTACAGGAGGCAGAACGACTGCCGTAGGTAGGCATGGAGGTCTTGTTGAGCGACGGATTAACCCGAGCTGGGTTGTCGAGGGTCGCGCTGAGCTCATAGCACTGGTGAACGAGCTGCTGCACTCCATCAGTCAGACGGGAAGCACGTTCCTCAATATCCGGCCAGAAGGCATCGCCCCAGAAGGGATCTTCGCAGACGGCTATCTCAAGGGCATCCAGCCAGCACTGGAAGCCGGAGCGGGCACCTGCGAGCTGCGAAGCGACAGTGACGAATCGGATCGTCGGCTCAGAGTGCAGCACGTGCTGGACAATGCAGGCTGGGCAGCGCGCTGTGAGATACCAATCGTGTTCTTCGGTGAGGATGCAGTTCAACCAGGCGAAGGCGCTGCGGGCTTCACCGCGGAATGCGCGTTCGGGCTCGGCGCCTTTCTGGCTCGGGAGGGTACGGGCCGCAATACGCTCGGCTTGGTGGTTGATTAGGAATAGGGGGACGAGTAGGGTGTGGATAATATCGCGGTGGAGGCGGAAGGTCTCTTGTTCGGTGGAGGTGCAGGAGTGTCGGTGACCGGCGCAGAAGCTTGGTCGCTCCATACCGCATTCTTGGCGGCGAAGTTGTTCGCGCATTACTCGAAAGGCTTCATTGCGCTCTAGCTCGACCTGCTGGTGTCGGGAGATGTGGAACGGGGAGGCCATTGTGGATGATATATAACCGTATATTCTCTGAATGCGATAGAATATGGTATAGGGGGTTATAGAAGCATGTCGGTAAATCGATATAACCAAATATAGGGTAGGGAAGAGTTGAAATAGTCCATTGGAGAAAAACACTCCAGACCGGATGCGGGCTGGTTATTATTATAAGTGTCTCTTGCCCCCCCTTTGCGGAAACGTCATTAATAGGGTGTCTCCCGTTTTTGGTGAAAATGTCCAAAAGCCTAGACGATCCTAATGGAGGGGGATCCACTAGCTGACGAACATTGCGCGTATGAAAATGATAATTGGTGGACAACTCGGAATGAAGTGGAGGAGTGGAGATTGGAGAACACCTTGGGAAGGTCTGGGAAGTCTGGACTGTCGCACATCCAAGGATGTTAGGGGACCGTTTATAGATCTGCTATTAAAGGTCACATACCTGCCCGATGGTGCAGATATTACACCCTATACCACCTTATTCTACCACCTACTTTGTATACACTCATCTCCCATCAACCTCGAAATATATCGCAATTTTCGCAATTATAGCTCACCTCCTTATCTCGCAGTGACCTCGCTCTAGCCCCCGTGGCGACCGCCGAAAACCGCCCAGTGGAGTAACGTGGCAATCTGAAATTTAAACAGAGTTGGATCGCATTTATTGTTAGCGTTGATATTGTGATATGCATTGGATGCATTTAGGGGTCCAACCTTGGTTTCTTCCTAACCCGATATCTGCCCAACGCGTCTCGTGAACAAAGAAGATAGAACTTCTTTCAAAAAAATCCAAATAATTCGTCGATCGATGAGCTGCCGTGTTCCGGGGTTTGAAGATACGACTATCTTTCCCATCTCTAGTTAGAGCGGATATAATATCCAAGTCCAGAACAGCAGTGATTGACGGGGTTTAAGATGAGGGAATACTTGTCCGACATAGAACGGTGATAATAATGATGGTACTCCGTAGATGGTTTATCTGATAGACATGTCTCAAGCCTGCCCAAGCATTTGAATAGTAATTTCTTATAGTATATTTATAGGTATAGGGGTTGCGTTGTGGAACTCGGTAGATTCCGGGCACGGGGGCAATATTGTATGTTGTGCTCCGTAGGAATTGTTGACTTTGTTACTTTGCACACTGTTTGATTTTAATATTTTAATATTTACTGTAAGATTGCACATCTTCTACCTACTTAAGTATACATATATGTATATATCTATACGGAATACTCCGTAGTCTAGTCTGCTAGTTTACTCCCCCATGTGTGTGATATCTCCATGTGATGACATTGAACTAGGGCTTGGCCCCAACTGATACGGGCCCAGGGGGAATATCAGCAACAGTCAACAGTCAACAGTCAACAGTTAACATTTTAACTTGTACTCCAGTTGTACTCCAATTGTCTAAGTCATGTACTCTAATACCCTTATTACTTTGTATAAATATCTTTGTCTTTAAGCTTAGTTACCAGTCAAACTAAATATGGAATGTCCTAAATAGGGCCAGGAATGAAGCGCGCTAGTTGAGAATACCCTGCAGATAGTAATTTGGTTGCTACAGTTCCAAATCAAGGAACTGTCATTTTATGTTTCAGCTCTATCTCTCCCTTTCTCTCTCCCCTTAAAATCATTGAAATTGTACCTTCTTTTGTAACTGTTGTAACTTTTGTTGTTTGCACCTGCCCCTGATTCCTTCGTTATCAGGGCAAGAGGGTCAAACTACCAGTTGAGATCCTTTCTTCTTCTCTTTCTCTTCTATTTATCTTCTACCTGTTGTATTCATCTACTATCTGCACTGTTACTTTCACAAAATTAATTATGTTGTCATCCCTGGCATTTTCGGTGCCGTTGCTACTTGCTGGCTTGCAGGCCACAGCGGTGGGCGCAATCTCACCCATTTCGGCTGTTGGGTCCAAGTTTTTCTACGAGAACGGAACTCAGTTCTACATCAAGGGTACCTAGAAACTCTACATTGTAGGTATATTATATTGCCCTACTGACTTGAATAGGAATTGCTTATCAACTTACACCAAGTGACCCGCTTGTCGATACTGCCCAATGCGAGCGCGATATCGTCCGGATGTCCGAGCTGGGCACCAATGCTATCCGTGTGTACCACGTGGACCCCCATGCTGATCACAAGGGCTGTATGTCGGCATTGGCAGAAGCTGGTACGGTTGATTCCGATTTCAATTTGTAATGCGAACTGATACGTTGTCTAGGAATCTACCTGTTCGTCGATTTGGACACTTTCAATACTCAGATCGAACAGGTAGGTCCACTTGCCCCTCATGTGGATCCATATATACTGACGATCCTAGACCAAGCCTCACTGGAATCAGACTCAGTTTGATCACTTTAAAGCGGTGCTCGATGAATTCCAAAACTTCGACAACACTGCCGGTGTTTTGGTCGGAAATGAGGTACTCACCACGGCCGATGGCTCCGCTGCTGCTCCGTACGTCTTGGCGGCTGCTCGCGATATCAAAGCCTACCGTGATAAGAAGGGCTATCGCAAGATTCCCGTTGGTTACTCTGCGGCCGATATTGCAGAATTGAGACCCATGCTGCAGAACTACATGGCCTGTTACAAGGATGCAGCTGATCGCTTGGACTTTTACTCGCTGAATGCCTACGAGTGGTGTGGTTCGTCTAGCTATGAAGTATCCGGATATAACATGTTGCAGAAGAACGCAACTGATTACCCCATCCCGATCTTCTTCTCCGAGACTGGCTGCAACACCCCCTCGCCCCGCACCTTTGAGGACCAGGCTGCTATCTTTGGTAGTCACATGTCTGATACTTGGTCTGGATCAATTATCTACGAGTGGATCGAGGAGACCAACGACTATGGGCTGATCAGTTATGGACCGTCTGTCGACGCTGCAACTGCGACTGTAAGTAGTATCGAGGACGGCTTCACCCGCAAGGGCACCCCGACACCTGTGTCACCTGATTTCAACAACCTTAAGTCTCAGTGGGCTACCCTGAACCCGACCGGAGTTGCCCTTTCCGCCTACCTGAAGAGCATATCCCGTCCAACCGCCGTTGAGTGTCCTGCGTCGACATCTGGTGGATGGGCAGTTGACCCAAGCTCGCCGCTTCCTACCTTGGGACAGACCTATACAAAGAGCTCTGGTTCCACAGCGACTGCAGGTAAGAATAAGGCTACTAATACCAGCGTATCTCCCTCCGCGTCAGCAACAAAGGAAGGCGCCGCTCACGCTGTGACCGTTGGCTCCCCAGCTACCGAGCGTCTTCTGGCTGGATCCTTGGTGCTGTCTGGTTTGCTGGGTGCCGTTGCCTTCTGGCTTTAACTTTGTTGTTTTCTTTTTCTCTTACCCGACCCTTGATTGTTGTGGCTCGAGCTATTGTATTGATATGCATCACAAATCTGGGATAGACAACTTCAGCTAAACCGCTGCATAATATATTGGAGTCGGCGTGCTGTTTGCATACTGGTTATGTTCTCAGGTCTTTCTTTCACGAAGCATGAAGTGTACACAAGAAATGAATTACAAGTGCCCAACTGGGCCATCAAAACATTATCATACATCTCTATCTAATTATTTAAACGTCGTACCCTCTATCCCACTAATGTTCACATCCAACTCTGGCAGACACAGCCGAGGCGAGGCGTGCTCCACGCGTATCTCAGGCTCTTCAAACTCCGAAATATCCTCTTCCTCAATATCAAAATCACGATACTCTCCTTCCTCAACATTACTCTCACTCTCACTCCCAACATCTCCAAATCCAAAATCAAACTCCGAAACAGACCCCGAAACAGATCCCGAAACCGATCCCGACCCCGGGACTCTCACGGGAGGCACAGGCGCAAGAACAGCACTCTTCCCGATCTCCATATCCCGAATAGCCGCCAACCCAGTCTTCCCCTGATTCTCCTCCTTTCCATCCTTCTCCCGTTTGTCCTTCACACAATGCAACAAGATCTCCTCTCCGCCTTTCCTCTCCCCACCCCTCCCTCTAGCAACAGCCTCCGCAAAACCCCTCCTAACCCTTTTCACAAGCGGTCTCTTCGCAGCCTCAAAATCAAGCATAGATCTCACAACAATCAACATCTTCGGCACAGCCCAGAAAGCACGATCAGATCGTCTATCCCGTCGACACCGTTTCAACGCATCGCCCTCTAGCAGCGCAATCCACGACTGCACCTGCACCGCATTCCGCGCGAGATGGAACGATGCATCTGCTATTCCGCCGCCACGGCCGGCAGATCGGTTTCGGGCGCTGCGGTGCGCGCTGAAGGAGGGCAGGGACTTTTTGTGCAGGATTGTTAGGATGTCGAGGGTTGTTGCTCCGAGGCAGAAGATGTCTGCTGGGGCATTGGGATTAGGGGGTGGGGAGGAGTGGGTCGAGGATTGGAGGCAGGAGGTGGATGTTATGGGCCTGGTGAAGGATGAAGATGCTAGGGATTGAGTGGATCTGGAGTGGCGGAGGGATGTTGGGGTTTGGGGTGGTGGGGAGCGGGAGGTTGAGGGGGGTGATTGGGGAATGAAGGTTGGTGTTGTTGATGCATTTGAGGAGGATGTAGAGGTTGACATTATTGATGGTGTTGGGCGGGAGTTCTTTCTTCGGGCGAAGAAGGATGTGAGACGGTGTTTCTTTGGTTGAGGTGATGTGGCCGTTGCGTCTGTGTAGACGGAAGAGGCTGCTGATGAGGCTCCTGAAGATGAAGAGGAGGATGAGAAGGCGAGGGAGAAATGTGACGGTGAGTCTTGTAGGCCGATGTGGACGACTGTGCCCTTTGAGGCAGCTGAGTTTGGTCGTGTGGTGGACACAGAAGCAGGTGGGCTTTCGCTTAATGGGGATAGGGCTAGACGGGTTGGCCGTTGTCTACGCTTTGTACGTCCCCCTGAGGGAAGTAGTGTCTGTGTAGGCTGCGCTGGCCTTTGCAGAATGACTGGAGCTGTGGGACGAGTCCAGCGCTCTGGCGCAGAGTAATTATATGCATCGAGGTCGTTGACATGTTGTGGTGTCAGGAGCGAGTCGAGTGCTTGGAATTGACCGAGGCAGATATGAAAGTTTGCATCGATGAAGATGTTGGATGGGCGGATTGCGCCATGAGATTGGCCGCGCGCGTGCAACCAGGAGACTGCAGATGCCAGGCAGTGAGGCCAGGTGATCAAGGTCTGGCGGCGTTGTTCTTTGTCCAGCCTTTTGAAGGACATCGGCTCATCTGTGAGGAAGCTATGTAAGTTCCGATCTGCCATGGCGCCGGTGAAAAGCACCGAGACACTGTCATCCTTCAGGTATGAGGCATAAACGGAGACGATATGTTCATGCGACAGTCGTTTCAAGTTGCGGATCTCGGCCAGAACCTCTTCGGGCGAGAAGAAATATGGCGCGCCGCCTATTTGCACTTGAGTGCGCATATAGACCCGACAAACCGAGCCGGCGAGGACTACCCTGTCTACGGTCTCATCACGCCCGTGTATTCCGCCGCTGGTGTTGGTGCGCACTGCCTCGAGAGGGACGCCTTCGTTTTCGGTATACGTAACATGCGCTCCCTCGGCTATACCTCGGACTAGGTAGCGCCATTGCGCATGAAAGAAACTTGTTTCGAGGGCTAGATCTTCCCCGTTGGGGGATAAGTGGAGTAAATCCACACTATGTTGGGCGACGGGTAGATCGTCATCGTCGCACGATTCATCGACTAGCGCGAAGATCCGGTCGGGAATGCCTATAGCGTCGAGGATCATAAAGACACGGGAGGCCTTGGTGAGGATCCATTCCATGTAGGTCCCACTGGTCAAGCCTTCGCCCCAGTCCGGTAATTCAAAGAGGCGGGGGATATTCTCTGGTTGCAGTCGATTGATGATAAACTTTGTGTCGAGGGTGGCTCTGATGCGATCCTCGGGCCACCATAGTGAGGTGTGTTCATACTGAGCCATGTTGGCATGACTTGAAAGCATTTGGTTCACATATCTGGGAGACGAGAGTTTTTAATATGTACGGGCCTTAATGTACGATATCGGAGAATGCGGCTGTCAATGTCCATGTCTCCACCTTTCCACCTTAAACGGGTAGAAAGGGAGGAAATAATGGATGCCTAGTGGTTGAACTAGCTTATCTCGCAAGGGGAGAGAGCATAGAATCAGATGGTTCCAATTTAGAGTTGAATTGAACATTTAACTGCATATACATAAGTACAGAAAAGTACTAGAAAGGCACTATGGTACAAGGGCATACATACCGGGTTTCTATGTATAGTCTCTTTACCAGTAGAAATATCATAAACTCATTGTTCTCAGCCAATCTAGGGCTAGGGGCTTATCTTTTACTGAAAGATAACATGTCGACTGTCATATGCAGAGTAGATCAATTTTGTACTTTATTATATTTCGGGCAAATGCGGTAAAAAGCAAGGAAACAATAATTGTATCCCCCTTCGCTCTCAGGTGAGGAACTGGATCTATAAATGCATATGTGCATATGTATCCATTGCATCCGAGATCGATCCGTGAGGGATCAATTGAGATCCATTCTCTTCGTATCTGTCATATTGTTAATTTTAAGAGCTAGGACTGCAGAGGGAAAGCCGTACTGGTGGCGCTAGTATATATGGCACCGTTGTACTCCGTAGATAGCCCATTTAACCGGGATTAGTAGACAATACAAAATCAATACAACCCCCGGTCAAAGCCTCCACCTTTTTCTCTCGCCCCACAATCCCATTTTGAAGTTTGCCCAGAAGGATCGCTAGGCTCAAGTAGCTCAAGTAGAGCGGGGTATTATTGGGGGCCCCCAAGGGAAGGAGAAACGACGTAATCAATATGCCCATGTGGCTACCGCGGCTGATAACTGCGCGAATTGTCTCTGATGAACGACCGGGGGTAGTCGCGTTGAGCGGTTACAAGTATCGGACTTGAGCCCAATTATGAGTCGATCGCCGACTCAACATCCTTGTAATGGACATGCCGCGGAGATTGAAATCACTCGTTTTGGAAGATAATGGCCCCATTGCTTTTGGAAGTTCTCGGGAGGTCTGGAAAGTTGGGAATGTTTTAATGTTGAAATCTTAATTCCTCCAATAGGCGATTGATATGATTTGCCCAGATTCTTTCGGAAATAGAAGGGTTGGCGCTAGACCTGTGAATGTATTGGTCCGGGATAATATTACCGGGCATCTGCATTTCGAAGGTCGGAGTCTACCGCCTTAGAAGAGAATAGATAGAAGAGAATAGATAGATATATCTAAGTACTCCTTTTTTCATTGTTTTTTTTAACAAAATAGTAGACTTACCCCTGATATCTTTTATATCTTTTGTCCTTCTAATTTGTATAGGTAGACGACTTTTTTACATGTAACTGGGGATCAAACCTTGGAAACCCTTGAGGTGCCTGAATAATGACTTATAATATCAAAGCATTTGGTGGTTATTTATAGCAAAGTTGAGGACCGCATTGCTATCTACATGTATATTTGAAGGGCGGGAAAATTGATGTACTTCAATATACTAATATGCAGTCATTCCCATACCCTCTATACCCTCAGACCTATAACATGTTTCCATGAATATAGGGCAAGTATAAGTGAATGACTGTGAGTCGAACTTTCCTTTCATCCCCATTTCATCGGCAAACATCCGAAGATGGATGTCTGTATGTGTGGATGTTTGGATGTCTTCCCTCACTTGGTTGCTCCTTCTATTTTTGGCGTTCGATATCTTCCCCCATCACTCTCGATTGAACTCTCCCCTCTTCCTTCCCCAAGATCATCACCCCTTTCAAATCGAATCCAAAATGATCGTCGTCACCGGTGGTGCCGGCTTTGTCGGTTCGAACATCATCAAGGAGTTGAACAGCCGAGGCGTGACCAACGTCGTGGTTGTCGACGACTTGACTGATGGGACCAAGTTCCGCAACTTGGTCGACTGCAAGGTGGCCGACTACATCGATGCGACAGTCTTCCGTGACGCGATTCGGACCAAAACCTTTCCCCACCGTCCTCGCGTCATCTTCCACTATGGTGCAATTTCATCCATCACCGAGACCAACGGTAAGAAAATGCTTGACGCCAACTTCACCTACTCCAAGGAGCTCTTCCATTGGTGCAAGGACCAGGGCGTTCGCTTCATCTACGGCTCGTCCGCTGCCGTTTATGGAAACAAAACCACCTTCACCGAGGGAGACCGCCTAGAAGCTCCTCTGAACGTCTATGGATACTCGAAGATGCTGTTTGATCAGTATGTCGTCAAGAACACCGACCCCCGTTGCCCCCAGGTTGCAGGACTCCGTCTTTTCAATGTTTATGGACCCGGCGAACAGAACCGAGAGACCAGCCCCAGCATCGTCTACCAGTTCTACGAGAAGCGCAAAGCCTTCAAAGCGATTGAACTCTTTGGAGAATACGCCGGAGTCGAGGCTGGACAGCAGAAACGTGACTTTGTCTACGTCCAGGATGTCGCTCGCCTAAATTGTTGGTTCCTTGATCACCCAGAAATCAATGGTATCTACAATGTCGGCACTGGTGTTGCCAGCAGCTTCCACGAGGTTGCAACCGCAGTCGCCAGCCATTTCGGCAACACGGAGGGTTACATCAAGTTCATTCCCTTCCCCGCCGAACTGAAAGGCAGATACCAGAGCTACACCTGCGCCGATATCGCAAAACTCCGTCGGGCTGGCTCTGTGCTGCGGTTCCGAACCATTAAGGAAGGGATTAAGGACTACATGGAGTGGCTCGAAAAGAATGAGTCCTTGGACTACTAATTGTGTATCGGACATGATTGCACCTAGCAGTCCAGGTGCTTTCGACAACGTGGTCAAGCTTTCATGTGAGGACCATACTTCATCCTTCGATACGACATGGGGCCATCATTTATTTCTGTTCACAGAAATCTCTTAATATTTGGGTACTCCAAATATACTTACGAACATCATACAAGAATTTAACATAGGAAAAGGAAAAAAAAGGTGAAAACCGATCGAAAAAAACGACAAAAAAACAACGAAACCAACCTCTGGTGTTCATGCCTGGATTGACCGAGATTTGCTGAACTCTGTTTAACAGGCTCTTCACATCAAGACCAACTAGGTAGCTTTTCGACAATTGAACAGAGATCTTCAAATACATTCTTCTAGATAGTAATTGTGTAGTTCTTAGGTATCTCCTACCGCCCGAGGTCGGCATCTCCACCCCCACTTATTTCTTCTGTGGGGTAATTGTTTATCTCCAGGCCATCCTGATCTTGACATTGCGCCCATTTCAATGGCAACCTCAACAGAAAGCAGGTCATCCCTGCCAATTCCCAGAGTTCAGCTTGAACTTGAGGAGCTACAAGAAAATGCGGAATTCATCAATCAACAACTTGAGCCAACGGATCATGGGCCTGCCGCTTGGAAATTGTTGGGGACAGCATTTGTCTTCGAATCTTTGCTATGGGGTGAGCAACAGTTTCGCGCCAAAACACTACATACACACACTGACAGATCCCAGGGTTCCCACTCTCATTCGGAGTCTTCCAGAATTATTACTCGGAGCTCCCCGAATTCGCCGGTAACCCATATATCTCAGTGGTAGGCACTGTTGCCTCGGGAATATCATACCTAGGAGCACCCTTTACAGCACCATTCATCAAGCGCTTCCAAAAATACCAGCGACAGATGATCTGGGTTGGATGTACGTTGGCAGCCTGGAACCACTGTCTGAGCATGTACTCACATTCTCATCTCACCAGGGCCAATATGCATAATCGCACTAATAAGCGGATCCTTCGCCTCAACTCTCGAAACCCTCATCCTCACCCAAGGCGTAGCCTACGGTGTCGGCTTTCTCATCTTCTATTACCCAATCCTCAACATGGTGAATGAATACTGGGTCGCGCGTCGCGGGATGGCATACGGACTCCTCTGCAGCGCATCAGGTGTTTCCGGTGCTGTGATGCCATTCATAATGGAGAAGTTGTTGAACAAATATGGGTACCGGACGACACTGCGAGCTGTTGCTGTTGCACTATTCGTACTGACAGGCCCATTGATACCCTTCTTAAAGGGCCGTCTGCCCGTCTCACGATACACCGCAACAGCAACAGCTAGATCAGACTGGAGTTTCCTTCGGTCTCCTCTGTTCTGGGTGTACTCTGGCTCGAACGTTGTGCAGGGACTGGGGTATTTCTTTCCGTCGTTGTATCTTCCTTCATACGCTAGGTCGATGGGGATGAGTAGCACGAAGGGTGCACTGCTTCTTGCGTTGATGAGTGTATCGCAAGTGGCGGGTCAGTTCACCTTTGGACTTTTGTCTGACAGGAAGGTGTCTGTTAGTCTTCTTATAGCTGTTTCGACTGTGGTGTCGGCTGTGGCTGCGTTTGCGTTGTGGGGACTGGCTCATTCCCTCGCGCCTTTGATTGCCTTTGCCCTAGTCTATGGCTTTTTCGGTGCTGGGTATGTTGCAATGTGGGCGAGGATGTCTACGTCCGTTAGTGCTGATCCAACGGCTATGTCGATGATCTTCAGTTTGTTTTGTTTTGGTAAAGGTATTGGGAATGTCTTGACTGGTCCTCTTAGTGCGAACTTGGTATCTCCGGTCCTTGTGCTGGGGAACTATGGACTGACGAAGTATATGGCTGTTGTCGCTTTTACGGGCAGTTGCATGGCAGTTAGTGGTATTATTGTGGGGTCATGGTCTATAGGGAAGCGGGGAATGAGGTTTCTTCTATAATGGATTATAGCCAAAGGTTGCGAGTTAAGCATACACCCTGCTTTGACCAAGCCAATATCACTTTCTCTATAAATCTTTGTTTGTGGTGCTTGCTAACATAACGATCTATATCTATATAAATATCCTCTTCTATCCTTCCGTTCACAAAATCCTCGGGCACCATAGATTAAATGAACAGGAAAAGGCTGAGGATGAGATATCCCCAAGTCAGCGTAAGGAATGGGTCCAAGAAAAGCCCGTGCGGAGGGGGGCTTCTGGGATAAGCGCTACAGACGGAGTACTTAACCGTACAAAGTATGGAGTACATAGCTCCGTATCCTATATCCGCGGTCCCAGATGTATCACATTTCTGTTCTTCAGAACACCCATCTTCTTTGATCTTCTTTCCTCGGCCTCTTCGCACCATGAAACTCAAACCAACCCAATCTTGATTTTTGCGAACTTTTTCTATCCAATTATTTATTCCATAGTCTATGCCATGGACTGGGATCATATAGCCGAGGAAGAGGGCCAAAGGTTTTTTGCGGCCTGGCTTCAATTGTTGTCCAAACAGTCACCCGCCCTACCTATGAGACTGGCAAGTCAGCATCGTCATGGAAACGCACGTGCGATTGATGTGACGGGTTTCAGTACTGGTGCTTACAACATCTGCTGTACGGTCACTTTCGACGATGGATTCCGTGTACTTGTTCGGTTTCCCATCCTAGGCCGGAGCCGGTTTCGTACTGAGAAGACTAGAAATGAAATATCGGTGATGAGGTATCTTTCTCAACAGACCAATATTCCTGTCCCTCTTGTCATTGGCGCGGGTCGTTGGGGATGTGGGCCTTACATTGTCATGACATTCATCGAGGGGACCTTGTTGTCCAAGCGCATCGAAAGCTCGCTTAGCTTAAATTCAACCATTTCAGGCCCTGAAATTGAGCATGCTCTTCATGGAATGGCCCGGATTATACTTGAACTATCAAAATCTACGTTCCCATGTATTGGGGCTCTCGTTCAAGAGTTGGGAGTGTGGAAAGTGGTGAAAAGACCATTGACTCTCAATATGAATGAGCTTGTGCGTGTTGGAAACATTCCCCCGGATAAATTTGCGGGAGGGAGCTTTTGTAGCGCACACGACTATTTTCAGGAGCTAGCAGCACAGCAGTTTATTCACCTCAAATACCAACGCAATGATGTCATCGAGGATGAGCTAGATTGTCGAAAACGATATATAGCTCGCTGTCTCTTTAGGAAAATTGCTCAGAAATTTTCTGCAGAAAGCCCGGGCCCTTTCCGCCTCTACTGTGATGATTTTCGACCAGGGAATGTGCTTGTTTCCGGGCTAAATCTCACAGTCACCGGTGTCATCGATTGGGAATATACATATGTGGCACCCGCTGAATTCACATACGCTGCGCCATGGTGGCTTTTGTTTGAGAGCCCCGAGGCTTGGGAGCCGGATCTGAATGAGTTTCTATCTCGGTACACTCCTCGCCTACAACTTTTTCTTAAAGTACTTCGTTTTTGCGAAGACCAGCATATTCAGCTACAGAAGATGAACAGTTCTCAACGACTCTCAGACAAGATGGCACAGTCAATGGATAATGGTGTCTTTTGGTTTTGCCTTGCTGCAAGAAAAAGTTTTATGTTTGATGATATCTACTGGACATTTCTTGACCAGAAATACTTTGGCAGCGGGTCTCTTGAGGATAGGCTTTTGCTTTTGTCGGAGGAAGAGTTGGATGGACTGAAGGAAATTGTTTTATTAAAGATATAGCAAGCCCGTGAAAACACTCTGGAAGAACACCTGACGTACGACCAGTTTGTCGATCTTTAGTCCAATCAGGCCTATTTTATAATAGCATGCCTTCAGACAAAGCCTGAGAACAAATCTCTATAGTGTAAGATCATTATATTTAAAAAATACCCACCTAACGAAGGGACCTTGACAGTGACATGACTGATTAGTCCTCAATGCAGCAATAAAATTCCTAAACAATTTAGAATATCAACACCACTGTGCTATCAGTTCCAATTCTCGGAAGAGTTGCCTTCAAACGTTTTAGTCGCGCAAGTTTAGAAAAGGGTTTCATTGCTAAATAGTTATGCGCCCCTAAGCCATTCATAGACTATACACATCATTTGGTGCCTAGGGCTAGCGCGTATCTATGTATGGATATAATTGGAAACCTTGGGTTGATATCTTCAGGGCTACCTATAAATCTCTCCTTTATATATCGAATATTCTTATTAGATAAGGTTAATGTACTCTCTTAGTGTGCTATTATTATGACCATGTCCACATGTAGTCTTAAAATAGACACGCATCAACACAATGCCAGGTCATGTTCTATCCAGAATACGTCCCATAAGTCACGAACAAAACCTCCAAAAAGAATATCATCTCCCTCTGAGCCCACAACTCCGCGACTTCTACATATGCTCATCACACCATCCTGGACGCGTCTGTGCTAGCCCATGATTTGATTTCGTAGTACATATGGAGAATTAGAAATTCCGATATAATCTCAATTAATGGAACTATATATTACTGGATACTTGAACAATGGTATAAAATGAAAATTGGTCTACTCGAAAAATCCACTATAAGCCATACGTCGATAAATAAAGAGGTGACATAATGCCAAAGTGGTTCCTTGGAAGGTTCCGAGATTAGGGAATGTTGGGGTTGTTTTAAACCTTGGAATCCGGGGTATGCATATTACTCATAGTTGACGAGCTCTCTCTTCCTTTTTTTGTTTTCTCTCTCACCTGGGCAACTTTCTCAACTTCTCGCTTTCACGTCCATTCTCCTATCAAGTCCTCTCTTTCTATCAGTTCACTCCAATCGCATCATTGGCAACTTCATTAATCCCTAGGCTATCATGTCTAACTCTGGTCAAGTCCTCTCTGGCCTCGAAGGCACACAAATTACGATGAACTCTCCGCCCCAACCCCCGATTAACTCCATGCCTGAGACCTGGGAGATAGTCGAAAAGATTGAAGAGGATACCGTGACCCAGTCCGAGCAAAATTTCATTGATGGCCGGGGTCCTGCATACGTTGCTGGAAAGTTTTTGTGTCGCCCCTCCGGTGCACAAGGGACCCTCGCTTTCTTGCGTATCTATCAGCAGATACCCTGGCTTGGGACAGAATTGCGAAAGGCTTCAGTCCGAGCTGCCCAGGCTACCGGGCCTTTCGAGCCCCCAGAGCTCCAAGCCCTGAAGCACTTCAAGCAGCAAGGCTGTAACGTTGTTCCCGAGCTTCTTGGATATCAGTTTGAGAAGCAGGATAAGGAAGATATCGTACCGGGCGGATTTGTCACATATGTGATATGGAAGAAGGTGCCTGGCGAGCCCTTAGATTTTACCCGGTTCTGGAATTGCACTTTCTCGGAGCGGCAAAACATTCGCGTCAAGTTCCGACAGATTTACGAGTACGTTACCCACGCGATTGCCAAAGTACCTAGCGCTGACGTGAACTAGGATGCTTTTGCCGTTTGACTACCAAGTCTGGGTACCCAGTTCCACTAAAATCATATACGAATGGTCTACCGGAGAGATGTACGTGTGATTCTTGGTCTCTCGTTATCCTCGATGATGATGAGATAGCTGACTGGCTCATTTCAGGCATATATCCGGCTTCAAAGATGCGACCAACCGCTTTCTTGATAAGGTTTGGAGCGACACTCACTATGCCCTGCACGGTCTTGTTTTAGTGGGTCCGTCTATCAAGTCGTATTTCCCCATTGAGAGCATCGACTTGTACCGAGATGAGAATGGCTGGGAATGGTAGATATATCAACCCTCTTGCTCCTAAGTCATCTTCCTGGATTTTCATTTAAGTTGATGGTGGATTTCATGATAGTCCACCACTAGTTCAGAAATAGGTTATCATGATAAATGCAAGTTCAAACTAGCTTGGCCCCTTCGTCGGCTTGGGATGTTACCTGCTATATCTGCAGTCCATCAAATATACCTAAGTAGGGCCTTTATTTTGCGAAAATCACCACTCATACGCTGTTATAAGGTCAAACCTTCATCCTACTCCGTGGGGCCAATCGATCCCAGCGTTGAGATGTCATTTGCGTGTCTCATTAACTCTCATCTATTTTGAGAGAGGGATTGCTAGAATACTCTGGTAAAATCCTCTTGAATTGCGCGTGGAGAGAGAAAAGAAACTATCTACATGAGAGGAAAGACTTTGATAGGTGGGAGTGTAATCCTGCCGGGACGGCAGGTTTACTTAGGCGGCTGCACCTAAGTGATTACATAAGAGCATTTAGCCGCTAGGCCAAAAGATCATAGGGACAATCGGAACGTCCGATTGTCACTGCAGTGGCATATATACTAGGCCCTAGACTCTGCTCGGGACCACATGGGACGGAGAGTAAAATCACCTGACCTAACCAATAGCGGAATGTAGGCTGATCAACCTGTCTCAATTTCCAAGTCTACGCCGCGACGTCTTACATTCTGCCATCCTCTTTACTCCTCTCCTTGATCATCATAGTATATTGTTTGTTTCGTGGAAAGCATCGCATCCAGACAGAATCGGGTTTCCCACTATCCCACTACAGATATGTTTAGGCGCCCGAGACAGACCGAGCCTGACCGGCTCTCCATGAGACTTCGCAAGACACTTCAACCTCTCACTGTGATTCCTTGGGGAGCGCTCGCAATGTGGTATCTGGGAGTACCCATTGCCGTTGGGGTAACTTACACCTTGGGTAGTAAAATTAAACATTTTTTTTCCTGCTAACGATATTCCTATCACTGTAGGCCCCAATGGTTGTGGTGCGGGACGATGACTACACGGACGCTATTGAGAGGCTTGAGAGCGCAGGATTCGACCGAAGTGTTCCAAATCGCGCCCCTCCTCCGGAAATTATAGAGGGCTATCCAAACCCACAGCAGGTTTTGGAAGAAATAAATGCTGGCTACAAACGCTTAGACCGGTCTTGCGCAGTATTTAATTATCCACAGGGTGATCCAGCAGAAAAGGGCTTGCAGGTGTACCTGATTCCGAACTCCTTTGCGTATATTCTCCAAGAAGATACCCCCCGCTCTTCGACTAGAATAGGAGACACAGTGCTAACAACGCGGTTTCAAAGTTATGGTAGTCTGTACTACCCACTGGAACAGGCACTAGTGGAAAGCTTTGTTAAAGCTGCAATCGACGAAGAGACAGACGCTGGGTTTTCTGCGTGGGGCGAATCACTGAGGTCTTGGGTATCTCTGATAACAGGGTACCTAGAGGTTAACAACGATATCCTCGATATGTGTCTGGATAAGCAAGCAGTGGACTGGTATAGTCACAACTTTGGTCGAATCCGTGAGGCCAATTTCGGTCCTATTGATCGACGCATTTCAAAACGTCTCGACTCTGGAAAAGAGATGCCAATAGATATGAGGGGTAATCCTCTCTGATAGTGGCGCACATTCAGCTACAAGTACGTGGTGTGCTTTTGTCAGGGAAATATTTTAGCAAAGCAATTCATATAATCTACTACGGCAGACGATTTGGGCCAAATTTGACAATGCGTTTGTGCCGCGCAGAAAATTAGCAATCGCCGCTAACGGAACCATACGATTAGTGGTACTAGATATATAATTTATAGTCGTACTACAGTTAGTGGACATATGTTTATAACACACCTATTGCCCCACATAGCTCACCGCCAGTATAAGAATATACCGCCTACCTAAAACGTACACGAAAATTATATATGCGACACTACGAAGGGGATTTTGTTGGCTACTGCGCGGCAGACATATGGTAAATTAAAGTGCGACATCAAGAATATCTCTCTGAGATGATATGGCACTCGACAGAAGCTATTATTGAAAGCCAGGGGTTATATACACTATACTAGATTCATAGTATGAAGGTTTTTGACCGGCAATATACTATATAATCAAGGGGGTGTGGGGCCGTGTGTTAAAAAATTATGTCCAGTCACACTGTACGGAGTACATAGACGGATATGCGACCGCACGGAGACTTTTGTAGGCCCCCATTATTTATCAAACAATACAAACATACCAATCTATTGCAATTGCATAATTAATACATTTTTTGCTGTTTTTTGGGTATTGAGATTACTATCCAGGCTATATATAAAGCTATACGTGAATCATTATATTCTTCCTCTTCTTCTTCCTTTACAAATTTACAAGTAAAGTTATAGAAAGTAATGATTCAAATGATTTGATTCAATTAATAAGATACTAGAATTAGTGTTATATTCATATAATTCCTACTTCTTACCATGATAATTAAATGTTACTGAGTATACAGGTTGGAACATGCGTAAAATACTGCCATTAATCGGCTACTTTATATGTGCCAAGATAATATTTATGCAGCAAAATGGGCTTTGCAGAGGCCTACTCCCACGTACCTTCCGGCGAGATAGCCGAATAGTATTAATATTTCGCCCTAACAACGCGTCATCTTAGCGCCAAGGTATTGCCCAGCTCGCAAATCTGAGTATAACAAATGATCAATCTTGGCTTGCAGGGCCATTGACCAAGTTGAAATAATTCTTGCGAAAGACCTGTGGCATGCAAGGATAATATATTAAAGCACATTGGTCAGTCGTTGCGCTACTGGATCTGCCCTAGCTACATCTGCTAACCAGCTTGGATTGGCCCGCCAAACTATAGTCCTGGCTACATAGCAAGCAAGTCAACTTAGATCTTTCTACGTAGCCCCTCCAGCCTATATGGCCGTGATTGAAATTCCTTGCCAAATATGTACCGGGTGGGAGAGGAGCCGATGATGTAGTAACCGACAGTATTTGATGCTACGCACACTTAGAGAAGTGAAGATCTTCATCTAATTGGTTGGGCGCCTGTATGTCTTCCTAATTTCCTGCGTCGCCGCTGCTTTTCTATGCTCTGCTCTATGCATCATTCCGCTCCAACGTAGCTTCTCCATTGGTCTTCGACTGGTCAACCGAGTACTGAATCTCGGACGCGATAGTCATAGATTCTCCGGCAAACAAGGACGCTCCAGCAATAAAGACTGTGCAAGAGGGACGAATGGCATATATCAGAATTCGCATTCGCAAACAATTTTTGGTCACTTCCAGAACATTAGTCGCTTAACCCCGATGATTCTCAGCCTTCCAATAATTTGTGTGCTACAAGTCTACGCCCACTTCTAATATATGGCAAAATCCTGTACTTGAGTGGCCGGCAGTATCAATCCTTCACAATCGTAGTCACCCTCGCCCTTACTGACCAGACGCCCTTCTCCGGGGCAGGTATCGCAATGTCTCGCGCTATGCGAATGTCCAAGCTAGTCTCATGCAACTCCATGTCAAAACGACGAAAAATATTCGCCATGGTTATGTTATACTGTTTTATTCGCACTGCATCTGTTACACAACAGCATCTACATCCCTATGATTGCTACTAGACCCGGAGCCCTCAATTACATCAGGTGTGGTAGCGCCTGATGGCACGACGTAAGGATCCTTGGATAAGTAGAGATCTACCCATTTTTAAAATCACTAATATGAATTGACTTAGAAAATCAATATTCAAGCTACGCTTCCCTACTCAACTATCTGATTTTAAAAACAAAATCCCACAGACTTTCTTTTCTGAAGACCCACTGGGTCCAGATCGCCGGGTTTCAGACTTTCCTGCAGCTAATTATATCTACCTACAGATAGCCAACTTAAATCTATATGATGACAGGTGTGCGTTCAAACAAATCAACAGATGAGAAGAAGTAAAGTAATATGTTGACAGATCTCCCATAATAGCGGTCAAGGTGAAGGGACAGCATTTCGGGTTATGCAACTTCTGCGAAGGGGCATAACGGCCAATGTCCCAATGGACCAGAAACCAGACCGAGGGGGGGTACTACTGACCTCTCAGTAGTACCCGTTGGTCAATGCTCAGTGTTTTTTTCCCTTGTTTCTGTTACATAGCCACCGTCTGGTTTTGAAAAGTATGCTATCTTTGATTAGGTCATCCCGTTTTAGTATGAAATATAGAGGTCCATATATATACATACATAGGGTGCATTCCAACAAGGGATATTATAGATCCCTACATACCAGAAATATACTAGTTTACTACTAATAAACAACTATATATATGGACTTTTTGGTCTAGTGATGCCTGAATGATGCCTGATTATAGACCGCTTTTTTGACCGCTCTATACAGTCTATTGTAAATGAAGCTATTCCCATCATCATTTCCATCATCGTCATCGCCCTGGAGCTATTTCTTTCTCCAACCATGTTCTATCGATATTGAGCCTCATAAAGCCGAGATACTCGATCTTCTCTAACAAAAAACCACCCATGAAGCTATTCGCACCATTCTCAAGGACAAATACCAGATCAAAATCAGCCGGACGGGCTTAACTAGGCGCCTTTAACGATAGTGAGCTATAACATTGGATTCGTATCTACGCTTAGCGTCTCGCACCAAAAAATGCGGATGAAAACAGTTGCGACTTCAACTTCGTAGAAATAAGCGGCAAGCAGTCGGTGGGGGGGGGGGGGGTGCATGATATTTTGTACGGTGGGAATAGCTTCATTTTATTGGAGTTGAGTACAAGGCTTGGATACTTTGCTTAATAAGACACCTGTCATTGTAATTTAGGTATTTTAATTTCTGCCTGTTGAAAATAAGGCAGTAGTAAGGCATTTTCGGGCATAAACTAGGCCAAAAAGTCCATTGGGACATTGGCCGTTATGTCCCTTCGCAAACTCCACCTGAGCTTACCTGGAATGCACAGTGGGGCCATAATCTACCAAGTGTATGTTGTACTCCGTAGCTAAACTTGTATTTGCGGCTTTGTCAATAATGGGAGTGTATGTTGTACTCCGTAGCTAAACTTGTATCTGCGGCTTTGTTAATCATGGGAGTGTAACACAGACAATTGACCAACCGCACCCCTGATGGTATACGCCAGCAACATTGTTGCACTCAGTAGCAAGGCTGTGGGATGCGTCAGGCGTAAGCACATTCTGTATAAACCGAGTTCAAAATTCTGCAGTGTTTGCATGACCCACTAATTGACTGGGGGTAGGTATTGCCCAGAGTGGTGCAACCAGGATATAAATAAGAGAAGAAGAAGAACCACCATAGTTTTCATCAGATCGAAATAAAACAGCACGAAGCTGTACAATTTTCAGCCCCTTTTGCACCTGCTCTTTATGTGGCCTTCTGCCAGCAAAGATTTTTGATAGTACGCAGAGCAATCATCCCATGGTCTAATTCAAGAGGACTGTGCTAACCAAGAAGCTGATTGTAGTTAGTCGGATCTCAGTCTTTAATACCTCAGAGCCACGTCACTCAAACGCTATCATTAGATACAAGATGCCTTACATCGCCAGGACAAATGCACTCTCCGAGCTGGCTTTTAATGGGGGCCTCTTTGACCCCCGAGCTGGTGCACAGCCTTCTTTTGGCAAACGGATGGTCTGTCGGGACGTAACCAACTTTATTGCCAACACAACCAAGTCACTCCCTTCAGACCCGAGACACGAAAGGGCTGGTGATAGACGCAATAAGTGGAGAGCCCCATGCCAAAAGTCAGCTAGCGAGTACCAGGCCAAACTCGATCGGATCCTCGCGCATTCGAGGGATATCAAACTGCCTTTAGCTGGGAAGAATTCGGACATCCCCGTATCAGAATTCGTACCAGGGCTCGTCGTCAGCGGTGGTCTCAGTCGCTCACCAGCTTTCGACTCCCTGCCTGTCGTTTCCCATTGGGCTGACCGGACTGACGAGTCCTCGGCGGAGGACCCTGATGCTACCGTCTGTCTTTCATCGACATGGAGTACCACCCATGTCATGGGAGAAGGAGCCACCATGAGATGCCCTCTAGGAGCCCCCTGCTGGTCGCTCAAAACTCACGGCATAGGTCCGGTCGAGGTTGGCTCAAGTAAATTTTCTCAACAATATCTCCCTGAAACCGACACGCTGGTGACGACCGTCAACTTGGCGCGTCGTCACGACACCACTCAAACCAATGGAGTTATTGACGCAGCCATAAGCGTATCTTGGATGCGCAATGCTCGCGTTGCAGACGCTGTTGATTGTGCAACTGGCCTGCTAGCAGATGCAGCGACTCTCTTGGCAGCGCGTGATAGGCTGATCAAGACCGGAAGGAGGCAGCGCCTACCGTTTGCCGAAGTACGCGCAGCCGAATTGCCGGTATGGTGCTCCGCTCGCAAGCCTCTCCCTCCAAAGCTGAGCGGCATCGCGCTCTCATCGGACCAAGCCGTTTTGGATATCCTCGCAGTAGAGGATTGTGACGGGCCCCTACTCAACACCAGCATATTCTCTATGGCACTAGGCTATAACCGGGGCGTCTACGGCGGTTCGATCTCTGGATTGTGGGGTATCATGGACTCAGGTTTCGTCCTCGATTACTCCATAGGCATCGAGTCTGCTGAGGTAGCGGAAAGCCTCTCTTCTGCATTTGCGGAGGTGGCCGCTATTGCTGAAGAATCCGTCTCTGCCGGCCCACACATCAGCGACATACGGATCGTTAAGGGGTGCGATTATGCATGCTTGCGCCAGAAGACCATCATCGAGGATACCCACCCTATCTCCTCTCGCCCGTGTATGGTCGTATGGGACGATCTCGCTCGGCTTGCCCGTTACAAGGTAGCTGATGCCGTGTTCTGTCATGTCTATTACGATGCCGGCGGTGGAGAACAGATGGCTGCCATCGCCGGCCTTGGGTGCGTTGTGCATGACTGGGTCGATCTTGGAGCTGATATAGCGTGCGCAGAAGTGAGCAACATCATCCCTACTTTGACGCGGGGATCGTTGGAGGAGGAACCCTTGCTCGAGGTTTATTCGCGATTGCTTGGTTCCTTGATATGGTATCGAGACAACGATCCCTATAACCCGGCAGCCCTCTGTATTCTCTTCACCCACTGGTGGCAGCTCGCGAACTGCCGACACCGACCCGTCACACTCCTTGGCAGGACAGACCTAGGTGTGGGCGCGGGAGTCGCTGCCACAATGCCAGATGGGCGGCCGACCTTGGAGCACTTTCAGGCAAACGGCACTACGATAGAGCGAGGGGAGCGCCCCCTTGCCAATGCCGAAGCACGACTCCAATCTGTCCTTTCATCTGACCCATTGCCAGAAACTCGTGCCGTCATCGAGCTTCTGGTAGACCCTGTGCTTGCTTACATTAGAGGGGCCGATAGCCTACCCTCTGAAAATGAATACCTGGCAGCTGTTCTAGCTGCTGAATTGGCTTACCCCCAGGGACAGAAGATTATGGAGTTGTGGGACCTTGCTATCGTTATGTGGGAATGTGGAGCGATGTGGGCAGCTGGAGTGGCAGGTCTTTGCTACACTCACGCAGGAAAGGCCAACTGTGACCGAGCTCGTGATGACTTGGCTGACACCACCTGGAGTTAAACTGCGCCTCCAGTCACGGTTCTCAAGCGCAGAATTTTCCTTATGGCTGATCTCTGACGCCTGTTGCAGTCGGTCCTGTAGGAAGGGTAGTTTATCAAACTGTGCTATTTCGGTCTTAGTATAGCAATTGTCAGAAATACTACATGTATTACTGGGTTAAAACAGGGTATTGAACCCGATATGTCATGTGACAGCCAGTACCCGGCATACAAAAAGTGTATTAGAATTAGTCAGCAAGCCGCACACAGATTGTCAACACGCGGATTTTATCATGTTTTTATTACTCCGTACTCCGTAGTTAGAGTGACCTACATATATTTGATTACCTTGCCCGCTAGTCCAAATGACGACCACGAAGGACAGACAATCAAATTTAATTCATATAGCAGGCCTGGAAGCAGGCGAACCTGATTTGCAGAAAACCGGCACCCCTGCGGAGCTGACAAGTGCTGCTAAGTAAAGTAAGAAAGACCCGACACTGGCGGTCATCGAGGGCGAGAAGTTTTCTCCATCTCAGTGCTTGAATATTCCATCAAACCATCCTTGATGCTCTGGATGACGGCTCTAGACCGTTCAAGCTCATCCTCATCAGAAACCCAGCCTAGGGTATCTGTCCCGATGAGATCCCTCATCTCGCCAAGTTCCTGTAGTTTCTCCTGTTCTAGGCCATAATCCTCCGAAAATTTCTGCATCTCTTCCTCAGAAAAGTGAACAGGACACTCAACAGATCTTTATTATATTTCTCCATCTAGGGACATAGGCCAATTCTCAAGGACTTGCAACATGGCATACTTCAACGATACAGAGTCTCCTTCCCAGGGAGCCTGTGTATGATGAAAAAGCTTCGCTCGAAGTATACAGTTCTCGGTTCTGATAGCGTCAAAATGATCCGGTTGGGATTTCATAGTCAACGCAGTATAATAGAAATAGACAATACGTCTCCGCATCGTCTCTTGGACAGTCTCCTGTTCTTTATAGCTGAGTTGATCAAAACCGTCTGGTAATTTGACCTCCGGCTTAGATAATGTTTTAGACAATAGATCGCCCTAATTCTGAAAATGATCGGGAATTCCAGGGTATAGACAGAGGGGCAGAATAACTGTATACTGCCAGTCAATGATACCTACTACGTCGTTAGACGTGTTCACCAGGATATTATTAGATGAAAAGTCCGGATAGCGAAGAGTTGGGCGAGATATTCGATGGCCAGATAGGACATCGACGTAGGGCGCCAAATATAAATAATTGGCCAGGAGATATTGATACGGATTAGGTGAAATGGGTTGGAACTGGTGTATTTCTCGTAGGGATCTTTCAACGTATAGGCGTGGTTTACCAAATATTTCACAGAATTCCATCTCGCGCTTGGCAGGTGCCTCGAAGCATACAAAAAAAGTATTCCCTAGCTTGAAATTAATATTTTTTCAAAGAAAATAGGCACTCCTGGATGAAGACTTACATAGGCCGCGGTCAACCTCTAGAGAGGCCCGTTCTTGATACCACCATTCATACTGTGCAGTTGGGCCAACGACGATATCGTCCGAGACTGGGATAGACTGTTGTGAGTTGTCGATATCACGGCGGTGATATAGGCTTCCACTTGCCAGTAGGTGGATGCTCATAAACCGTCTCTCTATCTCGACAATCTGTCTCATTATTTTGACCCGAGTTTTATTATCCATAGAGAACCATTGATCACTTAAGGGCGTTCCTTCAAGTTTTTCAAGTAAAATATATTCAGTTCCAACGGCGTTATAAATCTCACTAGTTAGCTAGTAGAAGATAAGTGAATTGGATATTCTTAAGAAAAAGACGAGACCTATAATGTTGAATTGGGCAGTGAAAAAAATAACATACAAAGAAGTGCATACTGCACTAACAAGTGGATGCTTCACTTCTATTATCCAATCATCAACACGGTGAACGAAGAGGAGATATCTTAAAAAGACTACTAAAAAGACATTGTAAGGTCGCATAACTCACCGACAATTATTATATTAATATGAAAATGAAAAGACGCAGTTAAAAAACCGAGATCAAAATAGAAGAACCGCAGCAAAATCATTAAGCGCATTGTTCTCCTGCTGTAAGCAAGCTTGATTTGAATATCTTCCTCATTCCGTAAGTCGGGGAGATAATTTCTCGAGCGTGAGCTCCGCAGCAACCTTCAAGTCGAGAAGAGTGACAGTCCTACTCTTGCATATAGAATATTATGCATACCGGGGTCATCATGACGAATAGACATTGCCCGAAGCGCTTGAATGCCCTTGAAACATTCTTGTTCGACGTAAGCTCTTTCGTCTGTATCTAGGCTGTGCCAGATGTCACAAAGTCGTTCGCCATCCCGGTATTCCATGATAATTGCCCAACCTGACGGAAACAGGCTGGAGCATATTATTTGTCCTCTTGCAATGCACATAGGGAAAAGATAGTGCCCAATCGAGCGGGTTGTCTCAAGGCGTTCATAGACAGCGGCTTCGATATCAAACCTATATAGAAATCATTAGTCAACGCCAATAGAATGCGGCGTGACTCACAGTCTATCTACCTCAGTTTTCCAGCATTTCAGTACTCGTCGAGTGCCACTGATGTCTGCCACCCAAACTCCCTTTTCCTGATTCTTGGGATCCGACAGTTGTTCCACAAAGTTTACAACCACAGGCATTGCGGTGCCACATTCGATAACCACGCCTGTCGGTGTGATGGTCGGGGGGACTGTCATGCCGCAATTTTGTGCCAAGGGTGTGAAAAGGCCGGCGGGCTGCAACCGGAGTTCTATTTCGTATTAAATATTGGCTTATATATCGAAGAACGTAGAGAGTGTAGAGAGTGTGGAGAGTGACGTTGAAGTGTGTGGTAGATTTGATACTAGGCCTATTTGGAAACTATGAGGTAGTCGAAAATAAGGGTCACTACTTTGGTATAACAGAAAATGGTCTACTCGTCTCCAGCAGCATGGCGTCCATTTTCACCAAGTGGTAAGAAAGTTGATTTTGAGGATTTAGCTAATGTCCCTATTTCAGTCGAAGAATGACTGACTACGTTGAACTTCCTAAGAAATAAGCGAGATCTATCGCGTTCAATTAGGGACTGAATAAATAAAATACAAAGAAGTCCGTTTAGGACCGACGATCTGGTTTAGGACCGACGATCTGAGTCAATTCCCAGCCAATAGTTCGTCTCAAAACCAGGACGAAACACTCCAGGGCGGCAAATACAAGCAAGCATGAAGCAAAAACACGAAATCAATCCGCACTGTGCATATTTGTAGTAGCAAGAGAAAGGAAAAATAGAACCACGAGATACTCATGTTTTGTCTGCTGGAAAATGAGTCTACATCATCAAGCTGAAGAAAACAGCGAGAGAAGCCAGGACCAGACTGGATGCGATCGAGATGCTCGAGGCTGAGTTGAAGACTGGGGATGCGCTGGGCGAGGCGCTTCTGCTGGGGTAGGGGTACCCGCTTGACTTCAACCAAGTCGCCGATGCACGGGCGGGAACAAAGCCGGTCTGTGCTGGGGAAGCACCGCTGGGACCAGCCGGGACCAGACCGACAGTTGGCACAGAGCCGGCACTAGAGGCAGTGTTTGTGACAAAGCTGACCTGTGGCACAGTGACGGTGTAGGTTGAGTAGGTGATTACCGTGAAGGGGAGGGCGGGGGCGGAAGTTATGGGGGCAACGGCGGTTACAGTGGCGCCAGGGACGCTAGCTGTGGGAGTAGATGGAGGGACTGTCGGAACCAAGGTGATGGTTGAGGGGATGGCAGTTACAATGCCTGGGTTCTGGGGGACCCAGGTGGCGCAGATACCGGTGAAGTATGAGAGAGCAGATTGGATCTCTTCCTTGGAGGCGCCCCAGGCTTGGATGCAGGAGATGACCTTGCCGGTGAACTCGCTGTTGGGGCAGAAGCATGAGGCATCACTGTTGGATGTGCACTTAGGGACGAGGGTAAGCCAGGTGTTGATGCACTGAGGCACGGTTTTGGGGCAGGAAGCCGAGGGAGCCGGGGGAGCCGAGCTCGATACCGGGGAAACACCGCTGGGGACTGCTGGGGTATCGGTGGCTGTAGAATGAGGATGAGTCTCAGTGACAACAGTGGCGGTAGCACTGCACTTGGTACAGATGGTCGAGACGGTGGTGAGAGTCACTGTGGACACTGTGTTGGATGTAGTCACGAAGGTGGAAGAACCCTCGGTGACGGTGGTCGTCACAGGGCAGGTAGTTTCTGTCACGTAAGTCACAACGGTGGTCGTGGCACCCTCGGGAATAGTGGGTGTAGAGCCGGCACCAATGCTCGATATGACGACACTGGTGACAGCGGGGCCTGTAGGAGCAGTGGTGACGGGGACGCCTGTTTCAGAGGGAGCCGGGGTGCTTCCAGCAGCAACAGAGCTGGGAAGGTAGGGGGTGGAGGTCAAGGTGACTGTTGAAATTGTGCTGGAGGTCGTGACAAAAGTCGACGATCCAGAAGTGATAGTGGCAGTCACAGGACAGGTGGTCTCAGTTACATAAGTTATAACTGTGGCAGTCCATCCTTGAGGAACTGAAGGAGTGGTCTCGGCGCCCACGCTGGAGGAGATCGTGCTAATGACTTCGGGGCCGCTGGGGATGGGACTAGAGGCCTCTGCAGATGGCGAAGAGACCGGGCTTGCTCCCTCAGAAGTCTCATATGGGACCGGGGTCGAGGCGACCGGGGTACCAGACGGCGTAGTGCTAGGAACAACAGTGCTCGAAACGTCGGGTGTACCAGATGGCCCAGTGACGGAAACGACAGTGCTTGAAGCCTCGGGGGTTTCCGATGGGGCAACAGAGCTCTGACCAGCAACGGAAGTGGCAGTAGCGGAGCACTGAGAGCAGATAGTAGAGACAGTAGTCATAGTAACAGTTGAAATCGTGCTTGTGGTAGTCACGAAAGTAGAAGAGCCGGCGGTAACAGTGGCAGTAACCGGGCAAGTGGTCACAGTCTCCCAAGTAACGACAGTGGTGGTGGCCTCACCAGGGGCGGGGGGAGTGCCAGCAGGAGTCGAAGGTGCAGGGGATGAGATGGCGGAAGTAAAGCTAGGAGCCGGGGAAGTCTCGGCCGACGTAGAAGCCACGGGAGTGCCACTGGGGGCAGGCGATCCAGCCGATGAGGACCCGGCCGTTGTAGAAGCAACTGGAGTGCCACCGGGGGCAGTTGATCCGGCAGGGGTGCTAGCAGGCAAGACACTGCTTGGGCTTGGGCCTGCAGGCAGAGATGGGGAGCTGACAGCAACTGTAGTCTCGGTGACGGGACACACAGTAGTCGAGATAGCGACAGTCGAAGTCTTGATTATTGTCGAGTCGGCTGGGCAGCTCACCACATCGGGAGCACAGCTGGTGATAGTAATCTCGCTGGTGGCATACACCGTTGAGGTGGTCATCCGGACCGGAGTAGTGATTGCCGGGGTTGAAGGTGCAGGAGTTTCAACGGGCGTCTCACTTGAAGTAAGGGGGACAGAAGAAGCCGGAATCGAAGATGTAGGAACGGATGTGCCACTGGAAGGAGGAACACCAGCCGATGAGCTAACAGGGAGAACACCGCTCGGGCTGGGTATAGCAGGCAAAGACGGGGAGCTGACAGCAGGTGTAGTCTCAGTGACGGGGCACACAGTAGTCGAGATAGCGACAGTCGAAGTCTTGATTATGGTCGAGTCTGCTGGGCAGCTCACGACATCTGGGGCACAGCTGGTGATAGTAATCTCACTTGTAGCATACACGGTTGAAGTAGTCATCTGGACAGGAGTGGTGATCGCCGGGGTCGAAGGGGCGGAAGTTCCAGCGGGAGTTCCGCTCGTAGTGAAGGAATCAGAAGGCCCTGGAATTAAAGATGTTGATGTGACACTGGGAGTAGGAACACCAGCGGACGAGCTCGCAGGGAGAACACTGCTAGGGCTAGGTATGGCAGGCACAGATGGCGAGTCTGTAGCCGCAGGAGTAGTCTCAGTGACGGGGCAGACCGTGGTGGAAATAGCGATGGTGGAAGTCACTATAGTGGTTGAGCCTGATCCAGCAGGACAATTGGTGACAGTTGGAGCACAGCTAGTGATAGTGATCAAACTGGTCGTGTACACAGTTGATGTAGTCATCCGAAGAGGTGTGCTTGCCACCGGGGTGGTGACTGGAGCGATAGAAGAGCCCGGTAATGTGAGCGAGGGCAAAATGATAGTGCTGGAGCTAGAAAACACAGAAGAGCCCGAGTCAGAAGGCGAAGGAGTAACGATGGTGCTGGAGCCTGCAGACACTGATGATCCTGAGGCAGAGAGCGAAGGCACATCGATAGAACTGGAGTCAGAAGAGATAGAAGAGCTCCGGACATAAGGGGTAGATGTGTAGCCAACAGACACCGATTCATATGGAACTCTGGTAACAGGAGCAGTGATGAGAGGGACAGACGAGGTGGCTGTGGAACCAGGAGTGCAGTCAAAGCCAACGCTGTAGATGCCGAAACCGCAGCTCTCATGTTCACTATCGTCAGGCAGCTCGAAGTGAACAGACTTAGCACCACCACACTGGTCATTGGTGACCACAGTACCATCGGAGTTGCAAGAAGCGGTGTTCTTGCAAATTGATCCATCGGGCATGGTGTAGATGATGTGCAATTCGGTATCCTTGTCAGTGGCAACGTGGAAGTTGGTCACAGAGAAGCCGCTCTCATGCGAGCCGCAGGCGAAAGATGGAGCTGAAGAACCAGAGCTCTGAGTGGAGCTAGAGGAGCTACCTTTGGAGACGGTACCGGAGATACATTTCTGGGTCTATGGCCATAGTCAGTATGTGCAGATATAAAATAGACATGCATCACTTACACCACGCTTGCCAAGGCTGGAGCCAAAGCCGTTGCCGCAAGTGAAACCAGAGAAGGAGAAGCCACCATAGTCAGAGAATGAACCAGGAGCGAGGTCAGTCCAGCTGAAGCCCTTTTGCTGGTAGTCATTACACTTGTTTGGGGATCTACCCGGGCTGGAGTAGCATTTCTCGGAACCCCAGTACTAAAAGCATTGTTAGGATGTATATGAAAGACGAAAAGATAGGATTTGAGGCATACCGCTCCGGTGGCTTGGCCAGAGGCCAAAAGAGAGAAAAATGCAATAGCCGAAGTGATCTTCATTGTGGAAGGATTTTGGCAACGAGTGACGGGGAAGTAAGATGCAAAGGGACGATAGAATGGAAGAAAAAAAAAAAAAGAAAAGAGAAGATGTATGGATGAAAGAAACAAAAATGGAGTGATGTAAAGGTCTGAGCAGGATAGGCTGCGGTATAGAAAGCTAGGCCTCAATGATATACGCCGCAATTGGAGGGGTATAGGCAGCCAAGCAGGCGATTTCTATTAGTATTGTTGATGGGCAACAAGGGAAAAAAAAAGCCTCAATGAAACTGAACCAATATCAAACGAAAGAGAGTGGGACAAGGAAAATCGTATATATCCCTGAACGAGCGTCTTTGGTTGGAGACGAACCAAGATGGCCAAAGAGCCAAAAAGAAATAAATCAAACAATGACGAGAATTGAAAGAAGTGCTGGATCTGGGAAGAGTCGCGGCCTTTAAACAATGGGCCAACCCAGACTTTTTATGCTATGAACATCTGCAGACAAAGAGTTTGCCTGCAGCTAGCAAGCATTTCTGCTGACCTTGAGTATCCTGGCGTCAAGGAAGGACCCATGTAAGACATTTCGTCAGAGAAAGCGAACGTCTCTCCAATCGGTAGGAATTTGAAGCTACAGGTGAAACGGTGGTGGGCCAACAGAGAGCAAGCTTGAGATCCATTCAGAGTTTGGTGCCGATTAGTGCATGGCTGACCTGAAGAGGCTGGGGAAGAGCCAGTCAGGGCTTGCATAATGGGGCCGTTAACCAGGGCGCCTGCGGGAGGTCCCAATCCCCTTCATCATCAGTTCATCGTTCGATGTGACTGTGAGATCAGAGTCGACATTAATTAATCACCAGCCAATGAGCGTTGTCGAATAAAAATAGCGTATGAATGCTAGGCGCTTGATCGGCACGGAAGCTTGCATAAGGCCGAAGGCTGAGAGAGGCCTCTTCAGGGTCTTCAGGGTAGGGTACCAGAATCCACGTGAGTCTTTCATTTCACTAAGATTTACTGACTTGAACTGCTAGATTTCTCTTTGACCGAAACAATTTCCGAGTTGATAGAATCAATTAGTTTCACAGTCAGAATATTTCAATGAAATCCAATAATGCGACCGGTCAGAAAAGGAAAAATATTTTACTCTGGCGCCTCGCCCATTTGTCGCCCACTTTCCTGCGTGTGCATGCCCCATATTTGCTTATTATTGTTCCTTTTTGTTTTGTATACAAGCTCTTCCACGCGCCTTCGAAGCGCCGGGGTGGAGTACTCCATAGTACTTTTGGGGACAACGGTATTTGCTTTTGTTTCGCACAAAATCTTTATTTTTATTTTTGTTTTCTTTTCTTTATTTAGCTTTGTTTCCAGGGGTAAGCCACTAGAAGATTGAATAGTGAAATGGCGCGGAGTTGATATCCCATTTGCCTCGGGTGCCTGAACGCTCCGTCTCACCGTTGACCCTTGATTTATATGGATCATACTAAAAAGGCCCAGCGCCAACGAACCTGTCCTCTAGGGCCAAGGCTAGTGGGGTCATCTAATAGCTTGGGGAGGTTCGTGTTTCCGAGAGTTTCGCTTCTTGGCTCTAGACAACGGATGTCATTACGATATATCTCCGATCTAAGTCCTAAGCTAGATATGTCTACTCCGTACTACATACTGTATATTACTTCTATTCCTTACTCGACTATTACCCCGCAAGGACCATTTTGGGACCTTGGCTTTGAGGCATACAATTTCCGATATTCCGTATTTCTTTCAGATATGTTCCATCACGCTACTCCGTATGAGGGCTCTTTCTGTTTTATTTCTTTAGTTTTTAGTAATGAAAATAGAATAGCAAATCATCTCCATGTCTCGGCGCGTCGGAAGATGGCTTTGTCTGCAGACTTAAATTCGGGTCAACGTGAAACGCTCAACTAAAAATACCCGCAAATGAGATTGTTTAGCGCCTGGGAATACTACGCTGTACCCCCTTGGAACTGTCGGGTTCTAGACAGTCATATTAATTTTTAGTAAAGTCTTATTCAGGTTTTAACATATTTGCCTCAATGTTACTGGAGACATAATTTAATGTTGTGCAAGTCTGTGCCAAGGTTGCATTGTTATTGATTTCTTGCCCATGCAGTTCAGTTATTCGTCCAATGTCAAGGCTTGTTTAGACTTCCTATTTCTGTCCACAGGGTAGCTAGCATGTATTTAATCAGGGGCAATTTCCTTGCTCCTAGATAATTTGTGCTAAATATATGATTGAACGTAGGGCATCCAATAGTCCATACTCTGCAGATAAATAGCCACTAACGAGTAACTATACGGAGTAATTACCATACTATGTTGTACCCAGGTGACCTATCCAGTTCAAATATCACTACTCCATATAAATATTTAGCATAGCGGACTTCAATGCGCAAAGAAACGTGACATTCATTTTCATTAAGGACCGAAGCCTAGACACTCAAAGTCTCGTCGGCTTCTTTGCCTGACTTGTTTACTTCGTAGTCAAAAGTTATATGTACTAGGAGTTACATGGAAAAGCAGTTTTCATAAATCAAACCTCCCGCCGCCCATTTCTACCGTCTAGTTATAGACTGAGAAATAGAAAAAAATATCTAAAGAAAAAGACGAAATGACATCTAAAATGAATTTTCAGGGCGAACATCACAAGGACCGCCAAAAGGACATCATAAGGCTACATAGGCGGCTGAATATTCTTGTTAGATTGAATGCAACAATCCTTCTCTCAAAACTAAACCTCCTTGCTTTGAGATGTAGTATTCTAGTTAACATACAGAACGTTGATTAGCTTGATTTTCCTTAATAGACTAAAGGTTTTTTCTTGCTGTGTGGGAACACTGCGATATGCCCATACGAAACCACTAGATATACTTGATCCAATTAGCTGACCTCTTACACTGAAAGATATATATGTTGAATTCCACCATGGAATATATGCTTGCAAGTCCAACTAAAGGACGGAGGCAACACTCATCCCAGATGTTCCTCGCAGACATAAAATTGAATATATATAAACCACCGACTAGCGGTGAACAGCACGAACCTCGAAATGAGCCCCAAGCTCTAATCCCACTGTGCTCTCCCACAACCACCTTGCTAGATCTAGACATTAAACATGGAAGACGCTCTCCGCCCAAGCAAAGAAGCCTTTGAATACACGCTCCGCTCAAGCTATCAGCTTTGGTCAAATCATTTCCAACACTAGTGATAGCCGCCTTCCTTTGGAGTGCATTGACCTCAAATCCCTTCTCAAAGACACTCCTGCATTTCTCGCCGATGGATTGATTCCATCAGACAAAGTGTTCTCATTTGCTTGTGCTGAAAAACGTGGAAATCTTGAAATAAAAGGGCAGTCGAAATTGCGGACGTCTAGAACTGGTGCGGACTGCAATACTCCGCCTAAGGTCATGCCGTTGGGGCTTACGCTAGGTGTTGCAAAAGCCGAAAAGGTGGAACTCTCCAAAGATGCACCTCTGTCAGAATGGCCGGGTGTGCGTGGTATTTCTGGCTATGATGAGGGTAACTACGTCGCTGTCTTGTTCTTGGCTTGGGCATACATCCTATCGGCGAAATGGGCAGAGTTGCTCGATCGCTCCGAGATGCACCAGTGTTCAACGAAGTACTCATACGAAACTGGCAAAGAACCCGAAGATTCAGTTCAGCCAGAGGTGATAGAGGTCGATTTGCCTCCAGATGCAAACGAAGCCGAGATCGTCTGGTGGAACGCTGTACTCTCGGGAACACCAACATGGGATATATCCGTGGAATATGAGTCCGAGAAATTCGTTTCTCCATGGGCTGTTTCATTAAGCGGAGCGACATTATTGCGAGCGAAACAAGAAAACCATCTCCAGTCCTCAATGCATAAGCCTCCATCATCAACAACAGCCTTCCAATACCTCACCCGGTTCTGCGATCACCACCGCATCTATGCCCAATGCACAGCAGCGCTATCAGCAACCTTTTTCACGCGTAATCCCTTGGTCCGCACGGCACCTACTCTTCCAATCCCAAGATCTGCCAAGGACTCCGAGTGCTACTCGACTCCAACAAGCCCCCAATCGGTCGCGGCTCTAATCTCCGAGCACGAAAAACTCCTCCCATACTATATGACCCTAAGCAGCCAAGTGTGGTCCACGACCTTGCCCGCACTTACAAGTATGTGCTTCAATCCAGACATACCCTGCAATCTAGTCAGCGCATGGATCAACGCAGCCTTTGCAGTAATGGATCCAATCGTGAAAGAAGGCGACATCATACGTCTTCTCAACGGCCTCTCAGCACATCAACCGCGCCTAGCCAGTCTCTGGCTCGGCGCTGCGATCATGGGTGCGAGTAGCATATACCTGAAACACTGCGAGCAGGGGATGACGGTACCTTCACTTGAGGCCGAGGCGTGGATGGGGGTTACGACTACGTTTTTGACACAACCACCGCGTATCTACGCTAAGGATGCAGACTCCATCCAGCGCGAGGATGAGTGCAAGCTGCTGTTCCTCGCGACGCCCAGTGACGGGAGCTACGACCATGGCTATGTTATTTGCTGGACGTGGAGGCCATTTGGTAGTACAAAAGTCTGTGATACGGATATTCTGCTTCGAGAGCATCTAGGGTGTGGGTGCCATGCTTTGGAATATGAGGGTTGGTCTTGGGAGCTTGGAGATGGGTCGAGGATTGAGGATACGGGCGTAGAAGCCCGGCTTGCATCGTTGCTTTATTCGACCTCTACATCTAGATCTATGTCCGCGCCTGTTTCTATGTGTGTGTCTTGTCCGAAACAAGGGGCTACTTCTGCGGATCTTCCCGCTCTACCGAAAGATTGTGAGTATGATCTGTACTCAGAGCAGAAATCGACTAATCCCACTCGAGGGATATTTTGTTGGCTTCGGTTGGATGGTTTCCCGGCGAATGAAAAGGGGATATACCAGCACTCTTGGGTTGTGATTGGGAGAAGAAAGGACGAGGAGGTGGATGAATACGAGTCTGATGATTCTACGGCTGGTGCTCGAGCTCAAAGAGTTGAAAATTAACTCGGTGGCGTCAGTGATGCCGAGATAGCAGTCGATATCGAAACTGCTGACTATCAGTAATACCGCGTAGAACGAGCTTTTAGATCGATGAATCAAAGCTTGGCTCTCATGAGACTTTCGGTCTATTAGGCTGGGCTCGCCGAATGTGTTATTGTAGACGAACTCGTCACTAGTGTCAGTGAAGGGTATTTGTCTCGACGTCGGGGGTGACCTGAGACAGAAGGGAAAGATATCTCGGGATAAAGACGATTTAGACAATTGCGGACCTTGGGAGAACTTACTTGAATAAGGTTTAGGTTTAGGTGGGTCCCGAGCAGGTGTGGGGTTGTATATCACGATGAAGTCTGAGCTTTACGACTAGTATAAATAATCCAGACCGAGAGAATATAATAAAAGTTTCGAATGTTTTTGATATTGGGAAGGGTAAATGCAAAACAGCAACTAATCAGCCATCACTCGTTAAAACGCAAACCCGCAAATTTTCAACTCCACAAATCCAAAGGTATCACCGGCCCTCGCGGCAGGCGAGGGGAAAAATGGCCAGTCAATAGATATGACATGATAATGAAAAAAAAAAAAGAAATTGAAAGGAGTGGCAATATAATGAAATATCATGAATGGATCGCTTTTGGGTTCTGAGAACCAACATCGATCTTTGGCAAGCCAAGTCTAACATGCATGGCGGTCTAATTCAATCATTAGAAAGATAGACTTTTCTCCATGATATGAAGTGGCGAGATGCAATACGACCAGAGCGAGGAGCCTGTGTGCTCAACGCGAGGTCGAGATGGTCAAAGGCACAAGACCCTAATATTTGAGTCTGCCAGTGACTAGAAACAGATATAATAAATTGTGGCCGTGGTTATCATATGATCTTGATGGAAATCCAAAAGTCGTGCAGTCGTAAGACCTCAGAGAGGTGCTGTGATGGGGAGCTGAGAGCGACGTTGCTGGGCATCCATCAGCTTGCGTCGCACAGCCTCGCCACCCGCAATGCTGGCCGATTTGCGTTTGCGGGTGGGAGTTCGCTGGTCGTTGTTCTTGGCGTGGCGGAAGACACTGGCAGGACGCGCGGGAGAGTTTGCGGGCATAAACTCGCGGTGCTGGGGGAGACGGAGGAGCGCCTGGTAGCGGTTGTGATTGCGACGGAAGGCGGTGACAATACCCTTGTCTAGGTGATTGAGGAAGCGCTCTTCCTTGTTGGCGGGTTGCGAGTCAGACTTGCGAGAGGGGGTAGGTGTCCCCATGGACTTAGCAAATGGAGCGGCCATCGGGGAGACCTGGGCGTCGTCGAACTGCTTGTCCATATCCTCATCTTCATCAGAGGATCCATTGCCAAAGTCGATGAAGTCGTCGACGTTGAGAGCAGCCTCTGGGTCATCTTCTTCGTCTTCTTCGAACGAGCTGTCAATGGTGAACTCCTGAGAAGGGTAAAATGCTTCGGGGGGACCCATGACCTGGCCTCCTGGGGTGAGATCGTTGCCGAGAGCGGTCATCATGAGATTGGCACTCGAAGCCAGCATTGGGCTGAAATCAAGCTGATTGGGCGACGCGAGTGCATCGGTATCGCTCTCATCAACCAAGTGAAGTGTAGTCTGACGAGGGCTGGTATTGGCAGTTCCAGGCATACTGTTGGCAGCAGAGTCCAGCCAGTCGTGGCGAGAAGAGGCATACGCGGGAATGATGACGAGATGCTTGCCGGTGCAGTCGACCAAGGCTACTGGCTTGTGGGGATCGGCTACGAAGGTTCCCATGATAGGCCCTCGGCGACGGGGGATACAGTCATTCTTCTCATCCACAGGGGCCAAAGAGTCGGAGGAGTCCCGACGGAGAAGGGATCGAGGGTGAGTGATAGTTGCCGGTGGGGGAAGATCCTCGTCTGTGGTGTCACCATCATCACCTTTTCAAACGGGTTAGCAAAATTCAGAACGCAATACGAATGACCAATTATCATACTTTCATAACCACTCAAACTGCCCTCGGAGGATCCATCGGACTCGACGTGGTAGATACTTCCATGGCCGTAATCGGCGTCGCCGAACATCTCTTCCGAGTGCCGACGGGTATTTCTCTGGAAATTTTCATTGTCGTTTTCAATCATACGACGCAACTGTGGGTCCAGGCTGTCCTGTTGTAAGAAGTCACCGGGTATATCGTCGTCACTGTGGGAATCACTATCAGAGGACGAATCAGATCGCTCCTCGAAGTGAACTCGCCGGGCGACTGGTGTCTCAGTGGCTTCACTGGTCACTTGAGGCTCTCCAAAAGTGTCCATGGCACTATAAAGGTGCTCTTCGTCAAAGAAAGATGCAGCCGGTAGGAACATGTGATCGTCGAAGGAGTTGATAGCCCATTGATCATCGGCAAATCCAGAGCTGGGCAAAGGGCGATGGGTTTTCTCAGACTCCACGATCATCATTTCTTCCATCTTTTCAACGTCCTGGTCCTCATCTTCGGCATCAGTGATATAGTCTACAGCAGCATACACATCGTCTGAGCTATCATCCGAGTCATTGCCATCATTGACATCACTGCTGTCACTGCTGTCCTCCAGGACACGTCTCCTCTTGTTAATTGTGGTTTGTCGCCCCGTCTTACTGTCTCGGCGACGACCGTAAGACGGGGCCCGAGCTGCTGGTTCTTGTTCGTCGTCTGCATCTTCTTCAGAATCATCTGCCTCATCGCTCAAATCCCCAAGGGACGAGACCGAGGAAACACTTGAGACTGATGATGATGAAGCTCTCCGCTTCCTATCGGATGGCTGAGAAATGGCTGACTTTCGGGACTGATTGGCCTTCGGTGACATATCGAGGCTCCGCACGGTGTTGGACTCGGGGGTTGAGGGGCGGGGGTGAGCGTTCTTGGCGGAGCTCTGAGGAGCCCGCTTGGAAGAGTATGAGCTCTGCGGCATGTTGATATAGGGAAGTATGGATGAATAGGGGTTGTTATGTTGGTTTGGACTTATTTGGTCCGAGCTTTTTGTCGTTCAAATGGTCCGGTCCGCTCTAGGAGGATAGGGTGACGGGATGAAGGAAGAGGGGTAGATATTCCTTAGGTGAGAGGACGGTTGTAGTATGGTCCAAAATAGTGATCCGTCAAGGGATAAGTCAAAGGGAGGTGGGACGGAGTGGAGGAGATCGGAAAAGCGGATTGGAGGGGAGGTATCCAAAGTTTTTTTTTTTTTTCGTAGCCACGAAAACACCCGCAGTCCGTTGCGGACGCTATAGTGTTCCTTCTGGAAGTTGGCTAGGGGGCAATTCCAACGCCTTGAAAGGAGGCGTCAAAAGAGGAAACAAATATCGTCAAGTCGAAGTGAAGATCGGAGCTGCAGGACTGGGGAGCCGGCAGGAACAGGCTCCCCAGCGAGGCATTTACAGCTCAACGAAAGCCATTTGGCTGAATTCTTGACGATATGTGGTATATGTGTAGTTACTGTATTGAGAGGGGTTTCAATAAGTTCAGAGGAATCGGAAATAGATCAGTTGAGAATGCTATGAGGAATAGAAGAAGAAGAGAAGGGCGATGGGGTCGTTTTTTTCCCCCAAGTGGGGGACAGCTGTAATTGGCTGTTGACTACGGCCGCCTATTCGTTGGCGCCGCTCACCGACTATTTCGCGCCAATCAGCGATCGCCGAAAGTTGCAACGGGAAAAGTCATGGACTTTGATGTCCACCTGGGCATTAATTACTTAAATTAGGATACATGATACATTGGGAGTATATTAGTATTGGGTTTTATTGCTAATAGTGTGCAGTACTTGCATCTATTCAATTCATTGCTATTTCAGCCTTTGAGGAATATATCCCAGGCCCGAGTCGTGTGAACAAAACAAACCTGGAAACGTCATCAAAGGTCCTCGGCGCAATACTCCAGTAAAATCTTTGCAAACTATATTCGTATTCTACACGAATTCGCAAAATAGTTTACTCAAGTTTGAGATTAGCGCTCACACAAACGGGAATATTAGAACATGAGCACGGAGTAGTATGCACTGGTCGTCAAACTAGAACATACACGGTCCAGAAGCTGACCCGTGCGGCCATGCATGATGATTCATCCTCGGATTGGGAGTCTCTTTTTTGTTTGCCGTTTATGACACATCCTAAGATGAATCATATTGTGTTTCGCATTTGGACTAAATTTTCACTATTATTGGCTAATTGGTTCGAGCCATAGATCCGGCCACATTTACTTTTGGGGTGGCAAAGCGCTCTACTCTATTCCGATCGGCTTGGCAATTTCCGTGTCTGCCGGGAATCTGCAGGTCTTTTTTTTTTTTTTTTTTTTTGCCCCCAACGGCCCCAATGGGCGAAATGGCCTAAATGGCCTAAAAAAGATTAGAGGCGGTAAAAGGGAACACTATGGCTGAGGCTGGGCGCGTCTAACATGCATAAGATATATCTCTTATCTTTCCCAGGCTCTATAACTCGTTATACTAACCAACGTATGTTCTATAATGCACAATATTGCGGATCAATGGGGCGAATATAGAACGGAACATCTTTCCGTTTCTCTTTCTATTCGAGTCCATCACCTGATGTTCCAAGGCATGCAAGATCATCTCCCTGACCCGCAGTGGCTGCGATGGGAAAATTTCTACTTCTCCCAAAGCCAATCAGACTCCTAAGGGGGGAAACAATTCCCAGCGCTAGCATATTTTCAGTTGAGGCGGGTCATTCACTGTCCGGATCTCAATCCTCCACCTGGCCACTTCGATAGTCTTCTAGCTTGCAGCCCCCACTTCTTCATTCTTTCCATACTGTACGTACATTTTACATGATAGTGGTGTCGAAACGTGGGTTCAGACACAATTGGCGTAGATTAATGCTATGGTGGCATATATGCCATAAGTACTGACCGTGGATAATCAACTCATTCGGAATGTTAGAATGGACTTGACAACCATACCTTAGGACCCTAGGCAGAAGTGAGTGTACTTTGTAGGGACTATGATCTCATAAATTGCTCGATACTATATCTAACTTGCTACCCTTCAAAAAGTGTTTATTTATTTTCTTTGGCCCCATGATATGCAGGCTGCGTATATAACACCATTTTCGATAGGCTGAAGCGATTTGCTAGACTTTATACTACGCTAACCGACCCCCACATCACCGATCACTGGCAAGGCCAAAGTGATACAAAACGGCTCGGTACGATTCGGTGACTTCCAATAGAAGTGGCAAAGAATAGGCCAGCTTCCGCGCATCTTCTGTTCAACGCCTCCAGTTTGCGCATAGTCTCCAAGGAACTCTCCTCGACCTCTGTAGGTCCCCAACCTTCAAGTCCCAAGGAAGTAAGACGTGGCAGAGAATTTGAATTCAACAAAAGTTCGATTTGATCGACAGCCCATTCGAGCAGCTCGTGGGGGCAGTGACACAGAAACAAAGTCTCAAGGGACGGCGGCAAAAGCTCCACAAGGTTTCGTGTGGGCTCAAGGTCGTCGTCAAGTTTGGCAAGCATTGATATAGAAATATGTAGATATTTCATCACATTGAAATCGGCAAACGATCCCAGCCATCCATCGTCGTCTTCCAAATACTGATATGATTCGCCACAGAGCCAAAACGCCTCCAGTGATGACTTGTGGAGGGATATAGATTCTCGAAGGGGACCCGTTACAAGATCGGGCCCATCTGAGATCATGCCTCCGCCAATATTTAACCGGAACGTCTTGAGAGCCTTGCAAGATTCCATCCAGACACCGAATCCACACTCAGTGTTGGTCATGTCAAGATCGATATCCGTGACCCCTGAGAAGGGTGTAATGCGGGGTGCTCCCTCTTGGCGATCAGAGTCGAGAATAGAGGATCCTCCAATCCTGCGCACTGATGGGAATTTGAAGAACGGTTCCATGCAGCTTGCATGGATGGAATTTTCCGTATCATACCATTCCGCGAAAGCATCGGCGAGACGAGTAAATGCTGCGGGGTCATCTTTGGCAGCCTTCTCGAACATCTTCTCAACATACTCTGACCCATACGGGTAGCATATGCTGATTTGTCTTAAGCCTTTCAGCTGAGGGATGAGCAGAGCTAACCAAGCATCGGTATTTCCGCGCCGCAGTTGATCGTTCGGTTGTTTGGACCAACAAGTACCAGCGACAAGCCCATCGATAAGTTGGGGATCGTATTCAAATTCACAATTGATGTTCTCAATGTCGTCCTCAGTGTCCCAACTCTCCACGCGCAAAGAACGCACGGCGCTCGCCAACTCTGGTCGTCTCGCGATTGTATTGAAAAATTGACTGACTTGTCCAATAGTATGATCGCTGACATCACCAAGAATCACCCGGGAGTAGAGAGTTGGTAGCAGAACTGTGTACAGTCGATGACATGATTGAACTAGGGAATATCGATCATACTGGTTATCCAGTTCTTCCGCAATGAGGCAAAGAGTTTCTTCTGGGAGGTCAAGCAAGGTCATAATGTAAATCGTATGGCTTCTTGCGAAACGCAAAGAGACAGTTAGTTTTATTTATATTTGGCGAGGAGGTAGCCGTGTCCAAGGACGCTAGGAATCACGAGGTGGGGGCGGTATTTGTTTGTAGCACTTGATAGAAGGCCCAACACTGGCCTCAATAGATAATTGGTATAGAATGTTGGTGCTAGTGTTATCACCGGAATAGTGTCCAGGTGAGCACTAAGAAGTAAGAGAAAGTAATGCGGGATATTTGACGGGAGAGGAACCAAGTGGAGACTGCCAAGACCAACAGTGCAAAGGACCTATCAAAAGCAAAGCTATCAAAAGGAAAGCGGTTAACTACATGAAATCCGACGTTTGTAATCCGTAGGGCCGAATAATAGTAATTAGATTAAAATAACATAAATCCAAAATCTTTAGGTGCATACATAGTAGACATAATTCAGACATAATCCCCGAGAGATTTCATTTAGCAATCCGTCGATTCTGGGTCGCCCACTTAAATCCAAGCTTTCCTTTGGTCAATAGATCAACCATGGTTCCATCCATTGAAAATAGAATTAAGCATCACCTGTGGGATATAAACCGACGAAAAGCCCTGGAGATCAAGTGCCAGGATAAGGTGTGACATTATTAGGCAGAGGCTCTGTTTTGGCCCGACCGAACATAGACAAACGTGATTTCGATCGGGAAGGAACAGCCGCTGGCCGGGTACTTTGTGGAGTGCTTTGTTGGTTTTTGGTCTCCACTTTGGTAGGAACGGCGGATTGGGCAGGAGAGGCGCGGGCCTCCTCTACCTTTTTCACACCTTCACGTATCTCATCGGACGAAGCACCCAATGGCGCGGTGGTCGTCAAAGTTTCAGTAGGGCGAATTAGACCTTCGGACGTATTTTGGTTGAGCATGGTGATCTCTTCTTCCGTCACCAGACACTCATTCTCCAAACGGACTTCGCGTCCACGTTTATGGCAGTACCACAACACAAATAAAAGTACTGGAGAACGCCATAGTCAGCATATATACTCGTGCACTTTTTTGGTGTGCTGGTTCACTTACTGAACAATGCCAAGGACCAGAGCACATTCATGCCCATAACAGCAGGGAATCGAGCTCGCAGAAATGCCATGATGGATCGCAGCATTCCTACGAGAGCGGCTGGCTTCGATACAAGTTCCTTTAGACTTGGCATATTGATTCCCATCTTCTCTGCAGCTGCAGCGGCCTTGCCTACATTCTCCATGTTGACGCCGCTCTTGCTAGCACGGTCGGCAGCAACCGCCAGCATCTCCGGAGCCAAGGTCTCGGTCCAACGCTCAGGAAGTTTCTCGATCAGCTTTTGCATAGGACCAGGCAGCTTCGTATAGGTTTCTTGTAGTTGGCGATTGCCGTTGGTAAGCAGCATCTCCAAGTCATTATAGGCAGTTGGGACTCCGTTGACCAGATCCTTGAAAATGAGCTTGAACTTTCGTAAAAGTTCTTGTGTTTCCTCACTGATCGAAAACACACGGTTGTTATCCGCTGCCAGGTTCAATCGCTCCAGAATATCTGTCATATCCGCGGCATCTTTATCTTTATCTACATCTTTCCCGTCTGTTGACGTATCCGATGTGGTTGGAGGAGTCGCGGTTTCGATCTGCGATTTGTTTGCATCGAGGGCGTCTTTATCCTATTTGGGCGAACTCGAATGTTAGTATATACATACTCGAGCCAAATGCAAGCATCCGAAAATAAACACAATTAAATAAATGACCAACCTTCTCCGTGTTTTTCTTCCAAAACATGGCACTCCACCGCTTCTTCTTCTGAGAAGGCTTTGGGGTCTCGGTTCTTGTCAATGTTGGCTGGGAACCGTTGCGTTCTTGCCTACCCTCTTCACCAAGCTCCTTTCCTAATTCCTCCCCAGGCGAGGTAGGTAGAGGTATGTTTTCAGCTTGTTCGCTTACCGCAGGCTGCAAAGATACCCCAGCAGTACTTCCTGTTGGGATTTGCTCATTCTGCTCTGTTGGAATGGGCGCAGATTCCGACTGAGCGGTGACTTCGCGTAGGTAGGCTTCATCTTCTGGCGTCAGGACAGGCTTGGGCGCGGTGATCATTTGCGACGAACGCCGTAAGTTTTTGATTTGGTTAAGATATTGCATGGCCATAGTGAAGGGACTCAAAATATCAAGGAGGGCAAGCAATACGGGCTTTTAACCTTTTGCTTTCCTCGATAAGACGTGGTCAATAACCAAAAAAAAGTAGGGTGAAACGAGACGGGCGCGTACTGAAGGTAAGGGGACGCGCGCGCTATGGAATTTAGTGATAGATCGACTTTCGCAAGCGGCTAAGTGATATGTCAAATGGAATGATTAGATGATCAGAAGATGTCGCAGATAGACAAGTTGCATACCAACACCAAGCTTTTGTTTGGCTCACATGCGCACTCTGTTCCGCGTGATGATATCACCGGTGGCTTGGCATCCCCGCATGTGCCACCGCAACAGCAGCACCGCCACACATGCTCTATTTATTGACTTGGCTCGAACATTAAACACCTTGTGAATGAAGATGGGAGCTCGATCTTCAGTTTCTGGTTAGTTATTTCTATTCTAATTGTAGGTTTACTTTTCCGAAGACCTCTATGGTGTAGCTCTCTTTTACTGAACGGGATGTTGTTACATATATAGTTTATATTTTCAAGTGGTTATTGTACTTCAGAGTAAATGAAACCATACAAGCACTATTTGTGTTGTACATCAAACTCATGTTGTCTGCGAATCCATGTCTAAATGCTTAGCCAGCACAGCTGTCTCAGCTCAGGCCGTGAATGATGGGTCTGCCGCCTCAAAAAACCGCATCACCGCCATTGTTACCACTGGGTAGCCCATGATCACATTGTGCAATCCAGTTTTCAAGATTTCTTCGCGAATAACTCCGTGATTGGTTTTCCATTCCATCATGGACACGGCAGCTCCCAGATCTGCCTTCGAATCGAGCTTCTTTTGTTCAAGGTCGTCATAACTGATCCCCGCTGGCATCGAAGCATTGACCGCATGCCAAAAGACAAGTTGAGAATGGTGCCATGGAATGTCAAAGTCATCCTCGGCGTGAATTATCGATATTCGGTATTTCTCTCCATTTACCTCGTTAGCCCGGATATATTGCGCAATAGAATCCCTGGTTGAGAATTTGTCTCGAATGAATCGCTGAAGATATTTGAATAGACAAGGGAACATTGCAACCGGCGACAAGATTGGTACGATACCCGCAATTTGATAAGTTGAGACCAATGTTGCGACGTCCACAAATGGCGCAACCAGCACTGTGCCTACGAAAACTATAGGTGGATTCTGCACAGCAAGATGCTTGGACACAGCGATACTCACGGCCGTGCCCATTGATTGGCCAAATATCAAAATTCGAGATGGAGGGATGCCTGCAACATTCATTGCCCAGTCTACCACAACGAGGGCATCGATGATGAGTCCAGCTTCAGATGGTGACCCGGTACTTTTGCCAAATCCTCGGTAATCAAATTTCAAAACATGGATTTTCCCTGGATTGCCGGCCGAAAGAGCACGATAATTCGGGGCCCTGTAGCCTGAGGCAACGGTTCCTCCAGCGCCGTGCATATGAAGAATCAAGCGAGCTTCGGGGTCGTCCCGTAATAGTTGAAATCCCAGTCGAGACTTGATGTCGGATACAAAGCCCACGGGCTCTTCGATAAGTGGCATTTCATGCTTGCGATATAATTCTACAGGAAGAATATGCCAAGCATATAGCCATTCACCGTCCGTCGTTCTGATGGAGAATGGAGTGACCTGGTTCCTCAGAAACCCAAAACTTTCGGGGATATTGAGGTCTTTGAGCCATGTCATCTGGATTGCGTGAAGATAAACGACATGTGATTGGAAAGTTGATGTGGTGAGTAACCCTAGGAGGATCGCATATAGCCCAACTACAACAGCGACTAGTATTGACGCATATTTGAAGAAGGAACCAGCTATGTCACCAGCCGCCATGGTCAGTCAAAAAAGGAGGTGTGATACTATTGCGACACGGCAAAGGAATTTCTCAGACTGATGGCTGGCGCTGCACACCAGATAGTGACATGCAGACACAATCCCATTGCAATATGCATGATGCGGGTGACAAATTGTCTATTGGTGAGTTCCTGCATGTTTAGTGGGGTTGAGGGCGAGATGTTGGATTTCCCACTGTTCACACTAATAAGACCTGTCCTGTAGCCGCCACTAAATTGGGGCGGTTTATTTTGCAAGGATCAGACCCCACTCTGTTAACACGACGTTGGTATTTTCATATTCCCACACATTTATGAAGGTATCGGTAATCCTTTTGTGCTTATTGACATAATTGTGCGATAGGAAAATGACAGAGAAGTGTAGACTTCCCCAAAGCCCATAAATAGGCCCGGACCTCAGGCCCATAGCCCAACCCGTAGCCCTACCTTCGAAACCCAACCCACATCCTATCAGTGGGGGCCCATAAGGCCCCTATTAAAGCCTACATATCCTAGGCGGCCTCTGTAATCGCTGTATTACGACCTTCCACTACGTATATAAAGTTCAAATTTAGAATCTAGGATTATAGTAGCTATAGAAGTATATATTTTAGTTTTGAATGAAATCTAACTGGTAGAAGTCGAGATACCGTTAATCTTAATGTTTTCGTAAGATATATATTTTAGATTTGTGTAGGAGTACTATTACTATTTTCGTGGAAAAATATTTTGATTACAGATATATCTGTGGCATTTTAGCAATGTATGTTCAAGTCGTTTCTAGGAGCCGGTTTTTTCTCTCGGCTTTCTTGCTCAATGCTATAAATAAGTTCCACTAGCTTCTGTGCGTCGTCTCGGGTTCGTTCCATCAGCCCATTCTGTTCGCTGATCCATTGTAGTCGTTCCTTCCAGAAATCCCACCGCTCCTTTGAGAACGAAGAATCTCCTTTCCATAGATTCCAATCGGGCTTTTTGTTTGCTTCAGCAAAGGAGAGGTCCTTCTTCCCTACAAACTTGAAAATAATGGATCCTGCAATCTCAAGAAAAGGAACCATAGCATGAACATCAGTCTATAGGCCGAAGTCAGTTATCTCAAGCATAGTGGTCATATTCTTTTGCGACCCACATTTAGCATAGGGATATAATTTGTAGCCACGCGGCCATCTACAAGGTGATGGCACTGTAAGAACGATGGTGAGCGCGGCGGGAGTGGCACCGGCCCGTGATTCCACGGATCCTGTTCTAGTGCAAAGACGGGGATTCGCAATGCCATGCTTAGTTCGCATGAACCAGGGCCATGCGGTGGATATGCGGAAATATAATGCGCGGAAAAAGCGCTGCTACTATGAAAAATGTACCACCCTTAAAAGGGGTAGATACCGTATCGCATTTCCCAGTAACCTGTAATCAGAATATTAGTCTATATATCAAATCAACAAAAACGACCCTCTGGAAGGAATCTTGGGGGAAAGCCTTGTTTCCACAATATTGGAGGGAATCAAAAATGAGATGGCTATTTTGCTTGATGTTTTAGGGGAGGAAGAAGTAAGTCACGCACGGTCATGAGTCTCTTCCCAAATATCGTTGAATGCGGCCAGGTTCCTCCAGTCTTCCAGCCGATCCTTGAAGCGTGACCTGCAAACCTGTTCTTCGGTTCTATCAAGGTCCGGAAGAGCTCTTATTGCCTCCATCAACTTCAAAATAGCGGGTTGATAGTTCGGCATCTCAATAGCAGCATCCCAAAGTAGCCATGAAACGCGCTCTCCTTTATCCACAGCTTGACCCTGGCGGTCTTGAATCAGGCCATCTTCGTTACGAAGTGACATGGAGCGACGAGCAGCGTCATCTACTGGGATTGCATTGGCAGTGCCGTAACGCTCAACAAATTCCTGTAATATTCGAATCTCAACCCAGGTTGGGGGATCTAGGTCGCCATCCTCTGGGTTTGGATAAAAGAAGGGTTTCCATTCGGCTTAATGCTCTTCCATTGCTGTGATGGAAGTTGTGGTGCTTTGATCTGGGGTCGCCCTAGTCGGTGCTGACAGCGAAGGTCAGTCATTCTCGAAATCGGCTTGACACAAAACACAATCACTCTGGCCCCACTGCCAAGTCTTTAGCGCAGATCATAGCGCGGGCCGCATTAAATTGAGGGGTGCATCAGAAATACTGTATGTAATACTGGGTGAAAACAGGATATTGTACCCGATATATTATACAACCAGTACCTACGTAGTATCCATACCCTACAGAAGTGTATTTTGAATTAGTGAGTGTCTAGGTACGTTTCTAAGATTTAATCTTAATTGAGGTAGCAGATATGGATAGATACAATATCAATTGTCGATACATCGAGAGGGCACAGCTCCCGTGACACTTTCCTCTTTCTGGACATTGTGGGTCTCAGATTGACAAACCGGAATTCCACAAACTGGATCTTCATTAAGAGCAGCCGGAATTCTTGCGGCTTAGACAGACCTTGCGGTGCCCTGAATTTTCCGGCGAATAACCCGAGACTGCCTTGTAGTTGCAGCATGCCGGTACGTACGTACATTCTTGTATGATCAATGAACCCACGGCATGCGCAGTCCACCACGTCGAGTCCGTTGAAGAACCTCTGTACGGTCCCATTCTGATGTGGCAGTTCCCATGCGACCCAAGGGCCCGGTTGTTGCCAACCAAAGTCTGACTCTTTTGCATACCCACGAGGAGAGTGTAACAACTATTCTCGTAGGCAAGGTTGCCCGTGCTGCACGCGATACCATATGTTTTGCCCCGCTTCTGGAGCTCAGAAACATCCTCCTCGCCAAGACGTCGCAACATCTCTAGCACGTCGCTGGCGTGCGTGTCCAGGCTACTCGATTGAGCATAGAATGAAAGGGCATCGGCGTAAAGTTCAGGCACGTTCAATCTGTACTCGACTGCATCTTCTTCGATACTTTCAAGAACAGTCATATTGTCTGAGCCTCCCACAATCTTATCCTCCACATCTCCGTATATATGGTAGCGAGCCCAGATAGCGTCTCCGTATCGTTTTTCTCGGATTGATTTCACATAAGCGCTCGCCCAAGGCTCAACGAACTGGCTCGTTTGATTGGTGTTGCCAAAGATGTCCTGGAAATTGAGGTCCAGAAACAGCTGCTCTGGAAGGGCCGAGATTGTAGCATTTGTGGTATTTGTGGCCAATGCCAGGGCAATGGAAGCAGAAAGAGATATCAGAGTTGAAGAAATGTGCATCTTGACGATGAAGATTGACTGCAATACGATTGACTGAGATTTAAAGAACCTACAAATTAAATCATTGCGCCGAGCCAGGTCATATTATATACTCTTGGAGCGCGATACGGAGAACTGGGCTTGTGTATCTTGCATGAGGTCTCCACCATACAATTGATTCATCGCGTAGCCCATCTTCTCGAAGGGGATGTGCTCGGAGCCGGCTCTGCCCTTCGGTATGAAGCGAGTTGTTAATACGACCTTGCTTTCCCTTCTCCTTCACTCTCACCATAAATTGAGATTTTGTTCTTACTCGAGGTTGCTATACCCACTTCAGTATCTGGGGGTAGATTCAATCTCAGTGGCCATGTGAACTGATATCCATATTCTCACCTTCGTTCTCATCGGTTACCGTAAGGATCAAACCAAGGCTCAATGACCTAAGGAATGTCGGGTGTACGGAGTACTCGGAGACCAATTAGTCTAGCGTGCGTTATTTTATGTACAACATATAGCACTAGCTAGTTTCCTCCTAAATCACTCGCTGACTTCCCAACATTTGTTCTTGTCGGACTTACCCGAGCAAAATCAGCAAGGCCCCCATCACCCGATGCTGTTCGGACACCAATTAGTCTAGCGTGCGTTATTTTATGTATAGCACTAGCTATTTTCCTCCTAAATCACTCGCTGACTTCCCAACATTTGTTCTTGTCGGACTTACCCGGGCAAAATCAGAAAGACCCCCATCACCCGATCATCAACTGATGCTGTTCGGCATGATTTCTCGGTCAAGGACTAGCTTCCAAGTGGAGTCTTTCAGCTAGATAATGATAGACGGGACGAACGAGCTTTAAGGACACTGAGAGTATCCTTTCGAAAATTTAATCTGTGTGAACGGAAGCAGTCATCCCACTCTTGAACGAGCTTTGTGCTTCTTTTGATGGAAAGTATCATCGAAATCGGAATATCAACTACGATTTTAGCCGATTTTACATTTTGCTCTTGAATAGCGAAAGGATTTAGAGAAAGGAGAACACCACAAGTATGTATATATCCTGGAAAGTAGGAAGATACTTTTGAATATGCAACTAAGTTTTATTGACAGAAAATGTGATGTAAAGCAAGGTATGGTAAGATAAATCAATGTCGCGGGACTTATGCTCATACCTATAGTGTACATAACTAATAAACATGATAACCAAAATCCGGGTTTTGACCAATTTATGCGGACATTGACTAATAGGGTATGCCGGGTACTGGTTGTCACATGACATGTCGGGTACAATACCCTGTTTTCACCCAGTATCACATGCAGCCTACAAATAACTAACGTAACCCGACTTACGCACGTAGGCTACAGTCTGTCCCAAGAAGTCTGAAAACCCTCTCCACGCCTTTACTTATCGCCTACTATAATCTTTCTGCATTTCCTAGCCAACATCAAAAAAGCCAAATTTTGGAACGCCACTGTAAGAGTGGTCAGTTGGGCGTTGACCCCACCCTCACGGCGGACTCTTCCACAGCTTTCCCTCCTCTCACTCGCACTGTTCAGATCCTGATTTCCTATCCTGTCGCATATCTTGTGCCGCCGGGTCTAGAGAGGTAACAACAACCTATACACACCTTCTAGTCCCTGAAGACGAGCTGACATGATAAAGTTATGGGTTCAAATGTTCCAGAAGATCGGCTGACGGAGCAGCTATTCCTGGATTATTCAATCCGTGATATCCAACAAGGTCGTTTCGGATCGGCAAATGACCCTTGGGCTCCTTTATATGTCGATGCCATACGCGATGGGAGGTATGGTGATGCTGTGTGGGCACGATATCACATCGGCGCAGATGTGGAAAATGACATCGTTGATGACTCCAGTAATATGACAGTACTTGAGGTAATTAGGGAGGATGCCCTATCATACAGAGTTTCTTCACCGGAAGAATACTTCAAGGCTGTGTCCTTCTATCTCGGCACTAGCAAGAACGATGGGCATCCAGATGTCCTGGATATCATTTGCAATCTTGATGAAAGGGAAATCGCTGAGATGGAGGCCAAGAAAAAGAAGGAGAATCAAGTTGATGTTTAGTCTGCTTGACCTGCAGTACTTTGACGAATTTCAAGGTTGAGATTCACTGATACAATGGAAGTTGTCGCAAGATTTCACCAGAGTCGAGCAGGCTCGACTCTGCGTTGATAATTATCATTCGAAATAAGAACAATGTCAGTCATCAATCAACATGGCGAAACATTGTGCTTCTGTTATTTTCCACCTGGGTAGGCTACCGATTCAAGCACGGAGTAAATGTAAAATAAAGACATGCAATGGCTTCTGAAGTGGTTAAGTTGTCCCAAGAGTGACGAATCAATCAATAGCGAGGGCCAAGACTCGGGATCTTATATCTGAGGTGTTGGGTATGCTTGATATCCTCCGCACGGTTATACTAGTAAGTAAACATAATAGATAACCGCTCGTGACTTATACATGGTGTTGGTTTGTATAAGCGGGGTAGATATCTCATCAAGAGGTAGGATGATTCTCAGATGAGTAGAAACGGCATCCCAGAGTTGCTCCCGGGCTCATAACCTGTTGTAGTTCAGAAGTATGAATTCATTTTTCTAGTCTAGAGGGACAGATGAAGCTATATATACAACAAGCATCCAAATTGATTTCTAATTAACTTGGTTGTCTATATAGACATCTCGGAGCTATTTCCGAGGGTGCGGCTTTGTTCCTGATCTGCACCAGCCGACCAAATGGACTGAATGAGGTTAAGGTTTATGGCGACCTTTCCTACCTAGGACTAGATTGGGGCCGTTCCAAGGTTCCGAGGTTGAACGTTCCTGATCCTTTGATGTCTGTAATGTGATTGGCCATTTCATGGATCAACTCCGTCGGTCGCGCGACAATCTATCTCAGGATGTGTTGGAGACCTCAGACAATGAAATAATATCTTCAAATAGTGAGATCGCCCGGGTGATAGATAGCCTTTTCAAGACGTTTTCCTACGGGCCCGCACGGACCCTGTACCATGCGACCCATCTGGGGCATATCAGTGTCTGAAAAACTGGGGCATTAGTTCTGCGGTCAACTTCTTGTCAATCGGAGTGGGAAAAAAAATATGAGAAAAAAGAAAAGAAAAACCACAATAGCGTGGTTACTGCTGTTGTTCCGGGAATTACAATCTTTAAACTTGATGATCGACTACAAATAATATGGCTCTTGGCTACACATGTAGCTAGCCATTGACGCACAATTGATGTCCTGTTCTTTCTTCTACAGCACACACTCACATTGTGCTAGAGAGATTTGCAAGGTGTTCAGCCCAAATTTGTAAGTACATACCACGCGGGAAAGTACATGTACATTCCTACTAGCAACGCATGCGGGTATTGATATTTCAGAGCCTGGGAGGTTTGTCGATTCTATTAGAGGGCTCGATGAACACCAAAGAGATACTGGAGGTGGTATCATTGCTTTGAATGTGCAGAGAATGTTCTATCTCTTATTTGTTCAAGAGGAAAGAGAGGAAAGAAGCAAGCCACCCATGCCACCTCTAGCACGTGCGCACCTCCCACACTCATAGGAATCGGGTGGTGGTATATTAATCGACACCAGTACGTGGCTATATCGGGAATGAAACTAAAGATCGGCTCTCCACTTCTGCATTCATGGCTGCATATTCCAATCCGCCCGACATCCTGCATCTTCCGTGAAGACTTAAAACCCCGCAAAGCCAAGCACCTCGGTGTCCAACTGCCGAACCCTGAACTGCCGAACCCTGAACTGCCGATAGCTTTGCTTCAATAATGCATGTCTTATACTTGGAAATTACAGTTCAAGCGCCGCCGGGTATACACCCTTCGCCAAACGGAAACAAGGCCCGTCTATGCATCATCGGAATCACTCCGACTTTGCGCTAGGCTCATCGTTTCAAACCCCAGCAATGTAACCTGGCATGGTAGGAATCACAAATTATATTTATCGATATTGATATGTTTTATTAGAGAATGGGGCATTAAATTCATGACTAGGAATTGCAATAGACGGCGTTTCCGGATAAAATATGACGCCAACTTAAGAAGAGCCTAGTTCAGCTCGGGATCCCCGAATATGACCACTTATTTATTCCATGACATACACCCCTTCATAGCTGCTTTTAGTGAGGTTTAAAGACAATGTTCAGCCATTCACATGGAAACCAGGGTCTGACCAGTGTACAAGCTGTGATATATCCCGGGGCCGAGGCTGTTTAACATGACCCGTCGGCATTTTGACCCGCTGCCACATTTCCCCGCAAATACTGTTTCGTCTACTAAATAGCCAAAGGTTAAAGTGACTTGGCAAGGACCTTCTAGACTTGCCAAGTCCAAGCTTAGTCGCTGGATATCGTGTTTTTCCGGGGCTCTATTTCTGTACTTCGAGACACAAACACAGTCATAGTGGTGGCTTTTAGTAATTCCGATCAGTTAACGAGGCTTTTTGGGCACATATACTGTCTTAGCGCCCCCATTGGAGCATATTGTGTAAAGATTAAATGACCTCGGTAGTGTTTGAAGCCTATAGGTAATACTTGAACTCGCCGGCGCTATTATCACCAGACTAGAAACCCCCAGTAATCCTAAGACGGAGATTTCCCCAAAAGGTTTATTCGTACACTCACCGTGCATAATGACTTCTTGGCTCTATACTCCAGATTACTTCTTTGGGGTATCACCTCCGGTGCAAATATCCTAGTCATCCGCTGCCCTCCTCGGCATATATTGTACGTATATAGTGACAGTGCGGATGGGGACAGGTTTGAGGGATATATGAAGTATTTAAAGAGCAGTATTGCCCGCGACAGACTTTCTTTTGTTCATCCAAACACAACGCCCTAGCAACATTTCTAAGTATCTCAGAGGCCTTCTATAAAATCCCTATATATTGTTCCAACATGTTGTTCAACTGCCAGTCTTTGCTCGTAGGGATCTCCTTGATTTCTCAAGCTCTTTCTGCACCTCTCTTGGAATCTAGGGCAACTTCTGGTATGTCAATTCAACATCCTATCTCTGTTCAGCTAGGCAGATCTGATATTGTCTCAAGCCGCCTCTGCTTTCCCTGATCTGCAACGTGCAGCACAACTTTCTTCCGCTGCATACAGCGGTTGCCTTGGAAAAGCCTTTGATATCACTATTACCAAGAGGATTTATGACCTCCTGACCGACACGAATGTAGGCGTGCTATTTGCTCTATACACTAGTAAATGACTAATTCCAATAGGGATTCATTGGATACTCCACTGAAAAAAAGAAAATCTCGGTCGTCATGAAGGGCTCGACTACAAGTGCGGACAAATCAATTCCTTCTATTACTAGTGCACCGTGCTAATTGATCTAGTTGCCGACATCTTGAATGATATTGACACTACTCTCGTCACTCCCTCGCTCTCGGGCGTGACATTCCCTTCCAACGCGAAGATCATGCAAGGGATTAACAAGCCTTGGTCTGCCGTACACGATACCGTCATTGAGGAAGTCAGATCACTCATCGCAAAGTACCCGGATTACACTTTGGAGGCAACCGGACATTCCTTAGGTGGTTCCCTCACATACATTGCTCACGTTGCACTGGCACAGAACTTCCCGGGCAAGGCACTCACCAGCAATGCTCTTGCTGCCTTTCCCATTGGAAATGAAGCATGGGCCACCTTTGCTAGCTCCCAGGCTGGTACCTTGAACCGTGGAAATAACATTGCTGACGGTGTTCCCGTAAGCTGTGGTTGAACTTGAGATGATATATTAAACTTACTAACCGTATAACGCAGAACATGTACGTGAGCGCGCTTTTCAATTTTAAGCACTATGGAACAGTGAGTTATCCCATCAACACCCTTTTATATACCAATTTTCACTCGCTTATCGACCATGGCCATGCACAGGAATACTACAGCTCTGGCTTGAAGGCCACCTGCGTGAAGTGTGAGGGCCAGCGTGATCTGGCTTGCTCTGCGGGCAATGGCATGTACAGCGTCACTATCGGTCACTTCTCAAGCTTTGGTATTACGATGTTGACTGCTGGTTGTGGCTTGCTTTGAGTACCAAAAGTGGATACAAAGAAGCAATCTTCGACACAGATCGCTTATTCTGGGGACAAAGCGATCCCAGATGCTCTCCCTCTCACGTACGAGGGAAATATCTATTGTTTATCTAGTTGTTTAGTTGGTTGTGTCTATTGGATGGTTAGTCATTCAACATGATCAACACCATGCAAATATATATCATCCAACATCAATCCCGTTCCATGATAGCCTACGGAGTACGGTGTATTAAGAACACAGACAAGCCATAGCGGCGCTCTCGGCATCTATAGCATGTATCTTTCTATTGGTTCATATTTAGCGTATCTACCTTGACCAGTATGACGTGAGAATTTAGCGCCAACGTACACAGCCCTCTCGGTTTCTCAAAAACCAGCCACACGGAATTTCACCTGAGCCTCAATTGACAGGTGACTTCCAAGGTTTCTAGTCACATTTGATATCACCTGACCCCCGTATTTAAACCCCCCTCTTCCCATTTTCCTTTCTTCTTTTTTTTCTTTCCTTCCACGTCTGCCGGGGTCGATAACTGTTCAGAGAGTCATTTCAGATTCTCGAACGCAAAGTCATCCCAGAACTGCGTATTCCTCGTCTTTTAACTAAGCCTCGGGGGACCGTTTCTGTGGGGAACTTCCAAGACTCGCATGCTTCGTGTGCATGATCAGCGGCGTCAATTCGTCTTTCTTTCGACCAACTCGTATCATTCCTTTTGATAATTACAAATTCATCTCTCGTCACTTTCGACTATCTTCTATGGGCATATCTCGGCAATAGGGTTCCTTTGCACCATTATGTTCAAGCGCTCTTTCGTATCCAAGGACCGGGCGGGTAAGACCGTCAAGGTCGCCAAGAAGAAATACGACGAGTTGGCTAAGGAGAAGATGAAGCAGAAAGCAGAAAGTTCCTTAATGGGAAGGTGTGTTGATTTATAACTGCGGACATGCGCACTCGATAAAATTCAAAATTGATCTTTATGTACGGAGTACTGATGATGTATACCTCTAGTCCCCTCACCAGCCCTATCATTACTATGATTGTTGGCCGGGACCAGCGTCTTTTCGCCGCCCATGAAGATGTTCTATCTGCATCGCCATTCTTTAGTGCTGCTCTGAAGGAGCAGTTTCAGGAAGATGGTGCAAAACAACTGACTCTGCCTGACGAGTGAGCAAATCCTGTCTATTTCGATTACACAAAAGCTTATCCTTGAGATAGGGAACCCGAGATTCTGTCGTGTATTCTCGAGTTTTTATACAAGGGTGACTACTTCCCGCGCTTGTTGCGTGGGAAGCAAAGAAACTCTTGGTCGCTCGAGAATGCCCAGGATATCAATCAAACTGGTGGCCGTGGGTCGAGCGAGCCGACAATTTTCCACTCCGGTGTGGGAGACCTCATTCTCCGAGACACGGCAGTGTACTGTGCTGCTGAGAAGTACGATTTGGAGGAACTCAAAAACCTTGCTCTCCGAAAGCAGGGTCTTCAGAGTGGTATTCCAGCCGACGTGATCCTGCGATCCGCTCGATATGCATATGACAATACACCCGAGTCTGATTCCCGACTGCGCGCTCATTACCTGGCTCTTATCATCCGCAGTCGCAAGACCTTCAAGAGCAGCGGAACATTGCAGATGGAGATGGAGGAAGGAGGCAAGTTGTTCTTCGACCTGTTTGTAGCAATGTGCAACCATATGGACGACATCTCGGGGTTGCGGTACGATTCAGTTTCTCCTTCTCCCTCGCCCTAGCTCTCTGCGTATCCCTCCTTTACTGCTGACTGTTTTATTGTTGGATACCGAGCCCTGAGTGCTTACACTCGTATCTAAGCTTACACTCGTGTCTAATAGCATCAAGCGATCGCCGAGGTTTTTCTAAGCGGTTGTAACATTTCCTATATACTGGATCGAGCGAATTGGATTTTGAAATTGAACAAGGGAGGTGTGCATTTTGTGCACCAGAATGGCACATTGACACCGAACTTGCACTGGTCTGCGTTTTTGCTTTGACAGCAACTTGACCTTCGCTTCTATCGAGGTTGGCCGCCCTTTTGGTCCGAAGAACTGACCTTATTCACTTTTAATCGGATCCACAGCGTATCTTGACTTGCGTTTAACCACTCTACACTCCTTGAGATTGAGCCTTTTTGACACAGTCTTTGATGATCTCCAATTAGTCTGCCGTTCTTGTTTGCGACATTGATCATGCTTTTTGCCCCTAATCAGGCGATGATTTGTTCATTGCTTAGTCTACTCTTAGGCAACGCGCCCATATGGTGATGAGAAAACAGAAATGAAGAAATTCGGCCACCTCAAATAAGCAAAACATAAAAACTTTAATTACGTACACGGTGATATCCTCCAGGGCTGAAATCGTACCCCATACTCAACCCTGATCTTCAGATTGTTGCAATTATTCGCCTTCCCCCCTACACCGAATCATGGATAAATTCTAGCGCTTGAACTGCCAAACTGGCCCTATAGCAATGTGCTACGCCCTTTCCTTTTCATGGAGGTAACTTCGGGTCGGGAATAAAGGTTTGCATTGCCGTTTGTATTTTCCATAGGAGTCGCGTTTCGGACATTTTGTACAATCATTCTTGTTATGTGACATTTATCTAAAAATGTGTGCCTCGAATCCATTTGGAAACCATATAGATACTGGGGAAACTTCAAATCATCCCAGAATTGTCGTCTCTGATATGTAGTTGCATCGTACTCAATATTATGGGGACAGAGACAAGTTTATATACAATAAAATTCCAATTCATAACACATTGTAACTGTTGGCCAGATCAGTATTGTCACTTATATCAATTGAAAGCCCATAGGTAGATCTTCGATCCCTGATTCCGGCCACTAGTTGCTAATATAGATTGCAGTCGAGTATCTCAGATGAACCTCCAAATCCCAAGACCACCGGGCAATATCCATGATTTAGGGATCTTGCTGTCACAATGATATGATTTCTTTAATCCCATATATAATCCCAATAAAGGAAATTCTGTGGTTCGCCACGACGGCAATATACCTCGTTTATTGGTTCAACCGTAGTCAAGAAAAATGTCTGTCTGTCAGTGGCTTACACTATCGCATTACCAAAGTCCAAAGGCCCGCGTTGATCTCCACGCCGAGCGAGACTTCAACTGTACTCGTTCTTTCTCGGTGGGCCATTTAGCCTATATGTGTGCCATCAAAGACAACACTGCGTGAGGTATGTAGGCCTCATTACTTGGTGATTCTGGTAACAGCACCACACATCAGAAGAACTATTCCCGCAAGATTTGTCCACCATTCAATATTTACCCTAAAGCCCCTTTACTTTTCTTTTGAATATCATTGATTGAACTCTAATGTCTCTTGCAACTATCTCCATCAATTACGTGATACCTGAAATCCGTGAGCTTTTGCTTCCCATTACTATACTCTCGCTTCCTCCCCCACTAACTCCAGCACTTTCTTTCGGATTGATCGCCTGCTACAACTGAATACAAAATCAACAGCAGCTTCACTTCCTTCTGTATCTCAAAATGGCCCCAATAGAATGAGGACTTTTTCATTGACACTGGTGATCACTTCCAGCTTCCGGTGACCAAGATCAACAATTCTCTTCTCAAAAGAGTAGTTTTTCACAAACACTTTCATTACACGAGATTCCAACCGATATGGCGCCCAGGACGTATCTTACCACTGACTTGAGGCATCTGCCCAAGCCGCGCCCCCTGAAGCCCGGTGAAGCACTCCTCGTCCGGTACAAAAACTCGTTGCGGCAATACAAGGCAGACGTCTGGATTGGCATCGTGCTTCCTGACAAATTCGGCCCAAGCAGACACATCAATCGCCGCCCTGTTGGTGCACAACCAGCTGAGGGTCCTTGGAAGACGCACCCGAAAGACCGCGTTTACTCCATTTATCTGCCAGGGCGAAACATGTAGTAAGTTTGGTCTCTTTTTTCATACCCAAAAAAGACCCCCAAAGTTGTATGTTTATTGCTGTATATGTGCACCTATTGAACTTCCTGCATGCCTGTTGATCTTCATATCAGCTTTTCTGACTATAAATGTGCATGCTGATCTATAAAAACTGTAAGCTAACATGCATGAAGCAAATGGATCGGACTCCAGGATATCTTTGTTCTGAACGAAAAGACCCCCAATGTTCTCCGGCGCGCCCAGAGAGAACCAGATTCCAAAATCTGGGACGATATCATGGAAATTGTTCGAACGGAGCCTGGTCTAGAGTTCTGGAAGAACATGTCTCTACAGGAACTAGGCGCCAAAGGCAAACGAGGAAAGGGACTCCGTCTTGTCTTACCGAGTGGTCACGAGGATCTGGTCTCCGGCGAAGAAAGCGACGATGAGAAATCAGAGTCTGAACCAGAGAAGGAAGATAAGGATGAGGAAGATGAACATCAAGAAGTCCCATATGATCATGTGGAGCCTGTTACTGATGTTGCACCTAACCCATCTAATGAGCAAGCAACTATCAGGTCATTTTCTGATTCACGTGCTGCTGTGCCTACACAGGGTGTTCAGCTTAGACAGACATTGGGGCTGTCCCAGGATGCTAACCCCGTTGTACCTGCATCTGAACCTATTCCTTTTGCAGACAGGGAGAGCTCTTGTTTGAGGACCACCCGGCAATTCCATCCATGCCCCCCTCTGGTGCCTCCCACCACTTCTCTCCAAACCCCATCACAATTCATTACTCCGCCAACTGCCATGACTCAGAGCACAGTGCCCAAGGTGGAAAATGATATCAGGTTTGTCAACTTCTGACTTCAATTATCAATGCACATAACATACTATACTGACTAATATATTTTACGCCTACAGTCCTAATATTGCAGATGTGGTATCCCAGCCACCCGCTCCAGAGTTCTCAATATTTGATTTGACCATCAGTCAGGCTCTGAAGCACGTGTTCCTGAATCAATGTGAAGCAGCCAGAATCGTCGATGTGTTTCTGGGCGCCGCAGCTCTAGAAAAACAGCCCGAATACCTGCATATTCGCGAATACTTGGCCGATGGAGAATTCAACCCTCGCCTGATTACACTCAAGAACTCGGGGTTCTCCCATCCTACGCCATTCCCAACCGTGGATCCCGACAACAAGAGTACTCAATTCCGCCTGGTTGGAGACCAAATGGGACTTGGCCAGAACTTCAAACTGCACGGCGTAAATAACAGCTTGGATCTGGAAACTGCTATTATTTCCCTCGGGAGAGTCTACCTTCAAGCCCGCCGTTTTGGCCTGATAGATTTGGTTTATCGAGTTACATTCAAGCTCCAAGTCGCCTGGAACTGTTACCCAGAACTATACCAATCCAAGCCCATTCTCGGTGTTGCTTCCCTTGCCTTTGCCGGCCGCACCGACTTTGATGAGGATGGCTGCGATTACCTCCAGGCCTGGCTCATCCACTTCATTGCCGAAGCTTCCGATTTGCTCATATACAGCGCCAATGACCAGTTCTGGGGATTGCTAAGAGCCCATCCAAAGCTTCAAGACAAAGTTCTCAATCTTCGCACCGTGGCTCACATCAATAACCCTGAATTGTATGGCAATACCATTATACTCCTTGAGAGCCGCGGTCTGGGAAACTTGTAATGTGCACACACACAGTCTCCCTCTGATCGAGCGGAAACAGCGCAAAGAACAGTGCCTCCCATAGGATTATCCGAGCTGCGTATTTAACACATGGTTTCTCACATTCGCTTGCTTGTTTCTTTTCGGTTTCTTCCGGTTTCAATCCCGGATCATTTTAATTCTTCAGTATCCTAATTTCTTGCGTGCTTTTTATCTTCACTTGCGAATAATGGGGTTCTCGTCATTTCATCTTGCACACCAGAAGGAGTTACATTTCAATGGCTTGGCTTCTTGTTTCTGTCGCTCTGAGGTAAAATGGGGAGGCTTAGCAAGCTCATAGTTAGCTTTTATCAACGCAGATATCTTTATTCAACATATTTCGTCTCGAGTACTCATAGTAATACTTCGTTACGGGATATCTATGTAGTCGAGGGCCACGTAAAGCTTATTTCGTTCAAGCCATAATGACAAGAGCATCTTGACCCATATTTGACAATGCTAGTATGACATTCAGAGCTCAGATACCCGTATCATAGTGGTGCTCATCTTCGAAGACCACTGCCCAACGACTTTGGTGCATAAATCTCCTTGTTGTCTAAGCCATGCAGTAGAAGGTTTTTTTTTTTTGGAAAATAATTCAATTCGTTATGTGAACTCGCAGGCTAATCGATGGTGAGAACGACCTAGATATGCATACTAAAATGGCGGTGCACCTGTGCAACCAGCCATCGATCAAGGGAAACCGAATCTCACGCCTGGAATAAAAGAAAAGATGAAAACAATTAGAAACAAAAAAAACGCAAACCTGATATTTCCAGCTAGAACCCATGGAGGATTAGCACAGATCAAAATGAAAAACAAAGGGATCTGATGGGAAAATACCAGTTGCAACATAAATCATAGAACACAGGAGTTGGTATTTCGTAATTCACAGCAATGAGGGATTCCTCATATTAAGTGAGAGAAACCAGCACGGAGGATAGATGAGATTAGAAGTCATCATCAACGTTCTCGGTCTTGACTGGCTTCAAAGGAAACTCAGTGGGCTTCTCAGTGGCACTCTCAACTGGCTCCTCTGCAGTGTCCTTGGCAGGCTCTTCAGCAATGTTCTTGAGGGGCTCTTCAGCAATCTCGTTGACTGACTCTTCAGTAGTGTCCTTGGCAGGCTCCTCGGCGGCGTTGACGATGGGCTCAACGGGAATTTTAGGATTCTCGTCATCATTCTCAGACTTCACCTTGATAGCGGTGATCTCGACAGAGAGCTTGTGGGAGGCCTCAGAAGACTCCTTGTCAGACCTTTCAGCAGGCTCATTGGTGGCCTTCGTGGCAGCTGGCTTGCGTCCTCTGGTCTTGGGCTTCTCCTTGATAGCCTCGGGGGTTTCAGTGACCTCCTCGGTAGGCTCCCGAGTAGCCTTGGTAGCAGCAGGCTTGCGGCTGCGAGTGGGTTTGGGCTTATCTGCAGAGGTATTATCGTTTGCATTGGTCTTGTTGTTGGCAGAACGGGTGCGATTGGGCTTCTCGGTCGACTCATCGGCATGCCCATTCTCCTCCTTGGAGGTATCTGATCCACTGGTCTTGGCTTCCTTAGTAGCCTTCGAGCCATTGGTGGTCTTTGTGCCATTAACAGACTTGGCGCGAGTAGCAGGCTTCTTCTTGCCGTTGGTAGAGGCAGTGTCGTTGTCGCCAAAGGAGGCATCCTTATTGACATCCTTTTTGGCACGGGTCGCACGCTTCTTGGTATCGGTGGCTGGGGCAGTGTCATTGTCGGCAGAGGAGACATCATTGGTAGCATTCTTCTTAGCACCATTTACACGGGTGGCACGCTTCTTGACCCCGGTGACGGTGGAGGTTTCGTTGTCACCAGAGGAGGCATCCTTGTTGATATCCTTTTTGGCACGGGTCGCACGCTTCTTGGGCTTAGTGACGGTCTCGTCCGAATCCTGGTTTGGCTGATCAAGTTCATCCGACTTGTTGTCGGCAGCGGAAGACTTGGAGGTAATGGCTTTCTTGCCACGAGTAACACGCTTGGTGGTCTCCTCTTTGGGCTCAACGTCGGCATGGGCACTTTCATCCTTGGTGGTCTTCTTGCCCCGGGTAGCATGCTTCTTTGGTTCAGCAGCCATCTCAGTGTCAGCATCGGCACTTTCGTCCTCGGAGATTTTCTTGGGAGGGCGGCCACGTCTCTTCCGCTGAACGTTGACCTCGGTCTCCGCATCTGGATTCTCTTCATCCGAGCCCTTCTTTCGAGGACGACTAGGCTTCTTGGGCTCGGGCTTGAGATCAGCCTCAGCAGCAACTTGTTCTTCAGCAGACTTCTTGGTGGGACGGCCGCGCTTCTTGGCCTCCTTGGGCTCAGTCTCAACGACAGCAGCATCAGCAATGGCCTCATCGCCATCTGTGGCCTTCTTGGCACGAGTTTGCTTCTTCTTGGCGGGCTCCTCATCCGCATTCTCAGAATCGGTCAAGCCATGCTTCTTGGCAGAGGACTGCTCAGCTTCGTCAGACTGCGAGTCAGATTAGTATCATATATGACGTATGAGATGAGGATAGAAAATGGAATCCACGCACCGAACTAGCCTTAGCCTTGGCACCCTTGACACGCATGCCGACATTTCCGGGGCGGTTGCATTCAACATCCTAGGAAGTGTGAGCAGGTTGCTCTGTAATCGCTGGGTTCATTCTCAAGGGAAATATTCCAAATATGAAGATTAAGTGAGGTGAACTTACGCCATTCCACTCGTCGTCCTCGACATGGCCCACTTCGATGGCATTGCGAATCTTGGCTTGAAGCTCATTGCTGAGCTCATCAAAGCCATCGATGCGGGAGAAGTCAAGCTCGTCAGAGGATCCAGTGAGATCCTTCCGGACGTTGGAGATTTGCTTGGGGGTAAAGCACCCCCTGAGTGAGGTCAGAAATTGAAATTATTGGCTCGGGGACGGAAGCCATGAATGTTAAGAACAACGTGTGTCTTAACAAGGCTGGACTCACCAGTGGCGCCAGGACCAGCTCTGGAAGCTTGGGCCGTCCATCCAGGTACCGACCCGGAATTCACCCTTCCGGATCTTGATCTTCTCATCGCTGCAATCTTTGGCCTTGCAGCCAGCACGCCCTTGGGCAGCAATCTCTGATCATGAAGTTAGCTGTGATGTCATGGATGCTTCTGTGGTCCCTTGGACTCAGGGGGAGCGGGGATTTTTCTTAGAAATTCCAGAATACGCAAAAGAAATGCCTGCAAACTAGGGCACAGAGCATTTTCAGTTGTGCACCCAGGCATTCTCACTTGATGCAATAGACATACATGATACATCCATTGACCATGAGAACACCGGTGGAAAGATACAAAGACATGAGATAAAGTCACTCACCAAAGCGGTAGGGCATTTTGAGCGCTGCGGATGCAAGTATGGGAAAAAAGAAAGGGAAGATGTGAAAGGTTCACGAGGGTTGTGAAGTGAAGTAGTTATGTAGCATCGGCGCACAGATATGCAGGTCACTAGTGAACAAAGCAAAGAGGAACAATGACAATAAAAACCGTTTACACAATAGGGTTGCAATCCGAAAATGGCTTAGGTTTTTAAATTGATTTAGTTGTAAAAAATAAAATGAATAGAGAGAGAATGCTACTCTATTTAAAATGGAATAGTTCTAAGAAAGTCTCATTATGCAATTGACTTTTATCCGAGTACTCAATACTCTTTCATTGTTCTCAATAAATCATGAGGAATGAAATTACTTACTTGGGTTTCTGAAAGAACAATAATATTGTAGAATAGTGTATACTAACATGTGAAAAACATAGAATAACATCGAACATATAAGCAGGTGGCTGGGACAAGGAAAGGATATCCGTTTGTCCCGGTGGGTAAGCCATGTGCCCCTTTTGAACAAATAATGTCTGTCCAATTAGATGTCTTCTGCTCAACCTATTGTGACATTTTCTTGCAATGCTTTTTTTTTTCGTAAATAACTAAATAAATTTTCAATATAATCGAGTCATTTAATTGGTCAATGGCTAGGTGACTGACCTACCTAGGAACATATCTACTAGACCTAAAAGGATCTGAGGTTATGGATATGTTGGAATCTACAGTTCGAGGAATAATTTGATTTTCTTCTTTTTTTAAGAGACTTGAGATTTCATCCTAGTATGTCGATGATTCTTCATCGGAATGTGAACTAGGGCATGGTAAATGAGGTCTTCCTGTCGCTTTCTTACATATTCTACTCTGCGAAATCCGTACCGTCAACATACCCCAATAAATAGTTCAAAGTAGCAAATAAGTCTCAATAGGTGGAATTATGGGTACAGCAAAGCAATTGAATTAGGGCAATACAACAACGACACCTGACACCACAAGAGATATTCGCAGCACAAGGATGGACAAGAAGCGTCCTCTATGAATGAATATTTATGCACTCCGAAGTTATACGTAAGTAGTTAGTCTAGCTGGACAATGTAAGCAATTCACTTTCTACACCGATATGGTTCCCAGCAGAGACAACTTTGGGTATCTCATACAGCCTCTGGAAGGTAGGCTATTATCATCAACATATATAGCACAGAAATCAGTGTATTAAGCCAAATAATATACAGAACAAAACCTTCGAAACGGGCGATCTGCCATGTGCTTATGCCGCTAACCGAAGGCGGTTAGATTATTCCGACAGTTGAAGGTTGCCCAAGTCTACATCTTGAGCTTGTTACTACCTACTGTACTTGTACTCGCCCATCTCCAGGCCCTGCTGCACTCGAGTAATCGAAAATTCACAAAAGGACACAGAGGCCATCTCCTAGTGACAAAAGGAAAGCCTCTTCCACCACCAATCCAAAGGGAAAGACACCAATTCCTCCCATTCGCGCAAACCCCACCGATTCCACGCGGTCGCATCACCTATCCCTAACTCAACACCCACAGCATGTCCGAACCAGGCCCTGAATCAATTCCCACAAGCGCGGATCCCCGCAGCAAGCGGCCAACAAAACGGCGCGCTGTGACACCGCATTCCGAGGTCGCCAACGAGATCCAGACACTCTTCAAAGACCCGAGCAAAGACTTGCAACTACCCAATGCGCCGAAGCCGCGCACCGTGGCGTCTCTCTCGGCGCCGCCAGAGATCGTCACCAATGTGCAGGGTTCATCGGCCGGTGCGGGCTCCGGCGAATTCCACGTGTATAAGGCCAGTCGGCGGCGAGAGTATGAACGGTTGCGGATGATGCAGTCCGAGGTGGATAATGAGAAGAATGATGAAGCTTGGGAGAAAGAGCGGGCGGAGACGAAGCGCAAGGATGATGAGAAGACGGAGAAGAATCGGAGGAGGAGGGAGAAGAAGAAGAATGCGCGCGGGAAGAAGGGTGGTAATGGTGGTGGCGATGAGATGGATATTGCTCCTGTGAAGGACTCCGCTGCTCCGGGCTCAATGGTCACTATGGGAGACCAAGATGGAGGCGCTGGAGAGGGCCAATTAGGCCAGCAGGAGGTTCCTGGTGTTATTTTCCATGATGAGGACTAGTGGAGTGTTCAAATACTAGCTTTGTACGATACGAAGATACCCATCTGGATTTATTTTCTATTTCTTTTTCTTTTTTTGAATCTAGGAAATTCATACAGAAGGAAGACAGCCAGGAGGCAAATCGTGTAACATTATGTACGGACCTCGAGTCCAAGTATCAGTTTTCTTTTTCGTCTATCAATCATTCGTCGCCGCCACCACCGCCGCCGCCGGCGATCTGTTGAGCGGACTTTCCGCTGCAAATGTCGTCGACACGGAGAAGGAGACACGCGGACTAGAGAGAGATATGTTAGTAAAATGCAGTGTATATGGAAGTCAGTAGTAAGCTTACCTCGACAGCAGTCTTGATGCTCTGAAGCTTGACAGCTTCGGGTTCCCAAACACCGTACTGCTTCATATCAACCAAGCTGCCAGTCTCGCCATCGAGACCCCAGGTGTGGTGGCCCTCGACGTGCTTGGCACGGAGACTGGTAAGCACACGGATAGGGCTGGCACCGGCGTTCTGGGCCAATGTGCGGGGGATGACCTCCATAGCGTCAGCAACAGCCTTGTATGGCCACTGCTGGACACCCTCGACGGAGCGGGCAAGCTGGCTCAGCTTCACGGAGACAGCCATCTCAGTAGCACCACCACCGGGAGACAGACGAGGGTGGAAGATAACGTTACGAGCAACGGACATGGCATCCTGCAAGTTGCGCTCAACCTCGTTAAGGATATCCTTGGAGGGGCCGCGCAGCAGGATTGTGCAGGCCTTCGGGGACTTGCACTTGCGCATGAATGTGAAGTACTCGTCACCAATCTTCTCAATCTCGAACAGTCCACACCCGGTACCAATATCGGACTCCTGGATGTCATCGACACGGTTGACGATGGTAGCGCCACTTGCACGGGCAATACGGTTGTTATCGGTCTTTCGCACACGACGGAGGGCTGTGACGTTGGCCTTCACCAGGAAGTGCTGTGCAAGATCTAGTAAAGTTCAGTAGTTAGAACATGCAAATTACTGACCCTGATCCGACTGCTCGCTTACCAGAAACACCCTTCTCGGTGATAACAACGTCGGGCTTGAAAGCCAGAACGGCCTCGCACATGTGCTTGACCTGCTCCTCCTCAATCTGGAGAATACGGTTCCAGTCATCCTCCTTGGAGATCTCAATGTTGGTTTGGGACTCGCCCTTCTTGTACTCCAGGGGGCAATCCAGGAGGAGAATACGGGGGTTCTCGATTCTGCGACGCATCTTGGGGTGCGTAATATCCTTGTTGACCATCACACCGTCAATAACCTCAGAGTCCTCGATTTGACCACCGGGAACCTTCTCGATACGGGCGTAGCGCTTGATATCGACTTCCTGCTTTCCACTACCGACATCGAAGGAGACGGTTCGCACAGCCTTCAAAGCGAGGCCGCACATGAGCTCTGACCAACGGTTGACAAACTTGGTTCCGATGGAGGATTGGATAAGGCTGTACATGGCCTTGTCATCATGAATGTCGACGGGTGTCGAGACGTCCTCCACGATCTGGAGGGCATCGGCGAGGGCACGCTTGAAAGCCTGGATGATAACGACGGGGTGGATGTTGCGTTCGAGCTGGGGGACGGCCTGGGCGAGCATTTCACCGGCTATAGAATATCAGCATTTACCATCAAACCTTCCGAAACGAATATTTTGCCATACCTAGGATGATGACCGTTGTGGTACCATCTCCGACCTCCTCGTCCTGGGTACGGCTGAGCTCGATCATACTCTTAGCCGCGGGGTGCGACACTTCAATCTCTCGCAGGATAGCGTGGCCATCGTTGGTCAATACAATACCACCCATAGGGTCAAGCAGCATCTTCAACATCGCCTTAGGTCCGAGACATGACCGAATGATATCCGCAACACTGGTGTTTATTGAATTAGCATCGAGCAGGGATAACAGCGGAGGACCGAGAGATAGCGTACGTCTTCGCCGCGGTAATGTTAGACATCTGTGCTTTCCGGCCGACCTGGCGCTCGCCGGAATTGGTGTCTGTATGATGTGTTAGCACTTAAGGGGAGCAACTTGATTGGGGGGGCAACCTACTCATCACCACCACCGGAGCCTGCATATTGCCGGTGATTTATTGTAGTTTGAGTGGGAAGTGGGTATAAGACAGTCTGTATCACTTGCAAATATCAAAAAAATATTGCACGAAGATGACAATCCAAGAGTTCCGACTTCAACGCTGTTCGCCCGCATTCCATCAAATTTCCAGGCGAAGTGGGAGCTCCCTAACACTAGTCCATATACGGCTAGCGTGTTCCCCCGACAAACTAGGCAAACATCCATCTCCAACTTAGTTATCTACGTCTTCACAACTCTACGATGTACAACGTTGTAGTTTAATATTCAAAGCCGCAATATGTTTTGTTTCGTTCTGTGTTTCTCTCTGTGTTTCTCAACCAAATGACTCGCGGGAGACGGCTCATTGTAGGAACGAACGAATCCCGAGAAAGCCTTAAACTCCAACTTCAGCATGCCAACCGACTGCCCAATTACCAACAGTGATTGTAAGATACCGGATGATGAACTCCAATGAATTCCAAAATCGAGAATGCATTGGCTCATCCGGACTTGGCATGGCAATCCGGGTTTTGAGTCATGTCTTTGTCTACAGACCCTGAAGATGTATCGGCAGATGTACCTTCATTGGCACGAGTGTTCTTTTCATCTGTATTCTCGATCTGTTGTTTGATGGCACTGGCACTGGTGATTGTCCGTCTTTTCTTCGTATTATCAGGTGTTGCAGCATCATCTTTTGTCTTGGGTTGGCCAACACCGGGTCTCTTCGAATGCGGGTGGGGCCGTCTGATGCCCGCCGGCCTGAATGTTACAAGCTGACTGCGAGGGCTTTGTTGGGGTGGGATCTCTTTGCTTGGCTGTGGGCCATTCCTGGTAGGATTGGTGTCCACAACGTCCAACGCACCAGAAGACACTCTGTCTTCGGCGGAGGTGTTGAAACCAGGAGGAACGGGAACATTCCCAAGCTCCCAAACAGGTCTTGTCTGCTCAGGTGGTGTGGTTAGTCCGTCATCCTCCCATTCAGATGACGTTGACGTGATCGATGAGTCCGTGTCTGTCCAGGATTCCACTGACATTGGTGCGGGATGGGAAGTTCACAAATGGTAAATGAATGTTGTGAAAATTCCGATGCAGATTTTGCAAAGAGGTTCCAATTAAGTATGCCGGCGGCAATTTGGGACAACGTGTCGGGAAATTGTGTTGGTAGTTATTGGGATGGCACATAGAAGATAGCCTGTTGGGCTGAGTTGGCAATGAACGCAGTAGGAAGAAGCATCCATGCTCACAACAAAACTCGAGAATCGGGGCCTAAATATAGTGCCACTGCACTATATATCCTACTGTATGTATATTGCAATCAGCGCTTACGCGACCCCGCGGCCTAATCTACTACTTCGGCAGAGCATACGCGAATGGCTGATTTCACACCCTTGACAAATCAGCCTCTGTTTACGCCTGGGATACACTATGTGGTTCCAGCTCGGCGTATGGCTTCGAGTTCTTAGGTCAGTTAGACGCCTATACAGTTATATGTAACTAGTTCGACTAGAATAGGTTCATTAAACTTTGATTGATTGATTGGTAAATCACACGCAAAAGGCCTCCTGTATATGCAGAGAGTAGTATGTATATGTACACAGAGAGTCGTATCAATCTATACGCAGAGAATTGTATGTATACGCAGAGAATAAATGCTTCGTAAAGACTTACTTAATATATGATAAAGTCCGATTTCGCTTCAATCTCTCCTTTCGGACTACAAATCTTCAGTGCTGGGGTTCCGACAATCTCGGTGCTCTGTGGAGGCCAAGGAGTCGAGTCGCTTGTAGGAGTAGGCCAAAAATCTCATATTTCAATTACTCCTCCCCCAAGGAGAGGTTTGGGATTACCAGGGCTAGTCTACCTTAGTTCACTTATGGCTTAATGGGCTTAATGTGCTTATTTATACCTGAAAATTTTGGGTAATTGTGTTCGGATACCTGACCTGAAGACTTGATGCCAGTCAGTTCAACATTAGCTCTTCTGGGAAACGGAGAGATTTGTGCCCAGAAGGAATCTCCTTTTCTTGGTCCCGGCATGCCCGCGAGAGATGTTATAGTTATAGAGCTAAGAGGAGTTTCTCAGACCATTTGGACCTACATAATGAGATAGAGGCCACAGCACCAGCTGCTATCTAGTGCCTGGCTGGCGACGTTCTTACAAAAATACCTATTAGAAGCATGGCCATAGCCTTAGATGTCTCCTATCATGACGTCAGGAACGTTCATGAAGTACTCAAGGGAAGGAACGTTCACAGGCAACGAAAATAATATTGGATATGGATGTATGTTAATTAACCTATGGATAAGTGCGCCAGTAGCGATTTTTGCTCATAGTACGCAGTAAGTTTTGACCGTCTAGCTTATCGCTTCGAACATTAAGAATTTGAGTATTGGCAAGATTGTATAAAATACGTAAATCCTAAATAATACTCCTGGCAAAATCTCTACTAGCGCGCTGCTGGCTATAGAATACTACCCTAAGATATGGCTCCAAATGAGGACAAGAAGGGTAGAAGATCGAACATATATGTATTAACTGCACATAGAGGGTTACTCCTCTGTTCTGTGAGGGGCGATATTCAGATGCAAAAACGTACAACAAATTAGAAATTAAGGACAAGCACGGGTTGATACCGACCATGAAAGTAATGTACACGAGACGGAGCTTTGTTCAAAACTCCCGGCTCTCCCCAATATCACACACATCAAAAACACCAGTCTCAGCAAGATCATTTTTTTTCAGCGCCTCCTTGAGCTTCTTGGGTGGCTCAAGTACATCCTCTTCGGTAAGTACCCAAGTGCCCCAGTGCATGCCCAAGGCTTTTTTGCACTTTGTATCTTTGAAAATGTGAACAGCATCATGTGGGTCAGAATGTGCTGGACTGAAAATATGACGGGGAGCATATGCTCCAATAGGGATCAAGCCAAGATCAAATGGTCCTCGGAACTCACCTACCTGCTTGAAGGCAGGGCATATAGGGAAGTTGTACTTTGGATCCCAATCATCTTCTCCTTCTGGTAGCTCGCTAACTGCTCTGTAGCCGGAATCACTGGATTGGAGGTCAGCAAAGCAAGATTCCGATAGCGTGGATGGTTTGGGGGGAGCTTATCATACCCAGCAAAATACACCTTGCTACCACCGGACTCAATAGACCAGGAAGCCCATAGTGTCTTATATTTATCAAAAGGACTGCGGGCAGTAACATGCTGACAAGGTAGACAACTGATGCGCGCTTTGATCTCTGCTGTGGTGGAAACTCCGCCTACTGCTTCAACGTGCGGGCCCTTTCCCTCCTTAGGTGACATTTCAATATCACGCTCATCCCACCAATCCAGCTCTGTTACATTTTGGATGCCTGAGGCGTGGAACCACGACTTGTTGCCTAGTGGCGCAAAAAAGTGGCAATTGGGGTGCCTTTTCGCAATTTCCGAGACAGTTGGGTAGGACAGATGATCGTAATGGTTGTGGGAGATGACCACCGCGTCGATTACGGGGATATCCTTGATCTGACATGGAGGCTCGGTATAGCGCTTCGGGCCGATATGATACGGCCCGCAGCATGGCCCACAACGCGCTTCGAATACTGGGTCAAATAGTACTCGGAGGCCGCTTGGGAACTCCACATAATAGCATGCATGTCCAAGCCATGTTGCGCGCAGCTTGGGGGTATCTCGGCTGGGAAGAAATTCGGGCTTGCGAACGGTGACGGTCGGCGGAGTGGTATCAGGTGTGTTCGCTTTGCCGTTGAGTCGACGAAAGCTACAGTTGCACGCGTCAGACTTGGACTTTCCTTCAATGGTCGGCAATTATGCTTACACCATCATTTGCATGATATCTTTCGAGTCCATATCGCGAAAAGACCTACCATATAACATTGCTGGTTAGTCTACGCGACGAATGACCGATAACTTAGTGAGTCACGAAGCCTCACTTACTCCCATGGGTTTCTGAATCCATTCTTTGCATGATGGCTTTTCTTCAAAACATCCTCTGGGCTAGGTCTAGCTGGGGAATTCGCCACGGTCAGCGCATATAGCACTTCAGTAGTGGGCGGAGTGCTCATGTTGCGGATTGCTGGATGGATAGCACGTTGGTACGCCGTCCGCCGAATAAGCGGGGAATGGAAAAGAAGCCGCATGGGAGGCCAAGGCTTTATAAAAGGACACAGCCCCCTCTCCCGAACAATGCACGAAGGCTTAAGGACAGGGAATGCAAGAAGCAGAAATTTGATTTAATTCCGATATCTCCGACACCCATTGGGGGCCTTTGCTGACCCATGTGAACATGCCATGGGGATCACAGGATTTTAAACTCGTACATCTGCCTGAATTTTTTGAATACTTGGATTTCATGTCAAATTGTATTGTACATTCCAACTTTGAAAGGTTGTAGATATGTAGTTCTCCTGGATTCTCACCGTGGGTTCTCCAATAAGTGACACTGTAACACGACCCATGGGTCCGCCAAATTCTCGGCCCGTTGTAACTCCGATATCTGCCCTTATCGATCTTCTGGACATTCGCGATCTTCACGAAACTGTTGATTTGGTATGGAGCCAAATGCGGTCCCGAGTGCTGCGCCGTCTGCGGGCGACCTGATTCTGCAGCAGAAAACAGAGGCACTAAAGTCAGCGCAGAAAGGCGACGGAAGTCTCTTGTCGCAGCTAACGAGCAATCCCTTATTCACAGCGGTATGACACCAGCCAATGTTTCGATTCGAAACGACGTGCTAATATTGATTTCTCGCTAGGGATTTGGCCTCGCAGGTCTCGGAGCAGGATTGACTTTAGCGCAGAAAGGCGTTCGACATGGCGCCGCTCTTCTCCGCCGGCGGATGCTGGTTGACGTCGAGATCAGCATCAAAGATGACTCGTATCCGTGGTTTCTACACTGGATGACTCTCTACCAGCAATCACAACTCAATGCAGGCAAAGCTGCGGCGAATACCTCTACCTACATGGACCGATTCCTTCAAAAGCTCACGCCTGGCATGCGCCACCTCTCGATCCAAACGCAGAAGGTCGAGCATTCGAACGGAGCAATTCACACACACTTTTCGCTGATTCCGGGACCTGGAAAACACGTCCTACGATACAAAAATGCATTTGTCTTCGTTAATCGTATGCGCGAGTCGAAGTCCCGCGACATTCAAACCGGAAAGCCATGGGAGACCATCACTCTCACCACCCTCTATTCTCAACGCCACATATTCGAGGACCTCTTCACCGAAGCTCATGCATACGCTGCGAAAAGCCACGAAGGCAAGACAACCATTTATAACAGTTGGGGCACTGAGTGGAAACCATTTGGAAACCCGCGCCGGAAGCGTCCATTGGAGTCGGTTGTCCTCCACGAGGGAGTCAAGGAACGGATTGTGGCAGATGTGGAAGACTTCATTTCAAGTTCATCATGGTATCACGACCGTGGAATTCCATATCGACGAGGATATCTTTTATACGGTCCCCCAGGCACCGGCAAGAGCTCTTTTATCCAGGCACTAGCGGGCGAGTTGAATTACGACATTGCCATTCTGAACCTCAGCGAGCGTGGCTTGACCGATGACCGGTTAAATCACCTTCTCACAATCGTTCCCAACCGAACGCTGGTCCTGTTGGAAGATGTGGACGCCGCGTTCTCGAACCGACGCGAGCAAAGCGACGCCGATGGCTATCGCGGGGCCAATGTAACTTTCTCGGGATTGCTTAATGCACTTGACGGAGTTGCTAGTGCAGAGGAACGTATCATCTTCCTCACTACCAACCACGTCGAACGACTCGATGAGGCGTTGGTCCGTCCTGGGCGCGTTGATATGACTGTCCGTCTGGGCGAAGTGACTCGTTACCAGGTCGGCTGCCTATGGGATCGATTCTATGAAGATATCGATACCGACGGAGTATATCGCAAACTTTTCTTGGATCGACTTCAGGAGCTTGGTCTGATTGAAGATGAATCGGGCACCAAACCTGATCGGTCTATCAACACCAGCGCAGCTGCTCTCCAAGGTTTATTCTTGTATAACAAGGGTAACATGGAGGGTGCGATTACTATGGCGGAGGGTTTGACCCACACTGTGCACACTGAGGCCTTGGGCCAGGATCAAGGGAAGAACGAGTAATTGTACACTATCATGTAAATAAGACTATTAAAATATATAGACAGGGAAAGCTTATCCCGCAAGATCAAAAGCCGGAATCACCAGGGACAAATCTCGGGGATTTACATAGATCCACCTTAGGTATATTGTTTCACCGATGTGTGACTAAATATGTAAAAGGTATTTAAGCATTTAAGTATTTAATTTGTCTACGCCCCTTGCCCCTCAATTCCAATCTATTCTTCATTCCACCCTAACCATCTACATCATGGTTTATACAATTGTCGTCCGTATGTTATAACCCTCTAATTCCTGTTTCCTATGCTTATAGTAAAAGACCTCCGCGCCAAGCCAGACGAAGAGTCCATTTCCAAGCTCAAGGCCAAGCTTGTTGAAGCCTCCAATGTTTACTCGAATGACAAGGAAACCCTCTCTTGGTTCGTGATGCAGTCTGTGTTCGACAAGCAAGATTTCACAATTGTCGAGCGTTACGCCCAGGAATCGTCGCAGGAGTACCACCTCAACAACCCTTATTGGAAGACTTTTGACCCTTACGTGATTCCCTTGTTGGAGAAAGATATGGATATGCACCGGTTGGAGGAGTTAGAGGGCTCTACCATGTAACTCATCTGGTTGTATCGGGGATAGGAAAGAATTTGAAATAAAATAAAATGCATTTCATAGTGTATCCCACAACATTAGCGTTAATTTCAAACCCGACCTGTTGCAAAGCTGGAATATCCCTCAAAGCATCACAACAAGGTACGGGCGGCAGATTGGATACGACCTTCTATGCTGTACGATATATATCAACCTCACTTAAGCGCTTTTACAGAGTTTAATTCATATACTCGGCTCTCTGCGAGTCATTAATTTATGACTGATTTTCTTGAATTTATTCAACAACATCCGGACCCGAGAGACGGCATATGCAGTAACCATCAGGGTCAAACGAGCTTACTCCCCGACTTTTGACTTCTTCAATGCAAAAATAACCAACCAATATAATCTCCGCATTGCGATAAATATAGATCTCACATGGTCCAAACACCAATCACAAAGTTATATTGAAGCGCCGCTACTGCACATGGATGTGCCCATCCCAGGATGGGGGCCAATCACATCCTTAATCGGTTAAGCGCCCACCGTATAGGCAGGGTTGTCACACATCTCAACAAGCCATGTATTTTGTTTGGTCTGTCAGGCTTATGGGCATATTCGGTGAGAATGGGGTATATCTCAGTCGGGACCCCACTGCTTTCGTGCGCTGTCTTTGTTTGTAGTATACTCTATTTGTCAAAATGAATCAATTCCAGTTATTTCCACCTTCAGCACCTGAGGTAAAGCGGTCTAACAATCCATTTCGCAAAGCTGCAAAGAAACCAGTAGCCACACCTGAACCAGCCTCTCCAATTCCTCTTCAGGAGATCAAAGATCCTGGCAAGACTGAATCTTTACTGCTTCAGATCATCGAAGATACTCAGGTTATTCCACCTCCACCGCCAGTGAATGCCTCGAGATCCAAATCCCCGCCATCTGTGGCGGGGGCATCCCATGAGTCGAGATCTCCTCAATCCATGCACAGTCAAGATCGTCAAGCCAAGAGAGTGAACCATCAGGCTCTGCCTTCACATGGTAGCCAAAGCAGCAGCAGTAGCAGCAGCCACCACACTACAACGTCAGCCGCCTCCCCCGCAGTCATCGCAGTCATCTGCCTCTTCAATCCCGATGAGATCAATGTTCCCTCAGTTTGATCCAAAACTGGCTTTCAATCAGCAGGCATATCATCCACAGCTTCCAGAACCACCACGACCCGTCAAGTCTTCCCGCAAACTACCTCCTAAGCTCACGCTGTCGACAAATACGGAGATTGACCATGTGCTCGGGCCAAAGACTGTGCCTGCGAGTGTGCTCAACTTCCCAACTAGCTCTTTGGATACAGAGGAGGTCACCTACTCATCCATGGAGGAACTGAAGACACTATGGGAAACAGCCAATGGCCAGAGAACGCGAGATCTTGTTGGAACATTGAACCTACGCATGACAAAGTAAGACACTTCATGTCTCCCACATTTGTATCGATGCTAACACCTCACAGAACAGGACCAGCAACATTTACCCTCGGAAACTCCCAGAACCCGTTCTACACACTACAGACATATTCAACCAACGAACTCGCCCTAAGCAGATGCGATCCCTCCAGGCCAAACCACGACGTGCCGATCATGATGATGAGCCTCGAAGATCGTATACGCCGCGAGCATCCCAACGACGGGCTGGTGACCCTCCTCTTCTCTCGACTAGCAGCTATGTTGGCAATAGATCAGGCCGAGGAGGTCAGCAAGCAACACCACCTCACCCCCGCCGAAACAGCAGAAGTCGAAACCGATGCACTCAAGCGGGCCGCAGCACAAGAATCTTGCCGACTCTCTTGGAATCGTCATCGACGACTATACGAGCTACGACACCCCTATCTGTCAATGCATAACCCGCCCGCTCTTGTTGGCGCTGCCGGGATCCCCCTCTCACCCGTGCGGTCCCAGTCTTCAGGAATGGTGCACATCACAGTCTCCAAGCCTTCGAGCGACGCCTCTCCCCGGCAGCCACCAACAATCATCGTAACTGGCCCGGTGTCTTCCACGGCAATGGAAGCTGCCCAGCAAGCTGCGAATCTACGCACGTCCGTACTTCCTGTCACGGACTTCGACGAGCCGCTGGCATCCTTGGACTTCGCTACAAAGACGCTTTCGATTTCCCCAGCCGCTGTAATCGCTACTATTCCCTCTCTATACGCAATCGACTCTCTCGTCGCTGCAATGCTGGCAGTTGCCGTCTCAGACGAAGCCACGAACCCTATCCTTGCAGACATGGTTCTCGGATCACCAAATTCTTCCAGACCACCAACCTCCCATAACCCCGGACCTTACTCAATGCCCGTGTTCCAGGGTAAACTGATTACAACAGTTGCTGAGCGCGAAGACGCAGAAGAGAGCATGAACTTGGCGTCACAGATTAAATCTGCACAGAAGAAGTCCAAAGACGCGTCTGGAAAGAAAAGTGCTTTCAAATTTTGGAGTCGATCACCTTCCAACCAGCAGGAAGATAATCGGAGCTCGAAAAAGAATAAAAATCGACAGATTGTGGTCGAGGAGTTTGATCTGGAGAAGTATGGTCGATACGGGAACACATCGTCGCGAGATGGGAAGAAGCTGCCTGGGATTACCCGCACTATCTTGCGTATATTGTTCTTTGGTTTGGATCTTATTGTCAAGGGATTGACGCTCATTGTTAAGATCCTGGCTTGGTTGTTGGTTAATTCGACGCGTTGCGTGACCAGTGAAAAGTTTTGAGCAGGGCTTGAATCTTCACATTCCCTATGTCTAGTACTTTGTGGGCTTTTATTTCCTATTGGATGGTTCGGAAGCGATCTAGGTAGTTCTTTGGATCTTTAGTTATACCCGATTTGATAGTTCTTCGCGATAATGACGAGTGGTATGAAAATGAAGTATTTGATTTCACGAACATAAAGTTGGGTTTGTTTTGAATCTAAAACGGTTGAAGTTGAAAATAGGGACTTGATGGGAATATGAGAAAGGGTACCTAGATAAAGATGAATGTATTCTCTGTGAAAGTCAGAAGCTTTACGAAATGCCATCCAGGTCGAAGAGACCTAGTGGGAGAGATTTGATTGAAATTTCTTCTTCAAAGACCCGGACAAGCCGAATAGATGATGGAAACAAAAAGAAGTTCGCATCAGCTGGGGATAGTGTGAGCCCGGCGACACGGTGCGACAGGCGTGTGCAAGCACAGAGGCCAAATCGCGAGGTCCAAAGATTGTATAATCATAGTGTTCTGCACTGCAGAACATATCGGTGATCAAACCGAATAGAACAGATACTACACTTGATCTAAGCCAAAGGCAAAGAGAAGCTGAAGAAAGAAAGAAAGAAGAAGAAGATTCGGGGGCCACGAGGTCGCTTTATACATCCATACCCTTAAAGCGGCATCCAAACCTAGTACCTGGGCCCCCGTAACCGGTAAGGCGCCCCCGTAGGGCGGCACCCAGCACGTGGCACATGGTACCTTTTGGGAAGGTGCAGGGCGACTCAGGCGTATCCAAGCTGAGCGTCGCTCCTGCCCTTTTACCGAGTTGCACAAACCTCCCGAGGTCGATATGTGAACTCAAATGCGTGATGCGGTGATTCAGCTTTTGGTGATTTTGTAATAAGGGAAACTGTGTCTATATTCCAGCTGATTCGTGCGCAAATACACCAGTGACTGGCCTCCCGAGGTCGCCTGGCTTAACAGCTCATACCATTATCCTTATTATTACCCATGCCGTTATATCCCATACTACATATCTGTCAGGAGAGGGCTACGTCGAAGTGCATGGTGTAATGTGAGTAGCTTGATTGAGTAGAGAGTTGTAGAAGCTAGGTTCTACGAGCTATGTAATCTGACAATATCAATATTCAAAATGTTCATCTATGCATATATATGCGTGCAAAATTTACATATGAGACCGTTGTCCGTTGGAATAACTTTTGCTATGTATCATCGCTAGCCGATCCGGAATGGTCTCTCGACATGGGACAATGATATATACCAGCCATCTTATGCTCTCGAATCCGGCGGCCAGTTACACAAGTATCCACGCAGGTAAGGTATCAAACAATGATATTCACGAACTTGGCCTCATTGATAAGGCCGATTTACTAGCAAGGATTTGTGCCTTACTACCCGATACAATTGAGCAACCACTTCATCCACCGAAGGCTCTTGTATACGAGGTACCTCTTGGGCAGGCACACTGTACCTTAAACCTTCGCTCTTCATGGAATCCCAAACCTCCTGCTTGACCCCTTCTCTCGGATAAACCCCACTGACTCGAGCATTTTCAGTTTCAAACTAGCGTTCTCGAGTACCAAGTAGTCCTTGGGTTGAATGCGCCAGGCGTCTCCAGTTTACCCTTACTACTCTATGTGTTTCCGCCCTCCAATATATTGAATTGTTCCAACCTTCTATAGCTCGTCATGCTGCCCTCCAAACAGTCAAGCGAATCAACTGCCTACAAGGCCTTCCGACCCGTGACACCAGTAGAGCAGACAGCCACTGTTTGGGAGTTGGGAAATGTTCCTATTGCTCCCAGCTTCTACCAAGCTCACGATGAGCAGCCAAATATCACAACTTTGCCTGATCTCTGTATCTCCAACAGATTCAACCCATTTTTACCAAAATTGTCTCAATGGCCGCCACCTCCAAATTTCCCGTCCCCCCCAAAGCCCCGGAAACTCCTGCCAGCGTTCTCGCTGAAAGGCAAACAGTCACAGAGTCAGCGATCTGGTTCGTCAACTCTTGATAGCAAACCATCAGGGGAGCTGTCCTCAGATATGTGGGACTTTCCGTGGGGTATGAAAGCTGTTTCATTGAAAAGTCTTCATCGCAAACTCCAGAATGCTGTGTTTTGTTATAATCTCTCGGAAAAGGAGGCAATTGCGAACGAACTCGCACGTCGGGAGAAGAACAGGGAAAGTGATTGAAAAAAATAGCAGGGTGATGTGGTTATATCAAATGGACTATGAATATGGCTTGCACATATTTCCCGGAAACAGGTTATGATCTGCCGTAGATTCGCTAATGTTATAGAACTCCTCAAGGAACTAAGATTGAAATCCTTTCTTCGTAGCGAGTAACTACTGTAATAGAAGCGCGGACTATGAGATCAAAGGATAGACTGTCAGTTACTATTCTAGTAGTATGAACGTCCAGCTAGATCAGCAGAGGATTTGATGCTTATCCTCCTTGAAAGCCTGTTGATAAATTCAAGTCAAATATGGTGGCTGTATGTTCTATGTTGCATCTGCACACGATTCAGTTTATCGGCGATAAACAATGAAATGGCATTGATACAAGTACTAACAAAAGAATATCAAGTCTAGATAGTCCAATTAAATACTTCGAAGTAACCCTTGGATATCACGTGTAAAGCCCTAACTGAGTATCAATTTCAAGGAGAAGATTGGACATCCCTTCAATTGAATGGTAAATTCCCTCCCTCCTTTTAATATAAGCAACACCTAGCAATCTGAAAAACGAGACGGTCCCTTGATCTTACAATCCAACATTCCTCGGAGTAAAAAGGACCAACAGATAAGCCAGGAACGCTGCCACAAGGACATGGCTATCAAAGCATTCTTCCGGCATTCCAGTACTTTGAATGAGCAGGGGATTAAGCATATGTATGTGGTCCTTGTAGGTGGCTGGGCAAAAATGCAACCTGATGCTTATCTCCCAAGACAAGCACTGTCCCTCTATCAGACCGATCCACCATTGGGATTTCTGTACGCCATGAACCCCATAATTAAGGGGCGAAGGGATGTCATGTCAAATCCTTACTCTGAAAATATCTAACAGGGGAGTTCAATTGTAGACAGAACACTGGGCATTCGTCAGCCAGGCTAGGCTGCTTTTTCCATGACTTCGTTCTTATAGCCTAGATTTCCCATTCTATTGTACCTTCCCCAGCTCTCAAAAACATCTCCAACAACCACAACCACAACATCCAAAATGCGTTCCTTCATCACCGCCTCGGTCCTCATCGCCAGCGCTCTGGCCCAATCAACCGGAGACTACCTAAAATGCGCCGTAAGATCCCCCAATCCCAATCCAAATAAACCACCCCTAACAATCCAATTCAGACCGACACCATCAACAGCTTCGACAAATCGACCTTCTCCTCTTGCGACGACAAAACCGAGCAAGAATGCATATGCGCCAACACAGCCACAATCAAAAACATAATAACCACCGCCATCCCCTCCTGTTCCGGCCTCGAGATAGACAGCCTAGCAACCTACATCTGCCCCAGCGCTCGCGTAGCCGCACCACTCAAACACGCAGGCAGACCCATGCAACCCATCATCGAGATGCGCGATGCCACCCGGCGCGTCATCTACGTGACCCAGACCCGCACCGACTGCAGCTGCAAGAGCTCGGCTCTCGCTGAGAAACCCATGCATGTCTCGCAAATCCCTGTCAATGTCCCAGCTTCCAGCAGTATGGGTCTTATGGTGGCGGCGTCGCCGACGCCTGTTGGGTATGAGCATGGCTTGATGGTTGGGGCGGCTTCGTCGTCGATGGTGTTTGGACCGAAGGGTTCTGGAGCGACGCCTTCGGCTGTGCCTGCGGGCGCTGATGCCACGCACTTCTCGCCTTTCGAGGGGGCGGCTGCTGCGGGGGCTTCAGTGCATGGGGGTGTTGCGGTACTTGGGGTTGCGGCTGTTATGGCTATCATGGTCGCGTTGTAAGTGGGTTAAAAAAGGATTTGTTTGAAGGGTTGATTTGGCAGGGTGACTTTTGATTTACCTTTGGATTTGGTTTGGGGTTTAGGAGTCTAAAATAGAGCTTTGGGAGTGAGATTTTAGATATTTGGACTTGAGTAGTAATGATATATGAAATATGCTTGGTATTGCTATTAGTCGTGCATTATCTTCAATTAATTAACGTGCACTAATTAGTGCTGAACATTCATAAACACAGCGAAAAAAAAGCGGATATAGATCCCGCCTATAGACATAGCGATTGAACCGTTACAGTTGACCTTTAAAACAGACTCTGTCTGGAAAGCTTAAGCGTGGACTGCCTGCTGAACCTTAGGGTAAAGCTGCACCAGCTTGTAATAAAGATCTGGATGATCATTGATCATGACCTGAGGATCCCAAGCCATAGCCACGAAGATAGTCTCAATACCACTCCCAATGGGAGTCATGAAGACCTGGCAGACCTGCAGACCAATCAAGAAAGCGAAAGCCATGATGACGGCGGTGAAGTTGCCATCCCTGTTGTACGCGGGGTTGGTAAACTGCAGATAGAGATATGAAAGCAGCGCACAGACATAGGCGACGAAAGTCGAGCCCATAGTCAACACCGGGCCCATCAGGCAGTCTTGCACGAGAGCATCGATTCCTCGGTCGCGCATCATAGTCCAGGTATCCTTGGCAGCAGGGATATAAGCCTTTCCGTACAATGCGATGTGGCAGAAGGCGTAGCGGTTGAAAAGAGTAACGAGCCAGTCCAGCAGCGCGATAAAACAACCCAAAACCCACATGGCGATACTGCCGACCAAGTTTCCCTGCGCAGCCTCCTGTCGCTGTGCGACTGAGCATATCTGTCGCAACATGTTGATGAACGCGATGATTAGACTGCCCAGACTGATACTGCCAAAGGAGTATGTAGTCGCGCGACGGAACGCGCCCCGGGTCGAGCCCTTGGGCATACCGCCAGCGGACTTGCTCCAGAAGTACCACGAGCCGTAGACGCCCGCGACGGTGGTGTGCACGGTGTTCTTGATCCACTCGCTGATCCAGTACATAGCGAAAGTCACGTAGACGACGAGGCCGATGACCTTGGCTCTGCTGCAGCCGCCGTTTGCGCAGGACGGGTTAACACCACCAGAGGAATCCGGCTCGTAGGCCACGTAGATCGAGACCAGAGTGACGGAAAACCAGGCGGCGAAAGCAACTGTGACAATTCCGCCCAGGGCACTTACAAGGAAGATATGCCCGTAGCCGCGAGCTACATCCATGGCGGTTTGCAGCATAAATGCAGTAAATGGGATACGCGGGATCCAGCTGATGAAACATATGATTGCGAAGACGCCGAAGACTAGGAATGCGATGCCACCTCCATATTGCTTGCGGGCGATGTAGTAGATACCTGTTGCGAGGGCGAAAACGATGTTGAGAATACCAGTTGCCCAGATAAAGGTCTTGGTGAAGTGTCTTGCGGCCAAGAAATAAAGCCAAGAGAAAGCAAGGGCGACGCAGAGGGCGAAGACGAGCAGGACGAGGGTGTTGGTATCCAGCGAGAAATCATTGGACGAGTCGTAGATTCCTCCTCCATTGAAACCTTTATTGGTGGCATACTTGTTAATGGTAAGCCCAGACACAGCGACATAGCCGAGAAAGACAGCGATCAACTATGTAATAAGTCAGCTTCAAAGGAGGTTTTTTTGTTCAGCGCGACACGGTTCAGCTCACCAAGAGACCTGCCCACAAATCATTCCACTTGGGCTTGTCAATCTTAAACGCCTGGTCAAAGGTATATCCGGACTCTGGAACATTTTGCTGGTATTGTGGTGGTTTGGGCTCAGCTGCAGGTTGCTGATAGGTTGGTTGCTGGTAATTTGGCTGCGGGTATGGTGCAGGCTGATTGTTTGGCTGTTGGTAGTTCGCATTCCGCTGGTCGTAACCGTAGTTGGGCTGAGGTTGAGGCTGGCCCTGAGGGATACCCTCATTATAATAGCTAGCAGCCTGTCCACTCATATCTGTGAAGCTCAGAGAAGGGAAAACAGTCAAAAATCAAAAGAAGGGGAAAGGGGGAAAAGCAAGGATACAGTATTTGACTGGTGACGACATGAACCAAACAGCCGAGCTGAAATATCTCGATTGCCAATGAACTGGTCCGCCCTATGGATCCATCCCTGTAGGGATCGCCGATCTAATACGCTAAACAGATCGAAAAAAAAACACTAAAACAGTCACTAAAAACACTAGTAAAATTCACCAATTCTTCTAATCCCGAGCACATTTTTTCTACCCTATTAGCCTGTTGAAAAGTTCCGATGGGCACCTATTTAGAATATAGTTTGACAGCCTGAGAAGAATATACACATATGTACTCCGTCGTAAAAAAAAATCCATGTAAATCTAGGACCCTGACCCTCTTAAACCCTCGGAAATTGGAGAGCTTGGGGGTGGGGGCACTAGCGAACATTTCAATAACATAACACCTTAGGACTAAAAGCCCGAAAAAAAGTCTTCGAGTATTTGAGGTAGATTAGCATATTTTACCAAATATGTTAAAAACATACTACATACTATGTAGTCTCTCTCATTATGGTCTATTTAAGAGCTTGAGTTCCGACCAGCGTACGGAGTAGATTTTCCGAATACATCACATCACGCCTTTACACCTTCTAACTCTTCATTATAACAGCAATCTTGTAGAAATCCTATCAACTCCCAAATTATATCCACCCCGCTTCAAAAGAGGACATATCCAACTAAATCAACAGCTTTTACATCAGGAAACAATGGATTAAATATTCAGCATAGTACGCTTGAGTGCGTCCAATCATTTTGCCACCCCCGAATGAGTAGAGCCTTCGCAAATTCCCAATAAGTATTCAGGATACCAGCCACTAAGCTCCTAGTCGATAATAGCCGCCACATTACCACCTTTAATCATAATATTCTGAGGCCGGAGATCGCCATATGCAAAGAGAATACAGTGGGATCCAGGAAGCATCCCATCAAGAAAACTTCCAATATGACGTTTTGGCCCTATTTTTTGATAGGTATCAACAAAGACCTTGTTGAAATCGTCCTCGGATTTAAAGGGGCCTTTGAAGAGAGTTGTTAGTTGAAATAAAGTGACCAAGTTATATATACATGAATGGTATACATACCTTGATCAAGAGAAGTCGAGAGGCTGTCATCAGTAACAGGTCCATGATCAAGGAACTAACCTTAGAATATAGTCCTCACTAGCTAAACCACATATCTCCTGGATATAGCCCATAGCTATGTTGAGATGCGCGTTTTAGTAGCGACATCGTAAGTGTCCCACGCCGTGTAGAGTGTCTCTCCATCAATAAAACTCATGAAGATCTATGTATAGTAAAGACCTCCGTAGTCATCAGGACTACGATCAATAGGGCCGTGTGCATCACAGGCGCAAACTTTATGCACGGGACACTTGTATTTTGCGCCATATAGATCATATTCTTGGATAGATCATATTCTTGGCTTCGATAAAGTTGACGTGAGCACCGATTTTAACGGCCACTTCAGATGACATTTTCACAATAGTGGCACATTGGCAGAAGAACAAGTTGCTCCAGTCTCGACAAAATTCATTGACGACTTCGGAGGGTACCAAAATTCAGGTGCCAAGTAGTGCACATTTAACTGAGGCTTCTAAGTTGAAGACTGAGCAGTGATTGACATAGGTAGTGGGGGTAATGTTCTTGGTTGTGGAGAATTACGGGTTCCAGGGACAAAGAGAAAGAACAACAGGCAGGTTGACGAATCAGCTTGCCCATGGTTTGTTTTGTCGTCTTGTCCTATGGCAGCCCTACAGGTGGATAGCTTCAAATTTGAGAATTGCCAAGTCGGTTGCCTGCTTGGCACGAAAATTGGATGAGTTTGTAATTTGTATATGTACAAATGCAAGAAAATAAATGTCATAAATGCTCGATTCCCAAATTTCGTCTTGCGAAACCTAGACGCCTACAATGCAGGTAAAGAGTTGTCCTCGCTAAACCTCGTCAACTTCACAATTATGATTACGGACATTAAGGAGACGACCCGGAGGCTCGTTTTCCAAGAGAGGCACCCAACAGACATGGAAATCCAAGTGATCATTCACCTAACGGAAGGCATGTTGTTTCAAGTGACGCCAGGAACCAACGACTCGGTGCTCAATGCCTGGGATTGGTGTGCGGGATCGGCCGCCGAAGTCATCCGTCCCGGAATGCAGTTGACCTTTATTGAAGGCTACTGATCGTCGCAACTTCTCTTCGCGGACAGCTTTGCGGCGTTGGGCTCGGAGCTCTTCGATACGGCCCTGTCCGACACGGTGCCGACGTACAAAACATTCATCCATTAACATGTTGGCATCTAGCAGCTTCTTAGGCACGGTTTGAACGATCTGGAATGCTTCCATTGGGTCAGTCACGCCGAGAATGTCCTTTTCGCACGCTTTGAAGATTGCCAAAGACACGCGGAAGAAAGTCTTGGAGCCCTCGTAGAAGAAAACATCCCAAACTCGAAGGGTGGTTTCTAGAGGTAAACTTCCGATAAAAACCGACATGAGCCAGTTGGTCAGTCCGAGGGTAATGTCCGGCAGCCGCGAGTTCACTGTCAAGGGAGGCATTTTGCCCCGTCCGGACGGGGTTCCTCCCATGGCGGCGATCTTGGAATAGATGCCCGGCATAGTGTCCCTGAGCAGGACCATGAGAATCCAGAGGTCAATGTTGGCACCCTCCAGACTAATCTCATGGGTCCCGGGCAGGTAGTCTGCGGCGATGATATGCAGCATCCAGAATGCTTTTTCTTCGGGTAGGAAAAGAAGGAGCATTCCCGTGATGAAATTCAGAGACTGGGTATATCCGACTTTTGGGTTATGCAGCGCATAAGCATACAGAACCCGACGTAGGGACTGAATCATCTGCGTCTCCGTGGTGACATTAGAATGATTCGGATTGCTGCTTCCAGAATGTTCTGTTTGCGTGGTGACCTCCGGTTTGAAATGGAGGTTGTCAGGGAATGTGCGGTGGAGATCTCGCTCGATATGCTCCTTGTCATCGTTACTTGGTGAGCCCATGGCCCTCGAAACAAGTTGATCATATTCGCCAACGTTCCGGTTCAAAAGCTCGTACCCGCCGGCATAATAGAACCAAGCCGCACCTCGGAATTCTGGAGGAATTCCTTTGCGGACGAATCGCTTGACCTTCGAAGACTGCGGTGGGAATGTTGTGGGCTCTTTTGTGGGCAGCCCATTTTCCTTGAGCAATTCACACCATTTGGCTCTCCGTTGCATTACATGGTGGGAGTAGGACTCTTTCCAGGTCTCGTATTCATCCAGGGTTACATATTGGGTAGCTTTGCGAAATCCGTAATCATCTCGAGGGCCTTTTCCAGAGCGGAGTTGCGGCGGCACTAATCCAGGAATAAAAACTTTTTTCGAGGCCTGTCGTTGGTGTGCAGGAGGTACATCGGGCGCCTCGGGCGCCTCGGGTACCGGCGACGTGGCGGGAGTGAGATCAGGCAGAGAGTCTGGTATGACAGGGTCTGACGGGTCGGTTTCTGGCAGTGCCGGTTCCAATGGCGTGACCCCTGGCGGAGATTCTGGGAGTATGGGCAGTATGGGTGTGGGTTCGGAATAAGTCAAGTTTGGCAAAAACAATGAATCTGGCCTTGTGTCTTGCGAGATGGTGAATTCTGGCATCGGGGATATCGACGAATCGTCGCTCAGCAACGAATGTTCTAGTGGTTGTATTTCATCTATGTGGGAATCGCGTGATGGTGGGGGTGTTACTGATGGCGCTTTACTCCCCGCGTGGGATTTCGGGGAACCAGGCTCTTCAGTCACGTCGCTGAAGCCATCAAGATACATGGAAATCGCGTCTTCGACACTCATTCCATTGTCCATTCCGTAAGGCGCGTCGGGGGTATCCGGCGAAAGATCGGTGACTGAGCTGCTCTTGGTGAGGACACTGCTGCGCTCTGTCCCGCTTGCTTGTTCAATGCTCGAGCGCCAAGTTTCGGATGAATTAATGCTTGGTCGGGGAGGATTTTCATCGCTAGTGCCATTGGTTGGGAAGCGTGATAGAGGTAGTCCCTGGGAGTTCACATCATGTGGGCGGCGGTCCATAGATTCCTGCGTCCTCGGGCGCCTGCTGTTCAACCTGGATGTTGACATGGATATGCGGAGCCCCCCTCGCACAGGCATAGCTTTCCGATGGGTCGGCCGGTCGAGGTCATCTCGCGCGGACCAGCCTGGGGAATTGGTTCTAGGTGGTGTGGCGTATATTTGATGGCGACCGGTAGATCTAGGGGTCTTCCATTCACCCCTCGAACCCGGCGCGGGGCCATGGTGAGGTGGAGTGGGTGGCCACGGGTTTTCATGGGGATTGCGACGTGGCAGAGGCGAACGTGACCTCTGCCGTGGCGGAGAGCGGGGAGAGCGAGAGGACGATCTAGCGGAATTTGGGGTTCGCGAACGAGGATCGGCCAAAGACTCTAATCGTGGCGGGTGGGGAACTCTGCGACGGCCGGGAAGGTCGAAATCAGCCGAGGGAGGCGGATACCGAGGATTTACGTTTTCTGTGACCATGGCCACGATGTCGCACCCCGTTCCCGCTGGACATTTGTTATCGCTTAAGAGGAGTTATCAACCATGAGAACATTCGGGAGTCGGCAAATAGATTTCAACAAAAGGGAGTTTCCAAACAGAAGAATGAATGACAGATTTGGAGAAAAGAAAGACAAAGGGTGAGACCAAATTTGGAAGACAGCCTGCCAGAGGACTGTGAAGAAAAAGAAAAGAGAGAAAAGGCGCAGTTGAAACAAAATCAACAAAGCCCTGATCGGGTTTAGTGTCAGGTGACGTAATATAGACAAAGGGGCTTAACAATTCCAAGATTTTTAAACTACAAATTACGGAGTACTATATATTAAATTAATAGTCTCAGGATATAGAGTATGTTGTAGATTAACCGTTGGATACTCTATATTTGATTATATCATCTATATCATTGTTCTAATCTTTGTATAAAAAAAAGTTGACAGGTCGGAAATCAATGTCGATCAGGCACCCTGGACTGGTATACATTTCATACCTTGCTCACTATATTCTAATATTTCAATGTTTGCTAGTAATCCTTCCTATCCCTCTAGTTATACTAATAAAGGGAAATATCTACCAAAACTACTAGGAGGAAATGACGAAGTTGTATACGGAATAAGTGGCCGGCTATTCTTGTCTATTTGCTACATAACCCCTGAATTCTAGACCAATTGAATATCTCAAATTACTATGTAGCCAATCCACTTTTTCTTTTTTTTTTTTACGACTCCCAATTCATCTGCGCATGGCCGTGGAATGTGGTTAGCCCGCACGAACCCTTCCGTCTTCGGATAGCATAACGAATATCAACTGTCGACTGGTTCAATTTGATCTCTCATTGATGCTTTCGTATTCATTTCGAGACTCTATTTCTCGAAATGTCTCCCCGGAATAAGGCATGATTTACCAACGGGATTTATGTATATGTGTGAGGGGAGCTGCAGCTGCTGCATTGTACTATTGACCAGTACCCCCAGCAATGAACCCGTTTGTCCAATATGGCCATTGTCGACCAGGCGACCAAGCAATCTGCACCTCATATCCGCCCCAGTAGCTGGGCAGATGTAAGTAATATTTTCAATCCCCCGCATGCCATGCAACTGTCACTCACTAGCGTGGTCTTTTCCGCAGGGCCTGCGAGGAATTGCCGCTATTTTCGTGGTCGCTAGCCACACCTGCCTTTCCTTTGCGACATATCTGATCCCTCCGTCCTTCGCGGAAACAGGGAACTCTATTTTGTTTCAGCGACCGTTTTTTAGACTTGTCATACAGGGCCAAGCCTGGGTGGCCATCTTCCTGGTGCTACTTGGGTTCGTGAATGCCTTAAAACCGCTCCAGCTAGCCCGAAGAGGAGCTACCGCCGATGCTCTCGCTGCACTCTCGACAGGCGCCTTTCGGCGCAAGTGGAGACTAGTGTTCCCCGCTGCCCTGATGACAATTTTAGCTTGGCTTGTATGTCAGCTCGGTGGCTTCCAATTGGGTAGAAGGGTAGATGCATACTGGTTGAGAGCGACGAGTCCCAAACGAAGCACGTCGTTGAGCGCTGCAGTCGTAGATTTGATACGAGAGATAGCGGGGACTTGGATGTGGGGAGAAAATGCCTACGACCAACCACAATGGGCCCTACTATCGCTGTTCCGTGGCTCTCTATACGTATTCATGACCTTGTTGGCTTTGGTGAATACCACGCCACGTTTTCGCCTCTGTGCGCAAATGGTCCTATACACCTATAGCTGGGCAACCCTGGACGGTTTGTTTGAGATGATATCGCAACACCAAATATAATACTAATAATGTATTATAGGTACTGTTGGTACAAATATTTTCGCTGGCATGATACTAGCAGAACTGTCATTCTACAACCTGACAGTCCTCCAGCCAAGTGCGGTTTTCAGACTTCTGCCCTACGGCCTCGTCACCTTGGGCCTCTACGTCTGCTCGTACCCCGACCAATACGCCGATCAAACCGAATGGTCTTCTCAGCTTGCATCGCTTGCCGAAACCATCTTCCCAAAAGATGCCAACGTCAGCCGCTACTATGCCAGTCTTGGGGCGCAGATGATATGCTTTGGCGTGATGCTTTCTCCCTTGATGCGACGGATGCTCTCCCACCCTGTGCTGCTGTGGTTTGGGTCGATCAGCTTCCCGCTATACCTCATCCATGGACCACTAATGCGATCTGTTCTGGTTTACCTTGTCTATCTGCCTATGTCAATTGGCTTTCAGCCAACTGTCAAAGCAGATGGAACACTTGACCCGGAGTCATATATTCCCACGCCGGGCTCATTCCGACTTGGGGTTATTCTGACTATATTTTTTGCGTTCTTGCTCTATGTTGTCCAGCAATGGACAAATCATATAGAACCGAAGATGGGTGCACTTACAGCTGCATTTGAGAACTTCTCCCGTTCATGGGGTAAAAGTACGGCGTGGAGTTCAAAAGAGAAGGACGAGATATTGCCTATTACGTCTGTTCGGGAGTTAAATATGTAGACTCTTCATTGGGACGTGTATTTCTTTTTGTTATTTGAGGACGCTAGTATTTGGACTTAATAGAGCTATAACATTATTTATGAATTGAAATTTCTTTGACTTTTTATATCTCTACGTAAATTTCGAGCAGCGGACGAACGGGATAATTATTCATAGTGCGTGTATTGTTATATATATGAATATAGAATAGGTTGGTTGTGTCTAGTATGAGTAATTTGGATGCGCTTCAGCAGGGAGGTCAGTCATAGTATATGGATGCCATTCTTACATCCAAGAGCAAAATGTTTACCATGTTGATTGAACTTGGATCATTAACTACTGCTCTTGCCATAGTGCATGGGTCGGGGGCAATATCCCTTTGATTATTGACATCAGAATGTTCAGCCGAACGGGTTTGGTGAGGAACAAATCCATGCCAGAACCAGTGGCGTCGCGTTGCATGTCGGCTTGCGCAACGCCAGTCAAGGCAGCAATTGTGACACGGGATTTGGTTTCTAGTGTTTTTTCAAACTCGCGGATTCGCCTAGTAGATTCCAGGCCGTCCATTATTGGCATCGAGATATCTGTCGAGAATATTAGATTGTCAAAGGGTATCCGGATGTATTTTTTTTTTCGAAAACCTACCCATAAGAATCATTCCAATGATAGAAAAATTGGCCTTGAAAACTTCGAGGGCTTCTTCTCCATTTTGTGCAATAAGATAATCGCAGTCCAACTTCTTCATGAAAGCAATAAGAATTCTGAGATTGATATCATTGTCATCCACAAGAAGAATGGTTGTTGGAAGGTTTGATACGGGATAATTTTCCTTTTGGATAGGTGTATCGTGGTTCGTGGCGGCGACTTCTCCGGGCGGAGAAAGCGGGCCATCAAAATCCCCCCAAGGATGTTCGAACGGCTCGAACGTTCCCCTCAAGGCTTTATTGCATGGTTCTGAGTCTGATACTTTGATCATGGGTTGTTCGCTGACCTTTCCATTTGACGACGAGCCAACAAACAAGTCCATTCCAGGCTCATTAGTGCTGAGATCAGCTGGGAAGCTTGCTAGGCCATCGGGAATGTCTTCTTTGCCCTGGAGGGAATCAATTCGCAGTTGCTGGCGTTTAATGCACGTTTCTAATGTTTTCGCCAACTTGCGTGGTCCGCATGGTTGGCTAATGAACTCGAGCACACGTGCATCACCACGATTTTGAGTTCCAACAGACATAGCATGAGCAGTTCTCGGCGAGGGGCATATGATGATCACAGGTGAAGAAAATCGAGCAGCTGGATAGGGCACAATGGCCCTAATCTCTAGGTTCCCTACGTCCAGATATTCGTGATAAGAGATGTACAAGTCGCAATGGGCGAATTGTGTTTGTGAAGACTCCACTAAGACAACTTCCATGGAGAACCAGTCTTGACATAGTTTTTGTAGCGATGTGTATAGAGCCGTGTAAGATTCAGGAGTTCCGGGACCCAATATTCCAATAGTCTTCGCGCGTGCAAGCCTTTGCACCGTGGTGATGGGAGAGTGAATATTCAACCTGTCGAGGTTGTCTAGAGCAGGGGCATGGTCAAGGGTCACAGTTGTTATGACTTCAGTACCAACCTCTTTCTCGGAGTTGATGTAAATCTCCCCACCAAGCGATAAGACTATTCGTCTTGTAATGTTCAATCCGATCCCATTGCCGGTTATCATGCTATCCTCCTGTGAGAAAGCAGTGAATACCTCATTTTTCAGAAAATCAGAGTCAATCCCAGATCCAGTGTCCCTTACTGTCACTGTGACTGTTGAGCTTGTGACCTCGCCATCCTTTCTGCATTTGACTGGAGAGGCTCTCAGAGAGATATAGATGTGACCATTTTGAGTGAATTTCAAGGCGTTCCCAAAGATATTCGTAAGGATGACATGCCAAGCTCCAGCCTGTGTAGAAAATTTCCAACTGTGGGCGTGATCAATGTCCAAAATCACCTTGACCCCACCCCGTGTGTCGAGACGTTTGCTACTCAAAATAGAAGCCCCGGCAGCAGCCCGAAGAGGGGATCGAGAGCCGTTGAAGAAGGAATAGCCAGCGAATACCGCTTCAACTGCATCTTCTATAGCAGCATCGAGGTCGCAAGTGGCGACATCAATTTGTCCAGACTGCGCGGAGCAGCGGGTTGCGGCCACTCTCTGGTCGACAGGAATTTCATGCACACTGACACCGGGTGTTTTGGCAACAGTGTTCGGTGGAACATCATTGATACTGGCATACTCAAGGAGTTGATTGATTGAGCCTAATAGTGTGAATGCACAAGAAGAGATTGTATGAAGAAATCCTCGTTGCAACGCGTCCATGACAGTGTCATTCAAGAGTTCTGCAGTTCCGAAAATACCATGCAGAGGGGATCGAAGCTCATGGCTAAGTCCTGAGAGCAAGTCTGATTTTGCTCGATCGGCAAAATGAGCACCGAGTCGGTGCACTTCCGCCATGACACTTGTTCCAAATGTCAGGAGGAATGCTAACTCATCATTCGAAGTAAAGACACGGTGATGTGCTTTTGTCCACGTCAGAGCTCCCGCATACCATCTACCTTTGTGCGAATCCCATAAAGGTGAGAAGACGATGCTTCGAGACTCGGGAGCGAGTTGAAGTAAGGTCTGGGCATCCTGACGCAGAAGCCACTTCCGTGTTTTCTTGTGCTTCTTGCCCTTAGGAGGTCGTAAAAATCTGCTGAAAACACCATCACTAGTATCATCAGATGAGATTGTTCCATCTTCACCAAAATTGAAAATGTTCCCTCGAGGATATCGGTGTAAAAGGCCCCCAAGAAATGACTCTGATATTGCGATTTTGTTATCGTCTGTCAACTGATCATTGATGCTGGAGGTATTCGAAGTGGCAAATCCGAGTATTTCGCATGGGTTCAACGTAGCTTTGCCTGAGCTTTTAGTCTGTTCTGGCTCAAAAGACTCTTGATCTTGAAATGGACTTTGATGGGAGCCTCTGAATTTAGCCTCATCGCCCGAAGAACAGCTTTCAAACTCACTGCCTTCCGTGTCAGATGTCGCACCGTTCACCAATGCTCCCTGGGAGCCGAAGTTGGCGTTGAAAAAAACGACTGCCTCAACCTCGATGCTCTCGCGAATCAGATTGGCTGCCCGTCCAAATGTTTTGTTCACTCTAGCAGTATAATCATCCTTCGGTGATTGCTGCCTTGACTGATCCTTTCCGATTGTCGTAGCCACTTGAGATGCTTCTTTGTGTTTCGATAAGGCCTTGGTATCTCTCTTTCTGGTGCTCGAATTCGAAAGTGACTGATATTGCTCCCGATTCCCTTGAAGTATCTTCTTTGTAGGGATACGAATATTGTATGGACGAAAAGGCAGGTGGCTTCGTGTGCCATTCTGGGCTACGTCCCGAGTCACGTTATGCGAAAGTTGCTTTTCTTGCTGTTCGCGATTGACATGTCCCTCTGAATGGGCTATTTCATGGGAATTGGTTTGAGGAGCGCCGGTGTCGAGAACCCATGAGTTGCGTAGACTACCCTTTCCCTCCACAAAACTTCCAAGGCCAACAATCATGCGCTCACTGCGGAAATGCTGGACTTTTGAGTGACTAGTTCCTAGATAATCCATGACAGTAGCTGCAATATCAACTAGAAATTGGAGTGACCCGGCGTCCAGAGGTTCGTGAGGTTGGTCATCTAAAATCGTATAGGCTCCAATCACCACACCTTTCGGACTGATGATAGGACTCGACGCGAGAAACCGAATATTTGGGAATGTAGTCACATCTAGATGGTCTTTAAATGTGTTGTCTTTGGCAAGGTCGGGCACAACACAAACTCCATCCCTGGCGTTTGACGCATTTGGCGTAGAGTTCATAACCGATTTACACAGGCTGCGATCATATGACATTGTACAGCTTCCGACCCAAAGCTCATCTCGCGCATTATGGCCACTATCATCCTGCAGGCTTAAGGTTCGAGTGGCTTCTGTGAGAATATGTTGCTCATGTCGACCGAAGAGCGAGATCAACGAGCGCTGCGCATTCAGTCGCAAGGTGCCCAGTTGAGCAAATGCCGTCAGCACAGAGTCCGCTGAGGATCGAGCAACATATTCTCCTGATAGTGTACTAGGCCCGATATGTTGTAGGGCGTGCGGTTCAAGATGGTACGGTGGTAAATACCTGGGAAAGCAGAGGGGCATAGGGTTAGCTTAATGGCATTTGGTCGAGTGTTATAGATCGCAAGGTCGATGGAAGAGTACAACCTTGCGCTTGCAAATAAAGGTGGTAGATTACTTATAAAATTCTCGCTCTCTGGATGTACCAAAGTTGACATGATAGGTCTGAGTGTGTTGTGACGCGACTGGACGTGACATTGCGTCGGCGGTAGGTCCGAGATATTGAATACAAGAGTGCTAGAGACAAAAGATCTGCTTTCTCCTCAGAAGAGAGCAGAGGAACATCAAGAAAACTGTACGTGGTCTTCGGACTTCAGAAAAGCTGTAGAAGGAAAGGAAGATCTTAGGCACACAAAGTTGCAGCCCCGCTACCTTCCGTGATCTTCTAATATGGGAAGTTCGGGAACTTCCAGGTTCCCACTAGCCAATAGATTTGATAAACGGTGAGATGGAACAGGAGAGTCCGGCAAAATTTAGCCAATCAAATATGATGGATAAGCTAACCTATCTCAAAGGAGCGTTCCGAGGTTGTCATTGGTCATGTGCCCGTGGTGGTTAATATGTACAACATACGATCCCTCATATGCACTAGCATTCTCCACCAAGGGCTACATGTACTCCCGCATAATCCAATTGAACCTTTTTTTGTGGAGGTATCCTTCCGTTCACATGTGCTTGAGGACTTTTATTTCCTGCCGGGTCCACATGTCATCCATAGATCATATGTAACCATAAATATAGCGACATACACAATGCAGGTACAATGATATTTGTTAGCTAACCCCTAGAGAACAGTCACATGGACCTCGGAAGCTCCGTATAGCTAGCTATTGTAGTGCCGGCGCCCGTCCATTGAAACAGTATTATTTTCAATTCTATATATATTGAGTACAGTAACTGCGGAGTACAATGGATACTATACATAAATATAGTTTTAGAAGTGGCGATCATTGGCTTGAAACGACTTCAGGGATCGAACGCTTTGTCTTAAAATATACTGGCTAGATCCATATACCATCTGATTATGATACCCGCCATCGACCCGTCGACGTCTAGTGTCTATGTGTAACCTACAACATTTCCAGAATCAAGGCCTGAGATTTAAGTCCTAGCTAAGGTACATCCGTGACGGTCAACACTAATCTATTCTTTTTGATATCAAACAGTGAAGATTGAATCAAAAAGAAATACCCCAAGTTGCCAGAATCTCACCACAGCACTCATCTTAATACATATCCATCACAGCCAAAAATGAATAGCCTAGCTATCACAAGACGAAACCTGGAAGCTACCCATGCTCTTACTCAAAGAATGATCATTCCAGTCATCGGATGCGATTCCAATCTGGTTGCTGCAGGAGCTGTCGCTGTAGACACGAAGAACACAGTCTGAGAACCATTCATTCTCCCAGTCAATGGTGTCACCGCTCTTGCAGGAGGAATTGGTGCAGCCCTTGTTGTGTTCGCCATCCCACTGCCCACTGCAGGTGGAGAAGATCCAGGCGTTGGCCAAAGGGAGGACAGCAGCGATGGCAGCAATGGTGGTGGCGGTGAACTTCATTTTGTTGGATGTTGAAGGCCAAATTTGAGCGGTTGGAAGGCTTGAGTAGAGGTCCAGAAAGATATATGCGGATTGAATATTTGAGATTGGGATTAAGATCGAGATTTGTTTGTATTTGAGAGGGTGATCGGGGGTATAGGGACGGGGACAGGTGGTTGTTTATATAGCTTCCTAGGTCGCATCGAGTTTTCTGTAATGAAGTAAAAGATGTAACTTCATTAATGCCAATGCTCGTATCGTGCCGAAGGAAGCCAGAATAGAACCCATCACGAGAGATCAACATCATCGATAGGGCCATAGTACCAATCGTCAAGGTCAAATACGATAACTATTACTACCTACTTACTGGATTGGTATGTTGGTCGAAAGTGAGAACAGTTCTGATTAGGGTTGGAAGAACGAGCAAGGAATAGATCATCGAGAGATTCTCGTATTCTCATTTTGGCTCCCATCTAGGATGGTGCATTCAAAGCAAAAGAGATTACTTTAGCCTGAATTTTAGGCCATGCTAGTCAACGATTATATATCCCCTCTTAATATAAGGACACCGCCATATATGGCTCAAAAGAATACTAGACAAAGTGCTGTTATCGTGAAGATGTTTATCTACCTCAAGTATGGCCATGCATCTATTTCTGGTGTTAGTGTTAGCACCCGCATGAATGATCGGCAGGTGGCTGGTTATTCAGACTCTTAAATCACCCCAATACGGTAATAGTCTCGGATGATCCAGCTCGTAAATTTTGAGCCAAGCCTCGGCTGAGCCCTTACTGCTACGGGCATTTCGTGTTCGTCGAGCCAAAGAGGTATGAAGTTCAATGTAACCCGAAATACGCACGAGATTCGCTTTTCACTATGTGGGGTAAAGAGAGAAATCACCGAAGACACTACATGATACCAAAACTCGATTGACCCGCTGACCAATGCAGCTGAATACAATGGATGATCCAGCCATTAGAAACCTTCAGGACATGGTGTTGGTCTCAATATATCGAATACAACGGTGAATACTGATTGACTTTCAAGACTAATATCAGCATCCTACATCGTGGAGGGCTCTATTTCGGGTTGATCAATTGGATTTCGCTTCGACATAGTCGGAAACAAAGGCTGAACCGGGAAGCTATCACGAGAGACATGTTTAGCGCCGACAAATTTCCTGTATACCTGAAATTACGAATAAATATCCCACTTTTCCTTGAGTTCTTGGAGCCACTTGGTAACCGGGATGATCTCCTCGCCAACTAAGACATTGCTCTCGCCAATTCTCCGGCGCTCGGCAGCATCATATGGTGGCACATGCAGCACTTCGTGATCCTTGTCACAGACTCTTTTCTTGAGAGTTCCTTCGCGTAGCTTGGTGTAACAGGGCTCGGTAAACCCGGTATGTTCGCATTCTCTGCATACATAAATATCATCTGCGTACGTGAAATGATCACCGCAGCCATTACAATGATCCCACAAGGGCCCTTCGCGTTCCTGCAATGCTGTATCGGTCTCCAGGGAATCTGATTCGATCTCCGGATCGCCATGTGGAACAATCAACGACCAAGCAGCGAGGCAGTCTATGTCCTGGCCCGCAAACATGAGATATCTCGCCAAGCCCTGGTAACCCTGCCAGTCATTCGACGGATCATCGTCAGAGAGAATGTCGATATTGCGCTTGATGTAAACGCGCAGGGTATTTTTGGCCTTTTTTTCGTCGCCTTGAAGCGCGTGATATCGTGCGATGAGTTCTCTTGCATAGATATCAGGGCGTCCATCGTCAATATCTGTGGGCTGATATGAACACAGCTGGTCCAACTGCTCTAGATAGCTAGACGCGGTGTTTGCGTCTCGCATCGCTTCACGGAAAAATACGTTTGCGAGCTTTATACGGACTAAGCCTTTCGTGTATGAGACGAACATCTCACTGGGGGTTCCATCAATCTGTAGGATGCGTACCCACTGTTCGATAGCGAATTCCCTCCGCTCAAAATTATCAAAGCTGTTATCGTAGCAAAGTGTCGCCAGGTTATGCATGAGGAACGCGTAACATGCCCCATGGAGTATTTCTTTGTCGGTGTCGCCCGTATTGGTCGCCTTGGCGCGCTGCTCTTTAGCGCCAACAATGGCTACCTGATAGCTTTCAAAGATAGCATCAAAGGACTTGCTATCAGACACCAGAGCGCGCATTGCCTCGTGATACGCATCACTGGAGTAGAGCTCATGGAACATCCACGTTCGCCTATCTAGACCGGTTGAATCGTCTATTGAGGCCTTGAGTGAATCCAGGAATCTGAGCAGGCCCTCGGAGTTGTTGCTTTTGTGGAAGTATATCGTTATCTCGAACGCCGCGTAGGAGTCATTCGGGTCATTCCGCAGCATCTCCTCATATATAGCAAATGATTCTTTGCTATTACCCAACTCCTCGTTGTACCTGGCCATATCGCGGTCCATTCCTACCAACTCATGATCATCATCGCGCGTCTCGGCACACTTGATTGTGTTTTTTGCGGCCTTTATTTGCTCAATTGCAAGCGCGAATTCTTTCTGGTAGGCATACGAGCTCGCAAGACCCCATTTCGAGAGCCAGTTGTACTCCCGGAGCGAGCATGAGAGTTTGAAATATTCAATCGACTCAGCATATTTCTTGTACTCTCTGAATGTGCAGGCTAGGTTGCGGGTCTCGTAGTATCCTAGGCAATCCAGTCCAAGCTGCTGTCGAGCCCATTCAGCGGCATCGAGAACTTGGGAGACATCAAGACTTTCAGGTTCCGGGTCATTGGTTGACCTTTGGATCCGGGGGTTTTTGCGATTTTCAATCTGATAAATCGATTAGCTTGAAGACCTCGCCAGATTCTGCGCTGCCTTATTAAGGACATACCTTGGTAATATATCCATGAATTATAGCGAAACAGCTCTTAAGATCGTATCCACTAATACCCGATTTCAACCAGAGACGAGCAGTAAGTTTTGCAACGTGCTCCAAAATATCTGCGTCAGGCTCAGACTTGGAACTCAAGCTTTTTACCCAGTTCCATTGATCATTAGAGAGGTTTTTAGTGACCGCAGAGTCTTGAAGCCACTTCAACGCGGCTTCGGCAAACTCGTCCTTGTAGATCCAATTAGACCGTGACCAGTCACTATCTGGTTTCCACCATTTTCTGATGATCTCTTCGTCTGTAAACATGCCGACTAACTGCGGACCAAGAGCTACCTTTTGCTGTGGCTGCGTCAGTGAAGGGTCCGCTTGTCGAAGATGCTCAATGAAATAATACGACGCGTAAAAGAGAAGAGATGTTAATTCTGGGCATTTGTCGTGGTGAATAACCTCCAAGCATGTTGACAGGATACTCAAATGAGCGGTGGCGACGTCCACACCGACCAGACCTTTTTTCCCTTTGAGTTTCCGCTGAAAGAACTCTTCGAACCCAAATTTGGAGAACAGCTTGGGGTCGCAGACCGACTCCAAGAACCGACGGACAATCCTAACTTCAACTTCGCTGACATTGCCAGTAAGATCTAGGTCTGGGTCGTCTTCGGGATTTTCGGACTCATTGTCTCGTAGGAATTCCTCTATTGAGTCCGAGACCAGGAACACATTCGAGGTAGTTGGGATGACCTTGGTCGCGGGATGCGGTTCTCCCATGATCACGAGGAGTGAGGAATATTGGTCAGTTATCTTTTCTGCTAGAGGCCGAAGAGAAGACTCCCCAGCCTTCATAAAGAGGACACCCTCTAGATCTGCTAGACTTTGTGGCCAATAGGAAAATACAACCCATGTGAGGACAACATTCAGGTCCGAGATGTCTTCTTCGTTCAGTGTCTCGTTTAAGAGTTCAAACTTTCTCGCAATAACGTCAGATCGCTTGCCTCCCGAGCGGGATAAGATGTCCCTGATCTCACCGGAACGCTGCTTCCCACTGATCTCATGCAGTAGGAGGCCGATGTTGACGAAATCGCCATGAGTCTGAGTCTTCAAATTTTCTAAGATCTCGTGCCGAAGAGAGAGTACCTGATCCGACGAGCCGCTCAGGATCTCCATCTTTTTCATGCGGTCAATAATGAACTTCTCTACATCATCGTTGTTTTCAGATGCCACATCAATTGTCGATATCCCTCCCCCAAGCTGACTTTCGACCTTGCTCATTGTATCATCTCGTCCAGTCATAACAATGCGGAGCTTGAAGTGTGACCACGTATCAGAGACAGCCTGTAGATGCTCTAGCACTTGGATAAACTCCCTGAGTTCGCTCTTCTCAATTTGATCAATGCCATCCAGGAGGAGGAAGAAGGTCGAGTCACTCTTGTACGACTTGGAAAAGAGAATGTCCCAAAGATTACCTATCTCGTTGATGCCAGTTGCTTTCACGGAGCTCACATCTTTGCGGTAGACAATATCTTGGTCGGCGATCTGCCACGCAAGGGCCTTGAGGGCTTGGACCAAAGATATTCGTTCGTTATCTTCGTCAAAGATATGGTAGGCAGTGGAAATACACCTCATATCATTGTCAGATTGAGGTTGTGCTTCTTGCAGGTATTTGACAATGCTTGCAAAGAGGAACGATTTGCCATATCCCTCGCCTCCGGCGATACCAAGAACTAAGAATGGCGAGTTCTCGGGGGACGCCCACTCAACATACAGTGGATCACTCCGAAGCCACTCCCCGCTCCCCTGGACCTGGTCACCCAAGAGGCGTCGGAAGGCCGTCTGAGCGAGCTTGAAAGTCTCGCTAGGATTATTCAGATTGAAGTCAATACTCCCCAGGAGCTTCTTTGACGCAGTGTCTGCATCTCTCTTCTTCTCAAAGTTGAGCAATTTATCGACTGTCATGTTGATTTTTCTTGTGCCATCCCTGTTCTCAATGATGTTTCTCTCGCTCATCTTTTGTGACTCGAACCCTAACGTTGCACGCATCTGAGACTCGCGCTCAACTAGTGTCGCCAGACGAGCCAGCTGTTCACTCACGCCTTCGTCGCCATCGAAGGCAAATACCTTGAGTGCGATGAAGACCTTGTGGCCCTTGAGAACCTTGATCGACAACGCGCAAATGTCGACAAAACAAACAAGCTCCTCATTGATAATCCTGCGGAGGGCGACGTCCACCGCGTCTGCAGGCAATCGCAGATAGATTTTGCAGCGTTCTAGCACGTCAGAAATGCGGCGGAACAACTCGGCCAGGCTGCTAAAAATGCGTTTGAATTTTGCTCCAGCGTCAACTAGATATGAAATTGCATTAAAGCAGAGGCCGGCAGGTGCAAATACCTAAGTCGTGACTATTAGCAACGTCACTCTTGGAAGTCCTAGTTACTTACCATACTCGCACCCTCTGCGGCTATGCCACCCAGAAGCATGACAAATTTCAACGTCTTGCCAATTGCATCTTTTGCGGCCTTATATTTGTTGTTCTTCTCGTCATCGTCATCTTGCTTCCCGCGAATTTGATCAAGGACCTCATCCACAGAGAATTTCGGCGCTTTAGTGAGGTCGACTTTGGTTGTCTGCGCAAAGGACGTGCACGCCTTGTCCCATGCCTTCTGCAAATTATATTCACCCTCGTCTTGAACTGTAGCCATTGGATGATGTATCGTCTTCGACTTGATCCGAGCCAAGCATGAAATATCCGTTTCCCTTTTCTACCTTGTTGGTTCTCGGTTCTTCCCGATGTCAATAGGAAGCTAGAGAAAGATGAGATTTCTATACCGTGATTTTGGATTTTATATTAGGGAGGCTGAAAACTAGGGCCCTAGCGCAAAGCGGCTGGAGTATGTATTGTTCGGAGAGGGGCTCAGCCTCTCCAAGCCAATGGTGATATTAGGGCGCCTGTATCCAGTCTCACTCAGCAAGCCACGCATCGAGTGGATCAATCAATAACCACGCGGGGAGATAGGGTCCACGGGTAGGTGGGCCGGTCTAAAAATGATTCCGACATTTGCGTTGGGGTTGACGAGAAGCCACTACAGCGATTAGAGCTCATGGGTCTCACGTAGATGTGTGCATATGTGGTAACGACAAGGGGACACGTATGTACCTACATGATCTAAAAAAGTACCGATGTAGCTTCCCGATAGGTCGCCCAGAGCCGTTGATGTTTCCACTTTTCTGTCGACGCTAACTCCTGAATCAGCTTCGTGCAGAACCTATACGAGGCATTATCCAATTGTGTAAGTGATTGAAACCACAAATCGGGTACCTACCCTGGAAAGCACACTCGCTTCACAAGAATAGCAGTTAGTGGGCTGAAATCTCCAGGGCAGATTTGACATGACTCGGTTGTTTAATTTGCGGCTGAACAGGAAGATGTGGACTTCTGGGGTTGTGGTCCAAAATTTGGTTTGCGTCGCGGGATACTGGTCATACCGAACCAATCATCGGTCTCCTGTTAGACCCACCTTGCTGGAATTGAGGCCTGTTTTGCCAGGCATAAATCGGATGTCGGTGCATGAAGCCCGGCATACCGGAGGATTCATTAATCCTTCATGTTTTGTAATTAATATTATGTAATCGAGGCTTCATATAAATTGTACCCGGAAGCCGATACAGAAATAATTCATTGGACCCCCCTATTTTACAATACCACTTGCTCCAACATCGGAATACATTCGGGTACTGAATTATCGACCGTCATTGTACTTGTTCATACCTGCCTCCTCTTCTAAGTGAGGTAGTATCTATGGTATATGCTGTGACGGTTAGTGGGGCACTAGTGAATTGTTCTTCGACTTCGGGGATAGTTCCTGCGTTGTTTAGTCCACTCATCGCGGCCCTCTGTTACGCCATTTCGTGCGATACGTGTCACTTGGGCATACCCCTACGGTAAGAAAGAAGAAATTCAGACCTCGGGACGAACCTTGGTAAAATCAAAACTACTATGCCTATTCTAGCAATCCTTATTGTAAGAACCATAGAACCTCATCCGATCCGGGCCCATGAATTGTAAAGAGTAAGCCTTTCTTGATGGCAGAGATTGTCCTTTAACCTGACAGAAATCTGTACGACCAATGTATGGTAAAAAGGACTCATATGGATGACTAACTATAATATCGTGGACACTTATAGTATCCTAGGGACCAAATGTCATATGATATTCTGCGTGAATTACCCTGTCTCCACCATGTATTGACCTTGGACTTCGACTCAAATCCCAATGCTCGCTTACATAACGCCTGAACATTTAAAAGAAAGAAAAAAAAACAAGAAAAGGTGATATGTACTGATTGTGGTGGGGAGCCTAAGCGCGGGTAGAGAGAGATTGAAGGTGAGAGAGTTATGAGTTAACAATAGGAATGAACAAGAGAGCAATAGAAATAATAAACAGAAAAATAGACAGGACCAACGGAATCCATGGATGGTCGCCGTCGCCCAATTGGGAAGGCAGCAAAATCATAGATATAAACACCACCCTCCTCCCCTTTCCTAACTCTCCTTCCTTTTTTCCTCAAACAACGATCACCCTTCTGATTTCTACAGCTCTGCTAGTCTTATCTGACCGAGAAGTGACGCTATCAGTCCCCTCACTTTATACATAGGCTGACATTTTGTTCTCTTAGCAAGATGTCGCAGCTACCAGGCTCAAAGTCACCCGCAAAGCAACCTACGGCCGCAAGCCCAAGCACTATCCCTATCTCGTTCCCAACCAAACCAGTCTCGACCAGAAAGCTTCCTGACCTTGAAGCAGCGCTGAAGAAAGTAGCTTCCGCACGGAGTAAGTCTTATGTGCGAAAGATTGGTATATTGATCCGGTGGGAAAACGATGAAACTGGGGCAGAGAATGATACAGTGACAATGGAATCAATTCTGAAACCGCTTGGGGTCCAATGTGATACATTTGTGATCCCGAATTCGGACAAGACACCAGCCTGGAGCCTGCAAGAGAAACTCAACAAACTCCTTGGACAATGTATCCGGTCGTCACTACCTTCTCTGTTCATTTTCTTTTATGTTGGTCATGGTGGCCTTCATGATAATACTCTGTGCTTTACGTCACATCACAAAAGAATTCTGTGGCGGTCTATCAGAGGTACTCTGGAATCTGCACAGTCAGTGGATTCTCTGGTAATACTCGATTGCTGCCACGCGGCTGCTGCAATACGGCAGCCTAACTCGACAACGAACATTCATATCATTGCGGCATGTGGAGTTCATGAAATTGCGTCCGTACGCTCAAATACTGCTTCGTTTACCCAAAGACTATTCCGCGCCGTGCAAAAGTTTAAGAACCAACAGAATTTCACAACGGCTGAGTGGTACTAGCAAATACAAGTCGAAAAGCCTAAGTATGCCCCCCACGCCGTGTTTGAAACGTTTAGCGGCACCAGAGAAATCAGCCTTGTGTTCAGTGATACTAGTCGATCCCGTCTCCCTCGGCCATTATCTGGAGTGAGCCAAAAGCAAGTGCTGGTAAAGCTGACGGTTGAGGGACAACGAGACGCTATAGATAGCTTTTCAAAAGCCGTTCGCTCACTCCCGCCGAATATGAAAGTTGAGATTTGCAATGCATTCGAAACCGATGCCTCTGTTTTCTTTATCTTACAGATGTTATGGGAAGGGTGGGTTCTGTGGACCAGCGTTGTACATTTGGACTTTGTGGGTGTAACGCTCGGCCCTGATTTACTCTCCCGAAAAGCTATTCCCCCTGCTTCAGCCTCTGGGGAGAATTTGCCTCCTGAAGACCTCTCTTTCAAGGAAGCATGATAATCTTTCTTTTTGATATTTCCGTTTCGCTTGGCTTGCAATTTGTTCTGCTTCGCTTTTGCTTTGCTCTTCTATGTCTTTTCTGTTTCTCTGCTTTTCTCTATCCTCAAGCTAATTTGTCGCACTCAGTGGCTGACTAAGATCGGCGCTCTCAAAGCAAAGTGCCGATATGTTGTACATCGTACGTTTATCCCTATCTCTCATGCTACAAATTACATATCTCTTTTTATACCTCATGGTTAGGCGAGCTAAATGATATTGGAGGAGAAAGAAGATAAGGGAAGCCAGAGGCAGTTGTAGGGGCGTGGATAAATGAATAAGTGGTCGAATACGCAAACGGTACGAGTGTAAGTGGGCAGGTGGATATAGGTGGAGAGTTGGTTGAATAGACCAAGAGTCGAATAAATTAGCTAAGTTGCCAAATGTACGAGTGAACAAGTGAACAGATGAAAAGTATCTGGATGGACAAGTGGACGAATAGCTGGATGTACGAATGGACGAATGGACGAATGGACAAGTGGACAGGTGGTTAAATGGATAAAGATTGTAAGGTGAAGGTAAGATTGTTCAGTTGGATGAGGGCCCCCGGGGTGTCCCCTTAGTCGACCCTGGTCCGATTGGCTGCATATACTCTTAAGGCGCTACGGCCAAATAGCCCTATATGTGGGAGAATATAGAGCCATTTTACCACTAGGCCATAACAAAAACCAAGGTTCCTGTTCAAGTTGTCCGAGTCTGACATATATCACCTGTAATACGTACGCAAATCCTACGATATTCTAGGCAGGGGGTGTGTTTTCTCTTATTGGTCAGTGCCGGCTATGAAGGCAAGGTGGGCAGATCCCACAGGGACTATTCCTGGGTTATACTCCAGGTTAACCGCTGCATTTCGCTGCACTCAGGCATTTGCAAGGGCATGAGTACTTGATAGCGATCAGTCTCTTCGATTTCATTGTGGTAGGTTGTGTTATTTAATCAACCAACTCTTTACAATGATGTACGTCACTCTCCCCTATCATCATTGAAGAGCTATCCTAATGTCGGAGAGTATTGGAAGGAATAGTTACCACACTTACGAGACGAGTGACATATAAAGGTGATGGCTATTCCCATAACCTATCACTTCTGTGCTTTCCTAGCTCAAGTCTCTATCGTGGTCTCGCGACTTCTCATGGGTTATTTTCAATCGCATTTTTGCATCGATCAATATACATTCAGTCTTGAAGCAGCCTAAACCTTCATCCAAATCGGAATCTTCTCAACAAAGATTAGCTGTCTTGAAGCTTTTGGGACGACTTACTGCGTATTTATTCTTATCTGGAATGTATATCAACTATATCTCTAAGTGTATGCTTGTATTTCCCTGCTTCAATATTTTATCTCAGCTCCTTATGGCACTGCCTCAATAGTCAACCACTCCCACTTATCTTCGTCTTCAACCCGCTACAACCACAAAGGATGTCGACCAATTCGGGTTTGGAAGGCTATTGTGATGTCTGTGAACATGCGAATAATGGACATACAACGGCCCCGTATCCGGCTCGTGGCTGCAAAAATAGATGGAAACGCTGTCAAATCACTGGCGGTTGTTTCAATCGGTCCAATAATTGGAGTTATAGAATGTGCTATGGGTGCAAGGACCATCCCGCGCTCAAAGACAACCTCGATTTCGGTGAAAGTAAAATCGATGTAACTTCGCAGCAGAATGAGGATTATCAAACTACGCCCACTGCTGGTGGCGATACTTCCAGTGGTGAAATGAGTCCCCGATATGAAATGCCTATTGCCCCCTGTTTGGTATCATCTTGTCGAGGTATCAAATTATAGTCTTTTTTTTTGGTTACGTATGGCTTTCAATTCATTTATAGGCTTTTATTCAGCATTATCTCTTATAAAAGAAATATTCTATAGTGGAGCAATGGTAGTTCTAGGACGTAGTGACGGCACATAGCTTTTGAGACTCGAACCCAAGCAAGAGAAAATGAATAAAGGAACCCGCACAATTATCAGAACTTATGAAACGCTAAATACTAATGCCTTTCATCCACATTTCATGGGTACGTTCCCCGCAAATCGAACTATGCTGGGGGGTAATTTGCATTCTAAATGTAACTGAATTCGAAATTATTCTATTGTGTCAAAAGCCACAGAGATTTTATTTCTGCAAGATGTTCAAAATTGAATATGAGTTCGTCATGGAATGTTCAGCACTCCAATGAACTGAAAATTTAAGCAGAAGCTCAGGGAAAACCCGATTGGATGTCTGGGTGGCAATGTTTTCGAACTTCCATATTCCAATTCAAGATATGACCCAAGTCTGGCTTGCATTGACTGTCCTTCAAAGAAGCACGCTGGCCAGAATTTTGAAAAGGATTAACAATCCACGGATTATTCTGCAGGCGCCTAATGTGCTCAATCTTCGAAGCCCCATCATCAAGCCAAAGGCCATCGTCATAATCTCTATGCCAATTGAAAAGATGAGATGTCGCGCTGCAGGATTGGTCGTTTGCATCCTCGCTCTCTTGGGATTTCAATCTTCTATGTCAATACAGAACAATAAGCACCCAATTGTGTGTAACTTACTTTGGAAGATCTGCCTGGTCATATCCAATCGTGTCAATGCATTGCGAAATGCGAAAAACACTAGGTTGATACTCATATTGGTCGCTTGCACAAATCTTTTCTCCTGAATAGAGAACCCAGAAATTTGCCTATGACTGAGGTATATGTTTGTGCTCCCTGTGAGCAAAAATCCTCAAGACTGAGATTGTTCTTCGCTGTGAACCCAAAAGGGGGAGCGACGCTCCACGGCACTGGGACTTCTGGTCGGTAATAGAAAGATATCTGAAATTCTTCCGCTCGGGGAATTGCTGTATTGATCACGCAATCGGTTTCGTACGTGACTTATAGAAATGTTTAGGTTGTATTTGTCCAAATAGCAGAAACAATGCAAATGGGAGGTAGGCGCTTGAGAGATATATTCAATAATAGTGGGGCCTGGTTATATATTACGAGAATATACTATAAGATGCTTAACTGTGGGGTTTTCGATGAAATCGTATCTAGTAGCCTCTGATAGTCTTGTTTAAAGGGCGAACTGAGAGCCTGTCTGATACCTAAAGATGCAGATCCAACCAAATTGTACGGGATGGTTGGATCAAAGAAGGCACTGCAGAGTAATGAGTCCATAGTATCTTGGGTAGCACTTAGGGTTATCCATTTATCAATTGTTTGGAATATCTTATGGAATACGGTTGGACCTTTTGCAGAGGCGTTTGGAGGCCGAGAGATCATTAGGGGAGGAGATAATTTTGAGCTTGATAAATTCCGCGAAGGAAGCAGTAAGACAGAGGCGAGCCCAACGAGCATTTCCCTTTCGAGGCTATCTGAAATGCAGAAATCTAAAAGAATATTGAAAGCAACCGACGAATGCGGTAATAACGGAGCCCATTCGTAGCTGTTCGCGCACTATATAAGCAAGATTATACAGAAAGGAGTGCTGAGTTAGATACCTTTTTTCGTGGCTTTTAGCTTCACGTTGTAGCATCCACGGGGAGTATAAGTTAGCCTCCCCTCTCTTCACTCGAGCTTACCAGCGACCTTGTATAATGAGTTCCCAGAAGTTTTCAGTCATTGAATCGCCACTATCATGAGAGAGGGCACAGTCCTCGCCTGCGGACTGGAGGATTTCAACCCAGCGAGAAGATAAAATATACGACCAAGCCAAGATAACGCTTGTCAGATACGTCGGTCGCAGCTCCCGGTTTGCAAGTGTGACACTGTATACTGGTTCTTTGGTGTTGGTTTTGTAGATAGTGGGCAGCGGAAACCCAAGACATTGTAGATAATCGATGGTCTTCCATTTTTGGCAGCAATCGGGATAATCCGAGGTTTGAAGATACAAAGATAATTTTAACACAAGCGGCGACCTTTTTCCGCCTACCAAGTCGATTTTCTCCGGAGGTTTATGGAAGAAAGGGGGGACATTCTTCAGCAGACCTAGAAATGCATGTCTAGGGATTTGAATGCTCCATCACGTCGGGATGCTGCTTCACTCCAGGAATCTAGACTGGCTTGGCGACATGAGTGGAATTGACTTTCTGGCGGACAAATACCATCACCAGGGTACCAATCTTTATCATCGCTGTTTTGAGAATTTGATGTGGAGCTCGACTGGTCTAGGTCTTGGTCTTGAATAGGCTGGCTGTGCTGGCTGTGTTGGTTTTGAGGTTCCAGTGCTTCCATTTCGTTTGGCTTTTTTCGGTGAGTGACTTGACGAAGAAACTAGAAATCATTCGAGAGGCGTAGGGTGTGGAAGCGACGTAGAGGCGGTGAGGTGGATGCCTAGGGGCCTGTCCTGTCAATTTTGGTACCTGGGAAGGTCACATGCCAGGCGGTTCTGGAGCCCCTCCAGGGTCAGTCTGCGAGTATGAACTGGCGGAGTATGAATGGTGACCAAGGCTACATAAAGTCCCAAATGGGCCCCGGGGCTTATTTTCGCTTAATCAACACACCCATCCCATCACTTATGTACGTAGCTATTCAAGCCAAACTTGTTTGTCTTGTTAGAGACATTGGGTTACTGGTGATGGAAGCATTGAATTTCTTCATATATCTACAACAAATGATATCCCGAGGACGCCCAAAGAGCGGGCGGAGGACTGATAATTGATTGATCTCATCCAACACGATCTCGCCAAAGTAGTTGCATCTGTCAGTATGTAAACTATATCGGCACGTCACTGAATTAGTTTGAGGATCGCATAGATCACGGCAGGCTAAGGCTAAGCAAGCTATGAAATTTGAACATTACCTTGTCTTTTACTCAGATATATCTTACTTTCACCTTCAATAGCCTCCACTACTCGGTTCACTATTTCTACTCAACCCCCCCCCCCCCCCCCCCCCACACCAGAGGCAAGAGTAGGTTTGTTCAGTGGTATGAATTATCAGGCAGCTACTTGGAATTAAGGATCAAGCATCATTTCTGAGAAACTCTTAATACTTGTACCTAATTTTTCGAGCTCTTCCTCTAGCACTGAGTACATAGTACATAGTACATAGTCTGCTCAGTCTAGGGCCGGCGTTGAAGCACCCTCAGGTGGTGCATGAGACCAAGTGAGAGATTGATCCAGCTATATGTTCATCTTATCTCTCACTCCCATTGAATCCAGCCGCTTGGCATCCCATATGACATATCCCCAGGCCAACTCTTCACGCTTGACCCAAGATCGAGAATTGCCAATGCGTCCTCCATTCGAGGCTAGTGTCCACCCCAGTGGTGGATAGATTCCTTTTGGGTCTTCCACTTTGTCACCCTGGAATGTTGCCTCTTCCAGTGATATCTGATGCAGAGCCGTTCGAAAATAGCGTCTCTCATGAATGAACCAGCTGAATGGATCCCCCATAGCAAAGCATTCTTTCATTGAATCAACGTTGATATTTTGAATGGTCCACCTGGAGTGTGAAGTATGTGTATCCGTGAATAGCAGGTCACGGAAGCGCCCAAGGCCTCGTGAGATCGTCCCAAATAGAATCCCGTGTGCTGTTGGAAGATAGTGTTAGTTGTACTACATGCAATCATAAATGTGGGTAGCTGGAAAATCTCACTCAAATCTGTCAGGAATCGGGTCCGCTGTAGGAAAAAGGGATATTGGTATTGTCGGGGGAATGGCGAATGCCCATTCCAGTCGACAGGGAGAACACGTTCGTAGGACCCTATCACAAACTCGTAAATGCAAACGATTCCTTCAATTTCCCAAGGTTCGAAGAGTGACTCAAGCAATGCTGATACCTCCATTGCCGCGAATCCAGGCGCACCTCTGAAGTTTCGTCCGTTGTAGCCATGACCGAACAGGTTGCAGCAAATTTGGAACCGGTAAAAAGCCCGCAGTAGGCGCATTTCTTCAATTTCACGCAAACCGCCCTTCTTCTGATCATAGGGAACATGTAGTCCAACCGTGAGAAATGTCGATGTACAGTTGATGTATTTCTGCATGAGAGGCTGGATAATCAGGAAATGAAACTTCGCCAGATAGAGGACTTCTTCCAGCGTGAGCTCTTTGCTGAGAGTCACCGCCTCACTGAAGGGGGAGTTGTGGGAGGAGGAGCGGCCTTGCCGATATGCTTTGACGAACTGTTTCACGGTGGGTTTAGTGCGTGTGTCCCAAAAGGTCTTTAAGCCGGACTCATACACCGCGCGAACCTCATAGATGAGACTGTTACTGCGCAAGGTTGCTGCAAGGGATCGACACAGAACCCATTTTCGGTCCAGCAAGTACTGTTGATGAAATACTGGAGATGCATGAACCAAAGATTTCAATGCGTCAAGTTCCATCATGGAGAGCAGGTGTCGTCTGATCTCAGGCGGGAGACTTTCTAGAGGCGCGTCGAGGTTGGGATTGGGATTAGTTATGGTGTGCTTCCATCCCTTTGGTGCTGGGTTTGACGGCATGAGAATGAGGGCGGTTGAAGCTGCAGTTTCGGGTGGATCTGTATCCCGTGGAGAGTACTCGGAAGGCTGCATAGTGTGTCAAGGATTTTCGTTGGGACTTCTGATATGAACGGCTTTGTTTGGATCAAGATGTGTGTTGAAGTGAGATAGGTAAAGATTGAACATACGGCAGGGACATGGATGAGACGGATAAGATCAAAGAGATGGATGGTGGGAGTGAAGGGGGTTGGAAGATGAGAAAATCTCCTCATAGTCAAGAAGCAAAGGTCGAACAGCTCAATTATCTGAAGCAGGAACAAAATAACGAGGTGACAGACAGACAGAATCAACTGACCTCGGTAGTTGCTATTCGCGGCCCATGGGGAGTATCCGTAGCTGTGATGGTCATTAATGATCACAGCAAATTGAATGCAATCTTCAACTACTCTACACAATGAGAGATTATGCCTTTACTCCTAGGTAGAAATTAAATATCGCAAGCCTGCAATTGACGAATATTGGCCTTACTAGGGATCCATGGATAGCACAAATATACTATATCTCATCTTTTCGCACACCCCCATGACCATTAATCTCACCACCCGGTTTTTGCAATTTGTCTCTTTCTCGGGGATTTTAGATTATTGCGAGTGCATATTCTCAGCTTCTACATGACACCTGTCACATTGCATGATGCTAACCAAATTAAGTTAATTGTATTCACACTCATGCCAAAGTGTTTGAAGTGTTGGGCCAATTTTCAACTCAACTAGCAAGCAATTTGCATAGCCCAAATCGCAACTGTAACTTGGAAGACCACAGTCCTGCTGTGAGCCGGTGCCCAGATGACCCAGCCAGTCGGGTTGGATATCCTCCGCGGGGTACTAAAATGTGTCAGCATGCAGATTATTTCAAGGTTGTGGTCGCGTAACAGGTTCGCATCAACCTTATATTGTCCCCTGGATCCTCGTTGATAGTGGCACTCTGAAACTCGTGCAGCTTATTCAAATCTTTATACCCTTGATCATTTTCCTCATGGCCGCTGATCAACCAAATCTCGGCATTCCGCCTGAGCATGAAGCTTCGTTCAAAGCATTCACTCAATCTACGAAAGAAAATGGGGTTTTGAATCGGCCTGAGAGTCTTGAGAGTCGGGACCTATGCGATGGGCTATCAGATCCTCCCACCCTTCTGTACGTCATCTACACAAGATCTAATTTCTTCCTCGTGGTGCTGACCACACTAGACGATTTCTAGTCGCCCGTCAATATAACCCTGATGGTGCTCTCAAACAGTTCATAGAGGCCTGTCAATTTCGCGAAGAGAAGCACATCCTCAGGCTTTATGATTTAGTCGACATTGCCGATTTCGAGCAAGCTCGTCAAATTGTGAGTATGAATCGATCTTATTGATGTTGGTATGCACTGACAAGCCCATCTAGTACCCCCAATGGACTGGTCGTAGGGACAAAAAAGGGTTACCCATTTGCATGCTTGACCTGGAGTATCTTGACAAAGCTGCTCTCGCACGCTGGGAAACGACGCGCAAAAACAGTCCTTGGATATATTCCCAATCAGGAAAAGTCGAATCGCCAAAGCCCGATATGCTGCAATTAGCCTCTGTGTACCATGACAGTCTCATTCGGTTCATCCTTCCGCTTTGCTCGAAGATGACAGACAGGCCCACCCCTTTATTCCCGGTCACCAATTCGATTTATGTTGTTGATGCATCGAATTTGGGGTTGAAGCAAGCATGGGGGTTGAGATTCTTTGCCCAAGAGATCAGTTGGTTGTTATCAACATGTTACCCGGAGACTATTCAACGTGTCTTTGTAAGTTGCTGGTTTATTTGGTCTGGTTGCATCCTTAGACGTCTACTAATGCTAATTATTATAACAGGTATGCAATGCGCCCTCATACTATGCCACTATGTGGAAGTACCTTAAGGGCTGGGTCGACCCTCATACTGCAGAAAAGATCGTAGTGCTCCTGAATTCAGAGGTCCTTCCTATCCTCCGGGAGTACATCGATGATGCCAATATCCCAACCAAGTTTGGCGGTCAATTTCAATTTACCCATGGAATGCTTCCAGATCTCGACGATAATCTCCGGCAGCTTTTGAACTTAGATGCATCGAAATCTCTGCCTCCTGGTCCCTTGAAGTGGATCCAAGAATCAGATGGTAGACGGACTGCATTGGCTGTTGGTAGCAATGGTGACTCTGAGAGAAACGACAAGATCGCAACACTTGATCGATTTGGGCAATAACTTCAATGTTCACTACATACATTGGTGCCAAGGTTGTTTGGAGACAGATCCATGGATGAGATATATGCTGCCTAAGGCCATATATATTCTGCCTGAGGCAGCAGGGCCTTAAATGGTTCCAAGGTTGGGTCCAACCTTCTTCTAGTTGGGGATTGACTTTGAGAACTGTGGACTATACATAATCAAAAATTAAGGGGGAAAATGAATGACCAGCACATTTAAAGGAAAAAGAAACTAAAAAGGAACGGAAAACCGGGAAGTGACTCTATTTTGTAATCTAGTTACGACTTGACCATGAGGTAATGTAACCGTAGGTCCAACCGCTCGCTTCTTGGCAAATTAAATTGGTCCAACGGTAGCTTACTCCATAGATCATGTCCCTTGATATTGCATATTGGCTTGGAATATTGTATATTTCCTAGTACTATATATGATTGGCACCTGTTGTAGAGCATATATGTGATCAATTAGATCAAAATAAGATCGAAATAAGAGTTGGAGGGAACGTGGTCCCCACTGGACACGGGCAGAGCGGACGATCTTTATCTTAAAGGGGCCAGATGGACCCCAATTAGACCCACATAGCCACGCTTCTCTTGAACGAAAATTACCTATTTTGGTTAGACCTGGGTGTTACTAATGGATGTCCGTGTTGCCCTGCCCAGGCGAGAGAGATAGCGAAGATCGAATCTGCTTTTCTCTTTTCTGTGGTACGCTTCTCTCCTTCTCCTTCTCTTTGTCCTAATCAAAATCTTTTTGAAAATATGAATGAGTGAACTTTCTATACCCGTGCCGCCCTGTACTCATTATACCCCAAACCCTACTTCATAGCTATCACGAGGCTAGCACCCCACCGGAAAATCAGTCCCAAGCAGGGGGGCGGTATGATCGCACTGAGCTGCCAGCTTGCGATTCTCACGGACGAAACTCATACAACCCCAAGGTCCAAGGACTGAAAAAATGGCTATATTCAGGATGCCATATATGATGACGACATTCAACTCGCGTGCAGGCCGAGTCGCAGTGCTTGCAGTATTCTGTATCATCGGCCTTGTTTGGATCTTTCCCGGGCATGGGAATCTACTGTCGTCAAATTTCTATGCAGGGAATGGATACAATAGCAGCCACCCCATCGATGCTCTTATCGATACCGGAAAAACTGACCTGGACGAACTCTTGGGAACACAGTCACACAACCTTCGAAGTGCTGCAGAAAAATACCGAGCGCGCCGTGGCAGACAACCTCCTCCTGGATTTGGAGAATGGTACGAGTTCGCGAAGTCGAAAGATTCATTGATCATTGAAGAATTCTTCGATCAAATCTATCACGACCTAACTCCATACTGGGCTCTCGAGCCGAAGGAATTGCGCCGACAAGCTAGAAGCCTCCCTACCCGCATCACAGTTCGCAACAAAACCACGGTATTGAAGACCGATGAGCCAAGAAGTTGGATGGACTCGTGGTATGATCTGGTGTCCAAATTGGAGAATGGACTCCCCGATCTCGATATGCCAATTAATGTCATGGATGAGACCCGGCTCGTTGTCCCCTGGGAAAAGATAAATGAATACGTTCAAAAAGAGCAGAAGGATCGCGTTATGATGGAGCCGAGCCGTGTGATCTCCGAGTATATGACTTTGGCCGACTCGGATAGTCAAGACCTGGAACCTTACGATGCTGGATTTGCAGTTCCTGGCAAGGGAGGCTACTGGGAGATGGCACGGGTTGGCTGTCCACCCGGAAGTCCTGCACATAAGAGCAACCTTCCCAAGGTGGACTTCGGTACTCCACCTTGGGAATATGACAATTTCGAGAGAATGTCATACCACGGCTATGTATCCAACTTCACTCTAGCCAAGGACCCCTGTGTGCGCCCAGAGATGCAAGTTTTGCACGGAACCTTCCTTGAACCAATCTCTGTTTCAACCTCGCACAAGCTGATGCCACTGTTCGGTGGGTCCAAGCTTCCCATGAACAACGAAATTCTCCTTCCCCCAGCGATGTACTGGGCCCAGAACGACCATTATTCCGGCGGGGAGAAGGAGCACGGCGGTCCCTGGAGATCAAAAACAAACAAAGCTATGTGGCGAGGTGCTGCTACCGGAGGTCGGGCTCGAGAGCCGAACTGGACGGGATTCCAGAGACACCGATTCATGTCCATGATGAACGCGACATCAGTGGCTCAGGCTGAGAAGAACCAAAGCCACGGTATCAACTTCAGACTTCCGAACTATGCCGATTATAAGTTGTCCGACAATGGCTTTATCCCGCAGCTTCTCTCGGAATATACCGACACAGGCTTCAACCACCTGGTTTGCACGCCTTATAATGAAACGGACCCGACTTGTCCGTATCTCGATCCATACTTCGAGGTCGCGCCTGGCATGCCAATGAAAGATATGTACAACTTCAAGTATCTGCCCGATCTTGACGGGAACTCTTTCAGTGGCCGGTACCGCGGATTCATGTTGTCCACTTCCCTCCCTATCAAAGCTACTATCTACAATGAGTGGCACGACTCGCGGCTCATCCCTTGGGTACACTTCGTTCCTATGGATACCACCTACATCGATGTGTATGGAATCTTGGCTTATTTCCTCGGCGGTCGTGATCAGGCAGCTCGGAAGATTGCCCTTGCTGGGAAGGCTTGGGGTGAAAAGGTCCTCCGACGGGAGGACATGGAAATCTATACATATCGACTTCTCTTGGAGTATGCTCGCATCTGCGATGATCGGAGGGAATTCCTCGGTTATGTCGATGATTTCAAGAGGTCTTGATTGCTGCCAAGGAATTGGTCTCGGTACGCATGCGTCTAAACGCATGCGGTCAAACCCCTCAGAACCAATCCCACTAGGTTGGAGCTTCCATGATCATCAAGCTTTTTCATAAAGCAAATAATTGATCTTGCTTTCCTCTTTTGGGTCAGTACAGGAATCCCCGACTGCTTGGGCTTTCTCGGCTTCGCCCTTTGGCCACTGGCCTTGATGTCTCCACCCCGACGTCATTGGACCTTTCAGACTTCAGTCTTCTTATTTCTACGTACCTTTTGTTCTAATATATGAATGACCTTATTTTCATGTGATGTGTGTTGAATGTTTTTACTTGATGATTACTGATACCATGGGAAGGCTCTTTGCTTAACTAGTACATGATATGATGTACATAAACAGATGACCTTCGCAATTTACGATTTGTTATTTGTCTCCTTACATGCTTCTTGACAAACAGATAATTACTATAATCGAAAGGAGCATTGTACCGCAAAATCTGGCATTCTAGTGCCCTTACTCTTTCCACTCATCTCTGCCAAGCCTAACAATATCAGCCTGTTCCAGAACCCAGTATTTCGACGGGGCTTTTCCTTCTTCGACCATACGAGCAGCTGCCACAGCTGCTCTACCAATAGTCGTTTGATTTTGACCTGTTCATAACTGTTAGCTCTGACCTTTTGAAAGCGTTCAAGTATTAATCAGCATATCCATACCAACTTTATCCTGGACACTCTGTCCCAGTTTCTGAAGGCCCTCCACAAACTTTTCTAGAAGAAAGGCCTTAGATTCCTCCCTACCGATAATCATCCCCGGTCTCAGAATGATAGCATTATCGAAACCAAGCTCCTTGATGGTATCCTCGACGCCAACCTTCATCTTCGAGTATGGAACCCAGCCCCAGAGAAGACTTCTAGTGCCTCCACTAGAAACATAAACATACGTCTTTACTCCTGCCTCCTTAGCTGCTCGCGCGTTCTCCACACATAAATCATGATCGATCTTCCACTGATTCTCGATACTACCGGCAGTCGCTTTTGTAGTCCCGACCGCATTGAAAACCGTCAATACCTTGGGGGACAGAGATGAGATCATGCTACCCCATTTTGAGGTGTCGCTTTCCTCGAGGGCCTGCAGCTTAGCTGACTGTGCTTTTGGAAGTCTCCTAGAGATAGTCTTCACTGTTGAAAATGCATCTGTCGCGAGGAGAGTTTCCAGAATCTGGGAGCCAACTGCTCCTGTGCAGCCGAAGACTGCTGCTGTCGTCATGGTGGAGGTTTGTGGTATGTTTCGCACTGTCTTGAGAGACAGACAACCTCCTTCCAGAAAAGGGAGGGAGGTCCAAGCGTCTGCGACGGTTTGATGGATGACGTCACCTATGTTACCCACTCGTGATACTCCAATCCTTCCACTATCGACATATTAGATGCAATGATATATGTCTCGTTCTTTAGAGAAATTTCCAATTCTATATTTTCTCTCATCACAACTGAGCTATCTAAATATTACCACCTAGCTGACAAAAAGCTTGAATGCGATCATAGTTTGGCCAAGGTCGCCAGGCATAGCTCTAGCTAAATATATATGTTTAGCTAAGTTCTGTTCGCTGTAAAGAACCAGGTTCTTCTTCTGCCTCTTCGCTCTAGTCGAACTCTTTTCGATTCTTTTCCATCGAAATCAAGATAGCTTTCAGCCCGTCATCTCTCCAGAATCCGTAAAATAGCAGTAGAACATGGGAGAGGTCGCTGGAAGGCATTTGTATCGAGTCAACTTTAGGCCATGCGCTGCTGATAGAAGTTTGCTTGTTTTGAGACCGTAATTTTTTTGATAGGATGTCCATTTGTCTATCTGGAAACTTCTGAATTTTGGTATCAAATTTGGAAGAGAAGCACAACATTTCACAAATCTTACGCCCTATGCGGGATTTTCTGCCAGCCTCGCGCCCTTCCTACTACATAGCTTAATGTCGGAGATAATCAACTATTAAATTTGCTGCGAGAGATATTTAACTGCCAAAATGTTCCCGGCAGAATTCACAAATGATAAATTTTGGCAATCCTACACATTTCACTATCCAAAAATGAACGAACTCAATTTTCGCGTCGCGACCGAAGAGGACGCCGCCCAAATCCACCAGTTGGTGGAATCTGCGTTTCGCGCCAAAGACAGCAGAAAAGGCTGGACGGATGATCTAAATCTCCACTCGAACTTTCGCCCAGAAGTCCAAGAGATTATCGACATAATCATCAAACCGGACAGTGTCATGTTGATGGCAACCAACGATCAAAATATACTTGTCGGCGCAATCGGGGCTTCTAAACGTAACGCCAACTACGGTCGTCTTTTTAGACTTGCTGTTGATACGAGCCAACAGCGCGGCGGAATTGGGCGTCAGGTCTTGACGTATGCCGAAGACTACTGCCAACGGACTTGGGGTGTTACGACTATGGGGTTAGACGCCCTTTCGAATCGCCAAACTCTTATCTCGTGGTATTTGCGTTGTGGATACAAGACGACGGGCGAAACGACACCCTTTCCTCGCGAGAAGTTCAAGAACCTGGCGTTGCCAGATGACCTTTGTTTTGTTGAATTCGAAAAGATTATGGGAATGGATAGCACGTGAACTTGGAACATACACATGGACCCGGTCACATGGGCACGTTGGCTATATGGATGGAACCATTCCAGGCTTGGAAGGCGCGAGTTCCTTTAGCCACATGGAAATTACGATCCGATTGAACCTTCATACTTTTACCAGGCAAAACTTCTGGGCCTTACCAGGTCGGGGGAAGGGCAACCTTGATAAATGGAAGATGGGTGGGATTGAGTACCTGCCCAGGTACCCCAGAAAGGATGGAGACATGCGGACTAAGCATGAGGGAGAAGCACTGGACTTCTATGTCAAAGGATATACATATTTCTAGAAACTAGGTCATCAAACGTTGCAATAAACTCATCAGCTGTGAATTTATTTCGTCTTCGATCCTTCTTTCATTGCCTCGGGTATGCATGACATTTGGGCACGTCTAATCGGATTTTATACGAGATAAACGACCTGTTTGTTGACATGTCAACCGAGAACGGATTTGAATCACGGAAGCCTTCTGCCATAATCAACTTGTAATGCAATATCAGATGGTATGGTCCCCTAAATTGGAATAGCCCCTGTCCTATTCCCCTTATAAAACCAGATAATCAGTACAATCAATGGGATGCTCCACATAATGGACACCGCTCATCGCCATTGTGTATCCTCTTTTGAGAGAAAGAAATATTCTTGCGAACAGACACTTGCTCAAGATCGCAAATTCCGTTCTTTACACTTGGTTCGGCAGAAACATTTGAACGAAGGATTATCTGATTTAGCATAGGGAATTTTTCACGAGTGGATGCCAGAGTCCTGAGGAACAACAGTTTTTCTTTCTCATACATACATGTTGTCACTGTGAGTTCTTCTATATATCTGGGGAATATCGACGAAGCCCTGACAAGGTCGGTTACTTCTTCAGCACCTGGTGTCACTAGCACGAGATCTGGCAATTCAATTTGAGTAAATTGCAGCATAGTCATGGATAGACCCTCGCCCTTCGTTGCAAAGAGAATTTGCAACCCCTTTCCAGTTAAGCTCATCTGGTAGTAAACTGGTATAATCTTGAGACGTCTTCATCGTGGCAAATCGGCTTCTGGCCGCTTTTGGGGAGTTTCTAAAAAAGTGCAATGTGGGAACACAAAGATGCACCCCGCCCACCATGTTCATGTTAGGCGTAATCATGTTGGGCGTCGAATAAATTCCACGCAAGTTTCAGCCTCAACAAGCTACCTGTGGCTATGCTTGCTACATAAGCTTTCTGAGGTAAGGCAAGAGACCTGATATTTGTCTGGGGCCACAAGCATGAAGAAATAAAATTCCTCTCGGGTCCGATCTAGGAATGTGATGTCCAACTTCTAATGTTTATACAAACATACGGTATTTAGTCACAAGAAACATATCTCGGACGGGTTACCACCAAAGAGACCTTCCTTGTTTTTATATATGGAATCAATGGAGTGTTTTTTGTGTTTGACCATAAGTAGGCGATTAGAACATTACAATCATGGTTTGTCTTTTGGGAGAAAAGAATTGGCATCTTCATTCCTCCTTGGCCTCATGTAAATGCTGAACAAGCACTTGACAAGGCCAGCCTTCGAGATCCAATCTTTCGGATGGCTTAAATCCTTGAGACTCATAGTATTTAGCCAAATTGCCCTCGCCACCTGCATAGCAATCCACCCGTAGTAATGAGATTCCGGCCCCTTTGGCGAGATCACGCGCATGTTCCAAAAGGCGTTTGCCAATCCCATTACCAGCCTGTTGTCGATCCGTGACTAATAATCGCACATAAAGCTCAGGCTCCGAGACGGCGGCCACATAAGGCATCCTCTCTCCAACAGCAATTGCCCCTATGATGGACCGTGGAGCTTCTCCCTCGATGGCTTTGGGGGGTATATCGGAGTGTTGATTTTGGTCCATTGCCGTCCCATCCGTAACTTTGATAGCAAGCCAAAGGCCATGGCCGGTTGTTGCAGACTCCTTGAGTTGTTCAGCGCGTTGTGGATTCTCCGAAAACGGTGTTGCTCCCCACTGCCCAATTCCGCCACGCGACACCAACCATTTAACTGCGGTGTCTAGGAGATTGATGACTGCCGGAACGTCGTCCACTGTTCCCCGCACAATGGCAATGTCGTGTGATCCATTATCAATAGTACTTTTGAAATTTTTAGCGAATATCGGTGAATGGGGTTTTATTTTTGTCCTTCATTGAGATTGTCCCACTCTCATCTACCTCTTCTTCTGGATGGATTGGCCCTTCAAATCATAGCACTTACTTTGATGCCATTTATCCAAAATTAGGATTGATATGAAGAGAGGTATTTTTTGAATAGCCTTGATACACTAAACTGATTCGGATGTTTTGCAGGTACCCAAACAAGGCATCACCCTACTCTTATACTACCAATATTTTTCTATAGCCCCCAAATTTGTCTCACTTTCGGGTCATTTGTTCAAATCCTATTGGCTAAGCCTACATACCTAGGTGCAGTATACGGCAGCCGAATTGAACCAAATTTGACAATGCTTATTAATACATATATAAGATTCACCGCTGGAGCTTCCGCCTTTTGTAATATACAACATAATACATTCCATCAATCCTAAACTTACAGAGTATATTTCTTTCTAACAACAATCTAAATATACCGCCAGCTATTAATATTATTAAGCCCTATATAAATAGATTATCGCTCGCTCTCTACTCCGTAGTGCCCTAAGGCATACACTGTATACACTGCACTAAAAGTCTTAGTACCTCAGGTATACACTGCAATACACCAAGCATTTAAGAACCTGAGGTACGTATCGTACTTCACTAATTTTCATAGCTATTGAATACTATAAATTAAAATATAAATTAGAAAAAATTAAGGGAATTGATACTCGCACCCATAACTATATATGTACAATTATCTAGATATATGGTATTGTAGGGTTCCATTAGCGGCGATTACTAAGTTTCTGCAGGGCAGAAACTCCATTGTCAAATTTGGTCCAAATCGGCTGCCGTAGTGCAGTAGTGCAGAGGTTTGCCATAGTAAACACCATAGCAAATGGGACTAAAGTGGTCGGAAAGGTGCCAAACCCCAACGCCGGACAGGCTCGTCTTACGACAGCTAGTGAGGTGGCTACAATGGATTTTGTAAGTATTAAGGTGTTAAGGTTGTAGCGGACCCAGTTCTGTAAGTGTGGATACATAACTCTATCCTACAAAAAAGACATATTCATTGCTTGTAATTCCGTGTGGGTCGATTTTATCGAGCGCTTTTTAACATAGAAACCAGCTCTTTGGAGGTTCATCTTTTATCCGTCCCACAGGCCTCTGTAGCGCAATCGTTTCCGATCTGCCCTCTTCGCCCTTCGCACCTGGCTGATAACAAGCACTTGCGGGCGAAAGTGGACGGTTTGGTTTTTGCCCATCTTTAAATTTGCTTATCAGATTACGCACGCTACCCGAGTTGATATTATGATGCCAGGGCTGAAGAGGGCGGGGAAACTCGACTTGCTCAAGGTCTACAACCATAACTTTGCTTTGTTCGGGAATGGCATCAGCACAAAAAAGGAAATTATCTGGTTTTGCGTCCCAGTATATTGCTTTGTGCTCATCGAAAGCGCCTAGCGCTTTCTCAAGGTGTATCTTTAGCGCTTCCTGCTGGACGCCGAAGTTTCCTCGAGCGAGATTATGTGGGGTGATCCCCTCAACCTCCGAAATCACAAGCGCATCAAGGCCATTGAAGGAGCCTTGACCAAAAAAGATTGGAATAATCGTTCCTTGGAGGTTTTCCAACTTTTTGTATGCTTGTATCTCTTGTTGGAACTCGTCCTCCCATCCGATCCTCTGCTGCTTAACTATAACTGTCGATGTTGATAGAAGATTGTAGTATAATGGAGAGGAGAGTGTCAGCCGAAACACCGTGCGCCCTGGATCTAATCGCTCGGCCTCTGTCACATTGATAGGCAGATCGTTTAGATAGAGTGTCTAATACTACGTCAGCTTATCCAAATTGAAAGATACCCGATGATGATCACTGACCTTGCAGAGTTCCATATTTCGAAGTAAAAAGAGAAAAGGTGTTGGATTGAACAACGTACGTGAAATAGCCAAGAAAAAAGTTCAAGAGAGCTTTGAATGCTCCAGGGCCGGATGGCTGATTACTCATACATATACGGAGTACAGTGACTGGACATAAGTAATTGCATACCCCTTGGCCCCACCCAACTCACCGCTGATACCGCCTTCCTAAAATATATAACATGTATGGATAGAACTACCTAGAAACAGTATAGGAAGCAGCGGTTTTTTGTAGGCAAATTCCTGTCTTATTTTTTCCCTGACTCTTAAAGCTAGTGCTCTTATATATGCAGTAATAGTAGAGATAATTATACTTTATGGAGATTCTTTTGACGGGCAGAATATTAGGTAATCTTAGGGGTGTGGGGCGGGATGCAATTATTTATGTCCACTGACTGTATATCTCATCGCGCCCGGGCCTCCAGGGGTAGGTAAGGCTATTACATTTGACCAATCAAACCACTCGAGTGGCAGCTGACTCCGCCACATTCCAGGCAATATATATGTACCCACTCTTGCATTTAATACATAGTTGGGATTAAAAAAGGGCGGGCGTACCGAACTAAGTCCAAAATACGGTAAACACGCAGAAGACGAAAGAGCTCATTCAAGAAGGCTTATGATTACAGCACCAAATGGAATGCCAATGTCTTTATAATATTGCAAATTCACGTCACTAGCAAGATCTACTTGTTTGACAGCGACATGATGGCTCAGTGGTTACCGTCTCCCCCCCAAATGGTACACATAATTAATTTTATGCTTGTTCTATTTGCCAATGATAAATACAGAAGTGATAATCACTACCCATTGGCTACTTTAATCGTATAGGCCCTTGTAAGTATAGAACGGGTGACTTAGAGGGATTTCTGAAAATGCTGATAACGTAGATCTAAGCGATGCCCCAGCTACAAGAACCAGTCTTGAATGTTCGAATCCTCAGCAAAATCGCTGAATTCGAGAGATACGACTGTACAGTCTTGACGTCAGACTGCGTTTCTATGAAGTTCTATGTCAGGTACAACGACAACTCGAAAGGTTATGTTTATGGCTGTCCCTCTATTTGTAGAATAGCGTCGTCAGAGTTCCACCTGCTGAAACTTCACTACAAGATCCGGGTTGCAAAGCGTCTGCTAGGAAAGGAGGAGTGGTGCTATATAAAGCGGAAATACAGCATTGAAAGAGATGAATATTTAGTTCTAAGTCGTGATATGAATTTGTAGACGATTTCGTACCCGGATGTAATGAAAGTTGAAGCTACAGATTCATACAATAATTTAGAAGGAACTATGCCACGGTTGGTATAGCAATATATTGATGTAATCGAGAACCTACATCTCTTTTCTGTATCCTGTTACTCCTGAGCCAAATCATAATAAGAAAGTGCAGGATGGCCTAAATTTAGATTTCTAGTCTTATGTAGCTATGAGGTGGAGGATTATCGCGACAGATGTGATTTGACACTAGAGAATTTGTCAATCTACATATGCACTGGGGCTATGAATGGGTGCAGATCAACTATAAGCTAAATTAGCGTTTGGGTCCATTATAAAAGGCCCATGCCCTCTTCTATTGTATCCATATACTCACACGAAATTTTCACAACATGGACAACAATATCTCTGAGGTACTTCAATAAGGTTCCCCACTTCTGCGTGAGTCATAAATGCCATATGTTGATCAAAACGTTGCTGACTAGAGAGGCTCAATTCATCGTGTCATCGAGCGCAGGGGTATACGTCAATGGCATTTAGTCGACACTTACCAATTATGTTCGCGTTTTGTGTTTCTCCAATCTCTTGCCTTATGTCCAAATTGTGTGCATGTGTTGCATTGACCTTTGAACACGGTACGGCTGCATGATTCAAATTGCGTTGGTTGGCAGAGGGCGTAAAACTTCCCATCAACACTTTCTTGCCTCTGAAGTATGTCCTGAATACGTTTTGTAGGGTCCATTGGTGAATTGATCGAATATGGATGAGCTGATATCTAAGCAGACCTAAGTGGTGACTGAGCTCCTAGCCCTATTCGGTAGTCCAAGGTATATGTTACTTACGTGACTTTAAGATGACTAGGATTTTGATAAGAAGAGGCTTAAACCAACATTCAATGTAGCCATTTTTGGTAGTCGATTTACTGTCAATTAGCGTTTTTTGGTGCGAGGCAGTCATCAATCATGTCATCGAGGCTAGCAAGGCTAGCTAAAATTAGGTTATTTGGCTTAACTGAAAAGATTACTTTGAGGCTTTAGAATTAAAGGAATGTTCTGAATTGAAGCTGGAAATTTGATTGCAAAGATTTGCCAGCTTTAGGACAACCATGGATGCGCGGTCTTGGAACCAGCCTGAGAACTAGTCACAAAGAACAAAAGACTACTCCATAGTGTGCACATGCCTGGGTTATCACCTTGCGCTTCACAACTTGAGAAATATAGAAATGAAATAACAACTCATTCTTATATTTTATGACTAGGGTATAGGGGCCTGTAAAATCAACGCCGCAAATGACAGTCTCTGGCGCCAGAAACGGCTGCCTTTCGTACATTCTATGAGGCCTGCATTCGTTCTCATAATCTGCTTGACACATACACACACAGTTACTCTTTTCTGGCCTGACTGCTAAGGCCTCAGCACAGTTTGATCAAAATTGATGAAGTGATATACTGTCAAGGTCGTAGGTCACCAACCAATCGCCGGTGGTCTCATACTCAGGTAGTTTGAGCTCCGGGTTGTGTCTGTTCATTCCCCTTGCAAACAGCACCTTGGCATAGCAAGGGTCAAACACGAATGTTGTTTCGCCGGTCACAGAGTTTTTCACTTCCGCCGTAGCCAAAATCTCGTCTATGGCGATGTACTCCTCCAGCTTCGGCACAGATGCCTTCTCGATGTTTTCCTTGATGTGATTTGCAGTCTCGATATCGAGCCGGGTGTCAATGAAGTATAAACTGTTTGGGCCGGCTACTGCCACGTATGGAGTATCCGGTGCCACAACCTGGAGGCCATATTCTGTGTTGGTAACGTTTGGTACATAGCTGCCTCGATATTCCTGTTGGAATGTTGGCGAGCCTTCGCATGGTCGGAACGGGTTCAAAGTCATGATGATTAATAGTCAAAATAGCATCGTGGTATAGGAACAAGTTGCCTATGGGCTGCGTCATATGTCTGCGTGTGATTCATACATATATTGTTTCTCTGAAATAACCTGTCCAGGACTAGCGGTCAGAGGCATGTGACAGATGATTATTGGTGGCTTACCACACGCTAAAAGCTGACATCAATTCGACATTCGAAAACATGAGTAACTATTGGCCACCGCATTGCTACCCTGGGGTCCCTATCAAATGCACGGACCTACGCTGCTAGGTGCGGTGGTTAGTACCAGTGTCCTACGGACTACTCCGTACCATGTCCTATCTTTGCAACCCCCCATTTTTAGAATGCTGTAGGATCCTGAAATTTCTAATATCGTAGTTATGAGGCCAACAAGTATATCAAAGAGGACAGACACATCAAGCAAAATTCTGCTCTAGAATATATAGAAAAGCACAACAGCCTGACTTGGTAGAGTCAAATTGACCTGACTGGAAGTCAGGATTTGGGATCAGTTACTTAAATGGAAGGGAAATCGTGGCGATGAGAGTCGCTTTGGCCGGAAAGTTTAGGATATACAATATATTGAGACGTTGCGGCTTCGCCGGTGCCTAAGCTTAAAAGAGCCAGAAAATCTAGGAATGCATGTGATAGTGCGGGTCGACTGCCAATTTAGATCTATCAGCATGCTAGACTTCCAAGGTCTGGAGGCCCCAAGATCCACAATAAAAAATGCTTATGAGCCCTCACTCAGAGGCCAGCTCGCCATTATGTGACTCAATAGACTATCTAACCAGGTGAGTACTTAGCAAACCCAAACGAGAGAGACGCCAGTGCAGAAAGAAAGAGCCGACGCTCCATGCTGTTCCCGCCCGTCAAAAGATAAGTTTGGCAGCAATGACAGTAGAAAAAAGCATAGCCAAGGCCAAATGCGCCATTGCTGAATTCAACGTCTGGGCTTGATATGTTTCAGGGTTAGTTGATCTTGGGCTACTTGTTTGCCTTCTCCAAATCTGCAGCCCAGAGAGCTGCGCCAACAGTGTTCGTGAACGAAAATGGAATCGAGGCGAATGGTACCATTTCTAAAACAAAAGCCGCAATTCCGAATCTGAGGGGTGAGTCAGTATATGACTGGACGGCACTAGGAAGAAAGGGGAACGAGATGGAGTTTACGCACCCAGTGTACGCAGCCTGGTTGTTCTTCACCCACTCCTCTCGCATTGTATAATCCCAGCCCTTGAGCTGGAAATATCTGGCATGAAGCACCGGTCCTGCTCTTTTCCCCTGCATGAAGATATACAACACCGTCCCGACCACAGGAATGAGGTTCAGGGGCAGGTAGAGCAACGATCGCAACAGCGCCCGTGGGTTCAACTGTGCAAGAGGTCGAGTGATAACCTTACCTAGTCTGGCCATCGCATCTTTTCCTCCCGATCGGGGCTTCATCTGGCGTCCTTGTGTTACGAGTGGCTCCTGGTCACGCGCGACCAGGGTGCCATCGAAGGTGTCGATCAGGGCTTCTTCGACGAGAAATGAGCGCGAGAGGACGTTTGTTATGGTGGAACTTTCGCTAAGAACGAGGATCGCCGCTGAAATAGCAGCCAATGGGCCACTGGTGAAGGCCATTATGGCCATCTGCGGCACGTACGTGAAGAAGAACATGATACTCGTGACACCTAGTCCCAGCGAGATAGTTCGGCCGGCGCGAGAGATAAAAGGGCGCCAGAGGTCTTTATGGGTTGCAAAGTAAACAATGCCCTAGGAAATTCCAATAATTCGCGGTTAGAGACGGTCCGAAAGCACTCTCCTTGAAAGGCATAGCTACTCACCTTAAATGGATACAAGTATGCGCCTGACGTGATCACATCTTGAGCAATTGCCTGAGTGCTTTTGGCCTCAGCAAGCACTGCTTCTTTGATCTTCTCGGACATGTTGTAGCCTACAAGTTTAGCAGCATTGGGTGGAAAAGAATGAGTTTGGAAATCGTGGGAGGTGAAGATTGGGATATCGATAAGATAACAAGCCTTGTGGTGACGTCATTGAAAGGAGCTGTCAAGCAGGAATAAATGTCGATTTATACATGTGTCTTCAAAAGGCTGAAGACCAAAATAGCAGATCGATGAACGGGGATTCCTCAACTATTACGAACATCTTTTTCCTTTTTCCTTTTTTCTTGTGCCGAGTATCCTATTCATCCGCACTGACAAACACTACGATTTACAAGTTTTTCCAATACAGGGCGACTGCAGAAGAGATCAGACATAATAACTGCCTAAGAAAAGAATTATCTAACCGGTCAATCTGGCCTCTATAGTGGGTTAATTTTGTGTCTCATGCCTTCGGGGGATGCGGAAGTGGTCTCGCATATGGCGATATCGAAATGATACATTTCGAAACTGTACTAAATTAAAAGGCACATGCTTCAAAAAAAGTCATTCTTGCACTCTAGTTGGTAGGTAGCAAGTGTCTGACAATGATATATAATAAATTAGATAAGTATCAGGGTGCTTGACCTGGGCGATTTCTAGCGTGGACCACATTCCCTCAGTGGGGCAAGTTTATATCTAGAATATATACTACTTAGATCAACAAATGCAAGAAGAAACACTATGGCTGTGACTTGATTAGAATTACAGCTATTGATCCGGACTTTCTTCCTCTGGAAGTCGGAAAGCGCAGATGTTGCTCCTGACTGCGGCAGGCTGAGGAGGAGCGGCCAGCGCACGAACACATTGGTCCCATCTGGGGCATAGATGGGGATGGATCTAAGAATCAGAGTTATAGCAGGTAAAGCCGAGCTTACGCCCTAACCACCGCTTGTATTTTGCTTGTCCCCGACGCAATTTAACGTCTCGGCCAATCAAAGACACACGAGTCCATCTAGATGAATGTGGAACTCGCTGGAGTTTGGCGTTATGAGTGTGCGCACGGTGGAAATCATGGGAAAACCAAACTACAGTTGCTTCAGCAGCCCATAACCTAGTTGTTAAACCCCTCAATAAAATGATGACCTAGATCAAAGAAAAACCGACGAGCTTGGGCATATGCATATGGAGAGGGTCATGTGCCTCTTCCTGGGCAATTGGGGCATTTAACCCCGTCTATATTTCAGCTGCTTCTTTTGTGGTGCCGCAATGGCTGTAAGAGTTTTGCCAGATGGCAATGGGCCACACTATTGAGTGAGATCAGTCTGAATCCATAGTTGAGTCGCATTAATTCCCACTTACCCATCCGTAGTTATCACATCGGCATTGCTCGTAAATAGGGCAACTGAAGACGAAAACATAGTTGTTAATGTCTCCCAGTAACCAACAGACTATGTCTCCTAGAAGGTACTTACTCGATCGCTTCCATACCGAACACCACATGCCACAAAGTTTCAAACACCCAGCCAACACCGTAATCGTCAACAAGGGGTATACTCTTCTTGTCCATCCAGTTTAGCATACGGATATAATCACTTTTGGGTCGCTGCCAGATGCGAGCTCGGCTGACCGCAAACTGGGCGCAACAAATCCCCCCAATATGTTCCGGAACATGTGCGTCTTCTCCAAATATCTCTTTGTATATACTGGGAAAGTGTGCCCGCACATCATTATTGTCGATGTCTGCTTGCGTGGGGCTATTTGGATTGATGTGGATCGGACAGCCTGGGTTATTCGCACAACGCAGGTTCAAATAACCTCTCGCATCCACAGCTTCGCGGCGTAGGCTGTGCAGAACATTGCTTGTTTTGGGGCCAAATAGATCATTATGCCATTGATCGGGATTTGCATGGAGAAAAATCGAGTATGGGGGGAGTTCGTCGTATAGGTCGACAATGAACGAAAGATAAGCGGAGGCTTCGCGGCCGCGAGAGGAGTGTGCAGAAAGTAGTTCTGTCTCAGGTTTTCGGTCCATAGTGTAAATAAACGGAGTGTTGTCGGTTCTGACCACGGGCATCCATGTTAGTATGGTCGGCTGATGGTCGCCTGCAATTGGACGGGGGTGTTGACTTACTGTGTTTGAAGATAATCACGAAGCCATCTCAAGTCATCTGAACGTGTCTTGGACATTACCAAAGCCACCTTGGTGAAGTTTGCATTGTAGCTTTGAGTTTTGTTAACAAGTTCAGATAGCGCCGCGATCTTTTCTAACTCTTCTTCTGATCATTGTCCTAATATCAGCATTAAGCCACACCGAATTTAATAATGCAATTTCGTACTTGTGTTGCGATATTTACTCAGAATTTGGACCGAATGGTAAGCATTCAAGTGACCGAACTTGATAATCATGAGAACCGCGCAGGCAAAGATCATCAATCCTGATAATATGAGTTTATACCTGATACACGAGGCTATCGATCTCTTGAGCCGCGCTGGATATACACGACTGTTGGATCTCCTGTGGCTAAAATTGTCGCTGTTCATTCTGAATTTTATCTACTGTGAAAAAGTAGAATGGGGAAACAGAAACTATCTCGGTTTCCTGGATTTGCGACTTGGCTCGCAGACCGTACGTTTGGGGGCCGTATCTGCGATACGCGCTTACGACCTGTGAGGCTATGCCCTCTTGGAAGCTGGGCATTCAATTGAGGCTCCACACAAGGTTTAACTTAACTGGCTGTGGGGATTTTGGCCAAGCCATGAAAGAGGCTCAAGGCCTTAGTCCCATAGTACAAAGTACCATCGCCTCAATTTGTTCTCTTTCTAAGGCGATGAAAATCCTCGGAATAGAAAAATTATACTCTCATTTTTTATATCTATCACAGACCATACACAGCTACTCAAAATATCTACCTACTTTTCGTGCTTGGAAAGGGCAGACTATGCCGACCCATATTCTAATGAACGTGAGCCTTTTCATGAAATTAATGTGTCCAATTCCTGGATCTCTAGATTGTAAATGTATATCCCTATGGATTAACCAGGATTGAGATCAAAGATTTAAATGTGACGGCATAAACTTGTCGTGGCGATGTAGGCTACAACATATGTACCATGCCTAAGCTTGATATTTCATTGGTCCCAATCACTGTGTACGTGGCTTACCCTTGCATAGTAGGTGATCCCTTGCCTTTCCTGTTGATATTACCGTATCCAACGAGTCATTCACCCAAAATTTTCTGACCGATCTTTGTATTTGCTGCCATTGTATGCTAGTTTTATACAGACGAGTGCGAAGGGGCATAACGGCCAATGTCCCAATGGACTTTTTGGCCTAGTTTATGCCCTAAAATGCCTTATTGGTGCCTTATTTCAAACAGGCAGAAATTAAAATACCTGAATTACAATGACAGATGTCTTATTAAGCAAAGTACCCAAAGTGCTCGAGTCCAATAAAATGAAGCTATTCCCACCATACAAAATATTGTGCACCCGCCCCCCGACCGCTTACCGCTTATTCTACGAAGTTGAAGTCGCAACTGTTTTCATCCGCATTTGTTGGTGCGAGACGCTAAGCGTAGATCCCAATCCAAATAGCTCACTATCGTTAAAGGCGCCTAGTTAAGCCCGTCCGGCTGATTTTGATCTGGTATTTGTCCTTGAGAATGGTGCGAATAGCTTCATGGGTGGTTTTTTGTTAGAGAAGATCGAGTATCTCGGCTTTATGAGGCTCAATATCGATAGACGATGGGTGGGGATAGGAATAGCTCCAGGGCGATGACGATGATGGAAATGATGATGGGAATAGCTTCATTTACAATACACTGTATAGAGCGGTCAAAAAAGCGGTCTAGAATCAGGCATCATTCAGGCATAAACTAGGCCAAAAAGTCCATTGGGACATTGGCCGTTGTGCCCCTTCGCAGACGAGAGTATCCATGTAGCCTTTTCTCTGTTGTCATTTATTTGTTTTCGCGGTCAATAATAGAATCATGTCCTCATACCGACACCTGTAGATGAACTAGCCAAATCTTAGACGTTCGCATTCTCAGGCGAAAAAGAAAAGTTTACCATCTCTTTCTTTATTTTATTTTATTTTTGCACTCTCCGTTGATTCAACATTTGCTTCGTGTTTTGTTCACAACAATTGGACAACAGCCTCATAACGGGTTTGAGTCGGGGTATGAATATAGCCCGAGGTCTAGTTGATCGAAGGTCAATTTTGGATAATACATTGGATACACTTCCTTGAAGAAACTGAAGTGTTTGAATGTCCTTGGTGCTGAGACCTTTTGGTAAACGAAATGGAATGGCGAACAAAAAAAAAAAGAGCACTAAGTGTTGGAGCAAGTGGTATTGTAAAATAGGGGGGTCCAATGAATGGGTTTCAACTCTCTGTATTTCTGTATCGGCTTCTGGGTACAATTTATATGAAGCCTCGATTACATAATATTAATTACAAAACATGAAGGATTAATAAATCCTCCGGTATGCCGGACTTCATGCACCGACACTAAGTGAAGGCCTGATATCCAAGGCAACCTCCAGGCAACCACAGCCACAAAATAACATCCAATATCTAATCACTTTGGTATATCAACTTTCATCGAAGAACATCGAACAAAAATCAAATACTCCCATATTTGCTTTCTTTCTTTGAGACTGCTGTTGCTACTCCGCTTCTCCACTATGCCTGTTTCCACATCTCTAGATTCCAAGCCGACGGTCTCACCGACAGGTCCCACTGGCGCTTTCATGGTCGAGTTGCTGATCTGGAACGGGTCGCCCTTCAATGATCACTGGGCTTATTTTGTTAGGTCTCGTGCGGACCCTAATATCGGCGTAAAGATACATGCGACCGGTAATGTGAGAAATGGCTTCGAGTTCAAAATTAAGCGCAGTGAAAACTTGCAAACAACTGATGACATCCCGTCGACAAGGGTCCCACTGCAATGGTTAGACGCAGGGTACTTTGACGAGACGACTATGCTTAACGACGGAAAATACAAAATTGACAATATGCCTGTTTGTCGTTTCGAGAGGAGCGTTTACGCGATCAAAGCTCCAGGAAAAAGTCTGAACACAGTCAGTGACGGGGTAAGTCTCTAATTCAGATGCATTCATTACATGTCCCCTAGAACGAATGCTATGAGTGTGTCTTCTGTCTTCTCTTGGGGCCACATCTTTGAGAATTTATACATGGCTCTCTATTACCTCACTGGGATATGTAGGCTAATTCGGATGTCCTAGGCCAAACCAGGTAGGAAAGTTATTCAGAGGGATTGTCAAACATGGATTGTCGAATCTGCCGATCAACTTCGCCGTGACAACATTTTGAGCAATGAGGTTGTCGCTTATCTTCATGCAATTCAACAATAATGGTGGATTGAATCATCTCACGTGGAGATATACTGATCCTTTCATCAGGGCGCTAAGTGTATGAATTCACAACTCAATCACGTTCGGGTTATACTGCTCCGTACTGCAGGATGGGTCTTGTTCAATATGATGTACCCTAAATATTCAGCCATGCAATATTATGTGCATCCGTACGTGGACAATGACGGAATAAAAATGCTCGGTGCATGCAACCACTTTCGGCTAGAGTGAACATTAAGCAAGTCACATTTGATGTACCTATCCGTTGACAGATGAACCTTCTGATTAATTCAATAAAGCGGGCTGCTTGCGACTTGTTCTGGCTAGTACTGGCTGTGTCAACTGTGGCCGCCCCGCTTCAGCTGATGCTCTCCATGAACATTGTTTTATTTGTCCAATAATATTGCTTCGGAGATAGAGGATTCTAATTCTCAACAAAACCTTGTTCTGCAGGGGCGCTAAGTCAATTTCAAGGGGAAGTGGGTCATGTCTAAAAGAATAAAGCGCTGCCACAAGGATAATCATGGAATGCTGGAAGTTTTAACACTAACATTGCATCGGTATGTATTTGCTTGTCCTACCTCAGTATGGATAGATGATTGCTTATTTCGTGACGTGACGGGACCTCGGGCAAGAGGGTTCATGACATGTCGATCCTAATTTCCGGCATTGGACACCTACATGCAGTAGTGCTATTTAGTGCAGTGCACATGTACTCGTTACAGTAAATAGCTAATATAAATACGCACCCACGAGGCAATACCACGCGACCTCGTTAGATTTTGAATTGGGCCGGAAATATGCAAGTGCATGACAGAGGGTTTCCAACAGGATTGGAATGGCTTCTATATTTATTGAGTTAAGTTGTAGTAGTTAGGTACACAAGTTGTAAAGAGAAACATAGCCGAGGTATGGAGTACATTGTATACTTTCATGACCTTGATCTCCTTTTTTCCCCATAGAATATAAGCCCCTATAGTGGAACCCAACGCCACAGTGACCTCTTGGAAATATATCTGGTTTTGAAAAAGGTTACATTTTATCAGCTTTCTATAAAGCGCTCCTACAACAATAGCCATGTGCATCGTACAGAATAGATTAATTGCATATTCTCAAGATGATTGGTCGTCCAAAGTATTGCTATAAAAGAATGTGTGAAAGAATGACTCCACTTTACTTCGGATTTGTTGCTGTAGGGGGGCTACAACACTGGTGATCATGTTAATCTCGACCCGATACGGAGCACCACAATAGCTGCTTAATAACCCCCACTCGGATGTACTATTGCATTGAGACTGCTGAATGTAGTGCGATCATGCGAAGATGTGAACTCGGCACTGCGTGAACACAGACCTCTACGTGGGGTTTTTCCAGTGGGGTAGGGATCAGCTAGCCACTGCCAATAAGATATGCGAGGCTTGAGATCCGATCGTCAGGAACTCAATCTCGCTTGGCTATTGAATCCAGTTTTAGTAACATGGCATTGAGCTAATAATAATTTCCCCGGCTCTAACAAGAGGGGGTGCGGTATAAAGACAATGAGACCTACCGTCTTGGTCGGCTTCTTTTCGCACATTTGACTCATTTTAAAGTGATATATTCGTCATGCTTTTTGGTCGCCTTCTTGGCGTGGCTGCGTTCTCTGCCATCGTCAGGGCTGTTGAGTTGTCGGGCTATGAATACATTGTGGTTGGCTCTGGGGCAGGAGGTGGTCCTTTAGCGGCGCGACTTGCCTTAGCAGGCCATCGAACGCTTCTTATCGAAGCTGGAGATGACCAGGGAGCAAATCTGAACTATACTGTCCCGGCTTTTTCCGCCAAGGCTTCCGAGGATGAAGCTTTGGCATGGAACTTTTACGTCAAGCACTACGCTGATGAGTCTCGGCAAAAGCTCGACTACAAGACAACATACGAAACTCCGGACGGCAAAGAATACACGGGCTTAAACCCACCAGCGGGTTCCACCATGAAAGGCACACTTTACCCCCGTACCGGAACGCTTGGTGGTTGTACCGCGCACAACGCTCTCGTTACCGTATACCCACACGAGTCTGACTTCGAATACCTTGCTACACTCACTGGAGATGGCTCATGGTCACCCGACAACATGCGCAAGTACTTCAAGCGCATGGAGAACAACCGCTACCTCCTCCCATTGCTCAGCGGCCACGGCTATGATGGCTGGCTGAGCACTGAGACTGCGCCACTAAGCATTGTCTTGGAAGACCCCCAACTCCTAAGCCTCCTGCTTGGCGGAGCATTTTCCCTAGGAAATGTGACCAAGTCAATTTTCAACATTGGCACTCTCCTCGCAGGGGACGCAAACTCGGCCGCAAGCACCCGCGATACCAAACCAGGATACTATCAAATCCCCATCGCTTCCGATGAAAGCTCCCGTAATGGTCCTCGCGAGTTCTTGACCGCTGTCAGGGATGCAAAAAACGCCAATGGGTCCAAGAAGTTCCCACTTGACATCCGTATGAACTGCCATGTTACCAAGGTCACCTTTGATGAGACTGTTACCCCTCCTCGCGCTACAGGCGTTGAGTTCCTAGACGGCAAGTATCTATACAGTGCCAGCCCTCGTTCCAAGACCGCCGGCAAAGGAACACCAGGCTCAGCAGCAGCTTCACGCGAGGTTATTGTCTCTGGCGGTGTGTACAACTCGCCCCAGATCCTTAAGCTCAGTGGTATTGGACCCGGGGAGGAGCTCCAGAAATTCGGAATCAAGGTTATCTCTAACCTTCCCGGTGTCGGCACAAACCTACAAGACCACTATGAGACTGCGGTGCAAGGTCAAGTCCCGAAGAATTTCAGCGCCCTTAACGGATGCACGTTCAATAATGGCGATAGTGATCCCTGTCTTGACCGTTGGAATAAGCCTATCCTTGGTAACCACGGTATTTACTCATCTAATGGATTCGGAGCTGCGATGTTCTATAAGAGCTCCGTCACTGCGGATGATAGCTTTGATGTGTTTGTCTTCGGCGGGCCTATCAACTTCCGTGGATACTTCCCTGGATACGGTGTCAATATAACTGAACATCATGATTGGTTCTCGTGGGCTGTTCTCAAGGCTCACCCTCGTAACACCGCTGGATCTGTGATGCTCCACTCTGCCGATCCACTCGACATGCCCGATATCGTTTTCAACTACTTTGACACTGGCTCTGGTGACTATGAAAAGGATTTGGAAGCTATCACTGAGGCTATTCGTGTTGCGCGTGGCGCCTTCGACCGTCAGTTGGTTGATGTATCGGAAATCCTCCCCGGTGATGATATCCAAACAGATGAGCAGATCCATGATTACATCAAGAATACGGCTTGGGGTCACCATGCTTCCTGCACCTGTCCCATCGGAACTGATGATGATCCCATGGCTGTTTTGGACTCCAACTTCCAAGTTCGTGGCGTTTCAGGCCTTCGTGTCGTGGATGCCTCTGTGTATCCACGCATTCCCGGAACGTTCACTGCTGTTTCCACTTTCATGGTGGGCGAGAAGGCGGCTGATGTGATTCTGGACGCGGCAAAAGCCAACCAGTGAGCTTGACTATTTACTACCAGTATATTATAATCATCATGAGAGCAGCATTCAATTCTTGGATACACTATGTACATATTTGACAAATGCCTGCTATTTTGCAATTAATACTCCTGAATTCATGGACGCTCTAGCGCAAAAATAAAAAGGTCATCTCCATCTTCTTGGAAATCACCCACGACCTTGAAGCCGCACTTTTCTAGGACACGGCGACTGCCAGCATTCATCTTTTCGCAAAGAGCAAAGGCTTTTTCAGCCTGTGGTAGATAAGCATCTTCTCCCTCAACTGCCCGACGCGCCAGATTCCACCACATCTTCAACATCAACTGCACAGCCTCTGTCGCGTACCCTTTCCCCCAAGAGTTTGGATGCACTGCGTATCCAATCTCAGGAAAGGGGTCTACCTGATTGATGCTGAGAGATCCAACAACTCGCTCCTCTGTTTCTGGGATTGACTTGTCCACAATGGCATAATTGAATGAACGCCCGATAATATCAGGTGGACCATTCCTGAACACCTTGGTTGCCATCCATTCACGGGTTTCTTCAATTGATTTGAATGGTATATTGGGAGAGCTAATACAGTTAGCACGGTGAATATTCGTCACGAACACCTGCAGGTGTCGCTTTTTGTACTAACTTCATTTCTGCCACTTCGGGCCGGGAACGAATGGCGAAAAGTGCGGGGGCATCACTGTCGGTAACTGGCCGAAGAAGAAGTCGATCACTTTCAATCGAGGGCCCTGGGTATGGAACGATCACGTAGACAGATTGTTGAGGTAGGCTCATCTTGAAGTCTTGGGTAATTTGTTTCGCGATGTGTATTTAGAGGATTGTGAAAACAATATAAAGAAAATTGGACGGTAGCGCTAAACCAGTCCGGGAGCCCGATTGACTCACAATTAAGCACTTTTATATCGGTATGCCGAATACTGAGTCACTTTCTATTCCTTTTTGCGCTCGATAGCTCTATACATGCAATTCTACTCTTGTTCCTTTTCCACTCCCCAATACCATTCCAAACAATAACCAAACAATAACAATGAGGGTGAGAAATTGTTGTTTTCGATGCGCGAAATGATGCCCCGCACCGGCGACCACTTAGCCCTAAAAATCGGCCAGGCTGGTGTCCGGGTCTGAGGCGCTCTCATTGACTCGATATCATATTCATGGTAAATTGTTAGACCTCATCCAGGATAAGAACACATCACGGAATTTAATTTGCCGATATAGTGCAAATTATGACCACAAAATATTGATTTTCTCGAGGCCACGCTTCGGCCTAGGTTCTGGCTCGGGATTATTGTGCCAGCTTTCGATGAAAGACCGAACGGGGATTTCCGCCAGTGGAATGATCTTCGTTTTTGCCCAAAATTTGTAGGTGAAATACACAACAACGATGAATGGCAGGTTGAAGTATGTCGAAATAAAGCTTCCAGTATTCCAATGGCCGCGCATAAACGTCGTAAATCCTCCGGTAAAGAAAAGAAGAATGTAAACGATCAATGAGATCCAAGTTATGTATGGCTGAAATGGTGCTGCCCATGGGAGCTCCTTGTGGCGGTCAATTCCCTGCCTCTTGCATCCATAGTAAAACCTGAGATAGACGATGCAAATGCACATCAAATTCACTAAAGTAGAGATAGAGACAAGGTTTTGTAGCCATGTGAATACCGTACTAGCCGAGCTAGAAAGACTCATGTATCCAAGTGTCATAAAAGTGCCGTAGAGCGCAACAGCAACATAAGGAATACCAAAGCGGTTAATACGTTTGAAGACAGCAGGAGCATGACCCTGGGTTGCCATGCCGTAGAGGATTCTAGAACCGCCTAGGATATTGCTGTTCCCGGAGGACCATGCTGAGGTGAGAACAACTGCGTTGATAATTGAGGGAACCACCTTAATGCCAGCATGGCGGGCTGCGATAACGAAAGGGGACTGCGAGGCTGTCCCTGACGAGCCCAGAAGATCTGGATCGGCAGACGAAACAATTAGACCGACCATGAAGATTGTTATCACGTAGAAGAGCAATATGCGGACAAAGATACGTCTGGCAGCCATGGGAATAGAATGACGAGGGTTTCGAGTCTCGGCTGCAGCGAGAGTGAAGTTCTCGATACCCGAGTAAGCGAAGAGAGCGTTGTCAAAAGTTTTCCAAAATCCTAAAAACCCGCCAAGGGATCCTCTCATTCCCAAGTACTGGACGAAGGGTCCATATGGGGCTTTCCAGTAGGCAAATCCAATGGGCGAGTTGTTCGGGGCTCCGCCGCAGGTGATTACCTATCAAAATAAATTAGCACGAAAACTAGACATGCTCCGGATTAAAAGGGCGCAATCACCAAAGCCATTATATTTATACCTATAATGAGCATGATCTTGAGGATAGAAAAGCCGAACTCGAGTTCTCCATACACGCGAACAAAAACAAACGCAGTGGAAAGCATGAGTAATCCAAGCACAGTGATCCATATCGCATTATTGACTGTGATCCAGAATTCAATGATAACAGCGGCAGCGACAATCTCCGAAGGAATCGACACAATGTAGGAGTATACTTGGTTCCACCCGTTGGCGAATGCTAGCGCGGGGTCACAGAAGATCTCTGCATATCGAATAACACCACCATTGAGAGGTACCAGGGCTCCCATCTCACCAACTCCGAAGACGACACTCGAAACAGTAGCGCCGATTATTGTATATGCCAAGAATGCACCCAATGGTCCAGCTTCCACAATGGCACGGCCCGAACTCAGAAAAATACCCGTCCCCACAGTGCCGGCGAGGGCAATCATTTGAATGTGTCGGTGATGGAGACCCTGTCTGAACTCGTGAATTTCCTCGAGTTGCCTGGCGGGATTCTCTATATCTCCATTTCCACTCATTTTGCCCTCGTTATAGTTAGGCACCTTCTGGTTGGACACAATGGGGGCATGACTGCCGTTGTCGTCCTTCAAAATATGGTTCGCCATCAAAGGTGACATTGAAAACTCCGTAGCGTAACACAAAATCTTTGGAAATTGAAAGACTCAAGTTGAGGAGAAATAAATTATTCTTACTCGTACCTTGCACATAACTAATTATTTTCTCAATTGTGCAGATCACGGCCGCGGGCATATTGAGCAAACAACAGCTACTCAGAAAACGCCAATTTGCAATTTGCATCTTGTCGTTGGCTAATAAACCAGCTAGCCCCTTCCACAATGAGGTTTTTCGCGTAAATGTCAGAAATGGTTTGCAGCGGGGTTAAATAGGGCATCGATTTACTCCCTGGGTCCTCGTCTGCTGCCCAGTTGTGGAGCATCCCATAGTGGGCCACGCCTTGTCGAATATCGAATTTCTCCATAGCTACCTATCTAAATACGGCTCATTTGATAATCCTCTGCCACTACTGTGTTTCCGGTAGTGTAATTGGAAATTGGAAAGTTTCAGCACCGATGGGCATTTTATATTGCAAAATAAGTTAGGCAGGCAGGGCAATCAAAATGGATATAAAAGCAAAATAGTAACAAATTACTGTCTCAACTTTTCCGTTCTCGAAGACGCCAGTTTGTATCAAGTAGAGAGTGATCTATTATTGCCCAATTAATACGGAATTTTGCGGACAAGGAACTTACATACATATGGATGCACTGTATAAACCAAAGATTTCAAAATGGATGTGGCCGTGTGTGCTTTTTTTTCCTCATCGGTCTTTTTCCGCTTCTATGAGACTTCTTTGTTTGTCTATTCCTTTGCTTTTCTGTTACAACCAGTGCATCCACATCATATAATACGTGGAGCTTTGTCAAGCCTTGGGTATATGTTACTTTATAAACTCTTTGACTCCAGTTCAGCTTGTTGATTGCTTATTTTCCCTCTGTGTACTATGCTTGCTTTAGTTTTTGATGATTTGATTAACCTATATTTCAAATCCCCATTTCTATCTATCAGCTATCATATATCTAGTGACATATTCCTTTCTAGCTACATCTACATCTATATTATTCTTATATATTTGATGAGAAGAGAACAAGATGGGGTTCTAGTGAGAGGGTAGACAGGCTGGAGATACATCAAGAGCTGGTAATAAGCCAGAATTTATTGTTGTGGTACTTGCCCGTCTTTAGGCACGCACATACTGGGAAGGTGCTGGAATTGCCTCCGTTCTTACCTTCAGTTTCCTCTGAGTCTACAAACACAAGTTTCCCGAAACCATGCACTCCTCTTCCATCATCAGCCACCTTTACCTCGACGCCTTCTCTGAATCTCTTCTCAACTCTTCAACTGCTCGGATCATGGAACAAATCATCGAGCACCAGTGCCTCAGAACCAGAACTGCTGGGTTCGCAATGCGATTATTTATCGACGTCATCTGCTTGGTTCCGGTTGATGTTCAAGTTTTTATGGTAGTCCCGAAAACCATTTCGCTGCACCTGGCTGTTTTTCGTGCAGGGGGTCCAGCCATTGTTTTATCTCTTTTCATGCTTTTTTTTTTTTTTTTGCAATTCATATGCTGGGGCCTTCTTGATTGCTGGCTTTGCAGAGGCAAGTGTTCAAGTACATCACACGGAAGCGGTGGAGAATCCTCCGATGATTGAGTCTAAGCAACGTGGAAGTTGGTGGAAGAGAGAATGGCTGCGCTCGCAGGTAGCTCGGCAGTTATCTTATTTCACGAATACCATCTTTTCCTATCCAGTCTCTCTATTCTGTAAATGTACTAGTTTGTCTGTGAAATATCGCGTTGACTAGAATCCTGCTGGATTCCATGTGCTCCACCCCATTTGCTCCAGTTCGTCGCCATATGTCTCCCATAGTGTCGCTTCTGAGTTGGACATCTGGCTGGAGCCTCTTTCTGTATCATTATATCTTTCATCGGAGACTGCATTTTTCGACTCGTAGTATTCAGTCACCCCGGGTCTCAGGTTAATGACGTGAGACTGGCCATCGTTTAGGAGTTCCGAATTGTGAACACGGCTAGCAATGGGATAGCACTTGATACAGAAATGATGCTCGGGGCACGCGCTACAGTCGTATATATTCCCGAAGACATTCTGATTGTGGGGGCAATAACAGGTCAGCAATTGGAAAAGCGGTTCTTCACATGAGAAAATAGGTAACTTACGCCTAGACAGAAATCGCATATCGTGCTACTGCATGTGTACCTCTGTACACGCTTGGGGGTAGATGCTACATCCAACTCCGATTGCAGAGAGACTATGTCCCGAAGAAGGGAGATTATCTCGGGCCCAGCATTACACAGTTGCGCTAGTTCAAGCGGCGTCAAGATCTCTGTGCCTCGCCGGCATTGCACCGCTGGATTTGCGCCATTTTTCAATAATATACGAACAGTATTCACGTGGTCTCTGCTTTCGGAGCCTATCTGATTAAGATAGTGGTTAAAGAGGGGGCAGACAGCCCAACACAGCGGCGTCCACCCATCACAATCTGCTTGCTCCACCGCTTGGCTCCGTTCAGAGGGCTCGAGTTGAGAAAGAATATATTCCACGGTATAGTTATTACCATACTGAGATGCCCAGTGTAAACAATTTTTGCCGTAGGTGTCGGTCACCATCATGTTATCCTGGAAAGCAAGCAGGACGGTATCAAAGTTTTCGATACCATTAGCAGCGGCGAAGTGAATTGGCAGTCTTCCCGAGACAGGATCGACACATACTGGTGAAGCGCCAGCATCGAGAAGAAAATCGATCAAGCTTGGGGTAGCTGAGAAACACGCTGTTGCCAGAGGACAATAGAATGTTGCCGAGACTACCATTCCGACAGATGCTCCCGATCGGACGAGACAATGAACAACGTTCTCCATAGAGAAAATGATATCTTCACGCGCATATTCGCTTGGTAATAATGCCGAAATTAACGGCGTTTGGTCCCATGTGTTGGGCGATATCAAATTGGGGTCAGCCCCGTGTGCTAACAGAGCCTTCACGCAATCCAGGTGCGATCGACGACATGCAGAGTGCAGCGGACTCCCCAGATAGACAGAGACACAATTCACCTCAATTTCGGGCCGTGATAAGAGTAAATCGCGGAAAGGCGCTGTCTCAAACTCAATTGCACAATGAAGTGACGTTTCCGTATAGCTGTCTGCCACGTTTATATCCGCTCCAGCTTCAATCAACGATGTGAGAGCGTCAATGTCTCCCTCTCCTTTCGTAGATAAAAGAGGCGTACAGCCTTCGAGGTCTCTCTGGTCTAGATCCAGCTGTTCTTTGAACTGCAAAAGGAGTCTGATAACATGGGGAGCACGACAAACGGCCAGATGAAGAAGTCCCTTTCCAGTATCCGTGGTAGTGTCCATCAAATTAGCGCCACCTTCTATCAGGACTTGTATTATGTTTTCATCGCGTTCATAGTCGACTGCAATGCAAATTGGAGTCCATCCGTGGTTATCTCGAGTATGCAAATCAGCACCGCTAGCGAGTAGGGTTTGAATGACTTGAGCGCTGCCGAACTTTGCAGCATAAAAAATCGGTGACCAGCCAGCCTGACCGGGTGCATTAGGATCGGCGCCCGCATCGAGCAACAAACGCAAAATATCCGGGTTATCGAAGGCGTAGACAATGAGCGCTGGCCCTTGTTGGTCAACATGATTCAATTGAGGGTGGTGGTGTAACAGTTCTTCGACGACTTCAGTCCGTCCTGATCGAATCGCATGATACAGTGCAGATTGGTTCATTTGATCACCAGTATCGCCATCAGATTCATGCTTGTCGAAATCGTCTGGTATCTCTTGGTGCTCAGTATCCATGGCGGGTTTGCGCGTAATCTTCGGATTGTGCAACAGTGGAGCGTTAGAGTTGCTCGCTCTCCAAAGATATTTTCTAAATTCGATATTTCAAAGACCGTATTTGTTGGACCAAACTTTTCCAAAATGGTGTTGTCAATCTGAGGCTTAGTGAACGTCAGCAAAAGTCAAGCCACCATTCGTATAGAATTCAACGCCATGAACTCATGCAGTCACATTCTCAAGCTATGACCCCGCCACATCATCCCACAGAATTTTCAGCTTGGTCCCCGAAGCGCGTGGTCATTACATGGCTACACTTAACGGCTTGCTGAAAATGGTCGTCTTGGTACGGAGTAAGTAGGCCAGTCTTCAAGCGTTGAGGTGTGGGATTCTGTCTGGGCACTTCCAATCTCGTCTCACAATAGCTCAGCGTGATTAATCGTAGATGCACACAATATATGGTCATATAAACTATGAGGAGAGAAGAGAAGAAGGTCAGTTTTCTCTGCAAACAAACACCAGTGGAAGCCTGCCGGAAAAGGCATCCACCCATCTTCTCTCAGCCCTGAACAGAAACTACGATTGGGAACTCTGGGTTACGGGGGGCAAATCTAAGAACCAAAATTCTTTCAACAGGAAATATGCAGGGATATATATTACCAAAACTTGGCTGTATATATTTATTTGACATCAATCAAGATAATACACAAGATTTCCAAGTGCACCCACCGAGGGACACTGTGTGTCTAATAAATAACCGAAATGCGACCAAGTGATCCTTCAGCCCAAGTCTCCTCGGACCCGAATCAAGCATTTCATTTCAGATTGAGGTCATTACCATCGTACGGGATGCCAAAGCCCTCGAGCAGATTGGTTGCAGCGGTTTCACCCGACTTGAAAGCGCCATGCACGCAACCATTACCAACAAGGGTACAATGCTCGCCGGCGAACTGCAGGCGACTGAGTTTATGGTTTTCCAACGCATCAACCAGCAGCTGCGGGTCATCTCCAACCTTGTCGGCAGAGTAGGATCCATACCCAGCCAGCGGGTCCTGCGTCCAATGTGTAGTTTCAACATTGATCAGGCGTGGCAAAGCCTTGTAAGGTTCTGCACGAAATATTTTGAAAAGTGGTTCAAAAAATAGATATATCTCCTTTGGATCTTGCATGTTCTCGATGCGCTGCGTCAAAGGCTCGGCAATCTGTACGCACAGCTCTTTGCTGCCCGTCATAATCCATAGGTTGATCGTCACGGTGGGGTAGTTGAGGATATTATCTTTCTCCCCGATGGAGTTTATACTGGGGTTGGACTGCATTGATGATCCGGAGGAAATATCCGATTCCTCTGGTGGAGATGGGTAGAAGACGAACTGGTCGTTGTCCTTTGACCAGAAGACTTCGGCAAATTCGAAAAACACTTTACCCAAGGCTCCATAGCTGCACTTGGCCATGCCTTCTTGGAGGTCACCCGACAAGGGCGGATTGAATGAGATGAGGTTGTGGTGGTAGACCCCCAGTGGAATAGTCATGATCACTGCATCACCCCCGACGAAGCCGATTTCTCCAGCAGCATCCTTGTATCGGATTCGAGTTGGCGCGGTTCCGTCTTCGCTCCACTCCACATTCTCGACGACGTGGTTGAGTCTGATGATGCTTTCATCGCTTTGGAGAGTCTCTGCAGTCCAGTTCACGATGCGATCATAGCCACCCTTCATATATAGATTGCGCTCGGTGATAAAGTAAGAGAGGTGCTTGGACGATGCTTGATCGGTACTAGTGCCGATCCACAACTCGACCTCGCGGACAGCCTGCGGAGCCCAATCACGCTCATCTTCGGTGATGAGCTGATGTTGGAGGACAAACTCTTTCGCAAATTCGTGGACAGGACGGTCCTCGGCCTCCGGATTAGTTTCGTAGAACCACTCGCAGTAGTCAGCGAACTCGTCTGCGACTTTCTTAGCTTTGAACTGGGATCCAGCTCGGCCTTCTCTAGTGAAGTACAGAGGAACGCCATCATCATAATAATATGGGATAGATAGCTGAGGAATGAGATTCACCAGGCTGTTCTGGGAAGTTTCATGCATCCAAGCGGCGCCTGTTTGTTGACTATTAGCACATCGCCTTTTCTCTCCCCGCTATTCTGATATATGTTTCAGACTCGTATCGTTATCTTACCAATATCTCGGACATGGTCACCCTTTCGGCTGGTCAGGATTCTTCCACCAATGCGATCGCGTGCTTCTAATACCACCACTTCACAGCCATGGCGGTGCAAGACAGCCGCAGCATGCAGACCAGAAACTCCAGCACCCACCACAATCACCTTCTTGCGCTCCGACCTCGCTGCGTGTCCCTCGATCAACTCCCCCGGAGTCACATCGAGCGCAACCAGGTCGGAGCAACAATTACTAGGTTCTATGGGACTAATGCCCGTGATAGGAGAAGAGAGATGGAAAGATTGAGCCATTCTGAGTTGACAAGTTGACATTCGTGTTTGAAGTTTTGGAGTAAATAATGATTGAACAAGGACAATGTTGAACAGAAGTTGAGGGGGGTAAGTCTGTGTTATCGCGGTGCATAGTGACCACTTGGGACTTTGGTCCTATTGGCTTTTATTGCCAGCACAAAATTGGCTATCTACATGGTTTTCTACCTTACTATAGCGTAATAATTAATTTAATACGTACTTCTAGTCACATATCATAATGGAAAAGTAGTTATGAGGGAATTATGGATTGGTTTGTGGGTCTAAACAGGCATTTATAGACATCTCAAAGCATGCTGAGACGACATTAATAATACAACGGGGCGGAATCAGAATTATAATGTTGTTAAATCAACTTGATGCTCACATCATCCAAGTCCTATATCGTTCAGTATAGAGGTCGCATAAACGGCCGGCCATTTTGGAAGCTTCTATACACATGACTCCCTCATTATAAATCTATAGCAACTTCTCGTCTACTTAATATAACAATATAGATTACTCTAAAGAAAGCGGGAGCTAGAGCGGTAAATTCCCAAAGCCAATAAGACCAAAGTCCATATTGGTCATTATACACTACGGTAGGCTGTGAGGGGAAATTGCGGGTGTATTGGTTTACTATCACCGGCTTTTTTGAAACACATTTTTATCCACTTTACTTATTCCTGCCTCCCAGCCTTAGAAATACTCTGATTAAACTCACATTCTTCTCCGCCCGCATCGACCTGCAACGAACCATGCATCGGGAGTGAGATTTGGTGCGCTTAGCCTTGACTGAATCCGCGAATAGCCGTAATCGGGCCAAGTAGATAACGTCCTGTGCAGGTCATGAAAATAAAGTCCACCTGACCGATGACGGATAGGGTTACCAATGACGACTTTCCAAAATGGATCCCGGATTAGCATTGCAGCCTTTTGGTCACACAGAACGAGAAGCAGGGGAGAGTTCTGAAATCAAATCTATTGTTCATTCAATAGTCTACGCGATCAGAATAAGCATCATCAGGAAGTACATCAAATGAAAGAGAATAAGGAGAAAGGCAGAAATTCCAATACGAAGTGGCGGGAGACTCCTGCACGAATCCATTTACGTTACTTATTATACCAGAGGCTGACGGGAAGATTAGACTTCCGTACCACCTTGAAAAGCCGAAGATCATCAATGCGTCGGTTAGTTACTTCTATCCCAATAGGTAGCTCACGTGGAACGTTTGATAGCCCTTACCTTAGGGCTGTTCATTGTCCTAGATTTCATCTAACGAATTGTGGACTAGTGTTGACGGATCGACTTCTAGAAGTTTGATCAACTCCACCTCTTCCAAGGAACTAATGCTAATCGAATGCCGTACTATATTTTCCAATCCTGCCTCGGTTTTACTTAAGAAAGCCTACGAGATGGGAAATGCATGATCTATAGATGGGAGCTCTAGATCTCTCCAATTTCCGTCTTTTCGTGCTGTCAATGTCGCCGAACTGATAGAAGAGGACGAATTCACCGATTTGGTGTTCCGCGTTTTATACAAAGGCGACAGAAGACTATACATATATTCTTAAGCTTCCTTTTACCAAATATACGATTCGGATATTATACAACAAGAACTAGAGAATCTAGAACAATTTAAACGCGTAGTCGGGATTTTTTAGCCAGCTGGTATTGCAGTATTCAATAACCCTTATACGACCTCCTAAAATAGTACCGAACAGATGGTTATCAGCGGTATTCTACAAGAGTACTATAGCGGTGGCTCTTTACAACGTGTTACAGATGAGCAGCGTATTAGGGTATTCACCGTGCAGGGAAAACTCATATAGGTATTAAGCCTTCTAATATTGTTCTCGATGATGATGGCAATGCGGTGCTTATTGATATCAGCGGGATCGGCGGAGTAATGTATGAATACCATGCTCCAGAGATACGGGATGAAATATCACCTATTGACCTTCCATTCCAAATACGTTGGTTGAATGACATTTGGGCCCGTGGAAAGCTTTTGGCGGAGATTGCGTTAAACGCTGGGAACAGCCCCTTTGCGGGAACTCTTAAGCGGGTTGCGGGTCATTTTACCGAAGATGTTCACAACAGGTGGACTCTATCTGAGGGGATCTCTCAGTTGAAATATTTGTTAGTATATTGATTAATATTTTCTTTATTCAGAATGTTTCCAAGCTAATGAAACGCAGGGGTCCGCGTTGAGAAGCTTGCCTCTAATCCCACATTCAAGCATAATCCTGTTCCACATCAAGCTTTGCCGGTAGTTGAAGAGTAATATTTATAGTTAATAATTCGTACGTTTCTTGTGTTACTTATAACAAGTGGCTTTACTTTTGCGCAGACTACATTCATACAGGCTCTAATGCCCCGCAAAAGTGGTAGATTTCCCTCTTTCAACCCTCTTCCCCCTCTTTATACAGACAAATCACATCGAAAGTCAGTGGCCAGTCATAAAAGAAACGATGAGGAGGCTAAGCGGAGGGTTAACCCAACGACGTATAGGTCTGTGCAACTTTCCTTATAGTAAGAAGGGTCCTTGCCACTATTAGCTTCCGGAGACTACCGCCGAAAAGAAAGTATTAAAGCGATAATTGAAGAGTGGAATTCTACACTTAGGCTAGCGCTTTATAAGGAGTGAGAGCTACAATCTGGTTTACGAAGACTACGTTTACGGCAAAATCCTAGTAAAAAATCGCAGTGGAATTAGAACACGAATAGAAAACTCGCTCTAGGTCGAGAGGTAGGATCGACTATATTATCGATTTATATACATACTATGTACAAAGCATTCAATTAAATTGATACAGTTTTCTCTGTCAACAAGGTTAAATGTAAGGTTCGTGTGGTAAATGCTTAACCTGCCCCACATGGAAATCGAAAATTCTTTTGTTCTCCAATTCTCCAATTTTTTTTTCCCTTTTCTTTCTTTTTCCCCTTCCTCATAGAGGCTAACACTTGGATAAAATGTCTCCAGCATGATTGGCTTGTCAGGTCGGGCTTTAATCAGATTCCGGTTTTGAATTTAGAAATGGAAGAAGACCTACTGCTCAATGGCACCGAGCGCATTTGCGTTGACGGAGAGGTCACATTAATTCCCTCACCCACCAATTCTCCAAATGATCCACTGAATTGGAGCAAACCGAGACGTTACTGGCATGCATTTCTAGTCCTTGTGTTTGTTGCCCTGACCGCGGCAACTGCCAACGATGCCGGCAACGCTGGAAACGGCATGAACGCTGATCTGGGTATCACCTGGGAGCAGATCAATACTGCCGCAGGCGTCTTGTTTCTCGGCATTGGATATACCACATTGCTCCTCGGCCCAGCACCTTTCTTGTATGGAAGACGTATCTCGTATCTGATTTGTCTGGTGTTTTCCGTCATCGGCGCCATCGGGCTCGCCCGCACCCAAAATGTCGGGGACAACATCTGGAGCCAACTTTTCGTGGGCGCCTCCGAATCCTGCGCAGAGGCACTTGCTCAGCTGTCTCTTTCCGATTTGTTCTTCCAGCATCAAAGAGGTATGGTACTGGGATTATACGTTCTTGCCACGAGTATTGGTACATTCATGGGACCCATGATATCCGGCTTTGTCACTGACTCTCCACTGGGGTGGAGATGGGTGGGCTGGCTTGCTGCTATCATATCTGGGGGCTTGATTTTTGTCTTTTACTTCACATTGGAGGAAACATTCTTCGATCGGAACAACCCCATTCGCGGACATGATGCGCCTCCTGGCAAGACTGAGCGCACGTCGAATGACCTCCCGTTGGACAAAAAGGATGAGCCTATTGCGAGCGTGCAGCCGACACTCTCCGACAGTGGTCTTGATGAAGAATGCGGCCAGGAAAAAGGAAACACATATTTCCAGCGCATCGCTCTGATCACCCCATCGCCAACACTCGTCGGGACGGGCTTCAAGCAGTATTTCCGTCGCTTGTTGCACACACTGCGCGTCTTCACCTTCCCGGCAGTCCTCTACTCGGGCCTCCAATGGGGTGCTCAAGATGCCTGGCTGACCTTCTACCTCACCGTCGAGGCGGACAATTGGTACGGGCCGCCCTGGAACTACAGCGACACCGAAGTAGGCATCATGAACGTTCCGACCTTGATTGGTGCGGTCCTCGGCTGCATTTACGGCGGATGGTTCTCCGACTTCTTTGTTATGTGGATGGCCAAGCGAAACAAGGGCATATTCGAGGCTGAGTACCGTCTCTGGCTTCTGCTGCCTGTTGCGTTTATCGGCCCTGCTGGCCTCATGCTATTCGGGATCGGCTCGGATAAAGGCTGGGACTGGCATCGACCATATGTTGGACTGGGATTGATTGGTTTTGGCTGGGGTTGCGCAGGTGATCTTAGCATGGCGTATCTCATGGATGCGTACCCGGATATGGTGTTGGAGGGCATGGTCGGTGTCTCTGTCATCAACAACACTATTGGTTGTATTTTCACATTCACTGCCCAGAATTGGCTGGATGCGCAGAGTCTTGCGCAGGTCTTCATTGCGATCGGTGTCTTGAGCTTCGCTTCTATTATGACTACAGTACCGATGATGTACTGGGGCAAGACGTGTCGAAAGATGACTCGGAAGCAGTACGAGGCTTTCTTGCTGCTTCGTGATGGACCCTCTTAGTTGAGCGTTCGCCATTGTCATTGCACATTCCTTGGTTCATTCTGTCAAAATATATGTATAATATTTGCAAAAGTCTCGTGTGTTTTGGGGCCCTAGTAAAATAATAAAATGAGAAGGTCCCGTCTGCTCTGCTTTAGATTTACCATTTCTGCTTGTATTCTAAGCATATATCTTATTCGGCACGATAAATATTAGAGTACAGAAAGAATATTGACTAAAATTTCCAAGATTTTAGAGTCGAGGGAAATATTCACAGGCGTACGTAGTCCCCCCGCTAGCTCTCAGCCATCTGGGGCCAACTACGCAAGCTGCACCGTCATCCTCGATCCAAGCTTTTTTTTCAGGTGGATCTCCAATTAATCTCAAGCCTACAACTGACACCAATATTATACATGTCTACATGTCTCGCAAGCCTGGTCCACTGTGGTTTCTATCCACGGAGCCAATCGTGATCCCCCGATGTCGTGGCTAGATATATTTGCGTCGTGGTCGATGTGATGTTCCAAGGTTAGACATATCAGCGCACATCTAAGAATAAAACTAACGAGCCCATCTTCATACATCTAGTGCTCCGGTATATTTTCCGAGGCTAAATCCCACTTCCTATAATTCCTGGGGATTGGCCCGTTTTTCTCAATTTCTGTTGATCGTTCTGTGTATCTGTTATATCCTTCGTTCACTCTACTACTCTACCAGCTTCAATATGGTTCTCAGGTCTTACTCCCAGTGGGCTACTCTCGCCCTGGCTGTGACTGCTGTTGCACAGACTACCACTAGCTGCAACCCTATGGATAGTATGCGTTATTTTATGTGATTCGCCGCGAAGCAGCACTAACAGTTCTTTCGTAGAGACTTGCCCAGCAGATGCTGGTCTGAACAAATATCGTCTGAACACCGACTTCACCTCAGGATCTCTAGGTCGCTGGAACACAACCTCCGGAACCGTAACCAGTACCGACCTCGGCGCCAAGCTCACTGTCTCCGAGCAAGGCGACGCCCCCACAATCGAAAGTGACTTCTACATCTTCTTTGGCCATGTCGACGTCACGATGAGAGCCGCGAACGGCACCGGCATTGTCAGCACCTGGATCCTAGAGTCCGATGACCTGGACGAGATCGACTGGGTAAGGCCACCGGCAGCTGAAGCCACCAACCATCCCCCAAAAAGTAACCGCTAATACCAAAAACAGGAACAAGTCAGCACCTGGGACACAGAGATCCAAACCAACTACTTCGGCAAAGGCAACACAACCTCTTACGACCGCGCCACAACCGTCACCGTCTCAACCCCAGAAGAAACATTCCACACCTACTCAATCGACTGGACCTCAGAGCGCATCGAGTGGCTGCTCGACAGCGAAGTCGTGCGCACACTCGAGTACGCCGACGCCGTCGATGGCACAAACTACCCCCAAACACCCATGCGCATCCGCATCGGTATCTGGGCCGGCGGCGACCCTGATAACTCCGAGGGCACGATCGAGTGGGCTGGCGGCGAGACTGATTACACTGCAGGCCCTTTCTCTATGTATGTTGAGTCGGTCAATATCGTCAACTACAACCCGGCTTCCGCGTACAAGTACACCGATAAGACTGGGGATTATACGAGCATCAAGGCTACGAATGCTACTACCTCTACTAACTTGGGCACATCGAACTCGAGCTCAATTGTTGCTTCCGGTAGGACTTCTACTTCGGCTAAGGCTAGCTCGTCTTCTGTTGCTTCTTCGTCAACGTCAGCGCCAGTGGCTACTTCTTCTAGTATTTTGGTCTCTGCTGCTCCGGTTTCTTACTATACTTCTATGTTCGCCATTTCTGTAATCTCCTGTATTGCTGTCTTGGTTCACCTTTGAACGGTTTTGTTGGTCATGTAATAGGCCTAGTTATTTTGTCAGCGAGACCTGTTTTATACATAGTTAGATCTATATAGGTGTCCCTTTTGGCCATTTATCACGTCCACGTTACATTTAGGAATTCAAATGCAGCAAAAATACACAACATTCCTAAACGAGTATATAGTATATTGTGGGAACAAACCAAAACAAGAAGTTCCAGCCATCCTAAGAGTGCTCGTTTAGAAACCTTTCTGGTGTCTATTTTCGTTATTTTTTCTATCTAAGTTTCTAAGAAATTTTTATTCTAGGTACTTAGTTGGCTTATGGATATGAGGGGTAAAAACAAGAAGTACAGGGGGCGGGTTCATAGACATGAGACGGGATGATACAAGGGTAAGAGCCGCACCGCCAACAACACGCCGATCGCGTGCCACCCTCAACACACTTCGCAGCCCTGGAGCTTTGTACCAACCTATCAAATGCGAGCTTTAGTAAGAGGATATTTGAATGCTCGCCTACATGCGAGTATAGTCAGAAAACAGCCAGGGATAGCCCCCACATATCGCATTTCCAGGGGAGCCTCGCCAACGACAGCAATCTTTCAATTGAGACAATTATCAACATTGGACCCTGTCTCCACCAGAGAACAGCCTCGCTCCTTTCCAACAGAGGGATTCCCAATCATCGAAGCTGACCAGCCAGCCGAAGAAGAACAATTATTCGACTACAGCCCCTATCGATACTATCCAGCATATATCGGTGAGATCTTCGAGGACCGCTATCAAGTATGTTCAAAGCTAGGCTGGGGCAGTTGTTCAACTACATGGTTGGCCAGGGACCTCAGGTTTGTCGAGATCAGGCGATTTCATCTTGCATAAATAACTGATAATTTATTATTGCAGCGACAAGAAATATGTCGCACTGAAAGTCTATATCCATAACTCGGTATATCACCGTGAGCTCCCATTTTATCGGCATATTGCTCCCTACATGTCAAGTGATCATCCAGGGAGGGAGAATATTCGGCGGTTTTTCGATTCTTTTACGGTCACTGGCCCGGACGGTCGACATATCGTGCTGGTTCAAGAACCCGCATGTATCAGCCTGTTCGATCTCAAACAATCAATGCCAGAGGAAAGATTTCCAGAAGAGATGGTCAAATCTATCCTAACGGAGTTACTCCAGGCCCTAGATTTCCTACATACTGAATGCAAGGCTGTACACACCGGTCAGTTATTATCCTATGTCCAAGTATTTAGCGCACTGGTTTATTTACTCACCCTCAATAGATGTTCATATCGGTAATTTGTTAGCATGTGGGAGTGACAGCGAGAATTCCAAATTCAAAGATATTGAGGAATCCGAAATGGACAACCCGTCGGCACGCAAGCAGGTATCGCATGACCGAACCATTTATGCCTCGCGGGCAATCCTTCCGAAGCAAGGACCGCTGCGGCTTTCCGATTTCGGCGAAGCTAGGATCGGGCCTGGGCCGTATGATTATCCCGCCATGCCTATGCCACTTCGCGCGCCTGAGATAGTGCTCGAGGTACCGTGGAGCTATCCGATTGATATTTGGTGTGTTGGGCTTACAGTGCGTTCTGGCTATATTCCACTTCGAAAGGTTTCTTCTTAACATCATGCTAATTTTGAAACATAGGCATGTGAACTTCTTGGGCTGAATAGGCTTTTCAATTCCGACCACACAGCCGGCGATATGTATGAGGCAGCCCACTTTACAGAGCTGATTGCTGTGTTGGGTCCGCCGCCTGCTGCGTTTCTGGCGCTCAATCCTGAGAAGGCGGCTGAGTTCTGGGATGAAGAGGGTATGTTTGATACATTCGGTACGTGGCAGGATTTATTGCTAATTTGTTTATCCAGGGAGATGGAAGGAAATTGTCCCCATTCCTGAGATGGGCATGCTTGATTCGCTAGAAGGTCAAATGGGTCTACCTCTTGCCTTTGTGGAGTTCATGCGCAGGACTTTGGTCTGGATGCCAAATGAGAGAGCGACTGCTAAAGATCTTCTAGAGGATCCTTGGTTGAAAGAATGATGTTCTACTTTGTATGTATGATATTGGGACTACTTAATAGAACAATCTCTGCTCAAAACATTTCTACTGGTTCGTTTAATATATTATTTCATCATTGAATTCAGATTCCAAAATCGATGATCTCGAGAACAAACTATCGACAATACTCTCGATTTCAATTGAGATATGGGGATTAATAGATATGACCACACATACCCATGGTTTTTGTTCATGTGACCATTCTTCTCCATCAAACTACACCCAAAAAAACCACTGAACAAGAGAATTTGATTCAACACCACAATAACAAAAAAAAATTAAAAAAAATTGTTGTGCATCATCCGTGAATCGAACACGGGCCTCGTCGATGGCAACGACGAATTCTACCACTAGACCAATGATGCTAGTTGATGTGTGGAGATTCAGTTGTTGGCTATATGACCGGATTGCGGGCCTTTGGTGGATCCATGTCACTAAATTCTTCGGCATCTATTGGCATATAAAGTTGTGATGGAATACTTCAACATTGCATTGAATGCTGGAATGGATTTATATCCTTCATATCGAATAGATTGTTTCTAGAATTCGGGTTTTTTCATTGTTTCATTTAGGAGGGACTACTGCACCCGAAAATATATATATCGGCAATAGATTTCAATTACTCTTCATTTCCTCTCATAAATTACACAGAACGACATTAGTCACTGCAAGTCAATAAACAGATGTGCGGAATGACACCGACGAGATAAAAATGTAGTTAGTCATTCAGACATGAATAGATACTCCGAAATGCAAAAGCAGCCAGCCCGAAAGGCAAAAATATTAACAGAAATAGAACGGAAATGGTATATGTAGAGAAATTATTGTTCGTCAGTGTTCGCGGGAGGAGGTTTGACGATATTTTTTATCGCCGGAGAAAAAGGATATTGATCGTCAAAGTGGTCCAGCTCACTTCCATCACCACTGTACCCAATGGTATCGCGATTGTCGTCAATGATGCGTCCGTACTCGAGAAGAAGGAGATAGAGATAGATGTCAAGATCTTCGTTCCGCAGCGCGTGGTGCGCCCATTCCCGGCTTTGAGATGCGATCACCTCGGCCTCAAAGTCATGCTTCTGAAGGTATGGCTCGCTAATTGGGGATCCTGGTGAGTCAAGACCGAGGAAGTATGTCATTAGTCCGTACAGGTCATCGTAGCGATTGTCCATAGGGACGAAATGACGCCAGGGAAATAGCCGGGAGTCATGCCATTCTCGGAAAATAGTGGCCTTGATCCCTAGGGATTTGCTGAGCTGAAAGGCGCGCCACCGACCGGAGAAGCTGTGGCCATCAATGTCGACGAGGTATTTTGCCTTGAACTGCTCGCTGAAATCCTTGGGCTCTTTGTAGGTCCAAATATCGTCGTAGAAGGAGCAATCCGGGATGCAGCCCCAAGCCTCAGTGAAACCGACATCAAAGTAGTCCAATGAAAAGTTGCTTGGGGAGAAACTAGGGTAGGTATGATACTGCCCCAGGCTGCTCTCGGAGAGGATGGAAACCGTCTCTGATTTCATATCAGTGGAATTGGTAATATGCACAAAGCGTTGGCGGTGCATATGCTGCCAGTTATCTGCAAGTTGAACACCGCCGGAGGTGACACCACGCCAGATAAGAGTGTCCGATTTGTCTTTCCACCCGTAGTCGTGTCGCGAATTGTACACGTACCGCTTGTCGTCCATAAAATACATATTTGCAGGGAAAAGGATGTCGTTGTTCACGCTAACCTTGCATTCGCTGAAGACTGGGATCAGTTTCTTTGTGATAAGGTTGCTGGAGGCCGAGAATAAAAACCCGTGATTCCCCCCGAGAACGGGACCGACGGTGCAAAGATCAGAGGAAGCAGTGAAGTTAGTGACAAACCCACCCGAAGGTGATTTGTATAGCTTATCGGCATCCTCTACAGTAATATTGTCATTCCGAGCGGGAGAATGAGGGCTACAGGAATCTTTCGCGAAGTCCATGTATCGCTTTCCAGCGATCGAGAACCAGGATGGGTCAACGCCCTCTTCGATGCTGGGATCTTTATTATACAGATAGTTCATGCCTGGCGTGAATTTATCCTGCGCATCGCTGTGTAAGCCTCTGCTGAGGGCTTCGATGCGAAGGTATTCCTGGGTATCCTCGAATGAAACCATGACTCGTGGCTGATCCATAATATTAAGTGCAATATCCATGTCCGGAAGATATCGAACAATGCGATTAATTGACTTCCTCAGTGTTTCAATTCTCCATCCTTCAACGGGGGAGTAAACGACCTTCTTATTACGGATTTGCAAACCTGCAATCCCGTCACTGGATTGTAGCTTGGCTGCCATCTGTCGTATTTCCGTTGGTGCAACCGCCCAGAAAGGTCGCAGATCCCCCGTAATCTGCTGAAAGTCGTCCATGTTATGCGCCTTCTTTTTGCGTGCGAACATGTACCATTCCTTAAAACCGGGAGGTGGGTGTCGTCCATTTGTCTCACGGTATTTGGTGACTGTTTGGCGGAAACTCGTCGAGCGATTATTATCATATTCCAGCCATTGTCGATTCGCTTCCCCCATCAGGTCGACGATGGGGTGTCCATCTTGCGCGTATTGTCCGATTACGGGGCTCGTTGTTGCGGTGAAGAAACTCAGATTAGGGAGGCGGATCACGGAGTTGTCGATACCATGGTTGAGGAATAGGAGGTTGATAAAGCATATGGAGGTTGCTGCGCAGGCCAGTACCAGGTAGATTGACCTGCGACTCCGAGGGAATTGGACCAACATTGAGAATGGTTCCCAAAATCCGGGAGCTAAGTTCCAGCCGTACACTAAATTTCGACGATTTTGAACAGGATTGAAAAGGCCAAAGCACGAAGGCTATGAAAAGGACGCGCAAAAGGACATGATTGTAATGAACATTTAGGAGTTGAGGAGGGGGAAGAAGGAAAGAGAAAACCAAAGAGCCGCCATCAGGCCCTTAGTCTCCCAAGTGTCTAAAGCCTTTTCCAAAACGCCAAGGGTTTTTACGAAACAAACACCATACTAATAGAGTTCTTGGCTGGTCTTTTAATCAAAAATACATGTAATATTTTAGGAGAACTATAGGCGACCTATCAGAGCAATATATACTCCGTACAGAGTAGCTTGTCGGCAATTTTGTATAGAATTTGTAGATCATGTTAAAAAGGGGTTGATCAAAAGGATCAAAGGAACGTGGCCCAGTTGCCCAATCAGGAACTCTCGGCGTAGATGGCCGAGTCCAATTTGATTCGGACACGGCCGGCGCTTTGATCTGCCAAGGATTACGAGAGATTAATAACCTTAGAAATTACATGTTTGGAAATATTCTAACATTTATTTTTACTTATTTTATGCATTAGAGAATAATGAACATTCCAAGACTTGATCTATAACATACTAGTATTATACTAAGCATTATTAGAATAAATTAGGGTTATTTTCTTCGGGCCGGGCGGTGAGATGTTACTGAGTCAGCCCTTATGTAAGCTAGAGCATTTTCTTTGGGGCCTCAGGCACAAACCCGCAGCCAAGAGCTGGTAAGAGCTGTGCGACTCTCACAAGATCTTCATTACAACTTCTTTCAACACGCACAATTTCTCCCATGCAAATGACGTGATCAATAACTCCTCATGGGTGACTGTCCCATCCGAAAATTATGGCCCTAAAACGTTCTCGCACCGCGCTGGAGGCCGATCTTCAAGCAGAGCAATCCCCATACGCCTTCTATGGAACCCCGTTACCACCACTCGACGAGGGGGTTCGTGATGATGGCTCCTTTGTGCCAATATGGAAGCAGGAGGTGAGGGATGAACATGGGAGCAAACGTCTTCATGGCGCCTTCACCGGTGGATTTAGCGCGGGGTGAGTAGCCCCAAGACTCAATGACCCTTGGAAGGATAACCACTGACGTCTTCTAGATACTTCAACTCCGTCGGCTCAAAAGAAGGATGGACCCCCTCAACCTTTGTCTCATCGCGCCAGAACCGTGCCCAGAAGGTCGAAGAGAAACGACCCGAGGATTTTATGGACGCGGATGACTTGAGAGAACAGGAGGAAGCCAGACAATTACAGACCGCCGATGAATTCGCCGGCTTCGGCTCGACCAAGCGAGATGCTACGCGCAGAGCAGGACTCATGGATATACTAAAAACTAGTGGAGAAACTATGGGAGTGAAGCTCTTGAAAAAGATGGGTTGGCGCGAAGGTCAAGGAATCGGGCCTAAGGTGCGACGCAAGGCCAATCTGGATGAAAGCTCTGCCCCAGGTGGCGATGCGGGGGAAACATACCTTTTTGCTCCTGAAAACCCACCTATGGTTGCCTTCGTTCGCAAGACCGACCGCAAGGGTCTTGGGTTTGAAGGCGAATCGCGCCTAGAGTCCCACAATGCCCTGCAGTCCATCCCAGATACCGAGGAATCAGATTCGTTTTTTGGGGGGCGATTAGCCATTCAAGGGAAAAATCAGCCCCCAAAGCCGAATGTTTCACGGCGGGGAGGACTCGGGGTTGGCCCTCTGAATGATACTGGGTCGGACGATGAGGATCCTTATTCCCTGGGACCACAGATATCATATAACAAGACCATCGGAGGGGACAAGAAGAAAAAGAAAAAGGTTAAACCAGAACCAACAATCGCGTCATCTAACCCACTCTTGAATTTAAAACCCGTGTTCATATCGAAGAAGGTGGCGGCATCACGCGGAATTGGAGGCTTCAGAAAGTGCCGCGACGGGCGCCTACCGCTTGATGGATTCATTCTTGCCGATGGCATCACGGGTTTGTCGATTTCAGACAAAAAATACGAGCCTCCTGTGATACCCGAGGGCTGGAAATCAGCCAAAGAAATCTCGTCAAAAAAAAGGGACCAATCGAATTATGTCTCTACAGCTGACGCCGCAAAAGCCTCGTCGCTTAATCCTACGTCTAGAGCAGCACTTCTGGGCGAGGCTCAACTGCCTGGGAAGTCTGTCTTTGATTACATGACCCCTGAGGCCCGAGAGAAGATTGCCAAGCTTACCGGCAATGCCAATTTACCTCCTGCTTTAGGAGAAAAGGCACCCAAAGGATATGAAGTCCCTGAGTCGCAAAGGCGCAAAGATCTTTGGGGCCTTGTGCCAAAACTCGACAAACAGATTGCCGCCCAAGCTCTAGCTCGGGCCGTTAGTGGGTGGATGCCTTACCAAGAAGACGAGAAAAAGCGTGAACGCTACCAAATATTCCTTGAAGTCAGTGCCGGGACTCGCTCTACCCTCCCAGAACGGGTGGAAGGATCCAGCACCGATGAATGGGTTATAGAGATGCAGGAATTTTGCCGAGCTGCAGAGGTCTTCAAACCCATGTCCGGAGTTATGGCATCCCGATTTACATCATCGTCCACCGCGCCCAAGATTGTCTCGGATGCTCCTGACTCTGCAGAATCTGGACTCAGCAGACCCGCTGCAAAGCCAGACGATCCTGCAGTAGCGGCTGCCAAAGTTGGCATGTTCGGCCCAATGACACGAAGCACAGTCCCATTTTACCCATCTCGTCTTCTATGCAAGCGGTTCAACGTCAAACCACCGGAGAATGTGCAACTTGAGCCCGGCGAGCGACCTGGAGCCTCGAGTTCTGGGCCTGGCACTCGTTTCCAGTCCGCTGGATTCCAAGCTGATACTGGCCCAAGGCAATTAGTGTCGCAGGATATCATGAATCAGCTTCTCATAGACTCGTTAGGTTATCTACCAACAGCAGAGGGCCTTGATCCATCTGCAAGTGGTCAGCCTGCTAATGCGGCACCACCGCTAGTTGTTGAACCTGAGCGCAATGATGCCCTGGAGGCAGAGCGGCCCGGCGATGCCGTTTTCAAAGCTATCTTTGGGAGTGACGACGAAGATGACTAGAATTGGGCCCATTTGTACAATCCAATGAATTCATGTATTTTTTTTTAGTTCTAGCCCTGTACTCTGTACGAATTGAGCAATTGTGCTCTGTAGATCACTGTGTGACTGCTGGAGTCATCCCAGTGGTATTAGATTGCGAGAATGGGAGAAATCGTGGAATGTACACTTGTTTCTTTTTGTTTTTGTTACTTTTCCATTTTTGTTTCTATTCCTTTTCCTTTGAAAACTACCTTCTTTCGCCTCCTTGCTCAGTAGGTCTGTGCTTAGCCTTGAGGATCTCCAAAGCTAGTTAAGTCGCTTTAGAGCGTTGACCAACTGCTCCACGCAGCCCCCCTCTTCAAACTACTCTCCCCCTCATATGGAGCTCTTTGGTTGCAAGCAAGATGGTAAGAATCCAACCCCTGATCCCGAACCCCAGAATCCATACATATATCATTAAGACTAGTCACATTGCTTGGCATCGACTATCGAATGTCACACGACTTAAAGCCCCGGCCCCATAATCATAACTGACAATTCCTTCAATACAGGGCTGTTGCGCGTCTGTGCTGTCGCGTAATGTCGACGATCAATCTCCCCACACCCAAGAACACGCCTCACATCCAACAGCCACAAGGGATACCAGCAATCGCTCTACACAGCCAGGGCAACGAACACGGCGCGCCCCCAATCTCCCTCTAAACGAGCATTACAACCAGCCAGTGCGCAACCATGTATGGCGTAGCAAGCGACGGACATGGACACGCGCGCAGCTCGACCGCGAGCGTGCCGAGTTCTTCGAGACACGCGTCACCGGCAGGCCGGAAATATGGGCTGCTCTTTCGACGGCGATATCGCTGATTCGCAGCGGTGACTTAGTTACTGCGCAAAGTATTATCGATGCTGCGGGGATTACTATTCCCACTGGGGATCTTTGTGAAGGTTGCTATGATGAGCAGGGGGCGCTTTACAGGATTCCGCAATGTGTTGTTAGTGACCCGGAGAATATAGTTCCCTCGTCTTCGCGGACGGCTAGTGAAGATGGCGGTCCTGCTGGATATGAGGAGGAGCTGGATACTGGGGCGATCTCGGATGGTAAACTTGCTACGGATGATGCTTCTGGGGACGAGTTGATTTCACAAGATATTGAACGCCGCCGTGATGAGAAGGGGAAGACGAGTGAGCGGGACTTAATCCGCGTGCTTGCTCGTTTGAGTGACCGTGGAGGTCCAGATATACTGCTTTCTATTAACAAGGGTCAGACTGTTGGCTTCTTGGCGAGGAAAGTGCATCAAGAAGCTCAGGTTTGTTTTTTGTTATTGATGATTGTGGATTATTGCTGATTTGCTGTTTAGCTCGAAGATAATAGGCGCGTTCGAATCGCTTACCTGGGTCACTTGCTGAATGAGCGTGAACCGCTCGTTGATCAGGGGTGGAAGACTGGCCATGTTGTCAATGCTTTAGTCGTTTCCCCCGTTGATGGTCTAGGCCCCGGACACAGATCCTAGGAGTTGCTACAGAACCTTTTGAAGCATCGCCCATGGCCTACCAACATCACTCTTTTGTTCTCCACTTCTCTATTTGGACTCCAGCGTTCTGGCGTTTCTGTCATCTGATCTCTTTTGCATAATACCCCGAGTCTCTTTTTACAACCCGGCAGATACTCTCTTCTTCAGCCCGTCTTTTTTTTTGTCTTTGGCATGATCGCTCACATGAGAATTTTCACACGCGACGAAAGCAAGCTGGCTCTCACGACATCATCCCTTCTGCCTGTCAAATGTTGTGCATCTAATTAGTTCATCTACTTGTGACCATGCAATATCGCCATTCTTCCAAGGTTACTGTATCATATTATCCATGGATGTAATCCCCTGGCTACATATGTAGTTAGTCCTGGACCCCTGAAGTCTGGTCTAAAATAAAAACGGGTTTCCCAAATTGTCAGGTCATACGCATCAATAATGTGTATCTCGAACTAACACTGCCGCGTTTGACCTATCATCTCAAGTTCTCCGAGTTACTTTAGCGAGCTCTCTCTACCAATAACCCACCACCGATCGTCACAAACGGGAAGTCACGTGCAGTGACGTACGTGGAGGACATCTCCAGGGCTTTAGCTAGGTATCATAACCCCAAACTCCTTTAGCCTGCGTCTGGTAGACCTCTCACCCCCATATTAATTATTCCATATTATATTGTGGCTTTGGGGGCCATGGAAAATTCATCTAGCCAGAGTGCGGACTACGAGGCGGACCGTCAGACACGCGAGGTATATCGATATTTCCACCCGAGAAACCCAGCGGCGCTTAATGCAACACCTCTTGAATTTGATGAGCATGTGGCCTCGATAGCAGATTTTTCAAGAGTGACGACCCCTTTTGTACCGGATCCCTCTGACTCAGAGACAAGTTTTGTTGAAAGCAGCTCTCCGTCAAGCCCAAATACAACTTTGACTTCTTTTGCACAACTGGCAGCTCTACGCCTGAATGCACAGCGTGCTTTTATTACGTACATTTACCTTCCTGCTCTAGTATAGACCCTGATCTGACTTTTTCCAAAGTGTGTTGAACACCGACTCTCAGTTCATATTGGCTGAAGCCACTAGAAACACCAATCTTCGAAGTTCGAAGTCGTCTGTTGGAGAAGGAGATAAACTCTTCGCTGGAACGTCGACATTATCAGAGTCTTGGAATATATGTCAGGTAAGCCAATCTTTGAACTATTGCGACTTGTTACATATTGACACATATTTCTTCAAACAGGAAACAGTGGCACAAGACTCAAATAACGAACATGGATTGTATTCATTTTTAGTTGTCAACGATCTTCAAAAGGAAGAACGATTCAGAGGATTGCCTTTTGTGTCAAAAGAGCCACACTCTCGTTTTTATGCCGGGACGCCCCTCACCAGTGATAGCGGTATCAATTTGGGATGTCTGTTTGTATTAGATTCTGAACCCCGCCAGGGGCTATCTGATATTGAAAAGGATACATTAGGAAAATTGGCAGAGTTGGTAATGGACTATTTATTGGTTAGCCGTCAAGCTACAGAAGGGCGACGCGCCTCACGGCTATCGCGTGGTCTCCATCTTTTCGTTGACGGCAACTCTAGTTTTCCCAGCAACGCTCACATGTCGTCTCGGTCAAACAGCACGGCACAGGGTCCGGCTCAGTGGGAATCACCTCACCTGAAAGGTAACCGATCTACAAGCTCTCAAAGTAATAGACCGGAATATCACTCGGAACTGTCTGGGACAGGAAATGCGTCTCAAACTGGCGACGCACGAGCTTCGAGCCCAGATTCCAACCGGAATGACATATTTGATCCTGCTAGTCTAACGGCATCGTTGCAAAGTTTGCCACATGATGATAGTGATTCGGGGGACTCCTCGAGTAGCAACCACTGGCTTTTCCCACGTGCTGCAAACCTCTTACGACAAAGTCTAGACTTAGACGGTGCTGGTGGCGTCATGTTCTTGGAGGCTAGTGACAACTCTTCCGAAGATGTTGCAGCTGGTCATACCTCTTCTGAATCCACAAATCCTGCTCCTATTCTTGCGCTGTCCACCAGAAATGATCCATTCTCATACCATTCAAGCTCTACATTATCAGATCCAGCTGTCAATCTTGACAATAGCTTCCTGAAACAGTTGACGCATCGCTATCCTAAAGGGAAACTTTGGTCATTCCACCGCGATGGGACATTTTCAACTTCGGAGGATCAGTTAACCGACGAGTCTCGGGAACAAAGGAAAAAGTCCAAAGTTTCAGAGACCAGAAGACTGAACGAATTCTTCCCCGAGGCATCTCAAGTCATGTTTGTCCCACTGTGGAATGCCACCGATTCCCAGTGGTTTGCTGGGTGTTTTTGTTGGACTCCCCGGTCAACGCGAGTTTTCAGTCCTACCATTGATCTGAGCTCTGTATTTGCCTTCGGATCATCTATTATGACCGAGTACAGCCGTGTTCAATCAGTGATCGCAGACCGCCAAAAGGGGGATTTTATAAGCAGCATCTCACACGAACTCCGCAGCCCGTTGCATGGTGTCTTGGCTGCAGCCGAGTTTTTGGGAAGTACTACATTGGACCAGTTCCAGGAGACCCTGCTTGATACGATTAATGCATGTGGCCGAACTCTCTTGGATACAATGAACCAAGTTTTAGATTTCAGCAAAATCATGTCGTTAGAAAGACACAAGAAAGCCTTCAAGCGTGGAAAAGATCCGTGGAAACCCAAACTCTCCGAGGAAACTGTGCCCAGCCTGGATACACTGGTCTTGACAGATGTGGCCCTCTTGACAGAGGATGTTATAGACAGCGTGTGCTTGGGCCATTCGCATATACAGAGGTCAGCAACGTCCACCAATCACCCCACGGATGTGTCGTCAAAATCGCTTTCCGAGTTAGCAAAAGATGACAGCCAAGTTGGTCCCGTTTCAGAAGTGGACGTTGTTGTTGACATTCCTGATAATGACTGGATGTACAGAGTCCAGCCGGGGTCGCTGAGGCGCTTAATTATGAATATTCTTGGTAATGCACTGAAGTATACCAAAAAGGGACGAATCTCTGTCTGCATGGAGGCGACTGAGCGCTCCAAAGGGCGCTCTCGGCGCCAGGGTCTCGAAGATATAGTGACATTGACCATCTCAGATACGGGAAAGGGCATCTCGAAGGAATATCTTCGGAAGCACCTGTTCACTCCGTTCTCACAAGAAGATCCGCTGTCAGTAGGCACTGGTCTCGGTCTATCAATTGTTCGCGGCATTGTGAAAACTCTCCACGGGAAAATTAACATTCGAAGTCGACAGGGTGAAGGCACTACTGTCAAGGTGTTACTTCCTCTCGAACGTCTTGTGGGAGAGGAAAGCCCAAAATCAACGTCTCATAAGGAAAATTCGGAGCAAAATATACTTGCAGCATCTTCTCAACTCCGACGTGTTGACTGTAGTGGGAAGCGTGCTGCTATCTGGGGAATCGATCCATCCCAGGTTAGCAAGCACCATTTCTGGGCTTCCATAGCTCGATATATCACGGATTGGTATGGTCTACAGCTCGTTCCTCTGTCAGCCAATGAACCTATTGATATTCTGTTTGCGGATGAAAGGGATTTGTCTGCAAAAGAAATGCAGCATTTCCCAACGGAAATACCAAGTCTGCTCGTATTTTGCAGCGAGATAGGCAACTACGGTGATCCTAGGGAACAATGGTCGCATCTGGCTGACTCTGTGGCAATTCTCCATGGACCTTGCGGTCCACGAAAACTTTCCCGCGGTATTTTGAACTGTCTTGATACGACACCGAAAACCTCTCCGTCGAATCCGCAAAATTCTCAGAAAAAAGTAGTACTTCCAGAACGACCTGCTCTTGCGGTCTCGACTTTACCGATTGACGATTCCAACCACTCGTCAGGAAATCTACGATCACCAGATTCTAAACCATCAATTCCCATGCCAGAGTCCAGTAATTACGCCACTGATCCCCTGGAGCATAGCGCTTCTTTGTTGGCATCGTGTACTGACAGCGCTGGTCGTACACTGTCCGGGAGAACTGATTCCGCCAATACTCCATCTTCTTCATCCACTCGACCTTCCACTAGCAACTCAGATCATGTTATCGCTTCGCCCGGGAGCAAAAGGAGACCCCGGGTCTTAGTAGTAGATGACAACAGCATCAACCTTCACCTCATGATGACTTTCATGACAAAACGAAAAGTTGTGGTCCTGGATAAAGCCGAGAATGGCAAAGTAGCCGTCGATGCGTTTGAAAGAATGTTGCAGGGATACGATCTTATTTTCATGGACATGTCTATGCCAGTTATGGACGGGTTTGAGGCGACGCGCGCCATTCGCGCAATTGAGAACGAGCGGGATGGCTGTATTCCAGCAACAATCATCGCTTTGACAGGACTCAGCAGTTCACGCGATGAGTGCAGGGCCTTGGACTCGGGGGTGGATCTTTTCCTTATGAAGCCTGTTTCTTTCAAGGAAGTATCGAGGCTTGTTGATGAATGGGAAGCTAAACTGCCGAAACTGCAGCCTTGCCACTCAGACGTGCAAAACCACGTGAAACTATCATGATTTCTCACATTGGCGTTTTTTATTTCTGTTCCCATACCCCCTGCTGCTCTCTTGGCTGCATATATCATGGATGGCGATTGATGATGGTGGATGATGGCGAGACTCGATTCATTATTTAAAGCTTTTCTATTGCAGCCTTACAGCTGCAAGGGCGATTATTTCTACACAAAACGCTCAGTGGCGGTAAATTGGACGCCGAAAACGGCTACTATTGATGCCATTTTCAGCAGCCTTTTTACTAGAACAGTTGATCATCAAGATACTGTGCTCCAGACTAACTTTTACCAGGCGCTTTTTGGGCGATTAGCATTAACCGGCAATTTTGGAGACTATAAGCATACCTAACTCTCCTATATTGGTAAGTAACCACCTATATTTTTCAACCCTGGAATTATAAAGGGCCACATAAGGCTATATAGACCACTGACCCCTAATTGACGGCTTGATATGCTCAAGCTTCTCTAAAGGACTTCCCCAAGTGAGCTTTAACGACGGACTACCTGGCTACTCATTAAATATGTAACGCATATCAAGGAAGAATAACACCATGGTATTTTCATGACTTCTATCTTTCAGCGGATCGGTATAGGTGACCGTTCTATCCAACTATTGTTGTGATTGTGGTGGGTTGATGAAGTCTATTCCATGTTTGTAAGCGTTGACGATGTAGTTATAAAAAGCAGAACAAAGTTATGATATAATAAGTAGACTCTCCATACCAACTCACTCCAAGGCCAGTTCCTATTTTAAAAGCAACAGCAGGCACACTTTGACCACCAGCGCTTGATAACTACAAATGTAGCTGGTAGAGATGATATGCTGCCTTATATCTCGGGCTAAAAGATAATCTTAAGTAAGCAACTATCTGGAGCTTCTAGACAAACAATGCAAACAACTCTATCGCAAAGGAAAAAAATAATTTATCGCAATCTTCGATCTGGATTTTGAATCAAGACAGTTCGATAGTCTCGAACTTTTGATTGAACTCAACTCAATTGCATACTTATTAAAGGTAGTCTTGGTATACCTTTAACAAAACCAACAACCACCTCCACCTTGATATCCAAGCTTCTCAATCGCTACTTGTTAATCCTTGAGATACAACCGTACCAATGGACGGCCAAAAAACTCCTTTCGTGAGGGAGCTCGGCTCGAGTGGTAGGAATATTCTTTTCCCTGATTGGAGAAATATAATGCTAATCGATCCCTTTAGACCGGAAAGTCCGCGACAAGGCTCTTGATTCTTTAACCAAATTCGTTTGCTCCCGCAACGATTTGACCCTCGTGGATCTCCTCAAACTGTGGAAGGGCCTGTTCTACTGTATGCACTGCCGCTATATTCTCCGAAGATAGGCCGCAACAGAACTAACTTTCACCCAGGCTTCTACCACTCCGACCGACCCCTCACACAACAAGCCCTCGCCCGCGCACTCTCCTACTCTCTCGTCCCCTCTCTCCCCCAAGCAACTCTCCACCGCTTCCTGCGCGCCTTCTGGATCACCATCGGCCGGGACTACCACTCACTAGACCGCATCCGTCTTGACAAGTACCTGATGCTGATCCGTTTCTATGTCGGCGTCGCATTCGAAATTCTCGTGAAGAACAAGAGCTCAACAAAGAACGACGAGGGGAAAAAGCGCAAGCGCGAAGATGCAGCCAAGAAGGGCCGCGGCAAGAAGCAGAAGAAGCAGGCCGAGGCTGAGATCGCCGCTGAAGACGAGGAGGCGAAGGAAGGTGCTGAAGATGACGAGGCCAAATTCCCCGATCTCGCGGCTTATATCTCCATTATCGAGGAGGGTCCTTTGTGTCCGCTGAACTATGATGAGGATCAGGCCCCAGATGAGGGAGACCCAAATTACGTGCCTATGCCACATGGCCCCGATGGGCTGCGCTACCATCTTATTGACATCTGGATTGATGAGTTAGAGAAGGTTCTTGAGTTTGAGGAGGTGGCTGGTGAGGACGAGGAGACCCCGAAGCGTAAGATCAAGGGCGATGTGCCCATGGAGCTTATTCTGAGGCCGCTTGAGAAGCTGCGCGCCGAAAGTGCCTACAAGCCTGTCCGGACGAGGGCAGCTGAGGCCTTGGAAGATGAGCGCTTGTTCGAGTGGGGCGTTCGGACAAGAAAGACGGAGGATGAAGACGACAGCGAGGAAGAATGGGGCGGCTTCGAATAAATATTCTAGTTATAGTATGTGAAAGGGATTTGTATAAACAGATTGAATTCATTGCACAGCGTGCTAGCGATTATATCCATCAGTCCATCTCGGGTCCTATAAGCAAGAAGGTGGTTATAGGCTTATAGGCGTAAAAGACTACAAAATGTATTCACATGTCTCCTGTTTCATTTAGTGATTTTACTGTACAGGCTGATCACAATGTACCAAATGTTTAATGCGACATATTGACAAAGCACCAATTCTTTGCGTTAGGGTATCATGAGTGGATGCAAAGACTCAGCAAGCAGTGGATATATAGAAAGCGGACTCCCAACAATGGCGGGGCGGACAGTAGCCGATGGTGACTTTCGTCCCAGAGGCTGATTAGAGGCACAATTTAGCGAGGGCCTTCCGCTTCATAGAAACGACCCGATTTGGTGAGTATGGTGCCCAGTGCCTGGTGGACCTCGGCTTGGAACGCTTCGAAAGGTATACGTTCACCGTCGATACTGATGTAGCCCTCCTTCTGATGGGGAACTAGACGAAACGCAGACGCTTTGCGGAGGTTGAGGTCTGGCATGTCGAAAAAGCGACCACTAGGTATTTCGTTCATCATTGAAAGCGCTGTACCACGACTCACTTTTCCGTCGATTGTGACCACGTCCATCAAGCCGTCGTCTGGCAACGTCGCAGGGAACATGTTCGTGTCTTTCGACATGATAGCCATATTTCCCGCGTAGAAATTGCCCATAGTTTCTCCCGAAACTACCTCCCACCCCTGGGGAAGCTCGTCCGTCACGGTGCCATACTTGAGCTCTGGTAGGCCTGGGGACTTTGCAGCAATTTCGAAGCGTTTGGTGTCAGCATCCAAGTCCTGTGGGCGTGTAGTCCATGCAGCGTAGTGTTCCTTAATTCTCTCCTTGTCGCCAATTTCCACTTTGATGGCTATATCGCAAGGCCATATCGTCTGCCGTATCAAACGGACTAGGAAACCGTATGTGAACCGCTGAGCGCCCATCCAACGGATATTCTCGGTACCCAAATCACACTCCGCGACGATTCCAAAAGATTGCGAGAGGAAAGAGAGCGTGCGCGAATCTTTCTGGGAGATCGAGACTAGGTCTAGCGGAGTTCTCAGCCCTTTGACGATTGCCAACGCCGCAATCGAGACGCTACCAGTCCCGAAAGCATTCCATGTCAACCCGTTTCCAGAACCACATGGGAGCAGCGCAACGGCGGTTTGCGCTAGCGCTTTTCGAGCATCTGGCCGCTTGCCCAACCCATTGAACACCTCGTAGGGCAAGCCGTCGCCAGAACAGCAAACGACCGCATCGTAGGCGTCAATGTCAAGATTTTCCGCGATTTCAATTGCATGACCCCTGTATTCGGTGCTTTGTACATCCACCTGACACTTCGCCGCGGCGAAGACCGGCGCTGCATATCGTTGGTACAAGCTCGCAGCTGCCCCCTTTCCGCCAAAGGGATTGATCAATATCTTCAGCCGTTTACCGCGCAGTGCCTTGCCATACGCCATATCAAGTAGTTGCTGTACCCATGTCTCGGCAGCCTTTTTTTCTTTTTCAGAGATTGGGTATTGGACGGTTGTTACGGAAACATCGTCCTTGGCAGCATATTGTGCATATGCAATGACGAGATTGGAAGCAGTGACTTCGGCGCCGAGAATGTTGTACAAGGAAATAGCATGGTTGAGTTCTGGTTCTAAAATGCGCGTACAGCTCGGTCAGACCATTTCCATTAATTGATTAACAGCCGCGCGCCCGCGATAACCCAGCGATCGCCAAAGGGGTCAGAACCAACTTACTAGGCTGGAGCAATCCACAGCAGCTACGATCTATTTTGCGATCCCGGCGGTCATCTGTATGGGTGAGCATACGCCCATGCGCCGGATGTGGAGCAGTCCATACCAAGTATAAGGAGCGAGTCAGCGCTGATGGTCAAAGATACAGATTGGTCAACAATCAGAGTGCCGTGCTGCTCCTGCTCCTGCTCCTGCTCCTGCGATAAATCATCTTGGGAGGACATTTTGGATAATGATGGAGATTCAAAACATTATAGATAAAGAGGTAGAAGAATCTAGGGGAGGGAAAGTACAAAGCAGAGAGAGCAAAAAGAGCCTATATGCAGCCGTAGTGTTCCGGTGGGCCCGGGTGGTCCCTGCATTTAAAATGACCACATTAGAACATATGTTGTATGAAGAGTTCTATAATGCAAGTTGATAGAGTATGGATGTTTCATAGAAATACTAAAACATTTATGTGTATAAATAGATAGCTGGTAGCTGTTCAGAGATTACTATAATGCCATGCAAATATCGAAGACATTGTTCTCTATCCACTACTCCTGATGAGACATACATCTCATCTACACCATAAAGAAACATATAAGTAAACAAATTCGTCTCGAATTAACAGAAACAGACAGATAATAAGAGGGGGAAAGGATAAAAAGCATAATATAGACCGCAAACCGCTGGAAAAACATTGACTTATGCAGTCGCAGCCTTGAGACCCTTCAGAGAGCCCAGGCTCAGTGCCAGACCCTGGGAGCGACTTCTTATGCGCACAAATCCTGTGATTGGCCCGTCGTCTCCCTCCTTTTCGATGCTCAGGTTTGCTAGTGCATCCTCCCCTAGTTAAATAGTCAGTTATCATATCAAGTAGGAAGGGATTCGATTATCAGAGGATCGAAAACATACCGAACACACTGCGCGCATACAGGTTCGCGCTCAGGAAGCGGCAATCTCCCTTGAGTGAAGCATCGGGTGTCAGGCAGGCCATGTTAGTGCTGTCCATCAGCTGCTTAAGGAAGTCGCGTAGAGTTTTAGCCTTAGAATTGATGTTGACCTTGTTCTCCCACTCGAACTCAGTCCACATAGTACGGAACTGAGTCTCGGTGCAGTGAGCAGGCTGGATGTAGTCCATGATGTCGGCATGGATGTCGTTAAGAATGACCACATGGGTCTCGGTAGAGCTGGCGCCGTCGTAGACAATGTTACCGAAGATGACACCGGTATCGGTTGATGAAACCTTGACCGTAGCCTGGACATTCAAGAAGTCGCGTGGGCCTAGGTTGTTGGTGGATGGCCGCTCAACGACCTTGAGGTCACCGAGAGTTGCAAACTCCACGCACAGGTTTTGCAGAGTTTCCGTTGTTTGGTTAACCAATAGGACATCAAGAACAATGTCGAACTGGTGGACTGTGACATAGGCTTCAGCATAGACGGAGTCGGAGAAACCAGTTAATTGCACGACCCGGCTCAGCTTCGAAGAGACGTCCTCCACGGTCGAATCGCCACCGGTTGCCTTGACAAGATCCATTTCGATCTCTTCCCCGCCCTCAACGGTGTTCTTCTTCGTGAATTGGCGAATGGGAATAGCATCGTCAATCTGGACAGCAGTCTTGGCCTTCTCCACTGCCTCCTTGGCAGCCCTCTTCTTATCCTCGACCTGGACCATGGCGCGGAACGCTGTTCGGGTATCTTGCAAGAAAGTGGCTTCGAGCTCCTTCTTCTCGGAGAACTCGGCCAGGGATCGCACACAGGTCAAGATACGATCCACGGAATCCTCATCAATAGGAGCCTTAACGAAGTGAGATTGACCAACGCGCATGATGGAAATCATGATAAGCATGGCCTCGGCACGGAGAGCGTTTGTGCGAGCAGTATCCTGCGACACCTCGGAATGGCGCATCACCAGCTTGGTTAAAGTCGAAGAGAGTACCGTTGCCAGGTAGTAGTCGCCGTCCAAAATAAGCTGGCGCAGAGGAGGCTTCTGTGCGGCCTTGACAGCCTCCAGACGAGCAGCTGCCGCCGACTGGCTGGTAAGAGCACTTTCGGTGGCGTAGGTGCCATCTGCAAGCACTTTTCGGGATCCAGTAGGTGCGGCCTTGGATTGACCGTTAGCCTGCTCCATCAGCAGGGCGTTGTCATCCGGAACCTCATCCAGGAGTCGTTGCTCGGATGCCAAAATAGGGATTTCACCAAGGCTGGCTCTGATAGTCTTCCAAGCATCCCGAATATCCTTCTCCTCCAGGGAGTATTCGCCAACAACCCAGAGAACTCCGCGGTAGACCTTTCCGGCTCGAACCTCACTCAAAGTTGAAACCAAGCGGGCAACGATAGACCCACGCAAGTCAGGGAATTTCTCCACAACCTCTTTGACGAACGAAATCACATCAACGGCGGAGTTATTATTGAAGTCGGCAATGAAGTCCATCAGGAGATCAACCACACTGGCAGCAATTTCGGAGAACTTGATGGCGCAGGAGTGTATTGACTGTACCAAAATTTGGCGATACTCGCTATTCTGTGAGAGTCGTTAGTACTGCTGGTTTGTGCAGAGTGACTGTACAACCTACCTGTTCATATTGTTCGTCAACGGTCTTGGCGAGTTCTTTCTTGAGCAGCATGATGATTTCTTCCACATTCTTGCTCGAGACCATTTCCATGGCAAGATTGAGGGCCTTTCTCCGGACATCAATGTCAGGGCTGCTGAGAACCCGCAGAGCCTCCATAGTCAGGTCGTCCAAGACACCCTCATTGCGAATTCTAAGCTGGTTCACACGCTCCAAACAAATGAGCTTAACGTTGTTGTCAGCCTCCCGGATAGCGAGCTCGATCAGCTTGCTCGCAGCGGCTTTAACGGCAACAGGGTTACTTGTGAGGGCGGTAAGAGATGTAGCGGCTTCGTAAACAACGGTGCTAGTTGAGGCGTCGAGGAGCTCGAGCATGAGTTTCAGGTATCGCGACTATCGTTCGTTAGTAACCCCGAAGCTTTTACGTCGAACCCTATAAACCCACCTTATTCTGAGGGTTCTGTACTGCATCCTTCCGGAGGAACTCCAACTCAGCTAGCTGGAGCAATTCATCTGTGTTTGGAATTGTGTCAAACGTGGTGCGTAGATACTCGAGCGCCTTCTGGTGGCTGATGGACATGAGTGCTGCAAAGGCATTGCGCTTGCAAGTGCTATCGGTCTCTGATTCGAGGAACAACTGAAGCAACTCTGGCGCGTCGGGAATGAGGGACTCGGAGTGCTGGAAAATAGAGGATACAGCCCACACTGCATTCTTGCGGACATATGCGTGACGATGTTGCAGACACGAACGTGCGGAGGAGAGGAGGGGCTCAATGAGCTCTGGTTCGCGAAGTTTGGAGAGGAATCGGAGAGTATTGCCTCGAATATATTCGTTGGGATGTTGAAGATCATTGCGAATACCGTTACTATGAAAGGAAAACTTGTCAGACAGGAATGAACATATAGCAATGGCCAGGGGCATTCTTACCAGACCAGGATCATCTCTTGCTTGAGCTTGCCAGTAGAATCGTGTTTGGGGCAGATTTCATAGAAGAAATAAAGCAACTTCTTCAATGACTTGCTTTTCGACGGCATCACAAAACGAATAATGTGCATGAGGATTTGCGGCATAGGATCTCCATTCAGCATGATGGTGACAATTGTCCGCATTGTTTCCAACTTGGTCTCATCATTGCCCTTCTCCAGCTGCAGTTTCAGCTCTTGCACAGTCGGCTGGTCGGCAGTATTGTCCACATGGAGCAAACTGTAGGTATTTTCAAGAAAGGACGCCATGGTGGTGGATTGGGGGGGGGAGGAATCGGGACGAAAGAGAGCTGCAAGTTGTCAGTTCCGGGGTTGTTTTGGGGACACATCAGCATGTAGGAATCAACACATACAGTAGGGGTGGTTCTCCCGTGAATAGGAGTTTGCGCCAGATATCAAGAACAAGCAATTAGTGTAAAGCAACACCCCTCGCCAGCCTTGAAATCATTAGATGTTATATGATGCGCAATGGGGAGGGACCATCAACTTGTCCCTTAATCTGGCCCCCCGGCGCGGTCTGTGTGGGTGACTAAGCCACAACCCGCCGCTTTTCAACTGCCACTTTGACGTCGATTGCTAGCTATCTTTCTCCATACACTTACGATCTCTAAGATTGGGATTCGCCAGGATGTCGAATGAGAATTTCTACCTCCGATACTAGTAAGGACAATATGAGTAAACCCAGGTTTCCTCAGCTGCTGACGGTCCTCACAGCTCAGGTCACTCTGGGCGGTTTGGACATGAGTTCCTAGGTAAGTCTACGTGCTGGTCGTGGTTATTTTCTTCTTCTCAGTCACTAACTTGCACACAGAGTTTGATCTCCGTACTATTTCCGAAGGTAACAGTGCCGCCGTACGATATGCGAACAATTCGAACTACCGCAATGATTCCCTCATCCGCAAAGAAAGTGAGCAGGAGCATATTTACCAACAAGGGAAATGAGCACAAACTGATAGAGTAACAGTGTGCGTGAGTGATGCGATGGTCGAAGAAGTGAAGCGCATCATCAAGGATAGCGAGATCCTCAAGTATGAACCCACATTATTCCACAAGAAGAATACCTGGGCTGACCCCATCTAGGGAGGACGACTCCAAGTGGCCCCAGAAGAACAAGGACGGACGCCAAGAGCTGGAGATTCGAATTGGAAATGAGCACATCTCCTTCGAGGTATTTGACCGAAGTGGTTTATGGAAGCAGACATCATCTAATACTGAATTGTATAGACCGCCAAGATTGGCTCGCTAGTCGACGTAACCGAATCCGACGATCCTGAAGGACTTCGAGTCTTTTACTATCTTGTGCAGGATTTGAAAGCCCTTGTATTTTCGCTGATCTCCCTTCACTTTAAGGTATTATCACTCTTGTCCCCATCCTCCGAATATCGTTTGACCATACCCTGCTTTACAGATCAAGCCCATATAAGTGTTGAGCGCTTAAAAGAAAATTGAAGAATAATCGGGGGTTTTGATTTGATGATAATCACCAGGCGTTCATTGAGGATTTCTTGGGATGCGAACTCAACTATAGCGCAAAAACAATGAGATTGATACCCCTCAGGCCATGTATACTCCACATAATTGGTCTACCTTAGATGCTTTCTGGGTAATTTATGACTTGTATGTCTGTAGCTGCTTGAGCTTGTATAAATATGACAAAGCAAGCATGTTCCAAAACAGGGGATAGC